TTCTCCTCCTCCATGCGAAGTCTTGTGCTGTGTTTTGCATGTTCCCGGTGCTTATGTGTGAGCTCTTTATCACTTAGTCTCTCTTCGGATATTGCACTTCCTTATGTGACCATCTTCCACTCCTCGGTAGACGTCTTTAAGGTCACACAACGTCAAATTTTAACCTCCGCAGTAGCTTTCCCTTCTGCATAGTGAACATCTGGTTCATATCTGTAAGCGTCTCCAACGGCTTTGCAGTTTGTGTTTGGCATGAAGCAGCGGGTCCAGAGGTGGCTTACTGTGGCTTCTATTGGTGTCACCCCTAAGTCCAGCCCTGAGCATTTCCTAGGCCGGCGTTGTCGAGCTTTGTAGATCATCAATCGTCTTATTTTGACCACAAATCATGGTCATCTTCAATTATTGTCTATATGGCGGCTGACTTGATAGTCTCGGCTTCAATCTGCGCGTTCGTTTTGCCAATTTTTTTTTAGCCAATAATCTTCATTGCCACAATATAGGGCCACTCTGACCTTGCTTCCACGTATGCCTTTTGAGTTGTTAATGCGGTTGTTCAGGCCAGGGTCTTCTCGTAGTCTTGCCTGCCGCTGTGTTTGTTGAGATACTCTCTTTATATTTATCTGACTATTCACGACTAGTACGAACGCCTCCCGAATCAGGATTTAATTCAAAAGGTACAATAGTTTACTGCGGGTATGCTTGGACGCCAAATCGCAGCCGACATTAGATCAAAAAGTATTTGGATTCATTTGTTTTCCACATGTTTACGGCACATAAGGACGCATTAGCCTCAGATAACGATACCTTATAGCTACGCTGCTGGCCTATACCAACATTGCAAATAACACCTGGGGCACATCAGCTAACTTTGAACGTGACAGCCACAATTACCTTCCCCTCAATCTTAACCGTGCCTTTTCCTGACTAGGTCACCTACAATCTACGGTGAACGAGATGCAGGAAAACTAACGGGAACCCAAGCTTCCAAGTAGCCTCATACAGCCCTCCAAAGCGCACCTCCTTTTTATTGTGACAGAATGGGTAATACTGTCCGGAGCTGCAAGCTCATGCAACGCCCCAAATACTCAAAGTATGGAACTGGGTCCATCGGAAGCAGGCTACTTGGTGAGCAGATAAAGCGTATAATGGAGGCGGACAACCTTCTATGTTGAGGCCGCCAGGCAGTGAAGGGGGCTGCACTGGAGAGAACCAAAGTTGGGGACCGCTTAGGATCCATCTTCATATTGATGGTCGGGTTGCTAGCACCAAGTGACACTTAATGCAAATTAGGTCGGCCATCAGAGAGGAGGCCGAAAAAGTGCAATCTACCTGTTTTCAGTCGTTAGCGCAGTCCCTGAGCTCAGATTTGCGAAAGGGCAGCAAAATGCAAGGAATGGCAACGCTACTGCAGCTACATGGTACCTCGGAATTGTGTCCTCTTAGTGTGGAACGCGACATTTACGTTGGATCTCTTCACCATGATTAATTCTTAAGGATTTCATTGATAATTACAAAAAGGCGCGCGTGCGGCTACAGCTGTGCTCTGTGGAGGTTGGTTTACCAGGAAGCCCGAGCTGCAGATTCTGATATGCTAAGCTGCATCAATTTCCTCTACGGTGCTTGGAGTAGGGTCAGGGCCTCAAGAAAGTGAGGCAGGGTCTCCATTCGAAAGGCTCAGCAGCCCAGTAGAAGACGGTTCTGAGCATACATCCTGTGCTACTGGCTGTGTACTAGGGAATCCTATTGAGCTCTCAGACGCGGAACAGCAGGAGTGCGCAAATATAAGGAGAGAGTTCGCGGTGCGCTAAATAGTGACTAGCTGCAATCAGGATGGCCATCTACTGGAACTCCAGCGTGCTGTATTGAGCTAATCCAGGTGGGCCCCAAAGTACATTCTGCTGTATCGGGAGACCCCACTACATGAAGAGGAGATAGAGGCTGGGCGGATGATCTGCTGAGAAACGCAAGCTACAGGAATAGACCAGCATTTTTGGGCAGAGCCCGGTGCAAATGCCGAAGAAGGGCAGATGGCGCATGTGCTTTGCCTTGAAACCCCTTAGCAAGATCAGTGAATGACTCATTTTGACGAATCACTCGACGAAATACACCGACTGACGGTCAACTCAACATGTGATGTCACAGACGCCTTCGTGCAATTTACCATTACCCATGATGGCCGGCACGAAACAGCTTTCCATAGTCGCACTCGCAAGCTCGACTATATTTGTACGCCGTTTCAACTTGTTGATGTTTTGGCTGAGCAGTAGCATCAAGTTAATGGGGGTTTTGGTGAGCTGATGAAAAGGGAGTGGATGGCTTGCCGCATGCACGACGTCATGCTCTTTGGCCGAAAGATTTAAAACCCCTATTGCCTGTATGACGTGAGCTTTAGCTGCTACGAGACACTCACTGATATGCAAGGGAAAACAAGTGCTTGTTCTTTTTTTAGAAGTTAATTCCGTGCAATTTCGTGTTTCGATTAGGAATTGGAGATAGTTCGCATCTTATTGAAGCATGAGTTTGAACTCACTTGGATTGCTACTCCTTGTACCTATCTACTTAAGAAACACAGCCTCCAGCTTGGATAGAGGAGCTTGATGCCGCAGCATGCCCATTGATCAGCTGCCTCACAACTCCGGTGCTTGCGCTGCCCGATTATGACTGTCATTTCTTCTTAGTAATCGATGCTAGTAACGTAGCCGTGAGTTATATTTTCTCTAAAGAGACTCTAGGCTCTCTATTTCGCCGAATTGTTGCTTGGTATTCTCAACGCAATAGTTTTGTGAAGGAAAGGGAACTTGATACACTGTACTGGAACGCGTACAGGAGATCGACCATTAGTCAAAAGTATGCCTGATTTGCACGAAGGCACTTTCAGCTCTCGATCTACATTCTTGATTGGGCCCCTTTGAGGACTGAAAAGCGACTATGCTGCATGCGTCGGCTCTGTATGCAAGCAGATTTGGTTTCACGGGGGTTGGAGGCACTGCTGAACTGCTGTATTTTGATTTTCTGTCCATTTACTTATCTTCTGTGTCCTCGTATCAGGAGGCCCCCACTCTTCAGCGCTCCGCCGAGAGTGGGTCATTGCTTCTCTGCAGTCGCTGTGGATGAACTCTTGATCGTTGTTGGCTAGTTTGGGTGCCTTTATTACTCCTTCGAGCTCTCTTTAACCATTGATACACATATTTGCTCTTCTCATCTGCACTGTTTTCCCTGGCTCTTCTGCTTGTGAGTGACGATAGGGAGCCGACTCTAGGGCCTTCTTAGAAGCAGTTGGTCTCGACTCAGATGCACCGAGCACGAAGGCGTTTGCCTTGACATGGGGAGGGGAAAAGAAGATGTAACGAGCTCAGCTACACTTCAACACTTTCCACTACATTAGCCATATCAAACTAGAAGAATTCGCAAGAACTTGGCTAATTGGAAGGTCTCTATCGTATATCTTACTTATTGCGGAGTACTCTTAGATCGATACAAGAAGATGCAATCTTGTGCGCTGCTGGATAGGATGTGCAACTTACTGTGAATGCTCGCACAGCTAGGGAGCCGCTAAGCACACTGTATCAGTTCGTCTTCCCTGATGCTGGGAGCTCTAAGGGATGTGGGCTGGACTCTGAAAGATAATAATTTTCTCCTAAGTTTGTATTGAGCTTGGAGTTAGGTGCCTCCCTTGGGAGACCTTCAGCGAGCGTTGCAAGTAGCATGGTGCAGATGCCCCGCGCAGTGCAGAGTAATCAAATAATAGCGCTACTAGTTCAGCTATAGAAAAATCACTCTAGGCACAAAACGTTTACGTTTCTGCAGCCTTAGAATGGCTTTGTCTGCTAGCATTCATGGCACATTTCATGGTAAATTGGCAGCCATTGTTGTATGCCCCGTAATGAAAGTTTGCGTTCTTGCCCCCAAAGCGAAAAAGAAATACTTTGAACGAAAACTGTCATGATCGCACGCAGGATTTGCACTTAGGACTCTGGCGGCAATGTATAACGAAATCCTAGGCTTGTAGACGGCAAACAGAGGTGGTAAGCTCAGGAAGAGAGCACAGGGCCAGACGCCACCTCAATACAAGAAACTTCAGCACATAATCAATGGAAAAGGGGATCGATATTACCAACAGCGCTCTATCGTTTCTTGCCTATAGGCAAGGAACGTTCGCTAGTTTGCTCACACAACCATGCCGCGTGCTGAACGCTTCCACTGAACATACCAGCAAGCCAAAAAGCATATGTTTTGCAGCTATTAAAATTGATAAATATTTTAGTTAAAAGATTTTCCTGAAGCTTTACACTCCTCATTTATTAGTCAGCCCGGATCCACTTCTGTCGACACTGGAGTGCATGCGAAACTCAAGCTGGGCTGCCCACCTAGCGTGCAATTGTAAAACAATAAAGTCGAATGAACGTTTAGTTAGGAATAAAAATAATAGGCGATGGCATGCTGATACATGTTTGACCGTGGATCTTACAACACAACCGCGTTGAGGATTGTGTAGGCTGCTGTGGCGGCTGCGGGTAGGCGCATGCAGAGTCCTTGCCAATTCCCACGGCCTCGTATAGCGCTGCTTCAGTCATCCTTCTTTTTCATATCAGATTGGCGAGTTTCCATGAAGGGCAGAGGCCTCTGTCTTGCTTGTTTCAGGCCACGGACACGCCCGTAATACGTGGGGGCTGTTTATTGCTCTGCTCGTTTACTGTCTTCTTTACACCAACATCTGTGTGACGGACATGAGTTTGGTGCTCCCACCCTACAGCTGACTCTCTGAAGCTCTCCGTTAGCGCACTTCGTGGCTTCGCGCGCGCGGTTCTGCTTTTTTGGTCCAACGTCACGTAGCGCACTGGAACCTTCGTAGACATTTTTGGTCAAGAGAAACCATCTGGAGTGTTTGTTAATTCATGAACTGATTTCGCTATCTTTTGCCTGCATTTTTGCCGGAAGTACGTCTCATATGGATGCAGGGTTGTCAGCGTCGGATGGGATGTAATTGAAGCCATCACTTCGAAATGGGGCGGGGTGACTTCCCAATTCTCGTGCAGCAATGGCTTCACAGCTGCGCCGAATGCTATAGGTCGAGCAGTCTATACCACAGAAACCTCGGATTTTTTGCCCTTGGTATCGCCGGAGGCAGTGTATGGGGCAGCTACAAGCGGAAGGAGCATGTGTCAAGGAATTCAGATTGCTCGTTGGTCCATCTTATGTTTTATGACATGCCACCCACAGCTGCAGAGCAAATCCAAGGCAAGAACACGTCCAAACAAAATAATTGTGACTCTCAGATGCTCTATTCTCAAAGGAGACGGCCATTCGAAAAGTTATGGGGGGAGACGGCTAGGCTGCTGCAGCGCCAGCCTGGATATACATATACCCTAATGTTTCGTAGAGTGCCGTTTGCTGAGGCGGATCAAGGCATCGAGCAGAAACAGACGACGAACAAGGAAGTGCAGCAGCACACTGGTGGTCGTAGAGGCATCGGTGCGGGCCTCGAAGTAGCAGTCGAAGAAGCGGTGACCAAGGGGAATCGACCGATATTGGATTACGTCGAGATGCGCGTATGGGAAAGTGAGGGCCAGCAGCAAAATGCGTGCAAGCTGCAGTTGCCTGTTCAGCAGAAGATGTGTGAGCTTGGAGTTGAAATGTATGGGGGTCCTTACAGGCGTGTCTTTGACGATGCACTTGTTCGCCTTATCCAGTGAGCTGTGCGCGTGCTGCGCTTCTGGTAACGGCATTCTGACGGTTTGATAAGCTTGAAGTGAGCAGAGTACGTATATTTGTACGTTTAATGCAGAGGCGTTTCGCAGATGCCAGTCTGCGTACTCGAGCCATCCGCTCTACTACTCTGTCGCTCAAGCTCTGTTTGACTGAAGTGGGCTGGTCTAACTGGCAGCTGCGTTGATCGGACCAAGGCATCCCGAATTGCCGACTCAATCTTCAATTGGACACAACTGTTTGTGGACATAGTCTAATTCTACTTGTGGCTTGCAGAGCCTCCAAGATGAGAACGTCTGCTGTTCAGTGTTGTGTGTCATGTGATTCTTTAGAATCCTATACGTTTCGTTAGGGGGATCAATTTTAGAATGCATCCCTGGATGTTGCCGCAGTAGGTTTGGTATCGTATCATTTGGGTTTTCGCCAATTCTCCATTGTACGTGTCTTTCTGTAGACCATACCTATAAAAGTAGGATACTTTATATTTCAATCCACCCATGTAACCCGCCTTCAGTTTGGCATCCTCTTGGGCTGCTGGGCGATTTAAATGGTTCACAGGACTAAACGCGTAGCACGCGCAGGAAAATAAAAAAGAACTTGGTATATCAATTATTATCTAATAATTTTGTTTGAGTATTTGCTGGGCGAGACAGGAGAAGCTTTGAAGACACAGTCGGTGGGACATCAGCGAGGGACCATCCGTTCCGCCGCCAGCACAGGAAGTCGGGTAGCGATGCTAGTATACTTTGATTCATCGGCTATGCTTCTAGGCATCAGTAGAATATTTTCTGAAAGAAAAAGTTCGCCGAAAGACAGATTGATACTGTTAGTTCATGTTGAGTATGGCGTAGTTGAAAGAGGGTCATGAAACTGAAGTTCGAAGTTACGCCGAATTTAGATGGTTGGCTTATCGCTGATCCGCGGGCACTTTACAAATGTAGATGCAGAATATTGCGTGTCTACATTTCCAGTCAGGCAGAGATCTCGAACTGCTTGAATGTTTGGGAAAGGCACAAAAGCCCCGTGAAGGTCTTTTTGCCTGGCGGGCTCAACCACCAGCCGCTGCCGACGGCAGACAGATAGTGATGGGTAACGCCTTGCATGGTGAAACTCCCTAACCAGGCTTCTCAAAGTAGTGCAAATATATTATTTAAGAGTACAGCTTGCTCATCATAATTCTTTTTGCTTGGGGCTGGGCGATCGGTTGTTGAAGATCTGACCTGTTCGCTCAGGTGCTCGACTCGCGGCACAAGGTCTTCTACACCACAGCAAAAGGCTGTGAAGTGAGCAAGGTGCTTTAAGGCGAGCACTTGGGCATATTGGGCGCTGCTACCTCTCAAGGCAATGGAACAAACCTCCCTGAGGCGCTGCCTGTGGATCTAGGGGCACTGCGCCGGTACTGGCCTGCTTTGAGGCTGTCATGGCCTTCGATATAATTGGCACAAATAACCAAGAATGGAGACGCATGCGCAGCAGAGAACGTCTCGGCTGGCGTTATTGGCCCCGCTTTTGATTCTTGCCGCTGCATTATCGGAGGCGCACAGCACGCAAAGCAGAGTGCTCCGCAGCGTTAGGGCTGCAGCTCATCATGTACTTGCTCCAGAGGTATCAACTGCTTCCATGGATAATAGACAAGGACAACATTCCTTCGTTCAAACCAATAACTTTGGCTTTGTTGAGCTTTTCAAGAAGCTGTTCGGGGGGAAGAGACAAGAGCAGGATGCCGCACCCACGACGTCAGAGCAGAACAGAAGCTCATGGCAGGAGGAAGAAAGGCACTCCGAATTTGCGTTTTGCGCGGATGTCGGCTTTCGCGGCCTCCATCCTGAGGAAGGTGGCGAGGAAACGTATGTCTTCTGAACATAGGCAGGCGTGAATTTGACACCCCCACTTGTTGCAGAACAGTAATGTATTTGTATGATTGCCTTGTTCCTTGATTGTAGATCATTTATCTATTAACTGGGATTCCCGTATATTGTGTGTCTGATGGTCAGCGCGTGTTGGAGTCGTTGTGGCCGGGTTTGTGAAGGTGCAATGTACCTTGCTGAGGACGGTGAGCAGCCCATAGATTTGACAAAGGAACAACAAAGCGCAGTACAGCTGCAACTACATCGACCTTTGAGAACTGGTATAGCTCTACAATTGAAGCTATGTGGTTCATCTGGCAGTTTCTAGGTATGCTCTTTAAGTTCACGCTCTCTCTGTACTGCTTGCAGCCCTATCGGAGTGGAGGCTCATTCCCATGGCCACCAGGACAAAGCCATGCAAGACTCTTGCAAAAAAGTCTGCAGTTCAGGTGAAACCACTAAACAAGCAACGCATAAATTTCAGCCTTTTTCAACTTGGAAGCTATACATCGCTCTTTGAGTGAAGACATAATTAAGATGAACTTCTGCTTATTAGAGACGCCACCGAATGAGCGTGTTGGGTAGATGAACCACCTAAGAGTGCTGGTTATATAGTTTTCTGCGAACTTTGCGAAAGGTTTCCATTTGATATGGCTGGCTGCAGCTAGTGCGGCTAGTACGGCAGCTGCGAAGATAATTTTGCCACGCAATTTATGGAACTTCTTTGCAGATCCTCTGCAAGGCTATAAAGAAGCCCACAACCTACGACATTACTAATGTTGTGAAGCAAGAGATGACCTTTGATATTGAGGCGCAGCAGCAAGAACAGTTGCATCAACTGCAAGGGCAGCAGATGCTGATGCAGCCACAAGCGGCTGCGCTGCCTACCGAGGGAACAGTTATTCCTGGATACCTTGCAGAGGTGGCACAGTCAATGCCTGACACATATGTAGCAGCCACCCATGCTAGAGGAAGAAGCGGGTTTCCACGCTGGGCTCTCTACCTCATCATTGCAGGGATTGCAGTGATATGTATTTTCCTCTTGTGTTGCTGCATTTGTTGCTGCCGGCGCTAGGGCTTCCAAATTCTTCTCAATTTTAAGGCGAAATGTGTTACGAAAAGGCACCACAAAGACCAAGCCTTCATTCTGCGATGCAAACGAGAAGTTGTGCTCAGTCCCATTTGGAAAGTGCGTGCTAGATAGCTCAGTTGTATACAGGTTGTTTCATCACCATCCATTGAATAGAAGAGGTGAGAAATGGGTGTTTACACGTAGGATTGACAGTTAGTGAGTTGTCCGTTGGTGCAGGGAATGGTGTGAGGGGGCTTGCGGCCTTAAAAAGGTCCACAATACACTCATTAATGATACATTACGGCTTGCATTTCCTAAGCAGAAAAAATATGGGAGTGCGATAAGCATGTGCCAGGGGAATGGTATAACTAAATTAACAGGCTAATCAGCAGTAGTTCAGAGGAACAGGCCCTCCTGTCTGTCCAGATGTAGGATAATTGCTGGTGCATGGGAAATTCCACAGAACATGAGTACAACAGCTCCAGTCAGTAAAAACTTTAGAGAAAGAAAGCTTACGCGTCTTTTTGCTTAACTGCTCCAATACACCCTACTGAGTTACCGAATCGCCGTCTGTCCATTGGTGCCCGCTCTGGGATTTTCGGTCAGCTAGGTCGCCTCACCGTGGGAATATATGCAGCACAACGCTCACAAAAAACTTCGAACATCAAAAGAGAGAAGAGAAGCCAGTGTAGAGCCCCTTATGATTTTTTTTTGCACAGATGTAGGGCTACTGCTGTGGGGCCGATATCGACCGCCATAGGGTTTGTCCGCAAGGCTCAGTGCGACATGAAGGCACGAACTTACTTCCGAAGCATCAATCCTGCTAAACCCAATAGCCAGAATGCCGCATTACCGATTTGTTTTAAAGGTCAAGGTCACTCTGGCTTCTTAGTTGTCAAACTCCATCCACACGCCATGGCGCGAAAGCTCCGGGCGTCAGCATGAAGGCTTCCGGCACTGCTATGAAATTGACCAGTGTGGCTTCAAATCTGTCATAAGATGAGTCAAGACAATCATGCTTTGTTGAGGCCGCACCAAGTATAAAAGAGTTTAGGAGGATTCCAAATACTTGGCGCACGCCGCGGTGAGGCCTTCGCTTCCCTGGCGATCGTTAGTGCGCCTATGTTTTATGCGCCTATTCCGATTGCGCAGATATCTATTGGTGAACCGTGCATTTTTATAAGACCCGAAGACCGCGGGTCAGTCACACGTTCCATGGAAAAGAACACTGTGCTGGTGCCCCTCCCAGTGGTCCTCAGAGAGACGATAGGCTTGACAAGCTGTCGCCACCCCATGATAAAGTCTTCAATCATTCAAGACAGCTCAGCAGGGCTTTATATGCTGGATGCATGACAAATTTGTGGCATTGGGAGAACCCACAAGTTCGTCGCCCGCGGCATGATGGCCGACCCTGAACCGCCTTCTCCCGTGCCGCAGTACAGTGAAGCTCAACTGAGTGAAAAGCAACCCTTGCTCTCACATAGAGGAAAATCCTCAGCTACATACAGGCAATGTTGCTGCTGCTCTCTTGGAACAAGTGTGACCGTCTGGGCGGTCTTCCTCTTGGCTCTGTCCACGTACATCTTGTTTGACCCAAATATATCCGGCGCTGCCTACACAGCCGGCGGTGTTGTAGGGCTTGTCACTGCAGTTTTGCTTCTCTCTGCTATTGGGAAAAGGAACGCTTTTCCTGCTTTTGTGGCAGTGTATACTCAGATCGCTTTGAATATAATATGGGCCCTGCAGCTCGGTCTCACCGGTTACCTATACTGGAGGGTACTACAAAGCAATAGAACGGGTAAAACCACCTACAACCTCGCCAGAGCTGGATGGAGCCAACAATCGGGTTCAGAAATTTCCCCAGCAGCACGCTTCTTGTCCCTAGATTTGCAACTTAGCGTCGTCCTCTGCGCCCGAAGCGTCCTGCTTGGGTTGCTCTTGCTTCTATCCCACACTAACCTCCGTCTTCTCTGGAGCTTTTACCGTGTTTTACAAGCTGGTGGTACAACTTTCGAGTTCAAAACTGCAGAAGAGATCGAAGAACAGGCGCTTCAAGCTCAGCTTCCCACGCCCCTTAGTGTCCCACCTACTCCAAGGTATTGGGACCCGCTGACGCAGGGACCATTTCGCGCAGGAGAGGCTGCAACTCCCTGGTAGGATGGAAGCACAAGCAATAATCGGGAAACGACGCCGAATCAAATCGATAAATTACAAGGGTCAATGACGGAAAGCAGACACTGCAGACATGGCCTACAAAGAGCCTAACTGGTTGTCGACAGTGATTGTAATTCGTGCGAACGAGTTAGTTTCGAGAAGCTTGTAATGCAGTAATTGGCTTGGTTCATGGAAAGGTGGAGTTGCAGAGGATCTCCGCCTTCGTATGAGGTCGAATTCGGCAAGGACCTGCCTGCCTGTGTGGTTGATGCCAAGAAGAGAATAGGTCTCAACTTCCAAATGGCTACTCTAGTGAATTCAAGACTCCAGACCATTAATATGGCAAACGCTTCCCCCGAGGTTCATGTCCTTGCCCATCCCATACAATGAACTAGGTATGGCATCCCTACTGTGCAGTGGATCCCCGCTAATAAATTTTTGATGTTGCACATCCATTAGGTGAGCAGTGCTGAGCCAACCGAACAATGAGGAGCTGCCTCTTGAGGCGGAGTATTCCCAAATTTTCAACAGTATAGTTCCCTCGCTGAAATTCGACAGGATGCATGAGATGTAGTGCGATGGGACCTCTAGAATAGTCTTTGACCCGGGAGCAGGTTCTCGTCCTACAAATATTGAATATGGGAAAAATTCGCCACTAAACCACCCGCTCCTCTAAGCTTATTCCATTCATGGTTGGAAAATCCCTGCCATGCATGGATCCTTCAGCCTCCTATGGCGGGGGCCACTGTGGCCAACTGAAGGCTCCTGTTACCAACGCTTCTGTCGGGAGCTGCATGGCGAAATGCCGCTGTACACACACAAACACACAGTGCATACAGCTTCTCAACCAGCTACAAGTGCAACCAGCAAAGAATTAAACTCTCCGCATCACATGTAGTTCTCCTTCCTGCATCGATTTCGTGCTGCTTCTTTGGGTAAATACAAGCCATTCTACCCAAATGGCACAACTAAGTCTGTTGTTATAGCCATGACCTTTTCCACCCACAGTGAACTTACTATCCGCATGGCGTATGTGGTAAGTGCAATCAGTTCATTGCAGGCATATTTACTCTCCGCAGCACCAAAGACCGTTCTGCGCAAAACCCTGACACAACATGCATTACCAGTTCGTGAGCCAAAGCAGAGGCAAATGAGGCATCCAAGGGGGGAAAGAGGCAGTAATAAGGAGTAAATTAGAAGCGCCACGTACACCCAAAGTCTGTGGGCCAGCTGCCCGGCGGGACCAGCGGCTTCATCTTCAAAGGCTTCGTCCAAGGAGACACAGAAGCCAAAAGAAACGAATTGTTGCTCGCGAAGAATCGCAGGCACCTTGAACTCACTTATCTGACAGAAAACAATGAACAGGGAACAAGTTATTTTGAAGAAAGGCAGGACGCTGGTAAGTAAAAAACACTCGTGGGCAATTTCAAAATGCCATCTAGAATCTGAAATACGATGCTGTCATCAGTAAGAAGTGCGAAAACACGGATATCCCGTCCACCGCAACCGACTGTGCAAACTGCCACGTGTTACCAGGATACAAAATCCCAACGGTTTCCGTGCTGTCGAGTGAAGGGAGGCCAATAATCACTTACTCCTTCTTGAAGCAGGTTGTTTGTCAGGAAATCCCAGAGTGCATCCCAAAGCTTGATCTTTAGCGTTTCGGCTCTCTACCAAGAAGCGACAGCACTCCCACAGCGCGTGCTCCTCCTGCTGCTCAGTCTACCGACTCACTGCTAGTGTAGGCACTATTCGCGGAACTATCTGTAACACTCGTGTATTTGCAGGTGTTAATATCATTATCATTGAGTACAACAGCACTGGGGGCAAACGCAAAAGCGCTAAACTAGAGGCTGGTTTTACGGCCTGGTGGAGAGCGCAGTGAAGAGACCAAAGGTGGAGTAGCAAGAAGTACACCCGACCGTTAAAATCTGCCTCGCCTATCCCGAAATCTGCACCACAGGTAGCATAGTCCGCAATTCATGCTGAGGTTTTGCACTGAGAAGCTGAAGTGGAAGCTGCGTAAAAGGGGCAGCAGAACACTGGTTTTGCATTAAAAGTAAGCAGAAAGCTCACACTTTTCAGTCAGATGCGTATCTTCATATCGGGGAATCAATGTGCGGAAGAGCCGCCTGCCATCTTCCTCAAGGCCTCTTGGCGACAAAATATAGCTGCACGGTCAAACGTCAATAGCGCAGCTAAGTTGTTCTCACCAAATAGCTCACCAATACAAAACTATAGGCTACCAGTTTGTGGCAGAAGGCAACACTGTGGAAACAGTATGTGCCTACCTCCCTATTAGACGCAACCGCTGAAGCAGCGAGGGGTCCTGGCTCGCTTTTCCTTTACTTTCAAGAAGCAAACAATTCGCGAGTTCCTCCTTTGAAATGAAGCTCCAAGGAGATGCAACTATCTGCATGCCATCAAAACGAACGTTTTGTAGACGCCTGCTCCAATAGTGGTTAGCTTTCGGAAGAAGCAGCATTATGGCAGAGCCCTCACCCTGTCATGAAGCAACTTGAGGCGCTCCTCCTCCTCCGGAGAAAGGCAGAAATCAATAAAACGCCGCTCAGTCTGCAGTGGTGCACGCAGCCATTGTTTATCAGACATTACAAGTGTGGAATTAATGGGTATTACTCCTTGGATGGCCAGTGCATACGCATTGCAACGCCATGTGGCGCGCACGGAGTATTTTAATCATGCAGATTAGTAAAGTACTTAAAAATCAACATGCACTGATATTCATTCCTTAGAAGCACCAGTGTATGTACGCTTGCGCATATATATATATATATGTATATATATTGCAAATGTTCTTCGCAGCCACACCGTGCGCCAAATAAAGTCGCGATTTCCAGCATTCGGTAAAGCATCGCTTCTCGAGGTGTTTTGGCTGCTGCTACTACTATACATCCTAGACAGAGCCTTGGTATAGCTGCTGTTGAGTCTTCTTGAGGTTCGAACACCACCAACGGAACCTTTGGAGCATCGTGAGCACATGTTACCCCAACATCCAATAGGGGCAGCACTAAACAGACTAACGCTGTCATTGCTTATTGATTCCATATAAGTTGTGGCGCCTCCACTACTAGTCAGCATGGAATCACTTTCTCTGATGCGTGCGATTCTGCTGAGCCTTTCAGGGGGTGCAGAGACACAGGAGGTGGAGAGGCCACAAATCCGACGTGAAGGAAAAAAAGGCCTGCTCGTCATGTTCAGTGTGCTGTTAAGGTAGAAGCCCACGCATACAAGTGCAAGTGGCCAACAGGTGGCTCACTAATTGGGGCACAAATGCGTTGATGGGAGATACATGGAGTGCTGATAAGGATGCACGTGGATTCCTCAAATCAGATTATCTGCAGAAAGACGGAGCGCTGTGTAGAAGAGCGCACTTAAACAGAGTGGTTTCATGCAGGTAATGTGCAAGTTAAAGAAGCCTCGGAGGCGATGAGCATTTAGCGCTGTGCTCGCTTGTAGCCGTAGTGCTTCATCGCATGTCGGCTTTTGAGTATTCGAGTGCTGAGCGTCTCAATTTGCATATTCGAGTTTGTAGAGGCTTGAATATTCAGAAAAATAACAAAAATGTAGCTGCACTTTACTAGGGCTGGCTAGAGCCTAAATGGAATTGTTGTCGCATGTAATGAGCTGCCATGCAGCCCCGATTCTTTGAACCAAAAGACAGTAACCATCACCCAGCTGGGGGAACTAGTAAGCATCGGTGGTTGTGGTAAAAAGAATGTGGGAGGCAAGCAAAATTTCTAGGCACAAGGACAAAAGTTAAGGGGTGTCATTGGCAGGATTATATGCGCTACACTTCTACTCTTCAACGCAACATGTGTACAAGGGGATTGGTCTCTTCTGTGCCAGCTTCCATCAAAGTCTTGTAAGCTACCAATCAATTACAGTACACCTTCAAGAACATTTAGTGCTCTGCCTTCCTGCTGGCAACTGACAAAAACTACAATTGCACGGGAGTTCATCGTAAAGCTCTTGGATTCAGAGGAATCGATGCAGCCACCCTTTGGGAGCCCACCTTCCCTGCAGGCTCCTCCTGCCCGGGATCCAGTTACTAAACTGCAAATCCTCCTTGGAAATCTGCTGAAGCATTTTACGGTCAGCTCGCCCTCCGCCGACCCACTGCATCCACGAAGCCCCTATGATTCTCTAGACAACGACTCTGAGTCATTGTTTTGCATGATTTGCTAGCTTTTGTGAATGTGCGTATTGGATTGTGCAGGAAGTTGTGGCTCATTTATCTGAAGTGGCCCCACCTTTGTCCATCTCAGGCACTATGGAGGATGAGGGGGCTGAAGAAATACTTGAAACTCCCAGTTCAGCTATCAAAGGCGCCTTGACCAGAGAACAACTAAATGATTTCGTTCTCGGTTGTTCCCATGGTGTTGGAAGCCTAGTACACCTCATAGAAGAGGAGATGGAGAAGCTTCCCGAAGGCATTCAGACGCATGTGACATACTGCAGCCCCTCCAAAGCACTACCCCCTATACACATTTCGACTCTTACTGGTCACGAAGTGGCCTGGACAACTTTCTGGTCAAAAAATTGAATAACTTACAGGATGGCCTTAAATTTCTCATCACAAGTTTGTTTTCCTTGTTCGTTGCAGGAGGAGATACAGGACGAGTTACGGTACTTGGAACGAGAGAACGAAATCGCTGCAGCAGAACTGAAGCATCTGGTAGCTTCCGTCAGGCATTTTCGGGACGCAGTGCGGCACGCATATAGAGAAGCTGCTACAGAAGGCACTAGTATATCTATAGACTGAAACGTATACGTGTACCGCCCCAGGTCTGTGTACAAACACGTTTCAGCGCAACAGCCGCATTTTCACACGAATTTTTGTGTCTCTTTAGTTTTACGTGCGGTCTGGCACCGTGCCGGGAAGATCCGAAACTTTGTCAGGCTGGCCGCAACGTTTTTAGCCCACCTTGTCTTCTTCAGATGGGCAGCTGACGCCCATTGCTTCGAAACGCATGCTCTAGCATCTAAAAAGTTATATACATGGTTGACTCAAAGATAGATCAACTGGGCTGAAGCTCATACAATCAATTACAAGCGGTGCTATCGGCTCTGTTATCTTCTAGCTGCTACCAGCCCTCCAGCCACCCTGGGGCCAGCAGCTGTGGTGGCACTTCCACGCCAGTGGCGAGCAACTCGGTACTCTCTTGCATCTCTGCACCGTCTTGTGCCCCCATCCCATGTCGCCGCTCCTTAGGGTTGGGCAGAGAGCGGATCCTATTACCTCCTAGCGAGCGCTGCGAGGCGGTTGCGTCGAGTGCGTTCTCGTCAATGTGATGTGCAGTATTACTCTCACGAGAACATTGGGGATTCAGCACGAATGAGAGCCTCTCTCCGTGCCGTCGCATTGTCCATCTCCGTAGTGATGCATTCTTCCAAGGGCTCTCTGCCTGCACTGAGGTACAAGAACGTATGATGCTGTACTTGTTGCGTTCTGCCGATAGCGCCTCTGTGCCCACCTCACGCTCATCGTGCTGTAAGTGTTCACGCAAGTAGTTCACATTGTCCAAAATATCTGTTTTTCTTGTTGGTCCAAATTTCGATCTTGTCATATCCGAAGGTGGATAGGGTATGAGAGGCAGCTCAAGTGTGTGCCTTCCCAAGTAACCTTGAGTGAAGTCACTCAGAAGCCGTTGCGCAGCAGCACCTTCATTACAGTGGTGCCGCTGTTGTGCTAGCTGCGTCAGCATACACAAACGTAGCTAGCTAGTGTGTTGTAGTTGCCCTCTAAACATGCAATGCGTTCTAGTAAAAGGCACCAGACTTTGTAAGTGCCCACACCGTCTTCTTATTACGCAGATTTTAATCCCTCTCCAGCTCGGCTTACCTTCAGCAACAACTGCACCCCGCCACTTGTCTCCTTGTTCAGGTGTAGTGGATTCAGTTGGTAGCGCGTCATCACTTTGCTAATGTCGGTTGCCTCCGGCAATTGCTCTTTAATGCGAAAAAAGGCGTCACCTAGCGCCACTGCTGCTTCCTCCACCGTGAATAGACAACTGTGCGGCAGCATATGGAATGCACCAAGAAGGGCAAGCTCATCTGCAGAGGGGCGCGGATGCGAAAAGTCGAAGAAGAGCTCCAAGTCCAGTTGTCGCTGCCGCTTGGCTGTGCCTAAGTGTTTTTGCAGTTGTTCATGCTGTGTCCAGCCTGGCGACCTTTTCCCTGGGGACTTGCCCGGATGCACGGGAATGAATCCTGGGGTATCGATTACTTCAAACAGCCGGGACGGATCTTCCCCCCTGGTTAAAATAGCCGGTTGCCTATGAATCTGCAGTGCACACATGGAAGCACAAATCCAAGGAGCTCATGATCTCCTTTCTTCCCCTGTTTCTCCGCCTGGCGCGCCAAGCAACGCCTTTCTCGACGATATTAGTGCAGCGGCATACAATCACCAAAGTCTTACATTAACAGACTGCGTAACGCCTGGCCACCGGTAGCTGCGTGCAACTTTCTTGCCCACTAGGCAATTCGCAATTTTGCTCTTCCCTACGTTAGGAACCCCAACGATGAGGACCCGCAAGGGTTTGCGGTGCCGGAGAGTGGCCCTCGTAGGATGTTCCTGGCCAGGATTTGTGTTCAGTGGTTTTCGTTTCTTATCTGCAATGGCTTGTGCAGCGGCAATGTATTGCACAGACACAGATGGCCCAGCTGTCGCAGCAGCAACAGCCGCCTGATTGCAACAGGAGCGGAAGTTCTCCAACTCCCTCCGGTAGCGTCGATGCCTATTAACCAGACTACGAAGAAGCTTCTGCATTCGTATGACTGATGCAGCCTCCCGTGCATCCACAAAAAGGTACTGCAAGCGCGGGGACAGCGGACAGGAACCCGCCAAAGCACGAAATAAGCCTGTGACACAATGGGGCACACAACAGGACACACTACGCGGGTTCCTAAAATCTGTTTCGGCAAGTACGATATGATATTTTTCTGATTCCACTAATTCATCCCATCGCTCAGATAAATTGGACAGTACGCAAACAAATGAAGATGGCTTGGAGTAGCTTTATTGGCTACCGGGATCTTTGAGCTGCCTGCGAGCTCTCATGAGCTCTTGATGAAGCTGCAACGCAGCGGCCTCCCGGCTTTCACGGCGGAAGTGCAGCTGCCAGCGACGAGTGGCCACTGGGCTTGCCTGAGCATGTAAAAAACCGCACCCGAGCCAGATTGCTAGACTTGTGAGAGCTTTTCGACTTCAACATAGAATAGCACTGACTTTCATAGTCCGCATATTTCGGGGCGGTGTCTCATGCGTGGCAGACATGAGGCACTGAACCAGAGGAAATGAGGACAAATATGCACTGACGGGGCCTAAAACATACGGGAAAACTAGACTGCCGTGGAGCGATCGCACATTGCTATGACTAGCTAATGAATTCGGAGGTGTACCAAGAAAGCAATTTCAAGAACAAACAGATGATTCAGATGCCGAATACGGTACACTGTATACGTATTTGGATGCATCTAAGGAACAGAAAATCCATATTAATGAGGCAAGCACCCACCTGGTCGGCATGCGTGAGAATGACGGCTTTGGGGATAGGCAGCTGAAGAAGACGCAAGTTGCATCTGGAGAGCAGGGGCAATCGCGCATCTCTGACTTCAACAATAGCGTCACATCGCCTAGTAGCCTGTATTAAGGGGGCGAGCGACCGTCGGGCAAACGAGGGAAACCTGAAATACAACATTGTATTCATATTCGACGGCAGAGCAAGAAATATTAAGCAGCAAGCTGAGCGAGATACTATGAGAGTTCATGACACAGGTCTTACCATTGAGTGCGCCACCGCTTCATCGGCAGCTCTTGCACAAGTGGATCCTTTAGTCGCAGAGACTGCAGAACATGTGCTTCCTCCGCAGCTTCCCGATCCTCTTCTGCTTCTACCGCTGCTGCTGCTGCCGGCTTCATCAGCCCACGTTCCCGGTTCCTCCGGCTCCCGCAAAGAAATCGGATGTTCCTTTTGCGAAGGCGAAGGAACCGGTGTGGTATTATTTTCCCGGCAGTTGTGAGGCATGTATGCGACATTAAGCGGGGCTGAGGCAGTGAATCAGCATCGGGAAGTACTAGTGAAGGAGATTGAATCAATGTGGGGCTTGTAGTAGTCTCCGAAATACATTGTCCTTTACCTGGTTCCGCGTAAATAACCGGATCAAGCTTGGACCTCTGGTAACCATGAGAACAACTGGGTAGTGCAAGAATACATATCGAGAATACTGAACGCCCAGGTGGGGGGTGGAGTCCGGGCAGAAGGCCACACGCAGCATGCGTTCTTATTAGGTTTACTCTGAGAGCTGAAGGCGCATAAGCTGAGCAGAGGGAGAATGCCCATCGTAGAGCTCCCGCAACCACGAGTGTAAGAAGCGCAGCACGAATAAATGCCACTATCCGGAGCAATGAAGGTAAGAGCCCCAAAAAATGAAGCTGTTGGAGGCTCAGGAAGTTGCGAAAACGCATGGCAAACAGGGTCTACTGGGCGTAGGCTAGTGCCCCAGCTCCTCCTGAGATAAGGAGCTACCGGGGGTTCCAAGAGTACTTGGCCCCGGCAATGGAGCAGTTGCCTCCCTATAAAAACATGTTTATGCGCCCCAATTGCTCTGATATCCTTGTACAGAGAGGTCCTCCGAATTGTAGAGACTTTTGGTTTCCTGGGTTACTCCTTCGTTTTCTTTGAGTGTGTGTATAATGGATTCATCCAGTACATGTTTTAAAAAGGAGATGAACTGTTATGAACTTCGTTTGTGGAGCAGAGATCCCACGCATTAGATCTTTGGTTGGGGCTCACTCGACTCCATAGCATTCTCAATGATCATGCACGCCCCTGTGCGTGAGGGCACCCCACTGTCCTACTGGCACAAATATAGGACAGATTCGTGAAAATGTCAAGTTATGTTAACGCTTCTTCGTTTTTAATTACACAGTATCTGCCTGTTTCGCAGAGAACCAATCTTATCTACCGGCCAAAATCATGTTTGCTGAGTCTCATAGTGGCTCAGCCTAATGAACCGAAATCGAAAGCGTATGACGGCAGTAAAGTTTGCACACTCCCAAGTAGCTACGTAAGGGACTTGAATATGAGCTATTACTGATTAAGTTGGCAGCTTTGCACGTAATACCGGCTTACCCACCATATAATTGGGCCACGCCGCCGTGGGGGGCAGCTGTCTCTAACTCATCCTTCTGACTATTTAAGCTGGATTAACCATTACAGGCTTACTGTAGCAAGCATACTCTGCCTGTATGTAGGCCGCACAAGCGATTAACATATATGAAAGCAAGCCGGTGAAGTTCAGACAGGGCACGAACTGTTTTTGGTGCACCTCCCACATTTGCTGAATGCAATCACTGCAGGAGCCCTTGACTCACCCTTGACTCACGGTGCAATCACTAGACTGGGCCAAGGCATGACGTGTACTTCCTTGTACAACTCAACGTGCTAGAATATGACATTACTTTAAAAATGGGTGATCAATGCGCCCCTCAGGTGCACGCGGCACAGAATTCCTTCGAATACTCAAGCTATTCCGGTCCGTAGGCTATTTCACCGGTTCAATCCCAAGGAACGTCCTTGTTGAGGGTTTAACGGGGAATGTTGTTATTAGCTGCCGTGCACTAAGCTCCGCCTCGCACAACAGTAATGAAAGCGAATAGAATATGCAAGCTGCATGATACAAAAAGCTTTTCCCACGACGCTACTGCTGGCCCCACAGTGAGCTAGTGCGGAGGCCTATGTGCTCGCACAGCAAGCATTAATCACCTATAGCACTCAACTCCTCCTAAGGCGGCGGTTTCATGGTGTACACCGAAGAATAAATATCTGACAAGGGGGCTCTTATCCATCTGCACAAAAAGTCAGGGTACTAACTGAATCAGAGGGCGTCGCTATTTCAAGCAAGTTGCCTAAAACCAAGATAATTTACCCATTCCTTATAATGCGTCTAGGAGTCAAATGTACCATCACATTCTTAGAAGAAGGAAAGCCCTGCTACATGTTTTACAGGCGCGGACGATGTTAAGAAATACCAAACTTCGTCGGAAAGCAAAATACCGCTGTAATGTACTCTTCACAAAACTTTCTCTTTACTCACATGCTCTTAGCTGTGTGTTTCGATCAAATCCTCCAGCTAGAGGACCCTTGAGAAAGTTCGTCATCAGAGCTTTCATGGTATCCACGGAACACGCCTTCCACGCTTGGAAATGCTTTGTCATCTTTCTTATCCGTGAGACTTTTCGCAGAGACACTACCACACAAGCATGAACAGGACGTTGCTGCTTCCGGAATCAATATGCGGCGCATGCGATTCGTATCATCCAAATCAGCCAGATCCCAGGGCGGTACCTGTCTAGTGGCTGCCTTCTGTACAGCAGGCATGCCTCGCAAAGTTGTTGATGCTTTGGGTATTACGAACTCTGCATTGCTCTCGTAGTAACCAAGTTCACGATCAGCTACTAGGTCTGGCGCAAACTGCACCTTCCGCTTATCAACCTTACGTCTTACGTTAGCAGACCTTGCTCCCACAATCCCATCGCGAGCACTAGAGCACTTTTCCATTCGCCTCTGCAACGCCTCCGAGTGCTGGAGCTCTACCCACCATGCAGGCTGCGCCTCCTCTATGGGTGGCTCCTGGAAACATTCACACAATACATGGCGTGTGTGGACGGCTGAAAGCTATTCATGAGCATCTTAGCGCCTAATGGATATTATTGATGCTCTCACTATGCATTGTACGTTGACAAGGAGTGGTGTCTTACCGTGCACACTCCAAACCATCTAACAATAGTAAGTGGGTCCATTTTATCAATCAAACATTCCCCCTTAAAAAGGGATGAATGCTGATGCTGAAGCTGGCAAATAAGCTCATCATGACAAAACTGGGGATTATTCACGCCCTTGAAGATCACGATTCATTGGCCCTATCGCTGCTGCACAACAGCACCATATCCCCTTGAAGAGCACCTGAGGTGCAAAAACGAAGAATAGTAGAAATACTCCTTGCAAGAAGTATGGCACAGCTTTTACTTTTAGTTGCCCCCAGCAATAGCCATGGTGCTGCTTCTATAATGCGTTATGGCAATGCGCTCTCTAATGGATGCGTTATAGTTGTCTACCAGATTCATGTAGTTCACGAAATACCCATTGCCTTCCTGTGAGTAAATCGTCCTTACACCTTTAGAACAGCTTTAATCCTCCACAGAGCCTTCAGTGTGGAATACATCAGGTTATTTCCGTCTTCTCACTCAATGCTCCTGTGATCAATGGACATGTTTGGGCGTGCGCAACGCACTGTTGAGTGTTTTTACTGATGCTGCACCCGTCACGCGCATTGGCTTCGTTAGGTTCCTTCCTGTTCGGAATTGACAGAGAAACAGATTTTACATAGTCCGGCCACGAGGGTTGCCACAAAATGAAGCGCAAAAGCCGCACGGATGCGGTAGCTGGGCGCTTGATATGGCCGGTGTCCACTGCCTGCTCCGTAATTTCAATTACCTGATCATACAGCGTTCTATATCCATCGACTATATTAACTTAATTCTAAAATGAATGACGCAAACCCGAAAACGCTGACTAGGTTGCAGCTGCTGGCCCCTCCTAATCGGCTCGCGAGTCGTGGGGCCCTTCGTATCGTGAACCGGGCCAGCAGAAAAAAGTAGGTCAAACTTCAAGTACCTGCACTTTGCACTTCAATTATGTATGATTATTTTGTTTGCTGAGTGGTTCTTTGTGCGGCACGGAGTCACGCTTTCTTTTTCGTGATACAACAATGGAAAGCCTGAAGCAACACGCGCAACACATTACCCAAGCAAGCCATCACCAGGCTGCAATAATGTAGCTCTGTCTTGCTATGAGGATGGGGCGCTGTTAGTTTATCAATCTTAAAGACACCAAAAACGCAGTGTGCTGCATGAGAGCGCACAGCTATCGGCCGGCAATCCCTACCGCACTACTTCTTTTGTGCTTTAAAATTAGTGAATAAATGATACTTTGGGTGGGCCGTTTGTATATCATCTATGTTCCTACTAGGAATTTGCTCAATACGAAAAGCATTACAGTTTTGTGCTAGTGCGCCTTTTGCAATGGGCACGTAGCTGTGAGTGCTCGGAGTGCATCGAGGTTGCGCCAACATGCTCCCTATCATTCCCTCTTCTTTGAAGCTGGAGCCCAGAGACGTTTAGGCCGAGGGTAGTTTATAGGGGTTTGGGGAAGTGCTCGTATTTTTCAAGGTTTTGAGCTGGGTTTGTTGTTGACTGCCGTGAGTTATTCTCTGCAATCATGACTTCAACTGAAAGCCCCATAGTTAACTGTACTTTTGTCTCCTTTTGCTCGTCTCTATCACTGCACAAGAGGCCCCGTGTGAGCCTCCAAGAAATTCGATTCCAGCATCAAGCTGAATGGGCCGCGGAAGCTAATCGTCAATATAAAGCAACATACTGAATCTTGTTCTGCTTTTTAGGGGCAATTAGGGCGTACGCTGTGGCTCTAGATATTATGATATCAAGTTGTGCTTGTTCGTATGTAAACAAACTATTTCATTCTCCAGCATAGGCAGTGTAAGATATCCTGTGACGCTGCACCGAAAGTCTCTATGAGGAGACACTTTACTCCAGACTCCTTCAAACCTGGTAGATAATTATTTAGTTCTGCTTAAATTAGCTACCCCCTTTTCCGTGCAATGTGCGCTCCAGAGTTCCTGACAGTAGGAAAGTGGGCCAGCTAAGGTGCGCGTATCTGCATTTTCTAAGCAATCCTAGCATTCAAAACTGATTAGACCTAGCATCTGTCGAACACGCACACTACAGTACGTATCTTTTGATCGAGGAAAAAATGCTCCTCATCAAGTCAGAAGTACGAGCACACCAACCATGCCAAAAAGTATCTTAGTGTGTTATGTGTTACACTGGGAATGACTGGGGGATGCAGCGTTGTTTCTAAGAAAAAGTTGGAAGCTTGATATTGTTTTAGGGGCCGCCTGTTTCCCAGTCACGTTCCCTATGGAGCGCTGTACGGGAACATGTTGCAGTGCATGAGCACCAAAGCTATACAGTCAGCTAGTGTGCACCTCACATTCACCGTATCCATTGTGAATCACAAGTAGTGCTTTATCGAGTCACATACGGTGGACACCAGTGTTCTAATTTGATACCGTATGCGTAGCTTGCTGGGCTCCTTGGAACCTCTAAGAAGCGTGCGCAAGATCAGGAGAAAAGAACCCCATTTATGCAGCAAATCTCTACACAAATAAGCTTTGGCCCGCTGCTCAGACTGCATAATTACATGAAAGACCGAAGGGTATGTAGAAAGTTTTTGTTCTGCAAACTACTGCAGTATTTTTAGCTGCGCAGCACATCAATAGTTCTGCATGCCAAAATAAAAATCACCATTTGAATAAAGGGTGAAGAACAGGGGAGTATTTAGTTAGTAATTAGCAGCACGCAATAGCATTCCTATGCATGTGCAGTTCTCGCAGGACAGTTTGCAGAAAACAGACAAAAAATGAGCGTTGGTTACCAAATATTCCATACAGTTTATAAAAGAACCAACCGAATGGAGTCCGCTTTAACTTTATTTGAGCGCTATATATTTTGTTGGACACATTCCGTCAGAGCATGCAAGACGGCGGCCAGCTTGAGCTTGGGGCTGCGACAGCTGGATGTGCTGGAGCTACATGCATTGTTGCAACAAAATGTGGCCCATGCTGTGTATATAATTAGCCTAGCGCGCTGCTATCCCTATTGTCTGGTTTCTTTCTTGGCAAATCAAAGTTTCGTACAGAACAGTGTGACTGCAAGTCTGGCTATGTTGTCTTGCCGTCGGCTCGACCATTTTATGGAAACTACCAAAAAGAACATACTATTCCTAAAATAGATTTGAGCGTGTCTACACCAGGCCGCATTAGAACAGCGGTTATTGGCGGTCCTGTCTCTTCGGTATGCGTATGACAGCAATGGTGGGGCACATTTTCACACCGAGTTTTTAGGCATAAGTCTAAGCATTCGAATAAAAGGGCAACAGACAGCCTAAGCCCGCTTCAGCTTAGCAGTACCCCTCCATTTGCAGTAACGCCACACTTTTCCGCAAGTAGCCGATTAATCCAGTGGAGAGCGAAGCCTTGCAGTTTGCCATACTCGACCGCGAGAGTGTTACCTAGCTGGGATGTTAGAATGCACAGGGCCACAACTTCAAGTACAACTACAGCAGATATATCCTTATTGACTAACTACAGGCTTCTCAAACTGACACAATGCTAGTTTGATTGACCGAGACCACATGCCAAGAACACCCGATATCTTCTTGTGCCGTATGCCATGATACGTATGCAGCCGCGTGGGTGTGCGTGGTACCGCTTAACAGCTGAAGGAACACCAACTCCTCGATGGGGTCATTCAATGACCACTTGTGGCAATTGCTTCGTTCTTTACGGGGGAGTTGGGCCCGCGGAATCGGAGAATGGATGCTCCCCCCCGAAGGATGATATATATATGCTTACGCTAACCTCTGAAGCCCCTTATCCACGTCAGAGCCTCTCCTGAGCAATGAGTACCTAGTTAAAAGCCAAAAGATGTTCTGTTATTCCTATCACAGGCAGCCTACAGATCTAAGCACACAAAGTCAAAATCACAACGTGCCAGCGCGTATACGTTTTACGGCGGAACCAATATGCACATTCGGAGAGGATACAAATAGATACTAGTTCCACCTAAGAGCAATGTTGTTTCCTGCTGCCTGTTCTTTTAGCTAGGCCATCATGGTGTAAAATGCAGCCGAGAGGGGCTGTGCAACCGCGTGGCCGGTGCTTCCACTCTGCTACAGCGATCGGCGTCACTCGAATTTTGATTTGGGGAGGTTGCATTAATTACAATCCATTTCTCTGCACCAGTGAAGCCTGGTTTCTGGACATCAGTGAGTTTCAGGGCAGTCCCCCGAGGAGCAAACGAGCTTCGCACATTTCACAAATGTAAGAACCGAAAGCGCGAGTTAGTATGTAATCGTACATCATTCAAGTCACCTTCGAGGCACAGCTTGTACTACTTTCTTTTCTGTGCAGAAAACTGGACTTTCACGGCGATCCAGCCTACGTTCAACGGGAAAGCCACGGAAGTTCCAAAGGCACGCTAATTATTGCCCCGCCTCGAAATTCGTTGATATATTGGCGTGGATCAACTCACACGACTTAAGATGCTCCTAGATGAAGTAGCACCTTGCAAACTAATATATAAAACAATAATTTGGTGGTTCACCGATGAACGTGCACCCTTGTTTGTCTAGCGCGTTTCCTCAGGGCGATCCACCTGATACAAATCACACGTAAGTGAAGAAAGTATGATCAACTACTTGCACAGTTGTCCTCAGATATTAAGGAGCCATTGCTATCACAGCATCAATCCGAAATTATTGGTGTAAATGCAGAATTTGAAAAGTGTGACTCCCATTGAGAATCAGTGCGGCCGTTCTGCACGAATTTTACGAAAAAGAAGGCGTTGAATGTACAACATAACGAATTAGGGTCTGTGATGTGTGTCTTAGGGCCTGGGACAGCCAGCAAACCACGTGAGCCTTTATCTGAGATATGCCAGACTACTGTACCACACCGAGTGCCTCCTCTGATTTTACTTTATTTCGTACTGTGCCTGAGTGATGACAGGGATGCAGCAATTGCCGCAATCGTTGGAGCGCTTGATAAGGTAAACAACACATATTTACGGTCGCTTTATTTATATTTTGCACGTAGCCATCTAGACTCGGAGCAACTAAATAGGCAGTGGTTAGTCGTTGAGGGCTCAACTGATTAGTACGAAGTTCTGACCAAAGACCTTTTTGGATACATACGAGAGGTGGCCTTGGCTCGTGGTTTTCAATAACTGTGTCAGGGGGAGCGCGCAAGTTTTCACTTTGCTCTACAACAGCTACTCAGTCTCGAACAGGCTGAGAAGAGACCTGAGGGTAATGAAACGGAAACTGTAAAATAGACTGCGAAGCTCGTGGTCTCATTCGCGTAGATACGTCATTTTGTGTGGTATAAGACATGCCAAAGGTAAAAAGAAGAACAAGAACAACTGAGAGTTTGTGTATTATAAGCCCTGTGAGACACGGCACATGAGATGCTCTGGAGTTTGTGACAGCTTACGCAGGCCCACAAGAAGTACCTCTTGGGCGATACGGCCACACTGCATGCCTATGGAGCTCTTCCCCATCCCCAGAAGACACTGATTTCCCAAATGATGAAAATTCATCAACTCACGGGGCACAATTGATTATCTTTGGGGGATGTGGTGGGACAAAATATGAAAGAACTGCGCTGGCTGATGTGTGGTCCTTGGACTGCGAGACCTGGGCATGGCAGCAGCACATATACACAGGAACAGCGCCTGCTCCGCGGTAGGACTCCATAAGTGCTTAGTTGCTTGTACCAGATAATGGCTCTTCTCGAGAGTGCGAGGTCTCAAGCGGTGGAGCACATACTTCCCACGGCCTTCCTAATATCACAATTTTGCTATTTCGCAGGCAAGGGCATTCTGCAGTAGTAAAAGGCAACAAAATGTTTGTCTTTGGTGGTGAGGCCTTCAGCTCTGCTGTAATATAAGAGAGTATGGCATTTGCAGTGTTTTCAAGAAAAACGGCTCATTTAGAACGTATCACAAGCACCATACACGTTTGTGTACAGGCTGGAGTAGTGAAGGCAATTACAACGATCTTTTTGCGTATGATTTGCGAAGCCGTGACTGGTCTGTCTACGCAGAGAGCTTCGCTACATTTGTTCTCTACAGCCCATAGAAATAAAAGGAATATGTATCCGTGATACTGCAATCCTACCCATAAAGCCTGCTGGTTTACCTATTTGGGCTTTCGGGCAAAGACTTAGTGCAGAATTAACTGGCATAAGTACAACAGTAGATACATTTCTGCGTTTGAGCCAAAGTTTATGAGGACACACTGGAGAAAACCCTCCTTGTGCATTTGCCAATGCAGGTGTGAAATCGACGCTCCTTGGCCCGGTGGGGGTGCGCGCTGGAACATGTGTGGGTTGCTTGTTCATGCACGACCCAGCACAAAATTCTTTGTTTTTGGAGGCGCATCTGGCGAGACTTCAGAGCAGCCAAGGAGATTCCAGACAGGACTGTGCTCGGACATTGGTGTTTTGACTCTCGGAGAGCAGCTCAATTGGGACGTTGTGTCTACTATCTCTGCCGCAACAGCGGCTGCAGAGCACCGTGAAACCTTGGAAAAATCAGGAACCCTCAAGCGCAGAACGCATGGCAGCATTGAAAGTGCTGCACTTCAGGTTGCAGCACAGGCTGCCGACCTTCCTTCGCCACGAGAGGGTGCAACGATGGCATACTTTGCTGAGGACTCAACGCTGTTAATATTTGGTGGCTGGTGAGCTGCTGCAGGAAATGAACGCATGCGTGGGCATTGAAAGTTTTCTACATGTTGGCTTCAATACACTGTTTTCCGCCGGTGAGTTTTGACTGTTTCAATCAGGAGTGGAAAGTGGCTTGGCGATCTGTGGGCATGTTGCGTCTCCTCCGTCGTTGGGCCTCCATACGCAGTCCTAAGCGTATCTCCACCTTACGGCCCAGTTACAGGAGCAACTAAGATTAGTCTCAAAGGAGCAGGGTTTTCTCCAGGGGCCATATGTGTTCGCTTTTCTTGTAGCAACTTCTTTTTGGATGTTCCCGGTACCTTTGTGTCTTCAACAGAAATTCAGGCCGTAACGCCGAATGTTAAAACTACCTTTGGTGGGTTAGGCCACGCTCACCAGTTTTACAGCGGTATAACTTGCCTTTGCACCTCACCTATATATCAGGGTGACTGCAGAGCCTCTCAAAGGACTGTATGCCTCTTCCAGTCCACCGGGTTATTCATCCATATTCCTGCTAGGGCAGCTCGCACGCTCGCCAAAGCAACTTATGAAAAGCCCTAATGCTCTCTTGGTTGAAACCTAGAGCACTTGCGATTTTCTCAGGGTTACGTGGATAATGCAAAAGATTTTTAATGACCTTTTCCTGTTTTTCAGGCCCGCGCACATGCGAGATTCGCGTGAAGATTGGCGGGAAAGACTTGACTTCTTCTTTATGTTCGTTTCAGTTCTTTGCGAATTCTTGTGCATCGTGTTGCCTTGCCGTGGGGCCTGGGCTCCTAAATGACGGAATTCCTGGTGTACCGACATCATTCTTCATCGAAGCCAGGAATGCACAAAATGAGAAGAGAACTACAGGAGGCGACAAATTTATAGTAAAGGCGCTTGTTCTTCCAGAGGCAAGCTAGACCATCTTTAGACCTTCTGGGAGCCGGTACCAAAGCATCACAACTGTTACAACAGATTCAACGCAAAATTCTATGTAATCAATCATGCTTGTTAACATGGCTGCTTGTGGGAGTGCTCAGCAGCCGTCGAGTCTCCAACAGGCTAGTGATGAGCCAACAATAACTGACGCCCCTTCAGAAATTCCCTTACAGCTCCCCGTATGCGTAGACGACTACGAAAATGGCACGTATCTGGCTACTTATACTGCGCCTTTCCCGGGGAGGGTTTCTGTACAAATTCTTCTTGATTCACAAGATGGAACGCCAGTCCAGGACATTCGAGGATCACCATTTTTGGCCACATTCGTAGAAAAGCCACGGCCCAGAGCAAACGAGTTCTCTGGGCCTACAGTTGCTGCGTTTGTTGCGAATGCCATGAGCCTTCTTGAGAAATTCTGCCTGCGCACGGAAGCAGGACTCCAGGCAAGCAGCATGGAAATCCTTGCGTAGGGGAGGCATGAGCACTTAATACCTTGCATAAAGCCTTCCTATTTTACTAGGCTTAACCCCTTGAGAACTATTGCAAACTGGTCTTAGCCGCTACACGTGCTCAGTGTCGCAGCTTTGATTTGAGAGTTTTCAGGTACTCGTGAAACCTGGTGACCGTCGCAGTCTATTAGAGTCCAGACAGCATATTAAAAATGTTGAAATTTTCCAGAGTGAACATGACTTATATCTCGAAGTGCTCCACGTTGCTTTGGAAAAGTTACACGAGTTCGGTGCCAGCGTCGATTCGAGCAATAGGGCCCTAAGGAAAATACGCGAAAGACGAACTGCCTTGGAGTAGGTCAGCTGTACAGTGCGAATTCGATTCCACTTTCTGCATATAGCCTGTTAAGCCTCGCTGACTTACCATGCTGTGGTAGTCTAGGGGCCATCCTAACCTATTTTACCGTTTTACTATTTTTCATGGTGACAAAGATCCATTGCCGTTGATGTGCACAGGGCTTTAGCCCAGAACCGGAGGCAAGAACTGGCAGGGTTATTTGAAGAAGAAGCGGCTAAGACACGCAGAGCTATACAGGAACTAAACACATACGTGTGCTCCTTACAAGAGACACTGGCTGAGGAACGCTTCTACTCTTTCCAAACGCCGCCAGCGGAAGCAAGAAGTAGAATCAAAGAAATTATGGAGCGGACTGGTGAAATGGTCCGAACGCTGGAGGTAACCTTACAGAGCACAGCAGACACTCTGGGCCGACACCCTTCACGCAAATTCCATGCATACTAATGATGCCAATGATATATCCATAGAAAATTACTCACGCAATAAAATTTTTCTGGCAGATCTTCATAAACCTTACACAAAAAATCCTATGCATTGCGAGCTGGCTGCAGGCATTGCAAGCCCCTGCATCTTCATTTGACTTTCCTGAGTTGCTCAATGAATCAAGAGAGAAACTTGTTTCCATGGAGACAGAGCTACAAAATGTAACGCAGTTTTGGAACGTTGCAGAGTCCATGCTTCAGCAGATTGAAGGCTTCCGAGAACTTCGTTGGCAAGACGTTGATGGGGTTCAAATTGAGATAGCTATTAAAGCAATGCAAACGAACTTGCGCAAGAATGTAAAGGTCAGACCGTGAAATTTGCACCCGGTAAAGCACTATCGCCCGACCAAGGCAGATTTTCTGCTGAAGGGATATGGTGCTGCATACATTTACGAGTAATGAGTAAGTTGAAGCGCTGCGTAGCAAAATAAAAACCTTTGGAGATTTGTGCTTGCATGCTGTAGGTAGATAAAAAGAGCGACGCATACGTAGGGCTAGCGGCTGCCCTCAAAACTTGGGCTCAGATTGCACCCCTAATTACCGAGTTGCGTGGAGCCTACATGCGTGACCGTCATTGGAATGAGCTTCTTGAGCTTGCACGGAAATCTCTTCAAATATCTGCTGACACGCGGCTCGGCGAGATAGAAGGCTTGAATCTCCTTGCTTTGCAAGCGAGTGTTGAAGAGGTCTCTGACAAGGTGCGACACAAAATGCGACGAATGGTGTCAGCTTCAGTACCAGAGGGATGATCTCTTCCACAGATCCCACAACAGCGCAATTTCCCTAGAGTAGATATTCTGTGATTAACACGGATAGCCAAAACCACGTGATTTGCTAATGGTATCCGTGGAGTACTCGTCCAGCTGTAAAAAGAGCACGTGCTGCTCAGGCAAAGCAAGAGGAGGCAATCGAAAAGAACTTGACCCTCCTTGCAAATACTTGGGAAAGTGCCTTGTTCGTACTCACGCCGGCTAGGCAGTCTAATGTTAGCCTACTCTCCCTTTCGGAGGAGTGCAGCGAAATGCTCGAGGAGCACCAGATGCTGGTTCAAAACATGATTGCCTCGAAGTGCGCATTGGCTTTACAGCATAGGCCTACTCGATCCGGGAGCTATACCGCTGATTAAATATCATCTCGTAGTCTAGAATAAAGGCTATGTCATTTATTGTCTCAATACCTGTTGGGGTTTAAGTTTTGAGCCTAAGGGAGCTTGATAATAAGCACATAGTATATGCTTCCCTTATACGTGCACGCTGACGCTATGCAAATGTTGGGCCGGACTTTAATCAAACAACTCCGATTGCTAGTTGGCGCTGCGAGTTCCTTGCCACATTTGTATGTATGATGCCCAGATTCTTCGCAACTTTTGAGACTGAAGTGATACATTGGCAGAAGGTTCTTGCCACGGTCGGGGAGGTTACTCAACTAATGCGTGAGGTGCAAAGGTCTTGGACCTTTCTGGAAAACCTGTTTCTTCACTCTGAAGAAGTAAAACGGGAACTTCCGGAGGAAGCCAAACGTTTTGTCGCGCTGGACCTTAGCATGAAGCAGGTGTTACGGGAAGGAGCAGACAATTCAAAGGTTAAAGATTTCTGCGTCACGCCCGAAATTGCGAATCAGCTTGATGAACTCCAGAAACAGCTTTCGATGTGCGAGAAAGCCCTAAACGAATTCATGGACTCGAAACGGAAAACATTTCCGCGCTTCTTCTTCGTCTCGTCAGTTGATCTGCTGGATATTCTTTCCCACGGAAATGACCCTCCAGCCGTCATGGTGCATATGCCGAAGATTTTCCAAGCGATTCAGCAGTTCAACTGGAGGAACGCTCTACCGTCTGACAAGGATCAAGGTAGACCTGTTGCTATAGGAATTACCTCATGTGTTGGCAGTGAACAGCTTGCACTTCCTCAAGAAATGGCGTTCAGAGGAAAAGTCAGTCACACGGTTTCCGCATTCTGTTGTAGATAAGATATACCATGCACAACAGGCCTCTGCCTGGAGTCAGTACGATAGAATTGAGCTTGAGTGGTGCTCTACAGGTCGAGTGCTACCTGGACGACTGCATATCTATGATGCACTCAACAGTCCGCCACTATCTAAAGAAATCATTTGCTGCGCGTTTGACAGCCTCATCAAAAGTTGATTGGCTAGTATCAGATCCAGCAGCCCAAGCAACGCTTTTGGTGAACACAGCCACTTGGGTTGCCCACATAGAAGATGCCTTTGCAAGCATGCAGGAGGTGAGGCACTCCATTAGAACTCCATCATCCTGAATTTATGCGTTGATCGTTCCAGACTCCTTTTTCTGCAGCCGTTAAGTGTATCCATCAGCCCTCTCTCATGGCTCCTTGCAAGGGGCATTGTGAGAGACATTTAAACTCAGAATCCTGGTTCACTGGAAGCGTGCATGGAGCGGCACGTCAGTGAGCTCCGTTCCTCAATTACACTAGTTCAAGGCACGTTAACTCCTGCTATTCGGCAAAAGCTAATGTGCGTAATCACAATCGACACCCACGGCCGCGATGTAATCCAACGACTCCTGGCTGAGAAAGCCAGTTCGGTTGACTGCTTTCAGTGGCAGTCGCAGCTAAAGTATTTCTGGGATGCAGAAAACGTAAGACGCAAACGTTGAAGTATTATGACGGGGTTCAGCTTAATCTCCTGTAACCAACAATAGCTATTCTCGTTATAATGTGGTAAAATAGGGTCCGTTATTGAATATGATTGAATATTCATCATTGTTTAGACTCGGCGGAAAGTGGCTGTTTTCCCTTTTTCCGGATCGCTAATCATTTCCGCAGCAAGAGGTAGTTGTCCGAATCACCGATGCGTCATTTGGCTACGGTTATGAATACCTTGGGAATGGGCCTCGCCTGGTGGTTACTCCTTTGACCGATCGGATTTACGTGACAGCAACTCAGGCGTTGCACCTTGCTATGGGCTGTGCACCAGCTGGCCCTGCGGGTACTGGCAAAACTGAAACTACTAAAGATCTTGCGTCTGCCCTTGGCAAGGCATGCTATGTTTTCAACTGCTCGGATCAAATGGACTATCAGTCCATGGCAAATATTTTCAAGGTAAATTCCTAACAAGGACTTTAGGGTGGGCTCAAGTCGTATCCAACCGTGGGATCTACGCACGGCCAAGTTGAACCAATACTACTTCCCGAAATCTGCTGCCGCAAAAAATCCTTGGTGCTCCGCGGGCCGTCGTTTATTTCGCAGGGACTTGCGGCCTCCGGTTCTTGGGGTTGCTTTGACGAGTTTAATCGACTTGTTCCCGCAGTGCTAAGCGTTTGTTCAGTGCAGTTTAAAGCTGTACTTGACGCCATAAAGGCACACGCTAAGACGTTCTTCATTCAAGGGGACGAAATTGCACTCGACCCTACTTGTGGAGTGTTCATTACTGTAGGCGGCCAGTTGTGACCTGTTTTCACCACTGCTACTCTCTCTCAGAAGCGTTTTCCAGATAGCCAAAACCACTGATATTCCTGTATCTTTACAACTAACCTGCGACTTGTGGCTTTTGCCCTGCTACAGATGAACCCAGGATACTTAGGTCGATCTGAGCTTCCTGAGGGCCTCAAAACTTTGTTCAGGCCAATTACAGTCGTCGTTCCCGACCTAGAATTAATTTGCGAGAACATGCTGATGGCTGAAGGCTTCGTCGAAGCAAAAGAACTGGCTCGTAAATTCACTCGGCTGTATGCTTTGTGCAAAGATTTGCTCTCCAGTGCACCGCACTATGACTGGGGCCTGCGCGCTACCAAGTCTGTATTGGTGGTAGCGGGAACGTTCAAAAGGCAATGGCCTGACCTCTCCGAGCAGGCGATCCTCATGAAGGCACTGCGGGATTCAAACCTGGCCAAAATAGTGGCAGACGATGCCAAAGTGTTTCAAGGTATTGTTCGTCCACCACTAAGATCAACAGGCTTGTGTCGAATTCCGCGAATGATGGATTTTGCACAATGAGGTGTAACTATATAAAAGAAAGTCTCGAGTGCGCGCGTGGACTTGACTTTCGCCCATAGGCCTTTTGAGTGATTTGTTTCCTGGAGTTGAGCCACCCCCCCAGACTGACGAAGCTTTTTCTGAAGCGGTGGTACGAATCTGCAATGAGATGGGCCTAACAGTTAACGACAGTCTCTCCTTAAAAACTCTCCAGATGAGAGACTTGCTGGCTATTCGCATGTGCGTCTTCGTCATGGGGCGACCGGCGTCTGGGAAAAGCACAGTATGGAAAGTCCTAGCAAAAGCTCAAGATGCTCTTGGAAGCAAGACCACTATAGTTGACATCAATCCGAAGTCTGTAACTACCGACGAGCTTTATGGGTCAGACAGAACACAGTCCTGTAGATCCATGGGTCGACTATACATATCGACTGCGCATTTACATCCTCCAACTGCCAGAGCTCTAGCGCGATTCCGGAGTTAGGCTGCAGCATTGTAGTACTCATACAGCGTGCAATGCTGTGGGGATCCTCAAAAGATACTGCACTTGTGGTTACAGTATGAAGGATCAGTGCAGCGCACTAAACTGTAAGGGAATGCTTTAAGCAAGCACATAACACCACTCAGAACATGTTTCGCTCTCTGTACAGCTATGTAAAGATGTCAACCCGTGAATGGCAAGATGGGATACTGTCAAAGACTATGCGATCGCTAGGGCAAGTTGGCGATACAATGCCAAAGTGGATCGTCTTGGACGGTGATCTGGATGCGAACTGGATTGAGTCAATGAACTCTGTGATGGACGATAATCGCATACTAACACTCGCATCAAATGAACGCATTCCACTCAAACCACATATGCGCATGATTTTCGAGATTCGAGACCTCAACTATGCGTCACCGGCCACTGTTTCCAGAGCAGGGATCATTTTCGTTAGCGACACGGCTGGTATGCAAGGAGTTCAGCATATGTGGAGCCCTATATATCTGTAGTAGGGATCCAAAATAGTGTGCGTGATACGACACTGTCACCGTACTGGTGAGTACAGAACGCTTTAGTCTTACTTTTTTCCAAATATCTTTGTAGGGGAACAGTGGAGAAGCTACGCTCGCAGCTGGCTTCAACGTCAGTCCTGGTCGGATTCAACCAAGGGGATTATAGGGAAGCTCTTTGAGAAATATTGTCCAGACACGCTTGACTTTATTGAACGCCAGTGCAAGCTCAGCGTCCAAGTTTACAGTTTGCAAATTGTAGCTGCATTATGCAACATGGTGGGCTTTCAAAGTTTCCATTTGTTCATTTCTGCGGCCAGCAACACGGCAAAGGTCAAAGCTTGACATAGTCCGATTCTTCCTCACGCATGAGTACATGTGTTATGTAACTGCTTTCAGCTAGAGGGTCTCTACCCCGAGGAACCGCAAGCTCCCGAATTCGCCTTTGTATTTTGCCTTGTTTGGGCGGCTGGAGGCAGTCTCCAAGAAAAAGACGGAATTGACTATCGTAGACAGTTTAGCAACTGGTGGCGCTCAGAGTGGAAAGTCATTAAGTTCCCAAGCAAGGGAACAATCTTCGAATATTTTGTCGATGCTGTCAGTTGCTTTGCTTACAGCACGAGGCATAAGTGACCCTTTTGTTGGAGTGTGACTGACTAAAATACACGTAACCGTTCCATTTTGATAGGCTCTAAATAGTGCCAGTGTACTGAATACTGCCCTACTTGCAGCTGCCTTAAACATTTCGACTGGGTGGGTAATTTGCCAGAAACAAATATGACGGGCTAATGAACGGTCGTGGCGCTCTCTCAGGCGAAGTTTGAAAGCTGGGAGTCACAGGTTCCCTGCTTTGACTTCCAGGGAACTCAGGGAATCGACAACATATCTGTTCCAACTGCAGAAACTGTATCAATGCTACACTTCTGCAAGACCATACTTAAGCTTCACGCTCCAGTCATGTGCATTGGCTCCTCTGGTTGCGGCAAGACCCAGTTGTGCAAAGCAGCTTTAGCTTCTCTGAGTCCTCAAAGCTACTCAGCATTTACGGTCAATTTCAACTTCTACACGGACTCAGCACTTTTGCAGACACTGCTCGAACAACCTCTGGAAAAGAAAGCCGGCAGGCAATTTGGACCCCCCGGAAAGTAAGCGCCAAGGTTTTTGTGCTGCGTTTGCTGTGCATCTTTGCACAACAACGATTCACTGTGGAACGGTACCATGAAGAATAGCATGCTAACCAAATACGTGTGTTGTTGGCAGGGTGCACCTGGTGTACTTCCTTGACGACTTAAACATGCCTCAACTCGACCCATACAACACGCAGAGTGCTATAGCCCTCTTGAGGCAACATTTGGATTATCAGCATTGGCTTGATAGAAACAAGATGCAGATAAAAGATATTGGAAACACACAAGTTTTGGCAGCGATGAATCCCACCGTAGGGTCCTTTGTCGTGAATCCCCGCCTCAGTCGTCATTTCTGGGTGTTAAACGTACCCATGCCTGAATTAACATCTATATTCACAGTCTATGCCTCGATTCTCAACGGGTCGTTTGGTGCTCGGAACTTCCGGAAGGCAGTGAAGGAGCAAATAATGTCTTTGATAAAGGCAACCATGAGCATTCATAGCGAGGTAAGCTCAAGATTCCTCTCGTGCATATAGGCGTTAATAGGATAAAATCGCACGCGCGTTTTAGAAACCTCGCTTGTTTTCCGATAGGTATCTGTTCTATTAACTTTAAGCGGAATAGACTTTATCTATCACTGGCGCTCAGGTAGTACAAAGTTTCCGCAAAACCGCGGTCAACTTTCACTATGAATTCAACCTACGCCACTTGACAAATGTCTTCCAGGGAATCTTGTCTGCTTCACCGCAGAATATGCAGGTGACCGTCACACTTGTCTTTACAGAATTATCTCTCAGTAGAGCTCAATAGTAGTCGCCTCCTGGTCCTGACTCACTTTACTGCCTTAACATAAAAGCTCCTATCAAGAAAACATGGAAAATCGCCCAACCTTAAGCACATAAATGCTTCTAAGAAACAAATGGGTACAATTAGGTTTCATGTTCTCTGAACCACCAGAATTTTATATTGAGTTGGTAAACCGTCACGCTTAGGCACCTTAAACATCTCTGTGAGCCTGAAAAATAGCCCTGGAGCAATTATGTACCGCTGATGACTGATAGGACCCTGAAAAATTGGTACTGCTATGGCTTCATGAATGTGAGCGGACCTTTTCCGACCGACTAGTAAGCCAAGAGGACGCTTTGAGATACAGAGCAATTGCGGCTGAGTGCACAAAGAGGACATTTGGGAAGCTCAACCTGGGAAAGTTTGTGCAAGCGAAAAATCCGGAACCACTTATTTTTGCTCATTTTGGAAAAGAGGGAACAGGAGGTCAATCATCATACACTCGTAATGCCGAAAAACTCTCCTTCAGATGCATGTTCGGTAGAGACTGGGCAAGTACCAGTCATCGGATTAATCTTGTTTTCTATAAGTCAACCTTCCCTAGAGCATCATCAGAATTCTGCTCCTAAAGCATATGATTTTTCAGCATATGACCGGATTGCAACGATGGACGAACTTGCGACGGTCCTCCGAGGAGCACTGAACGATTACAACGAGATAAATCCGGCAATGGATCTAGTGTTGTTCGATGATGCTATGCATCATGTCTGTAGGATATCTAGAGTCATCAACAACAGATCAGGTCATGCTCTTGTTGTTGGTGTCGGCGGCTCGGGGAAGCAGTCGTTAACCAGGCTGGCGTCCTTTATCAGCGGCTTTTCTACTCAGCAGCTGTGCATATCGTCTACATACGATGTTCGGGATCTCAAAACCGATATAAGGGTAGGTTCTAAAGTTGAAATAGCAACGGTATACACGGGTCCATAGAACCACCAGAGAAGCTCGCAGCTTAAGTCATATAACTGTAAGAAGTTTTCAGCCATATGTGCCAACTACCGAGCGGTTACTGAGGTTCCGCTTGTTTCGTGCATTCCATTGTCTATATGTGGGATTTTAAATACACGCCTTTACCCGGTGTTTGCACGTAAACCTCCAGTTGTGAGGCGTCACGAAGACCTATTGGGCGAAGCATAGTTTCTTTTCAACTAGGCAATGCGGCTTTTCTTCTCAGAGCATGTACTCCAGGGCAGCATTGAAGGATGAAGGAGTGGTGTTCCTACTGAGCGATGCACAAATCGCAAATGAGCGATTTTTAGTCTACGTCAACGATATACTTGCTTCAGGGGAAATTGCTGACTTGTATGAGGGAGATGATAAAGACCAATTAATTAATTCCATTCGGCCACTGGCAAAGGCTGCGGGAGTATCTGACACTCGAGAAGGTTGCTGGAGCTTTTTCATGGACAAAATTAAGCGTAATCTGCACATGGTATTGTGTATGTCACCAGTACACGATAACCTGAGGTAAGGGGCAGGTACTAGGCATTGGAAATATGCGCTCTAAATCACACTCAAATAAAACTTCCAACAGGCTCGCCATGAAGTCTCACAGAACATTCTAACATATCCGTCTGCGCGACTAATCTGGAAATCACATATCCATGCTTCTGTAAGGCTAGCACTGCGCTCTGACATAGGACTCGGGCCCGCAAGTTTCCTGCCCTCGTCAACTGTACCGTAATCGACTGGTTCCAGCCATGGCCATATGAGGCCTTACATTCAGTGGCAAGCAAATTTTGTGCGGAGTTGCCCATCGGTGATGGAGATCGTGCATCCGTTGTAGATTTCTTGCCTTACATGTTTTATGCCGTTAACGAAGCGGCAAAAACTTATCTGGAAGTAGACAGAAGGTAACGACAGAAATAGTCGCTCCCGCTAAATACCTCGTGCACCTATTTCGTAGCAACTATTGCTGTTCATAAGTCTAGGAATAAAGCAGTGACAACTCTTTGACGCTTTGCTGCTGCTGTTTGGTGCAAGATATGCGTACGTTACGCCAAAAACGTTTATAGAGGCCATGAAGCTCTACAAAGTCATGTTGCTCAAGCGCATATCATCTGTGGAAGAACACAGCGACCGCCTAAGTAGCGGTTTGTCAAAGCTAATGGATACCCAAGAAAAAGTGTCTGCCCTAGAGGACGACCTGAGAGAGAAGACAGTTACAGTGGAGGAAAAAAGGGCAGCAGCAGAAGAATTTGCACACAAGGTCGGAGAAGAAAAAACCAAGGTGACAGCGCAATCCGAAAACGCAAATATCGAGGCTCTCAAATGCGCCGAAATTCAGAAGTCTGTTTTGGAACAGCGGGTGAGGCAGGATTACACTTAGTGCAACCCGGTGTCTTGTCTAATGTCATCAATAATCTGATGCGAGAGCAACTGCCTGTAGTCCGGCATGTGTTCAAATGCGCTCCGCTTCACCATCTAAACTTTCCTTTTAGTTTCAAGCTTGATACTTTACTTCCACGGTGCTGTTGACAAATGCCGAACCAGGGACGTAGCGGAAAAGAATGGATAAAGAAAGGTAATTGCAAAAACACGATTGCTTTAGGAGACCGTTCGCCGTCACTTTTCAGGCATCGTGCGAGGCTGACTTGGAAAAAGCAATTCCCCTCGTGGAACAGGCAGAAGCTGCTTTAAATACACTAAACAAAAAGGATTTTCAAGAAGCCAAGGCTCTCAATAAACCGCCACCAGGGGTCGAAGATATCACCGCGGCAGTCATGCATTTGCTCGCGTCTGTTGACCCTATTATTGAGGTAGGGAGAGCAAAGACCACACGGATGAGGCGATGCCTTGCTCTGCAGATCGAACGCTTGACTAGGCGTTCACCCTTGTGACAATGGCTATTAAATTCACCGATTTAGCGAAAACGAATCTTTCATATATCTTGCAAGAAAAATCAAAACAGTTCTTTGGTCTCTGTAACTGCCTTCGCTGAAACTCTAGTCGCCACGCTCTTTTTAAGTACTCACTAACAGAGATACGCATCGTTGCAAATGCATCTGCAGGTAGATAAACAAGGCAAACTCAAAGATAAGAGCTGGAAGGGCGCACAAAAAATGATGAACAACCCCGAAAAGTTTTTGCAAACCCTCAAGGATTTCAAGGCACTTATTGATGAAGGTCACGTTCCCGAGCAGAACTTCAAGGCGGTTGAACCTCTGCTAGCCCTCCCACATTTTAACCGCGAGGCAATCCAAAAGAAAAGTACAGCAGCAGCAGGCCTGGCAGACTGGGTAGTTAACATATATCAGTATTACTCTGTTGTTGTTGCCGTGGAGCCGAAACGAAGAGCACTGGCAGAAGCTACGCATCAACTGGAGGAAGCCAATAGAAAGCTTGTTGAAGTGCAGGAACTTGTTGCAGAGCTTGAAGAAAAGGTAGTGTGACACAGTACCCTTGAGAGGGCCACACATCCAGCAGATTTATTTATTGAAACCTTTTAAAGACGGTAATCCCTTCATTGACGATTCTGAGGAATAATATGCCTATAGCAAATACGTCGTCGGGTTTGGCACCACTTATTTGGTTTTCTGGCTTCAGCTAGGAACTCTTGTTGCGGAATTCGATGCTGCGATAGCGGAGAAGAACGATGTAGAAGCCGAGGCCGAAAAGTGTCGCAGGAAGCTTGATCTTGCTCAACGTCTTATGCGCTCTTTGGGGTCAGAGGGCGCTCGATGGGGCCAAATGATTGATGACCTTAAGGAACAGGTTAGCCATGCGGCCTTGCACGGGTAGAAAAACCAAATTTGTGCAAGGGAGGAGCTTGCCTGCATGCGGGGCGTTACTTCTACTTTTCCTTACTCCCAGCTGTTGGTCTGGTGAAACGGAAAACTAATCTTCGTGGTAAAGCACTACTGGACGCATGTGCTCAGCGTCGATTAAGCGTTGGAGATACGCTCCTCTCCTCAGCATTCGTGGCTTATGCCGGAGTTTTTAGCAAGAAGTACCGAGATTGGTTACATCATGAAAAAGCAGTTCCTTTTTTACTTGACCGAGGAGTAGCTATCCAGCAGCCAACAGATGTGCTTGCACAGCTCACAGACAAAGCCGAAATGGCTCTGTAAGCTCAGTAAAATCTTTCCTAAGCTACACACAGTCAGAACTCGAGACGTACTTACACAACTTTTTGCGGACAGCGCTCCCTTCTACATTGCCCTAAAGCAGCTAAAGATGGGTGAAATCTGCTTCGGCGGAAGAGGCATGCCCACTAAATAGGTTCTCTCAACCAGCGGTGTGAGATCCATTACTGCAATTATGTCTCAGCTGGAGCAACCAAGGTCTTCCATCTGATGCAACATCTTTGGAGAACGGTGCGATAGCCTCTTGCACTGAACGGTGGCCACTGATGATCGATCCCCAGTTGCAGGGGAGGAACTGGATCCTGGAAAAAGAGAAGGTTCACAGACTTCAGGCAAGCGAAAACTGCACCGAATATTTGGTGTGACCGTATGCTGCCCAGACTATCAGAATGAGAAGCAGGCATATAATGGGGAGAGGCACTTGTGCTGCAGCGGCAAGCTGCACCAAAGCAACGACAGATTAATCTTTTGTAAAATCGTGATTGTTTTCCATATTTGAAAGATAGCCTGAACTGTAGGAATGCCAGAATCTGGCAAAGATTGCCTGCAGTATTCCAGCAATTATGTGCAAAACGCTCTCAGGTATTGCGTCTAAATACACCTCAGCTGGTAGCACTGGTGGAGCAAGCTATTCAGCAGGGCACCAGTGTGCTTATCGAGAATATAGAGCAGTCTATCGATCCTGTTCTGGCGCCTGTGGTCGGCCGAATGACTATCCGGAGGGGACGGTCACAATACCTAAAGCTAGGAGACAAGGAGCTTGCGTATAACCCCAGCTTCAGGCTTTTCCTGCAGACACGAATGTCTAACCCACACTATCCCCCAGAATTGCAGGCCGAGTGCACTCTCATCAACTTCACTGTCACCGAAAAGGTAATTTTACTTTCTGCGACTCGCTAAGCATCCCTGACCTCCATTGCTACTACCAGCGAAAATGACAGACAAAAAGTCTTTTTGCTCTGTGCGCAGAGCATCTTTCTTTGAGTCCGTACACGCTATAATTGCGAAACGTCCTAAGACTGCTGCATAGACTGGTGTGCGGCTGTGGTGTTTCGCGTCGAAGGGTCTGGAAGATCAGCTTCTCGATTTAACAATTCAGAAGGAACAGCCGAAACTGTTCCAGAGGCGACTTCAGCTTGTACAACAGCAGAACGAGTTTACCATTCTGCTCGCTGACCTTGAAAGTACCCTCCTGAAGGACATATCTTCTGCTGAAGTGGGGACACAGCACATTCCCAACAACACATATTGCCCACCCAAATCAGTAGAAGAAGCAAAGCCGCCCACCATGCCTTTCAAACTAGCAGAGCAATGTGCCAGCGATCTAAAAATGGCCGCATCAAGTGTGCTAGATTCTATTTCTGATCTACAACCGTTGGCTTTGACATGTATAGCGTTGAGGAATAGCTAGATAGCTTGGCCAAGAGACTTTGTGACAATCTCCAGATGCAGTCAGTTGTGGCGCGCGCTATGCACCTTCAGGGCGATGTGCTGGAAAATACGGAACTTATCCAAAACCTAGAAAAGACGAAGATGGTCACCACAGAAGTATCCGATAAAGTCGCTCTTGCAAAAGTGACCGAGGAAAAACTGAACACTCTTTCTGAGATGTATAGGCCTGTGGCCCGCAGAGGCGCGACTTTATTCTTCCTGCTGGCTCAGCTTTTCAAAATCCATAGCTTTTATTTGTTTTCTATGGAATCCTTCGTGGCGGTGGTCAACAGGGCTATTGACTCAATTTCAACGGTACGGGGTACTTGTAAAGCGCTTTGCACATCCAAATTTTCTGTCTCCCCTTTAAAGTTCTTTGTCCGAATGGTTTTCTGGGTCAAAGAGCGTCTGGCGCAGTCAGACGCATTCTTGCTTCTCTTCGCAGAGGTCTCACAACAGTGGAAACGAGGCAGCCTCTCAAGATGAATCAGACGGAGAAGGAACAGATCCACAGCGTGCTTCACACCACCATTTTCCAAGTGGGGAGGGTCCTCTGACTACAGGAACTAATATATCATCTTGTCACGACGTTTCAAAGGACAACTCTAGCAGGAGCGTAAGCTTACAAGATAGCCTAAAATGACACTGACAGACAGCACTATCACTGACCTCTAACAAGCTTGTTGATAGCTTTATACCCAACAATGAGCCAGGATATCATACCCATGCTTTGGAAAGAGCTTCCGAAGTACTTGTCGTTCACATGCTTCGAATGATGGCGTTACCCTGTTGGTTGGTGTGTGTGGATTGCAAATAAGGAAGCTGAAATAGAAGCTTCTCAGTCTCCTGACGATTCCGTTAGACCTGCCGATGCAACCGTCTGCTATGGAGGCGGCACGGTTTCCCAGGAAGAACCAGAATCTGCGGAGCACTGCCCGGCAGTGTCCATGGCAAGCAGCGCTACAAAGCATATACCTGATGAAAAGGAGATAAATAATGATGACAGCGATATTGAAGCCGATGCCTCTCGTGTTGCTTTGTTAAAGGACGTTATCACCAAGTTTACCTTCGTATCATGCAACCGGGGTCTATTTGACAAGCACAAATTGACTGTTGCTGTTTTCTTAGCACTGCGAATCATGGCAAGCTTACACCCCGCACGGGCGCCATGTTCAGCCCATAATCCTGATGTATGCAGCTCAGCGTACATGCTGAATGCATACCCGTACTTCAGTGCCATGTTTGTGCCAGCTAAGCACAGCTGCACCGTCCCAATTACATCGAAGCCTTAAGTCACCGACTAACCGTCAGAGCTTTTGATTTTTATAGGTGGAGCAAAAGTCTGTCACAGAGGAGGAGGTTCGTCTTCTGTCCCAAGTTCGCCCTGATCCAAGTGCCCCTCCTATACCAGAGTCAGCCCGGTCGTGGCTTGGAACAGCACAGTGGGCGTGTTGCCGATCCTTGGAACAGCTAAAAGCATTCAAAAACAACCAGGTCTCTCTCTTGCAAAACTTTGATCAAGATTCTCTTGGATGGTCTAGGTAAAGAGACATCCACATTCCTGGGAAAATGTCGATATTTTCTCACTCATAGAACCTCCTCGGACTCAGGTCGACTTCTGTATCATCAAGCACACTGCTGGAGTCATCATACATCACTGCCTTCGCACATGCGCCCTGTTAGTGACGGGGACGCCCGTGATACATATAACCTCTTGGATGCCGTGTTCTGCTTAACTAGGTCTCTAATGCCTTGAGTGTAAAGCGTATCAAGGAGTGACTTTATCCACAAGTATGTACATCGCAGGTGGATAACAGAAGAGGCACCGGAAAAAGCTGATCTGCCACGACTATTTCGGGGAGTTACTCAATTTGAAAAATTGCTGGTTGTGAGATACCTTAGACCAGATAGGATGATGGCGGCACTACAACAATTTGTCGCAGCGCAGCTTGGACAGTTCTACATAGAGCCTCCGGCAATCGATATACGTGAAATCGAGAAAGAGGCAGACAGATTCACTCCATTATTCATTGTCCTTTTCCCCGGTGTTGACCCAACACCCGCATTAGAAGCAATTGCAAGATCAAAAGGGTGTACAGCTGTAAGTCTTTATGGTGTGCGACCAGCACACGTCAGAATCCGTGCCTACACTAATGGCATTCAATATCCTTTGTCAGCTACTGAGCTTGGCTTATTTGCATTGACAAGTTCACCATTGATGCTGTGCTTATACCTACATGTGCCATGGGGTGGGTTTACCTCAGCAGATGTCTGATGTAAATTACATAGCGCATCATTGCTCGGGCGTAGACAAAGTGCGACGGGTATGGAGTTGCTTTTTTTGAAATTATTGGTATTTCAGGACAATAACAAATTTGTAAATATATCAATGGGTCAAGGCCAAGAAGAGCGAGCCCTTACTGCTGTGCAGACGGCAGCCGAGACAGGCGGCTGGGTTGTGCTACAAAACGTGCACCTGATGCAGGATTGGCTCAAGGCAAGCAACTACTGAACATGTAGCGGCTACCTTATAAGAGAGAGCCTGAATGTTGTACTCGTAAATTTCCATCTTTGATGTGAGACTCGTTGCTATCTGTCGTCATGCCTTTCATGCCCCACGTGACCAAATCTCAATCACCACCTTCACGCTTGTTGCACTATTACCCTTACCTGCGGTTATGGCATGTACAGTATGTGGTGGTGGGTTCTTCGCTGTTATTGGCTTTCATGCAGCGCCTTCAACGAACATTAGAGGCGGTCAGCGTAAAAGCAAACCACCAGTTCAGGTGTGTCGTGACTTCTGAACCGCCACCTCTCCGTGACATGCAAATCATACCAGAGCCTTTACTTCAACGAAGCATTAAAATTGCAGACGAGGCTCCACAGGACCTCAAAGCCAACCTCCGCAGGGCGCTCTCCTGCTTTTCCCAGGCTAGTGAAAACTCTGCACATGCTGTTAAGATCAGTACCTTAATGTGCAATTTAGAATATTCTAGTTGAAAGCCGCTTCTGTGCCAAGCGACATGTAAGTATTTGCCAGCACACACCAGGCTTGGCAGAGAGGCACCCCCTGAGGGTTCTGCAGCTGGAAATGTTGAGTGTCGAACACTCAGGAGTTCATTTACTCGTGCTCACGTCCACGGGAATTCAAAGCTTTAGTCTTTTCCCTGTGCTACTTTCATGCACTGATTATTGGTCGCAAAAAATTTGGCTTCCTGGGCTGGAGTCGGTCCTACTCGTTTAATGAGGGGGATTTGACGATTTGCGGCAATGTCATTAAAAATTATCTGGATAAGTAAGTGCTCTAGCATGAACTTTGAAGCCGCATTAACCATCGATGAGCAGACACCTTTTCCAATGGGAAACAGAAGTAGAGCCGAAATTGCATCTAGGTAGCTCCTCCAGGTACATCCTGTAATTGTGCAGATATTCCGCAATTCCGTTCGAAGACATTCGATATATTTTAGGAGAGATAATGTACGGAGGCCATATCACAGATGGCTTTGATCGTCGACTTAATAACAACTATCTGGCAAACCTGATTTTGCCAGAGGTTCTCCAGAGTTACCAACTTGGACCTTCCTTCCGAACACCTGATCCAGCAAAGACCGATTTTGTTGCATACCAAAAATTTGTAGAGGAGAAAACGCCACCGGAAAGCCCTCAGGTATGCTAACTTTGGCGCACCCTTGGTGTTTGTACGCGCGCACAAACAGCCACCTGTCAGTGCTGACATAGCAGGCATAAAGTGACTTCATCAATTCCTGCGAGGAGATACGCCTGTTGTCCAGGTATTTGGGCTTCATCCTAATGCTGAACTGGGGTATCTGAGCTCGAAGAGCGATGAGATGTTTAGTAGCCTCCAAGTAGGGACTGCATGTGACCATCGCAGTACTTTGGTTCCCCACATGGCTAGATATCTTTGACACTCCCCCGAAATTCTACTTTGTCTAGGCAAGCGGCTGCAGACAAAGCTTTACACACTTTGCACAGGCCTGGCAGGGAACACGTTCTTCTGCTGCAATGGCGCTTAGGAAGTCTCTGGTGTTGGGAGAGTTGCAAGTACTGGAAATAGGAAGGATGGTTCGGTGCTGACAGTGGTGGATTCGTTGTTGGCAAAGGTGCCAATTCCATTTGATGCCGCGTCAATTCGCTCCAAAGTCAAAGATTTTTATCCAGAAACTGTTATTTGCCTTCAAGTGAGCTCAGGGCAATGCAAAACTTGTACCCTAGACAAGCCTACTAGTCATTCCAGCTCCTGGGCCTACCAAGTACAGTAGCAAGCATGTTGGCAAAGCACACGGTAGTCGTTGATGGCACGACAAGATGCCATGCTTTAACATTGTGATTACACTACTAAAAGTTGCTGCATTTACTCAGGAAGTGGCAAGGATGAACATTCTACTAACCGAGGCGAGAAGAACGCTGGAACAAGTCAAGAGAGGGCTGGAGGTACTAGCTAAGCAAAATAAGCGTCTTCTTTTAACTAATGTTTATGGAATCTGTGGGGGAAAATCTTGAATGTACAATGGAGTTAAAGAGCCACAAGGAACACCGAAATGGATTGTGAAGTTGTTGCCGATCAGTGCCTGAGTGCAGGGGGCATTGAACGTAACAGAGGCAATGGAGCAGCTTGGAGCCTCTCTGTACATGGGCAGAGTACCCGAGGCATGGAAACCCTACGCATACGCGTCGCGAAAGCAACTGGGTTCTTGGTGAGTATGCGAGTTCGGGAGCCACCTGACCTCAGCTTTTACGTTGGTGACAGTGAACTAGTAGCGCTGATGAATATAGCCTCAAGCTGGCGTTTCGCAAAAACAAGCAAGCCGCCCTGCTGCAGTGGCGAATACATCTTCAGGTTGCTTGATTTGGTGGACCGCGTGAAGCAACTCGAGGCATGGAGCACGGAATTCACCCTTCCTTGTCCACTATGGATTTCTGGGCTTTTCAATCCCATGTCTTTCCTGACAGCAGTGATGCAGGTTCGCTTCACTATTGAGTAGCAATGGAAAAGCTTGTCTATCAGCATGCTATAAGTGGATGTGTTTGCAGCACGTGGGTTCACCTATCATTCGACCTTTTTTAGTTTTTTGATTGTGTACTTGAAAATCTAAAAACTTCTTGGCTCTTGTGCGCACAGGTACGTGCGCGAGCGGAATCTCTGGCTCTTGACCGCATGTGCCTGAGGTGGACAGTGACAAATATGCGATATGGCACTGAGGCAACAACAGTTCAGGGCGGAACGTCACAACAGACGCCTGTGGCACCTCCCGATAAAGGAGTACTAATCTATGGGCTTTTCTTAGAAGGAGCTGCTTGGGAAGATGGCAAAGGAGATGTGGAGGGCAACCTGACACATGCTCAGCCAAAAGTACTCCAGTATCCGATGCCTGCCCTGATAGTGGAGGCCATTCCAACTGCTGAGGTTGACAACACTTGCATGTATAGCTGTCCCGTGTATCTAACATCTGCAAGAGGCCCCACTTACGTAACCACTGCGAATCTCAGGTGTGTGAGGACATTTAGTTGATCATCCAGTTACCAGTCTGCATGCTGCGGGCAAATGTATTGGTTAGAGACTTCCTGAGAGCCCTTTGAAGCATGCTGTGATGTCCAGCTTCGCCATGTCTACTATGATGGCACTTTGTGCTATATGCGGTTATGCGGGTGCAGAATGAGTGCTGAAGATTCTGAACGCCAGTGGATTCTTGCGGGAGTGGCGCTCACTATGGCCACTGATGCATGATTTGATCGGTAGCGTTGCAGCTTAAGGTTCAAGCATGTAGTGTTGTTTCCCATCCTAGGTTCGTCAAACTGTCACGGACACCTGCCGTGCAGGCAACCTGCGAGACGTTGCATCATTGCTTTTGCAGAATGCCCTACTTGCAAGAAACTGACGCAATAAATTAGTCCAGATGAAGATGGCAATTAGGATTTGATCGAAAGTAAATTTCTAGTGTATGCTCTGTTAGGCTCATTTAGTGCACACATGCGCATAACACCATAACTTCAACTAACCTTTGTGGTCAAAGTTCCTACATCGGTAACCGCTTAGCAGGGCTTCAGGGCCTGGCGCATCACAGAGCTCCCTAGGACTCCCTTTAGCATCAGGTGTGGGTAGGTAGCCCAGCTTCACTTGGTACGGAAATTCACTATGATCACGGATTTAACCGACAAGTACGCACATGGCAGTGCTTCAGCTCCCTCTCTCTTCTACTTTCTACTGCATAAGGGATCACTGTAGGGAACTTTAAGAAAGCGAGTTCGAATAATAAGCATTTTTTTAGGAAAAAAAATAGACTGATCATTAAAACAATCATGAAGTTGGCGTCATGCGGTTTTGTTAGAGCCTTGTGCGGTGTGTGTTGCTATAAATACTACGGATCTTAGTGCGATAGGCAATTGTTAAGAGCGCATAAACGGAGTTTCAAAGCCTCACGGATCTAGAAAACTCTCAGAAATTGCATTTAGCGCCACCATTCACCTGATTGCCGTTTCCATAATCACTTGTATACTAAACTAACACTACGACTTCGGCTGATTTCTGTGCAATTGAGAGCACACCTTGCGCTCTACGACATCCTCCAGGGGTTCTGTATGCCCTTTTCTAGCCGGGAGCCCTGCCTCACAAGAAGAATAGCGCAGGTGCATGGTGCAGCCATTGCTCACTACCATCACAGCTCTGAAAACAGAGAGTTGTGCAGTTAAGCGTGCTTTTAGCACCTTTCGTTGTGCTTTACTAGTACAGAAGGGATTTTTAGTAGGGCGTTTGGTCAGTGGATTCGAGGATAATATGACACATCATGTTCTGTTTACTACAGGCGATTGTGGTGTGGGTTGTGCTCACAATTATTAAGATCCGAAGCCTTCCATATTTGTTTCAAAGCAGGCTACGAACGGTCCTCAGCAATCGCGTCCCAAGAAATGAGCTATTGATTAAAGCAATTCACGAGAACCTGCATGCCTGCGGCATTCCAGGGGAAGCTTCTCCTAAAGCATTACACGTTTATAAAGTCCCAGGCTACCTGTTCGTTTCAAAGCCCGTTTGGGTTTGCATTTTGAAGTGCTTGAGGGGTATTACGCAGTAGTTGGTTCGCTTTTTCGCTCGATTATTCTGGGATAAGCAGCTAGTGACTTGGGTGATGGGATGCCAAGCTAGGTTGTATAGCACTGTGCTGTGGTAACAATGAAGAGTGCTCCACAATCCTAGAGTCACCTCAACCTGCTTTCTTTATTGCTGAGGGCACATCCAAAGCAGTTGCACCTAAAGAGTTAGAGGCTCTCTACGCCCATATATATATATATATATATATATATATATATATATATATATATATATATAGTGCTTAGGGGGTCTCCGCCCCTAGAGGACATCGGTTCGGATACATGATCGTCTATAGCATGAACAAGAAAGGGCTTTGTGCGCTTCGAATAGTTACGGGGAAGGCTGTTATACCAGAATTTGTTATGCGTGTGTGGTATTCCCCTATAGTCAAGTTAAACAAGGGGTTTAAGCTTGATTATTGGAGAGGTGAAAATAAGCAAATACAAGAGAAATACAGTGTTCGCCAGGCACTTGTGGATGAAATGAAACTAAGTATCACTGGGTCAAAGGAGAACTATTTGATCGAAGCTCCATCTTCGCTTGCACGTAACAATGCATGGCCAGATCACCTTCATGACTGCGGATTTATTCTCTGTCGATTTCGCAAAACGGGAGTTGTTACCCTGAGGCACGGAATTGTCTATAGTAGCGAACTATTTTGTTTTGGCGGGATGTGACTTGCAGGCGAGCAGCAGCCTGCCCAGTGAACGTGCAAGGGTGCGGACAAAGATCCATTTAACACTAAATAATGGTTTTTCTCAAAGATGGAATTTATAGGTCATTTCAGGAATGTACAGCAGAGTGGGCATCGAGTTTGGGGTTTTCTCCAACCCGCGCAATCATCTTGCATCAGAATCCCTTGTAGCCCCACCGTGTGGTGGACGCTCAGGAGAGCATCGAGGTTTATCAGCAGACGTCGATTCAATGACTTGCTGCTTTTGAAGGTCTGAGTTTCTGCGCGGAGGTACTAAGGTAAATAGTGGGGCAGAGCTGTAGTGCTTGTTGGTCTGCAGACGAGCATTGCAGGACCTATTGATGCTACTTGGGGTCCACGGCGGTGGTTCATAATAATTACTAGAAAGAGTTTTTAGAAGGAATCGCAGCCCCCTGCCTATTCTACGTCAAGGGCGTAATATGCACGTATTAGTTAGCCAGGAGACCCGCCATTTCCACAGTTGCTGCACTCACTCAGAGTTCTGTTTTGCCTATAATATAGGCGACTATACATCAGCACTAGCCATCCTTTGGGGCTGAGGGCCTTCGTAGACTTTGGGTGTGCAGGGATCCTAGGTTCAAGGTGTCACTGCTTAGAGGGTGCCTTGTACTGCGAAGAAAGCAACTGGAGCCGCGATCATATTGCTAGTTCAGTACATATGCTACCAGCTGGTAACCCCACCAGCCACTTTATCAAACTCTGCGATGCTGCCAAGTGCAACGCTGCATTCATAGCCTGAATAACGAGACAATGAGCCCTTAGCTCAATCTAAAGCACAGTAGAAAGCGATGCATAGAACTTCCAGAGTGCTTACATTGTTTTCCCGTTCGCTCCGCAGTGCTCGGCATGGGGGAAGAGGAATAGAGAGGCTGCGCGTAGCCGTAGCCCTTGAGCGTTACCAGTTCTCCGTAGCGCTTAATCACAGAAGCACAACGTTCTTCAAGACGGTACTGAACTCATACAAGTCTGCAACTAACGGCAGTCACGAACAGTCATCTACAGTGATCATTCATCAACTAATGCTCAAATTAATATAACTGTAGTAGTAGAAAGTGTCCAAATATAGGTTCGCCTGCTACAGTGGCTCTGATTCCACACCAGAAAATTAAAGCAGCATTAAAACATTTAAGCTTCCGTAACCGCGCGAAGGTGCTACAAATGGCCAGGGGACGACGAAATGTAGTTGCCATTACAGGACACAATCAAATACATGGAGTCTAGATAAACATAGAGAAATCTACTGACGATGATCTGCTAATGGAATCGTTCACAACACTCACCCCACATGCACGCTGCCCCACATTCCTCGTGCTGGATTAGCAGTTTCTTTATGGGTAGCCGGTTACGTTTTTTGCTATACTTTGAAAGTCGAAAATATTTATATGTTCAAGCAGAAGAGGGAGATTTGTCTGTCACGGCTGCAGTTCCATGAGCTTTGGAAAGAAGGGTGAACATCGACGGTCACCATCTGCCTAAAAATATCAGCTCCAGGTGACCGATATTTATTATCATCTCATATTTCGAATATCTTCACTGCGAATACAGAATAGTGTTCTGCCGCACGCATCCTGGACAGCAATTGCCTATTCCGCAAATTTGCGGAAGAAAGGTAGGGTACAGCAGCCGCAGTGTAGGGAAAGCTTCTGCTTACCTCAACAGAGCCACATGCTTTAAAGTGTTATCCGTTTTCATGAACAGCTTAGTCGTGCAGCTTTCAATAAGCAGTAACTTGCTCCTGTACACCAAGGCGATCCATGGCAGCTGCTGCTTGCATGTGTATCCGCGATGTTGCCCATCAAATTACAGTGAATAGCTCACAGCTTTCCCTTTTTGTTTAATTGTTATCGAGTATATTGCGAATAAGCCCTGGATTCTCGAGGCCTAACACGCTGGAGATTCAACCGGTTCCAGTGTCAATTCGCCTGGCGTAGACTTGTTACAACAGGATTTGTTGCAACAGGCGTACACTGTTTGGCTTCCTTGACTATCTCCCTTTTCTCTGTAATACAGCACTAAATGTGTTTCTTTATTGTGTATTGCTGTGTCGTGGATTGCTGCCCTTTCGGCATAAGCGCGTCCATCCGGCAATCCTCACTCGGGAACTATATCCAGACTAAATAGAACGTAGATACGACTCTGCCCAATGCTTTTAAACTACTCTACCATATACTGTCCGCTTCGAGGTGTCGTGCAATGCTTCTTTCGGGCTGGAATTTAGCAGTTTTGCATCCCTGTCAGTTGCACACATGCTACTTCTCCGGAATACCCCTCTGAGTATCGCGTCTCCAGCCGTTGTAGAGATCACTTTTGGACTACTTTTCGAGAATCGGTTGTAACAAGCAGCCCAGAACTGCACTAAGGAGGCGTGTTGGGAGGGCAATCGGCGTGGCGGCTTACGCATCAAGTTTCCGACGATGGATGCATCGGACTTATTTTCCATTTCATCACGGCAACCCGCCCGGATGCCGCCCGACATTAAAGAACTTCCTCCCATCACGCGAGGTCGCAGCAGTAATTTTCCGCACCGGGTTGGGAGTCCATCAGAAACCCCACGCCAGAATCGGCGGAAGTCAGCGTGCTCCATGCGAACAGTTAAAGAGGAGCGTCAATCGACGGAACCAGGTCTCACAGCGGAGGGCTTGTTGCACTGTTCCAACTTGGAGGCGCAGAAGGACACTGGCTGGCTCAGTGGCGCTCCACCTCACGCTTTATCGGTTTCTTCTATTCCGGAGCAGATGAGCAGACGCCGCGACTCCCACGCATCACACAGCGGGAGCAGCAGCAGACGTTCAAGCCATAATACGTGCGTTCTTGTTACCAGAACTCTCCCCGAAGTGGTTATTGTGCTAATGTTGCTCATCGCAAACCCTTTTGTGGCTTCTGTGATTTCCTCTGCAGATCTTGTGGCCCGCTGCCCACATGGGACGAATTCTTCGAAACCTGTGAAGATGTTAGGCCACGCCCAGAAAACAGTGACGTAAGCTGACTCCACTTCACTTCTGATGATTGTACGAGGCAGAGCGTAGCCACATCAATTGAGGAAGATCGATTGCCCAATAATCCCCCCCCCCCGCACTTTATGTGGGAGTTTTTTGAGATGTACGTTTCTTGGAATTGTGTGCCTTTGAAGGCTGCATTGCTTCAACTTGTTTTTGATGTTCAGCATCTTGTTCTGTGGCTCAGACGTTTCGCGTGTATTCAAGTGGCTCCTCTGGGCCGATTCTCATCCTGCTCCACGGAGCTGGACACACGGCCTTAAGCTGGGCATGCTTCGCTGTACGCAATTCGTAGCACACTGAATTTCGTCTTCGGACGGAGCAAAATCTGTAGCTAGATGAGCCCTTTGCTCTCCCTCTTGTGTGGTCCACTAAGTTACAAGCCTTTCATGCAACACAGTTACATAGAGCTGTCTAGTATCCTGCCGTTTTCTCAGCGCCTTCTGCGGGATGGTTCGCCGCCACTTCGCGTCTTTGCATACGACGCTAGAGGTCACGGAGCCACTAGCTGCGCCGACAGTAAAACTCTGTCAGCTGAAGTGCTGACAGAAGATGGTATTGCAATAGTGCAGTACCTCTTCAAGCGTCTTGATCATGAGGTGTCGCCAGATGCTCAGCATGAGGACGAACTTCACCGAGGTTCAGAGTTGGCTAACAAAACTGGGGAAGAAACACCAAAACCTGAGAGGGATGCTGATTCGCTACCATCTGTAATTCTTGTGGGCCACAGGTTCGTCGTAGGGCTTTTGGCACCCCATACTTTTGAATTATCAATTCTTATTCGCGGAGTGCTTGATTCCAATATTCTGCGCAAGCTGCGTGACTTACTGCGGTGGTCATATCTGCGGATCTTTTCCTTACAGCATGGGCGGAGCGATTGCGACTAGGATGGCGGCGTCGGGCCGTGTACCACAGCTGCACGGCTTGATGGTGTTGGACGTAGTTGAGGGTAGGTTTTTTAGTGTAAGAAAAATCCAATACGCATGTCCTGACCGATAAATAGGGTGGTGGGGTCAAGCAGTCGTACGAGGTTGACAGCGAGCGAAGGTTTTCGGACGCCGAACGAGTTGATACACTGCAGTGTGCCGCATCCCCTATGAGCACGTATGGGTCTGGTGCTCTCATAGGTACTGCTTTGGCGGCTTTGCCGCAAATGGCTGCCTTCGTTAGTCGGTTTCCCAGCTTGTTCACGAGCTGCAAAGAGGCCGTTAACTGGAGCATATTCGCTGGACTCCTGTGCAACAGAAGCAGCGCGTCAATCTCGATTCCATCCCAACTTGTAAAGACTACGAGGGGGGCGCTGCCCGCTAACAGTAAAGGAGCTGAGAGGGGGCCACCGGATGAGGAAGTATGGTAAGCATACCAATGGTCGTTGCTTGGCTATGCCCGCGCTTTCCTAGTTGATGCGCTAGGTTCGCTAGAGACCTGATTGAGCGTGAGAGAAAAAGGCTTTGTCTCACTTGTCGTGTTTGACTGACACCTCAGGACGTGGCGAGTTGACCTACTGGCTACCGAGCCGTATTGGGAAGGTATGCACTGTGTAGCTGCAGATTGCGGTCCTGGCCAACAACTGGAGTTTAACTGATTTGCTGCCGGTGGACACTGCGGACGTGTGTGCTCCTGTTCTGTTATAGGATGGTTCCGAGGAATGTCGCATGCATTTCTATCGAGCCGTTGTGTAAAGATTTTAATTTGCTCGTGTAGCGACCGCTTGGATAAAGAGCTTATGATAGCTCACATGCAGGTAATCAGGCATCTTGGCAACTGGATGCACTCCATGTGGATCTGGTGTCCACTGAATTGCCTGAGCACTAGAGATAGGGTGTTGTGGCGGTGCTTATGAGCAGGGAAAGTTCCAAGTGCAGATTGTGAGCGGTTCAGGACACATTATTGAAGTGAGTTTTGCTGGATGTCTTCGCAACATTCTCCTTTGTTGTGCGTACTTGTTATCGTGGCTCAGTCGTGCGTCCCTCGATTTGAATTTGTTAAATGCATTTGCCAAACATTTGTATGCTCAGCCATCCAAAGTGGGATTTAAGCGGGACTTTGCTGACATTGTGTTTTTACAGTGAATTTGGTTTATGTTCGCTGCCCATAGGAGGATCAGCCTGCCGAACTATGCCGTGTAGTCCAAACATTCATCACCCGCTACCGGCTTCATCTACCTCCAAGCCAGCGCGCCGGGGTTTTCCGCCGCTGATGCAAGTCATCAACAGCTCGAGATCTCCGTAGGGTTTCGTATTTCACCACCGTCGTATACCGACCTATCGTGTATATGCTCAGACATACTTGGTAGCGGTGCTAGTGACTGTTTGAGTATGATCATGGAAGCATAGACGTTTTAGGTAGCGATACGCTAGTTCCAATACCTCGTCAGTCCGCTTGTGAGAGCTCCTTTGCACGACCTCGATAAAACAAGCTTCTGATTGAATAGTTTAACAAGATATAGCGTAGCTATGCCATCCCCAGAAAGTATACTCCGACGCTTTTTTGAGCCATGTACTAAAGGCAAGATATGGTCAGAGGATGGAGCAACCAGGTGGATTTGCGATTTTGCAATGGTAAGATTGCGTGGAGGATACCTGTGGTGATGACTGGCAAAGCGCTTCGGATCATCGCTGTGAATGTTTTGCGAAAACCAAATGCACGTCATAAGGGCGTGCTGTTGCCGAGGACGACCAGGCGAATGATCTGATATGTTACTGACTGTGGATGGCTCCCTGTATATTAAGAGGACACTGCGTACCGCTTATACGACGGTCCGGTTACTCAACGGAGAACGAATGCATTTCTTTTGCCAAGTGTGTGCAAGCTACGTGGCTGTGTAGAGCGCTACTCAATGCGTACTGTCAACCCTACTTTGCTTGCAATTTTAGAATCATCAATTCGGCTAAATTACTGATGTAAAGGACACGAGGTGGTGCCTACATCGGCGAATGTCGATTGGAGTGGCTCGCAAGCACTCAGATACGCAAAATTCTTTGGGCGATAAGGTATTCTATCATTTAGGCTACATAGAGAGATGACACGCCCCGAAGTTCTATGATCGGGGTTATACTTTATAGAGATGGACCGGAAGCAGTGCAGAGCTGGGGTAACACCCCTAAGGAGTATGCATTGTTCTCCGTCGGCTAAAGTGTAGTGTGTCAGGAATGTCCAGGCAGTATTTAGTCAAGCGCACGTCCCACTCGGAGAGCTTTTACCGACAGGTACGTCTGAAGGTGCGACGTACTTGGTAGTCGTTTGCATATCCTAGCAAACTATGAAGCGCCAGGTGCTACAACCTCCGTATACTCTGTCCTTCGTTGATTGAGTTGGATGGAAGGTCGGGTTGCCAGTTTATTTGGTGCAGTCCTATATAGCATAAATGTAGTCGAACAATCAGCCCAAGCAGACGTAGGGACGGCCACTACTGCAGGTTGTGGTAGTGTGCTACTAATAGAATATGGCCGTCGTTTCTCGCGTCACCTCTGCAGCCGCTTGACTTGCTCAGGATATAGCTCACCCTTGATATTGCTAGCCATTTGCCTTCCACTACTAGTGAGACACTAACGAGCCTGAGAGCCCAAGCAGCGCCAAAGTGGCATGTAAGATGCGTAGCATTATGGACGGCCTGGCCGGAAAGTCAGCAATTGCAACAGAAGTGATGCAGTGGTAGGTTCGTAGGACAACACGAAGGCGGTGTGACTTATTTTCGAAATCAAGATCGTAATAAGCAAGTTCTTCGTGCTATGGAATATTTTGTACCCCACGAATGATCGCGTAAGGGTCATTGTGTTTGTTGTACACAGGAGTGCCAACGTGACGCAGCTTCAGGAACAAACAAGTACCCATATTTCAAGCCTGGGAGGCAGTAACTACTCTAAAGGATACTTTTTCATTGGGGGACAGCAAATGCGACAGCTCGCGAGCCTAACGGAAAATCGTTCAATGCGCATTCATCTCGACCCACGGCTTACGAGATACAGAGAGCATTCAGAAGCATATGAGCTCTAGATCATCGGAAGCAATCATCGGATGCTCCTGCAGTCCCAGCTGACCTGGATACTCTGCAGCAAATGTGTTACTGTCTTACATTTCTTTGTACCTTTCCAAGTGCGAATCAAGATATGGTAACAGCGCCAAAGCGGTTGCTCGCTCATGCGGGCCGCCCTCAACAATGAGAAGGTAGTGCCAAACCGTTCTTCCTTAGTGGCGTGTCCACGGAGCGCTTACCAGCTAGACCTGATCATCGCATCTGAGAACACCAAGTGAAAGCGGGAGGTGGTGGATGGCCAGTCTGTTTGCCTCAGGGCTTCTTCCACGGTAGGCGAGCACATCGCATGCATGGGCGCGCGGCAACCATATGTGCGGAGAATGTATATTTTCTTACGAATATCAGCGTACAATTGGTAGGAATTCCTACAAACAGCAAAGTAGCATAAACGTGCTGGCTTATGTTACTGCATTATCGCTCACTTCGAAGATGTCTCGGTAGCAAGAAATCGCTTGCCAATCCATCCTTGCAGTGTTTGCACCCAGTATTTAATGTGGTGATCAGACCACGTACGAATGTCCCCGAGCAAGGCAAACCTATCGCGAGCAAGGAAAGTATCTCTTTGTCTCTCATCCTTTGTTTAAGTGGTATTCCTTCTTGCGACAAAGGCCGTTTCATACCTCGCTTCTCTTTTTTGCCAGAATTCAGAGTGCCGCTTTTCGAGCTTTCATCTCTGAGTGGTGTGCATCGTCCGACTGTTTGACTTCAAAGGAATTTGAGTGTCTTCGTTGCGGGGATTTGACTGAGCATGTGTCTATCCTCAAGAGCGCCAAAATTTCAAAAGCACTTTATTCTTTTTCATAACTTGCACTGGAATTATCAGCACTGATAAAAGGGGCTTTTTCCCTACCTAATCATCTGTTTGATTTGGCATTACCAAGATTCATCACAAAGCACAGGATTCCAAGATCTTACTAAGTCAGTCACCGGTTTTCTGTGTTGAAGCCAGCATTTGAGATATTCCGTACCGCAATCAGCACTCTTTCTCTTGCAAGGTTCTTTACGGCTGCAAAATCAAGGCAGTTCACGTTTGCTTTCAAGCTAATTAACTTGGCGAGCAGTTTCTCAGACCATGGTGTCTATTTGTATGAAAGTGGGATTCGGCAGGCTATCAAGACTCTTCCGTACGTTTTGCCAATACTCCTCAAGAATCAAAGCACCTAGCCTCCAAAATGTATCAGCCAGTGTCAATCATTTTGGGCAGTCAGGCTTTGTGACCGGGAGATCTCTGCTTAGATGCCATACCATAAGGTGATTTGATTCTCTTGAAAGCTTTACGATCCACACATGATTGGTTTTCGGGCGGGTTGGGTATTGAAAGAGAAACAAACTTTCGTTTTCGTATATGCAGGCTCATCAAAGCTCGGAAATCACTTTTGGTAGTTCGCCTGACCCAAGGAAGGCAAGCCCTGCGTTTTCTCCTAAGCTGAAAATTGTTTTCTCCTAAGGTGAAGATTGGCTTTACCTGCATCGACATTCAAATACGACAATTTTTTCCTGCATCCAGTCTCTCACTACTTTGAAGCAGTTTATGTGGCGTCGAGACAGCTTCGGATAGTGGCAAAGCTTTCATGTTGCCCAAACCAGCATGGGTAAAACGGGCCTACAATAGATGTGATAGCCGAGATTCGGAGAGACACTGACAGTGCTCCAGTACTCCAGTAAGAGAACCAGACTCTGCTGCTGACAGCTGTTGCACACCTATGTATGCAGATATAGAGGACTTGAAATAAAGCCACACATCATTACCTCAGGGAAAACCATACTGACAAGTTTCGACATATTGTGTACAAGGGCCTTTGGGTGTATGCTTTGCGGTACTTGGAAGGCTCCCGATTACACAAGTTTAGCTAGACGAGTAAGCAAGATACTCAGTATTCAGTGGTTTTGTAAGTAGTTGGCTTCAAAGCACGATATGACGCTCGGTGACTTAGAGTGGAAATGCAGATGGCAGGTATCCAGCACTGCCCACGAGCCTTCTTCTAAAGCGTCATGTCGTCTAAACTGTCAGTATTCACGCTACAGCGATGCTGGCCTCACTTGGTGTAGCCATGAGCATACGAGGTCGCCCAGCGATAAGGATTGTCCTTTAAAAATACTCTGCTGAAACAAGAGTATCCAAAACTGTAGCGTGAAGAAGAAAAAAGCATCTTGTTGGCGAGACTGCCAAGCAGGAATGCTTTTATAATGCAAAGGCCACTGCATGCCAACACGGGTGGACTACCGATGGCCCAATGCGCCATTTTCTGGCCAAGGATGCAGAATACTGGGAGCGCACGTAGCTCACGTCAATCGCGTCGCATATGCCATAATACGTTGACAGAAAACCTATATTTGCGTAGAGTAAGGAACCATCTGGGCCTCTTCCATGCCCACCAGCACAGTATCACGGGGAGCCAAAGGCACAGCTGAGAGCACACAAGCATGCAAGTCAAGGCTGCGGTAACAACTTCATCAAAGCTGAAAATGTACGTAAGGCACAAACAAAAATCTATGCCAGCTTTGAAAAAGTGTGTGATACCTTTTGTTGCAGCATTGTTTTGACTTGCTTTGTGAATCCACTCATTCTCTTGGCCACTCATCATCTGTAGAGAGGTAGCCTTGGTGTGTGCATTATACTTTGGAGGTACTTATTGCAGCAGAAAGGCCGCTAGCCCCCATTGATCAACGCAATGCTAGCAGACCATAGCGTACTACAGGAACCTGAAGAAAGGGCATGTTGTGTTCGTAGAGCCGCGCTGTATGGATCAGCTGAACCCCTTTTAGGTAAATTTCTGCACGCCCCTTGCGTACCTTCTTCGAACAGCGGATACTTCTAAGTAGTTGGCCGGAATGTCTGGTACAGCGCTGTGATGTCTGCTGCCGGACTAGGAAGAGGGCGTGAGTAAAATGGAGCCAATTTGATGCGCACGGTCCTTTGACTCTTTTACTATACTGATCACCTTGCAAAATGCAGCACTTGAGCACTTGTCAAACACCAGAAATAGAAATCAAGTACTGCTAATCCAGTAGGCAGAGTCCAGAGCACTGAGCTTTCGCAAATCCTGTGCGCTTTTTGAGCTTTCGGCATTTGTCTGTGTGCAAAAGGCTGGCCGCTTGGAATGCGGAAGACGGTCTGTGTGACTTGCTCATAGAAAGATGCTAGCAAAATTATTTGCTGTCATACAATGCATTTCATCATTCTCTTCAGACAGCCCAGAAAAAGCGCACGTCGCTTATTTGGTATAAGAAACATCCCATTGATGGAACTGGGGCTGTAGATTCCCGAAAACGGAAGATTTCTCTGGATTTATTGAGTCTCAAGGAGGAGATAAACCAAGAGGTAGGAGAAGGTAGAGTGCCTCGGATCGCACAGCGAAGCATACCCTGCATGCAGTGTACCCTAGTCGCCTGCTCAGCTAGAGCGAGACACCCGCCGCTTCCAATGTATTCTAGTGCCTTTCCTGGTGTAGCAGGTAGGCCAATGGTTTGGCCAAATGCTGTATGCAAAAGCTTGCATATCGATAGGTGTTTCCTCCATTCCTACCTTTGAAGTCCACACGAGTAGTTTACAGATTGTAAGATGTATTCAAGAGTGCTTGAAGACCACCGCAACCAGTTTTGTGTGTCCTATCTCAATTTTGAGGTGTCTTGTTGTTTTGTTTCCAGTTGCGACTGCGCCACCCGTGACGAACAGATTGCCACATGTATCCTACCTCGGTGGTAAAATAGCCAGAAGTAGTTTGTTTTAGGCTGTAATGGGGGCCTGGTACTATGTAGCTGCGAACACTTATGGATTTATACCCACAAGCAGGATACTTAGGTAAGCAAGAAAGGCGAGGCATCCTGTTTTTTGTGGGTGCAAAGCCATAAGTGTTCGCAGCTAAATAGTAACGGGCCCCCATTACACTTGAGGACAAATGACTTTTGATTAGCACGGATTCAATTCAAATTCTCAACTGGTTGAATGGAGCTAGAGAAACGACTTGAAGTTACCAACTTGTTAAATTTACTGCCAGGGAACTAATATTCTGTGGGGGCCAGCTAATCACACAGCGTTTTGGTGCATTCACATTCCTACACAAAATTATATGTGGGAAGGACGGGGTACCACTAAATGCCTGACTGTGCGATACAATATAAGCTTTATGAAACACTGATGCTCACTGGGGATAAGTGTTACGTGATTCCATTTAAAGACTTGAAGCCGGAGCTAGCCACGTTTCGAGCCCAACCATTACTGTAGGTCTAAATTTTACGCCATGACGGTCGGTGAACCGTAAAAAGCAAGGCTAAACATTTGTAGACTCGTCCTAAGCGGGACAGGAAATAATGAGGCCCCAATATAATGCACAAGAATGGCTTTGGGAACGCGCCGCGGACCTTAAATTTAGTGACACTGCTGAAGTTTACTGCTTCACACCTGAGCTACCAGCATCCCCCGTGGTTGTAGTTTTCAAGGCTTGGAGATGCAAAGCAGTACTTTTAGAGATGCGGCCCTTGTCGAAGGCTCCATGACGTGCTTGATATTTTGCACGTACAACAGAGATCCTGAAAAGTAATCGGCACAAACTCAGTCCACATATGCACATAAGGGCACTCCCGGAGCAGAGATGTTTGAGGCATGTAGAGAGTGCAGCGACATTTACATCCATTGGATTATGCTTTTTTACGATGCCGATATTCAAATTCTTACTTCATTCTTGTCCATGGTAATTTACTTCCTTTGCGGCGCCTCCCAATCCCATGACTGAGAAGTCGCGGAAGATGGTCTAATTGGAATACTGGAACCCACGGCCCGTTGACATCGCCTGCATGGGTCGAAGCCAACAGTTCATTAGAGTTCTCCCTATCTATATTTTGATGTAATACATGTGGAACGTATGTCTTGGAAACATCCGCCACGAAACCGTTGACGCTCTTGATGATCCTTCCCACAGCCTGTACAGAATCCCATAGATTTCGTATACACTGAATTGAGGCTAGGCTCAGGAGGAACGTTAGAGATGCGCTGTGTTAGCCGAAACTCCTGTACACTTCATAAGCCTAAACAATGTACACCATTTGTGACACCCCCACTGACCTCCGCATTCGCGCCATTTGGAAGCATATCCAAGAGAAACCGACGCGCAGCCGTGGAGCTCTGTAGACGCTGTGCAGGTCAGGTGGCAGCAAATCAAGACGCCATGTAATTCATACGAATTAATGAACGCAATACGGAGAGTATGTGAACAAGAAATGAGGGCATCAATGAAGAAGTAGAGGTACAATCAAACAGTACTCGATGGGGACTTACACCATGGGTAGGGTCATATAGAAGTAGCGGCACAAAACCATGTTTTCCCGATAGAGTTGACCGGCAGCTAGCGTTTGCCAGCCCAGGTCCAGCGCAAGCAGCTGCCCCACCCAACTTAGCCAGCGTGGCTGCAAGCGCTTGAACCCCTGATTTCTCATGAAGACGTCGTGCGAGGTCTAGTAACGGTGCATACTGGGTAGGGGGGACACCCAGCATGTCGGCTGCGGGAAACACCGTCGAATATCCGTGAAGTTGATGGTGGTTAGATCCTGCAGATTGTTATAAAAGCAAGTGAACGAATAACTTTGATCCTACGGCGCATTCTTATGGATACAGCCGCACCTGTTATCTGTCTCAGAGCAAGTTCCTGACAATCAGCAACGGCTGGCAGTGCTCGACGCTCGAAGCAGATATCCCCCAGTCGTTCAACTTCCCGAAGATTGCGGAGTTCCAAGCTGCTACAGAGTACAACGGACGTTCCCGGAATTGTGCCTCTACCTGCGCGGCCAGTTCTGCAGCACATCAATGCAGGTAGCGACGTTCGCCCTCAAGGAATACGGAGAAGTCACAGCATCGAGCAATTTACCGGTAGCAACCCCTCGCAATTCACTGGAAAAAGATAAGCTTCATTTCATTGCTGCAAACTAGGGAAAATACCATAAGTAGCGCATTTGTCGGCAGCCCTTGACATCCGCTGAATATCCCACCTGTGGGTATAATTCACTGGGGGAGTTGGCGGGTGCATGTGAACGACCAAGGCAACAGATGGTATGTCGAGGCCACGAGCAACCACGTCTGTGCTAACTAGCACTGATGCCTGCGAAAAGCCCATGCTTGCAACACTTCAGCTGTCTATTCACATGATTCTTTAGCCTGTGCAATGAACATTGGCTTGCGCAATCAGCATGACTGCAGCAATTTTTAACTAGAAAGCACCAGATGAGGATGAATGAAGCGTGAAAGCGCCTGTCAGAGCATCTTCCTCGTGTGAGCCTCACGTCTCCCTCTGCGAAAGTTTGCATGCTATGCTGCCGGTCCACCGCGTCCATGTTCGAGTGTATCGCGACAACGCGCCAAGCATCAAGCAAGGGGTGGTTCTTGATGTAGCGAACCTGAATGGCAAGAGCAAAGATGTCTGTGAACTTGAATGCGTTACGCAAGTGAGAAGATGCAGTCTAACTGCAGCTCGATCATGCTTTGAAGGAACTCACCTCGTCTTGAGAATCGGCAAAGACTATGCACTGAGGAGAAGTTTCAGCCGCAGTGGATTTCACTTGCACTTCCGTTGAGGAAGCAGAGGAAGGCCGGGGAGAGGCTGAGAGCGATGAAGAAATGCAGGCAACAGCTCCTCCTCAGCTTTGGTATCCTGACTGTCTCAACAGGCAGTGGCGCCGGTATATGAACTACAATGCTCTGTATACCACCCTCAACGCGGAATGATCTAGAACTTTCAATACTGGAATGTTAGCAGCCGTGCAACTTACGAAGAAGATGAGTCCTCAGAGTCTCTGCTAAAGCCAGCATCTTTCGCTCTTTTTCAATATGAGTTTCCTCCTGTGATTTCTGCCGTCGAGAGCGTCCCTCGCCTCCAAGTATGCTGTCATTTTGGATGAGACTGTCGTCTAAAGTGCCGGGGGCTGTCCGGGGGGGAAGATAACAAACATGACGCTGTACTCCTACTCCAGCTACTGCACTGCCTGACCACAGAAATCGGAACCACCATTATACTCATATAGATACATATACATATGTACGCAGAGGGCAGAATCCCTCCAGCTAGGGTAATCTTTGGGTATTTGCTTGCTTCTGTAACACGCTGCTGAGATCGCATGAGGAAAATTGGAGAATCCTGCCCCTATGAAGCTATGGATGACAAACTTTTTACCAACCTGGGGTGTGGCCGACGCTGGTGGATTCTGCTTCATGACTCTCTGCTGCAGATACGCCGTTTGCAGTCAGCCCTCCCCGCGGCAGATCCTTCGAGGAATCGAGCAAGTTTAGCAATTCGGCTTGCGGGAAATCCGCTTTGAAGCTGGCCATCAGGTTCGATGGCAAGACGGCACTGAAAAATAACACCTGCAAGTCCCCGCCGTTTCGCTGGATCCCACGAGTGCCTTCTGGAGGGCGTTCTTTACCCTTTTCCCACCCCATGGCGGTCCAGTAGATGCGCTGCACTTTAGAGTGGTAATCACGACGTAGCAGGGCATCTGCCTCATCGACAACCAGCACCCGCAGCATATCCAGACTCAGCTGAGTGGACTCTCCTGCCGCTGATGCGGTATGTGTCGCTGGACGTTTCTCCCGCAGGAGAGAGAGTATCCTATCTGGCGTGCCTACAATAATTTTTGCAGGTAGGTGCCGCAGCAATTGTTGTTGGTGCCGCAGGGAGGCGGTGGGATCTAGCAGCAACACCGGTGCATGGGGTAGTAACGCCACGGCAACGTTTGTCACCTGCTTTGCAAGCTCTCTGGATGGAACTACGATAAGAGCAAAGGGCCGTGGGGTTGGGGCGTGTGTGTTATCCACCCCATTCTGGCGTTCGTTCTCAGCCACAAACCGCTGTAGAACTGGAAGCAGGTAAGCGACTGTTTTACCCGTTCCTGGCCTTGCAGCAACAACGAGGCTTGTACCCCCCAACGCACGCAGAAGACAGAACCGCTGGACCTCGGTCAGGTTCCGAAAACGTAATCGCTGCAACCCTTCTTGCAGCTGGAAAGAGATGGGAAGGGCAGAAACTCTGGCAGCTGAAAGACCAGAAATCGTACGATGTACCGCACAGCCGATCGTGTAGCTGAAGGGAAGCAAGGAAACTGATCCTAGAGTGCTGGACTGCGCTGAGCGCCAAGGCAGTGCACGAGGTGGGCTGTAGGCCAAAAGAACCTTCTGCGCCCTCACAGGGATGGCATTGGTGGAAAGCGGCTTAGTCTGGCAGACTTTTCGAACCAACGGAAGAGACGAGTCTGCGATTTGAGCAGAAGAGCGACAGCGCTCCCATACATGGGCGGCAAAGGGCTCAAAAGTCGCTGCATCCTTAAAGCCGCGCATGATCCAAGATGCCCGAGGGCAAACACAATGGAAAGTCTACGACGGAGGTCGGAAAGAAGGAGTCCTTTTCCAGCAGACGAAACGGGTGCTCCGTAGGAGGCAAGGTCCAGATCAGGACAGAGCCATCCTCCATTCTGTTTGACTCAGCTTCCACAACTTTCTACTGACTGCAAGGCGTTCAGTGTGGAATCTTCCGGCCATATGAGTTAATGGATGAACTTAACAGTTGGGAGCGGAATTTGAAATCACACACACGAGGAGTGCTTCGTGGGGTGTTCTTTCCTTCGGATACGAAGGCCCACAGAAGCGGTTCAAAAATGCGAGACGTAATAAATACTATTATTCTGGAAATCAATAAAAATGTACCGGTCAATCCGAGATAATGGCTGGATGAAGCATCCCGAGTTCAGACACGGGCAATCGAATACCGTCTTCTGAGGCATGCCCCTCACAAGTAGCTAGGATAACCGAATTCGACCAATCAAAAAGCCAAATGGAAAATAAATGCTAGGCTGATATATGGGGCAGCGACAATGTCAACCTACTAAGTGAACCAACAGAGATCAACAACTGCGTCACAAGGTTCCGCACAAACGGCTAACAATTACACAGTACAGCCATTCAAAGGCCGTCGTATCTAGAACGCTAGATCCATCGCAGTCTTTCATACTCACTGAATATTTGAATTTGCCAACTCTCTTGAAACGTGCTATTCCCTGGCCATTACACACGATTTCTCACTTGACTATGATACTACAAACTGCCAGCTGTTCCAGTCTGATAAAAAGAATAGTATCTACGGCTATTTCATTTACACATGAAGTCTTTTTCTTGTCGGGCAGAGAGAACAGTATAGTTAAATGTGTCTTGAAGACGTGCACAACGGTCAGCGTTCCATTATCTTCAGTTTGGCCCAGAAATGCGTGAAGCTATTAAGTTAAAATAGACAACTCCACGAAGATGGAATGTCATAATGCTTGAGAATCAGCGCGTATGCTCCATTGGAGACTACTAATAACATGGCCTCCGCTTTTGTCAAGCCATTTTGTCGAATTAAAAAAATTGAGTAGCTCTATGTGTTGCATAGCCATTTATTTTCAATCCGGATAGAGAATGTATGACTCTGTTGCACATGTTCTGCCATACATTGTCAGCGCCCGCTTCTCCCTTTACTGTAGGCACATCATTGGAGGATATAACTCATGAGTTATAAGACTATGGGCGTAATATTCACTCCTCAAGAAAAGGTTCCTCGTTCAGGTATTCACTTTTTTCATTTGCTTTTCCAATCACTACTTATTCTCACGCACAGCTCTACAATCACTTGAATACTGTAATCTCTTCACTTGCTGACAGCGATACTGGCAATTGTCTACTCCATGCAGTCTGAGCTATAGGCCAAACCTCGTGCTTGACGTTAGTAGAGTTTGACAAGGTCTTTTGTGCCTCCCGTACTCCGCACTGCTGCACCCCTAAGGTATGGGGAGATACTTAACTCCAGACTCAATGCACGCTTAGCAGACAGCTGTCAGGCACTTCTCATAAGGGCTTCCCCGTTGCCTTGCCCCCGATCTTCAATGTAGCGAAGAAAGTTTCACTTGCACATTCTTACTACATTCGTTATATTGAACTAAGAGCTAATTAAAAATAACTAATTGGTTTGTCTGCTTATTTAGCTTGTATCTTTTAGGGTACTTTTAGCTCAACAAAAAAGTTGCAATGTTCTGTGTGAGTGCTCTCGATGCTTTGTGAAGCTAGCTGGAAATGCTCGGAGTGCCCAAGAGGTGCAGCAACGCTCACTCTAGCTGCCTCTCTGCCCTCTTGGCGGGAGTTCGGAGGGGCACGAGCACGGGGACGATGTAGCTTACATGGAGAAACACTTATTAATTATCTGCTAAGTTTCTACTGAGTGTGAAGCTTGTTCTCTCCCTATGGAGACCATTACACTTGGTATTATCGCAGCTGGACCCCTCATTCACAGGCTGTGGATGCATAGGAATGCCAGGTCCTCCTGTAACACTTGCTCGGATTCGGTTTAGTTACTGGATGCTCCAATGATCCGATCCAATTTTGTGACAGTCTGAGAGGAAGCTACCTCTGGCGAACTGAGCTGACGGTGACGCAACGCCTGAAGGGGTGATAGAGGCCGGGCTGCAAGCTAATGTGAATGCAGTAGCTGCACAGCTGGTAGAAAGCCATATCTATTAACCGATTAAATGACAGTGATTGCACCAATGAAGCAGCAGAACAATATGACGGTCAGATGGGTGGGCACGCACTTGAAGATTTCATCATCCCGTAGGAGATAAATCACGCTTTGCACCTCCAGATGGAAAGAAACAACTGCTCCTCTCGGCATGGTCAATGAAAGCAGCGGCACTGCAATGATAGTATTATTCACGCAAAATATTTATGTTCCTGCATGGTCTACTACAATCCGAGCCTTCATACAAACCCTCACTCATCGTTTCATGCTGAGATCAGCTCAACAGCCAGATGTAAGAGATGAGAAATCCCAAGCAGCTAGCCTATTTAAAAATCGGTATATCGAGAAACATTCAAGCTCTGGATTTAAAATCGCACAATGCAGGCGAGCAGCTGCTTCACAAACAGTTTATCTTGGGAATACGTGAAGTACCACGTGCGTTCATCGTAGGATGGGCAACGCCTAGGCCACCAAAAGGCCGGGCGGTGAGGCTTCGAGGCTTCGAGGAAAAGCCATGTCGACGCACGACCACCATCCATATGGTCTAAATTCCGAGTAGCTCTATCCCACAGTCCACTGTGGACTTAAAGTGATCGACAGACGGAACCTGCGCTCTTACGGGGCCCCAGGTAGCCCTTCAACAACGCAGCTGCTTGCATAGCAGGAAACTAGGACATATAATCCTCAGTTGCAAGCGCATGCGAAAGGTCTTGAAGCTAGAAGAGCACGACTTGAGCCCACAGGAAGCTGGCCGCTTGTTGAGCGAACAAGCTTAATTAGGGGAATGGCAAGCTCCTCACGCAGGCTACAGCCCAGCCATGGCAGCTACAAAGGGTTGAGCAGCGGGCGAGGCCCCATCGTGGATCAGGTCTCCTAGGATTTGAGTTGGCATGTGTGATCCGGATTTTATAGCACTAATTGACACTAGACATGAAGTGAATCTGTTTTCCGACAAAGCGGTGCGGAAGTGCAATCTACGTGGTTACTATTTAGCGCAGTCCCAGAGACCCAGGCTTGCTGACGGGCGGCAAAGCGCAAGGATTGACAAGACTACGGTTGCATGATGTTACTTCAAACTCCAATTGGACCCTTTCAGCATGATCCGTGACTTCTATATTGGGTCCCTGCACCTTGACGTAATCCTAGGCATGCTGTAGGTGGTTCAACAGAAGGTGCGCATGAATCCACAGCTGCGCACTGAGGGCATTAGTTTGAGAGGTACGGCTAGGATGGTACAGCTTCTGGTCTCCTTAACAATACTCATTTTATCCTTGGTTAGCCGGTAGAGGCAGTGTGCCTCAGAAAGGTGAGGGAGAGGCCTTATGCGGGGGTTTCAGCAGCGCAGTGAGAGAATATGGTTCTGAAGAGGCACACCGTCTAACTGGCTTTGCAACTACTTTTGTAGCATAGTATTCAATAACAACCTACCGGAGAACAGTGCGGAAGGGGCAAAACTTTGGAGGAGCTCGCAAATGTGCACAGTAATGACGAGCTGCCAGCAGGTCCATCCTGGTCGTCCAGGACAGCATATTGTGTTAAACTGTAACTTCACCCCACAAGCTATGTCCGCGGTGTCGGAAGCCCGCGCTGTACAAATAGACTGGGGGCGGGCGGATGATTTGTTGAAAAGACCAAACTGCACAGATCGTTACGGCTCCGGATAACCCGATGCTGTTGCCAAAAACGATGGGAGGTGGGGCAGGTAAGTTCTTTTTGCTGCTGAACAGGACAAGTTCCCTAAGCCTCAGAGTGACGAACACGTGGCAGTCTACGCGGATCAACAATCTCCTTGGCATTCAAAATCGCAGGTGGCTTCGTAGGAATTCTGATTCACCCTGAACTCAGGCACAAAACGGCGTTATGCGCTCGCACTCGTATACTTGAATATGCCTGAATTCCGCTTAGACTTCTTACTGCCCCAGCTAAGCTACAAAGTCAAATTGAGAGGCAATTCACGAGCCCATTACAGAGGGCTGGCTGGCTATCTACTTGGACGATGTCGTTTAACTCCAAACGTTCAAGAGCAACTCTAGCACCTACGGCGCGTGCTATGACTTCTGCCGGACAAGCAGTGCTGTTTTAAAGGATGCAAGTGGTCATGTTCCATGATCAGAACGACGTTCTGGAAGTCCATGTTTCAGCTGCAGAAAGTCAGCCAGAAGCGGCAAAAAGTTTAAGGAAGCAAGGCTTGGCCGCTAAGTTACGTGCTTGCAAGGCTACAAAGTTCCACAGCCTGCACTTGCACTCTATTTCATTCCTGGAATCGTTGTTCCTTGAACCTATATACACATAAACGTAGTAAATGCCCCGGAAAAACGGCTGATGCTGCAGCAAGGACGCCTTTCACTCTTAACTTTGCTCTGGCTCCTCATTTGAGGCATGTTCAAAGGCACAGAACCTGGTGCAGTGCTGCTGGGCACTTCTGGACAGCAGATGGCCTTTATTTATTCAGAAAAATTACTCATAAACCTCCTATACTTCGTGGAATTGTATGGGCTCATATGGGTCTGCTATAACAACTCCTTAAGGCGAAATGGTAGAGCCACATCGATTCGAATGTTCTGTGGAACTTACAGAAAAAAAAATGCACCAGGAAAGCACCTATAGTAGCGCAGTGTGAACGACTTACGCATACACTTTCTTTGCTATCAAAAACCCCTAGGAAAACTGTATTTTTATTCGTCAGATACATAACTGCCTAGGTAAACGCGTAGACAGAGCGACTCGGAATCTAATCTCACTGCATCCGCAATTGCGATCTGCTCATTCATCGAAAGAAATTAGAGTACCATTGGCAGTCTGCACTCACAACCTGCTTGTGTCACTCCAGCTTTCTATCTGTAATGCCACCCCAAAATGTCTCCGGGCATGGCCACACCGATACAGACTCTGCTTTGAAACCGCCTGGTAGAAGAGTCATTTCATGGTATTCTATCCACTGCTAAGCATTGTGAGCCTCAATACGCGGGTGCATTCGATGTCCCAGAATACCTAATATGCGGTGGACTCAGTGCTACCTAGACACATCACTAGCTATACACAAAGAAAAAAAGGGAAGTTCCCAAGGTTCTGCACCGTCAGCCAGGGTTTAGTTCTGTGCGGTGGGGATAGTTGTAAAAGAACTTCAACTTTGCAGATTATGAAACAAATAACCTGCGAGATAAAGCAGCTAATGCTGATAAGAAAGGCACGCTGTACCACTTAGTATTCAATGCCTTCATGATATGCACTGTGGCTGGTCCCTGGGCTGCAGTGCTGCTCCAAGGACAGACAAAGGCTGTGGCCCCGATGCTTTCCTGACGAATGCCACAGGTGGTGATTTCCTCTTTAATTTGATGAAGCTGATCTGGTGCTGTGGGGTTTGCTGTTGGAGCAATATAAACATTTGTACTCAGATCACACGACTGCACCAGTTCATGCGCCTCTAGAGGAACTTGCCCAGATTTTATAGGCCTTTAGCCTTTGTCTTTTCCATTTCGTTCTTCTGTTCCTAAAGTATTCAGCATATAGTAATGCCAATCAGGTGTAACGAAAGTCATCCCAGAGGCGCCGCGAGAGGCAGCGCAGGAGGCATATACATGCACGTGTGTGCGCTTCACACCCGAAGTGGGTACCGCTTGATGAAACTACGCATGATTTTTTTGGTACCAGGATCGCTAAATTCAGCTATTTGTCTTATTTCTTAGGTCTGTCATCGGTGAAGAATGCGCTCAAAGCGTGAATTTAATGACTGCCTAATGCCTTTAATTTAGAGCCCTCCAAGACATATATGCCGAAGGTTTCAAAATGTCTAGTGCACGACCACGTTATAGAATGGCATATGGTGCAATACCCATCAGTGTATCCCTATTTGAATGCTCGTAACGGGATCCAGGAGCAAAAAGCGAGTCAAGATTTTCAAGGTGATTCCTATTGTCCAAGCGAATAAGAGGTGCTATCAACTTGATATAAAACCTACAGCAATCCAGTTTGATGAAAACAGAGAGGTGGAAAATGTGACTAGCTGTGCCTGCATGCACGGTTAGGCAAACGCACAGCTACTTAAAACACAACCGCTCACCAAAAACCACCGCCAAAGAAAATTTGCCCTGTCCTTCGCAGTTACAATTATGCTAACGTCCAAACTAAAATATCAGCTGCACATGGGTCCAAGAAATGCTTGACAAAGTGTTAAATAGTATTCGATTCGACTTGGAAAAGGAAGACATATATCACTGAGAATGCGCGGCACCCTCGTTCTGGGTTGGCGTGGTTCCTACCACACTGAAGAGCCCTATAGTGCGACAAATTGAAAGGATAAGTCGAGATAAGGTACCAGGAACCCGTCTTCTAGCTCACTGCACTTGGTCTGGGGTCGTGCCGCAGCCATCTAGTTTCAAACCAGCCCGCGAGAAACCCTGAATATCAAATTTCCTATTCGCGCTGAGGCAGCTTGCAGTGCAGCTCAATATGCAAGGTGGAGAATCACGTTTAGGACAGGTTAGCGTAGCAGTCTAAGCAAAAAACCAAACTGCCCACTTCATCTTCGGAATTGCAAAGGTTCTGCCGAAGCTTCATTTCTTACGCGGCTTAGACGGCATCAAGAGCCTTTTGCTAAAGTTGAGGCAACGCTTTTCTAAGCCAATGTACGAATGCCACATGCGGTGTTTTCTCATAGTCTTAGTTGCGCCCACCAGCACATACTGTGCAGACCCTGCAGCTTTTGAACGGTGGGCTTGAGATCCAAGCTCAACGGAAGTTCACACGATAGCAAATGCCCAGCTTTCTTCCGTAATGCGAAGTTGCACGGATCCAGCATAGAACTCATTCGCTGTATTTTGCTTCTGCCACAAAATTATTGAGACGCAACCAAAATGCGACGCAAACATTCATTCATGAGCCGCGTGCGTTGCGAAAGTGCACAGTTTGTTTTAAGCTTAGCAATCCACTAAGCAATACTACAAGGCAGAACTTAGCAGTTAGTATGCAGTGTCTACCATACTACCATTGTACCACCGCTCTAGCTCCGAAATGGCTCAGGGAGACGTGATGCTAACGCGAGGCGTGACTTCGTCTCATCATCCATACACTAGGCTTCACGTTTTCATTCAAAATAAGTAACACACGATGCAACTGAAAGCTTGCAGTCATTCACAGACGCATCCGATGATCCTAGCATATTGTTGTTGTTTATATAGTTCAATGAACCTATCGGCAGAAGAAGAGGGCCGATGATGCATAACAGCCTCAGAGCTTGCTTACAATGAATCAATAGTTCCATATATTCATCGCTAAACGGAACTAGATATTAGGTTTCCGTGTTGCTGGGCTTTTGTTATTTCATCATTCTCGCCCTCCATCCGCTAATCTGGAAAATATTGAGTAGCTAACAGCACCGTTGTTTCTGGGTCCAAAACCTCCTCTATATTGGGGAACGCTATTTACTCCCAATATTCTAGACTGCGATTCGACTCTATAGTTCTCTGAGGCCCTAGCCTTAGTCGTAACATATGAAGTATTTCGATAGCCACTCACATACCCCACTCGCTTTTGGTTCAAGGCATCCGCAACAACAGCATCAGGAATAGATCTGCGTACCCAGCACCTCCACAAAAAAGGAATGTATGTATGCGTGAATATGCAGGTAAACACCTTACAGAAATCACGTACATCTATGTTCATGGCAGGCCTGCACGGTGTCCAGGTGCTGTTGAAGGATGCATTGTCAATTGTAGTTCGAGAGACAAATTTTTGTCATTCACCTCTTGGTTTTGCGCAGCAGCGTGTAGTGGCTCTAAGAATGGAATATATAGGGTAGAACGCGCTTGTAGGTGTATTTGCCTGTCGAGTTCCATCGTTGCCAGATTCGGTGGGAACGGTCTGTCCACGCATCTAATTTTGGCATACAGAGGCCTGTTTTTGCATTATGCAACAGATATTCCAAACAAATGCATATCGACTTCATTGTTCACTAGAGCAAGACGCAGCAGCTGCCTTTAGGCTGCAGAGCACTGAAAAAGATCGCGAATCCCGAGTACCTGGCTCAGCAGGTTGGAATTAGTTCCGATTCTGCGTTCAAGTCGACTGATCCTGGAATATATCGTCATAATGCCCTTTATGTTTTTACTTAGAGCTTATTTGTAAGAAGTAGACCTAAAAATAGGCCATATTGTAGGCCCAGGGTCGCGGCTTTCTCCACCTGTTCGAAGAGTGACAAGGGTCACTATGATGGTCTGTATGCGGTCTATCCCTATTCAGCCAGTCCCACAGTACTTAGAGGAAATTGCAGTTTGAAACAAGAAAAAGGGAATAAGCTCGGCAGTAAGCCATTTCAAGTTTTTCATATTCTTTTTAGACTTTCCTATCTACAAATCAATAGCTGATGCACCGACCGTATCCACCGAGTCCCCAAAAACAGTCTTTAAAGCTCAGTGGATCATCCATCGACCACAAGCTGGATTGTTCCTCCAAGGATTTGAAGATGCCGCCAATTCTGTCTGTGTGTGAGCTACTAGTCACTGGAATGACCTGCAGCGCGTGCACGGGAGCAGTTCAAGGGGCATTGCTTAAGCACCCAGGAGTTTATCAGGCCCAAGTGGAAGTAGTGAGAGAAACCGCGAGGATTGCATACGACAGCTGTGTCGTTAGGCCTGAAGAACTCTGTGCCGTAGTGGAGGGTCTGGGGTTTGGCGCCCAGATCCTTCAAATCTTTGTTTCTACGCCGAGAAGCCCACCAGGGGACTGTAGCAGAACCACAGCTGGATCTGCGGATATACTCTACGAGGAAGAACAACTTGGTTTTGAAGAGCCTCCAGCACGAGAAGAAGAGGAAGAGTTCACTCTGGGGTTTCAATCTGCCTTACTTCAAAGAGGTGGTGCAAACGATTCTGACACCCTCACACGGAAGGCCGACGCAACCCTCCACCTCGTTCTACAAGGAGACGCGGAGCTATCAGCTGAGTCAGCATGCAGAACTTTGAAGAGCAGCAATGGAGTTGTTGGCTGTACAGTGGCCCCACTGAGAAGTTCTGAAGTCCAAAGAGCGCAAAGGCTCATAGTGACCTACAAGCCCGAGGTAGTGGGGGCTAGAGAGATGCTAAGTAAACTGCTGCGCCAAGGCTTCAACCTGTTCCTGCTAGCCGAAGACCCCCTTGAGACGCAGGCAAGAATAGAGCACTTGAATTTACATCAAGTAGATGCTTTAGCGGAATGTAGTTCCACTACTACACGAAGTTGTTGCTGCGGCGGCATCTGTAGCTGGCTACGGGCCTGAGCTCTGGAACTGCGCCCTGAGACTTTTGCTGCAGAAACAGGCTGTCTTGGACAATCGCAGATCAGTGAGCAGTTCACTGCTGGTCTCGCTTCCACCAGCAGCGGTGGTACTCTGTCTTTCGATCATGGCAAGGACCCACAATCTGCCGCCCATCCTATTGTAAGAAACACGTCGTGTGTATGGGCTTTCCGGGTGCGTAAATAGCCCCTTGGCAGTGCGGGAGGGTGGCTGCTTCTGTGAACAAAACGCAAAGGCCCCTAGATCCCTATGACGGGCAACATGTGGCGCTTCCACCCACGTTACTTCTGTGGGGTGGATGTCTAAGCACCGCCCGCCCTCCCCCCAGAAGGCTTTATTCTTTTTGCGCCTTCTTCCGCTTTGTTTCAAGGCGCGAATGCATTCCGGGTGTGCGCGTATCCACAATCCTGTTGCTGTTGCTCACCACACTGGTCCAGTTCTACGGCGGCCGCGCCTTTCACAAAGCAGCTCTGAATGTAAGGCCCTCAGTCCACGTATCTAGTGAGCCAATAGTAGAGCCAGCCTTTAAGTGTATGTGTTCACGCCGCTGTCTACGTACTGCGCCCTTGAGAGGGCCTTAGGTGCTCTTGAGCCTCACAACAGTCTGAAGGCAATAAATGTTTCAAATGTGAAACGGAAATCAGTGTGGCTTCGTTCTTCACTTCGTCCAGGGACTGCGGCACCGCCACTGCAGTATGGATCTGCTAGTGTCTCTTGGCAGCAACTTGGCTTTCGTCTACTCGGTCCTCTCGTGCATCCAGGCAGCCGCAACGACCCTATGGTGCAGGCCACTACTTTCCGCTGCTGCTACGGAGCCCGAAGGAGCCACCGCCAGCACCGACGCAAATCAAAGCCCCTTCCGCGAGCTCATAGAAAAAGCTGAACCCCATTTATTCCTGGACACTTGTGCAATGCTCATCTGCGTCGTTTTACTCGGCAAGGTGAGAGTGGCTGGCGGCCTTTCCAAAGCCGTCCTGCACGAAACTCTTCGAGAAGGGGCATCTCCCAAAAGTTTGGAAGGACTCTGAGAACAGCAGCGCTCCCTCCCGACGCCTCTTGAAAGATTCGCACCTAGCAGACGCTGTTTGCCCAAGGCATCAAAATTGAAAGCTTTGCCGAGGTGAATGTTCGCATGTTTGTGCTACAGCTCATGCAGCTGCGAGCCAAGGAACGGATCCTTAAGCAGTTGTACTGGTGAGCTCGTAACCTAGGGACCCTAAACTTCAGTTTACCTATGACTTCTGAATTCCTAGTAAGGCTGCCGTACTTAGTATTTTTCTTCAAAAATTTAAGAGCCCCCAGGAAAAGCAGCAGCAGCAGGCAGGTGGCCCTCCTATTCAAAACCTCGCATGGACAGGGAAATTTAGGGGATCTCTGTAACAGAATGAACGTAGTGCCAGCTGGTCATGGAAGGCCTTTGAATCGCGTCTGGTGTGAGGGCAGACAATTAGGCGCTGAAAAGGCTCTCGAAGCACGAGTGTGTGCGGGGTCCCTTCGTTAGTCGCAACTCTGCGTGGTCTTGGGAGGTCTCTTTGGCGCTTCTGATGCTGCAGCCTGCACAACCTGAAAGCCCGCAGCGTGCATTTGGTCCTGCGATCAGCCGACCGCGCAGTGGCTGCTTGCCTATCGCCACCAAACCCCTCGGATCTATCCGTTTCGGAAGCCAGCGTCTACTGGGACGAGCTGTTGAAGGTTCCGTACTTGTCGAGTGGTGGCAGTGACTGTCCAGGGGGGCCTCCGTCTCGGCGCTGGTGGCACGGAGTAGCCTCTGCCTGTGGGCTGAAGAATTTTCGGAACACGTATAATCCGCTTTCGCAGCCGGATCCGTGCAGCCTTCCAGAAGAAGCGGAGGAGGCTGTTGCGGGCAGGGAAGGGCGTTGCAGCTCGGCTGCTGCCCGAAAGGAGCTCGAGATGCCACCCGTGGAAGCAGCACCGGATCTTCCTGCGGAAGTCGTGATCAGCACTGATTTACTGCAAAAGGGGGATGTTGTGCGTGTTCCTCCTCAAGGAGTCTTGCCAGCCGATGGCATTTTGCTGGTAAGCTCGGAGGGAGGCGGCTCACAGCTCCGCTGTGGTGTTGAGGAATTGCAGCCGTCGTCAGGCGCTGCAGAATTCAGGTGGAGCTAAGCTCCTTCACTAAGTCCCTCTCGTTGTGAGGTTGTGGGTTAAGACGGCGTGAAAAGGTGGCGCAGTGCCTGCAGGAAGAGTTGCCGCGAGGTCGTCTCGAAAGCGTTTGGGGAAAGGCGTTATAAGGCTAGAAGCAGAGAGGGCTGCTGCGGCTAGACATGCACAAGACCGCAAAGCCGCTGCGTGAGTTTGTGGATCCACAGGCACCCGATGTGCTGCACGTCGACGAGAGGCTCATCACAGGGGAGGGCCGCGCAGTGGCGAAGATGGTGGGGAATCGAGTGATTGGCGGCAGCAAAAACGCTGCTCATACCGACGCGTATGTACGCGTTGAAACGGTGAGACACTTGATTGCACGCCAGGCGTGCAAGCTCATGTGCGGCAACGCGCAGTGACAGTGCAGCGCCGTGCAGGTGTGTTTCCCCTTTACGGGGGGTTCAGCAGGGGTAAAGCGTGATGGGCAGGGTGAGAAGAGAGGGTGTCAGACATTGGGGACGGCGCGCAGGCCGCTTCGTCCTTGCTTTCAGCTTAGAAGCCGTAGCCACTGCCTCTGCTTTGCTGCGGATGCAGGTCGGGGATGGTTCCGTGCTACAGACATTGCTGCGGCTGGTGAACACGACACAGCAGCAACAGCAGCCCATGCAGAGGGCTGCGGAATCGTTTTCTGCGTACTTCATTCCCACGGTTATCTGTATCTCCGTGGTGGCGGCTCTTGCCTGGGCTGTGAAGGTTTTTACCGCTACAGACATGGCTCCCCTGTCCACCCTTCAGCAACTGCGCAAGCGTCTTCAGGAGCTGGAGCTGTACGAGGGGCTCTCAGAGGTGCAGCCGCAACTGGTGCTGCAGCAGCTCGAGCAGCAAGCGCGTGGCACCGACCCTCAGAACGCCTTCTTAGGAGCATCGGTTGCACCAGGTGCACACGCCAGCGCTTCCTTCGACGCAGCACCCATCGCGTCACATGTGGTGGAAGCGGCTGCCGCTGCTTGCCAGCTTTCAGGCTGGGTTGTTACCTGGGATAGCCTTCTGTTCGCCTTGCGTTTCGGAGTAGCCGTGTGCTGCGCTGCCTGCCCCTGCGCCATCGGGCTCGCCGCGCCAGCGGCATTGGCAGCAGCAACGGCAGCAGCGGCAGCGAGAGGCGTGTACTTCAAGAGTGGCAGGGCACTCGAAACGGCGGCATCAACGAACGTCCTTGTGCTCGACAAGACTGGCACACTGACAACCGGGGAGCTGCGTGTGCGGAGTGAAAAATGACCGTTGAAACAGAGTCTCAGACACCCCCTAACATGAGCAGCGCGGTCTCAAGCGCCAGGCGGACAGACACCCGAGCTGCGTAGCTACTTAGCCACGCCGCAGAAAGCCCTCCTTGTTGCGTTTGCAGGGCAGTCCACAACCTTAGACCTAGCCAAGCACAAGGTTGTTAGGCATCAGCAGTTCGTGGCATTGACCTCTCCAAAAAGCACCCACTCTTGCCGTTCCTTCATGTGGCTGCTAATGCATGCTTTTCTTTCATTTCGTTACTCGTAGGTCGCTGCATGCGCCTTCCAAACAAGTCGCATCAGGGAGCTTGTTCTTCCAGCGTTTTTACAAGAGGGTACCAGACCCCGTCCAGAGTCGCCTTCTCCTGCTGCCAAGTCCAAAGACGACACCTGGCATTCCGCTGCAGACTCGGCCCCCTCGCAGAGCTCCTCGAGCTGTCCGTGCTGCTGCAGCAACGCAAACCCCAGACACAGTGGAAACGCTTCAGTTGCAGCCAGTGTGTCAGCGTCGGGAACCTCAGACGACACTTCTGACTCTGCAACAACGCTCCCAAAGGACACACCGGGGATCGCCGAGCTCAAACTAAACTCGCCAGTATACAGCGAAAGGGATGATAACGACCTGCGCATGGACGGTAGCCGTTGCTGCGCCGCTGACACGTTTCCGGGAGGGGCTCTTGTGTTTCGCAGTTTCGAAAATTTCTTGAGGACCTCTCCAACCGCCTCTTTTAAGGATGAGGTCACCGGCAGCAGCACGGCATGCAACAGCGCCAGCAGTTGCTGCGGCGGTCCTCACCAGCAGCGGGAAGGCAAAGGCTTTCATTTCAGCTATAGCATCGAAGGAGAGCAGGGACGTGCCAGATTGCAAGAAACACTGGCAGAGGCCTCTGAAGAAGTGCTCGAAACGAGCTGCTTTTTGTGGGCAATGAGCTCTCTTGAGCAGGGCAGCAGTCACTCCGTTGGAATAGCCCTCGTGAGCGCTTATGAGATATGGAAGCGAGGATCTGTTTCACATGCTCTCACGAGTACCACCGAAAAGAGGAGGTATCCGACACCACTCGATGGCTACGACCTCCCACCACCGCACCCTTGCAAAGATGTGCTGCTACTGGCCAGAGGCCTTGAGGGATCCCTAGGAGCGACTTTAAGGCTACGTATAGCAGCTACCGACCCAGCAGAGGGTGAGCACAAGTGCAATACCGACGAGAAGCATGGGCTGCTCTCAGAATTCGCCGAGGCGGCGGGCGTGCCCGCTTTTTTGTCAGTACATTGTTTTGGACGTTTCGCTGTGCTGGCGTGTCTTCGTGGTGCAGAAACGGAAGGTAGATGCGCCTTTTCTTACTCGACTGAGGGGCTTAGCGAAAGGGAAGCCGATCAGTTGGAGGCAAGGCCCGTCACTTTCAGCCTCGGCTGACAAGAAACTGTAGTGCTGTCTCCCTGCTTTAGAAAAAGCGTCGATCCCCGTTCAACTCCCTTGGTAGCTACTAAGGGCAGGCGTAGCGAGAGTGAGGCAAGGAAGCCTTCGTGGCACTCCTTTTGTGTGCAGTACAGTACGCTGTCTGCTTGCTGCAGGAGTGGATAGGTTGGCACGAAAGCCATAGCGGACCTGTTGTCCACTTGCACGCATCTGTGTTACCAAGAAACTCTAAAGACGCGAAGCCAGAGTGGGTTTGGCTGGGAGCTGTGGCGCTTCAAGATGAGATTAATGACGAAACAAAGGTGGCGGTGAAGTATCTGAGGCAGTGCTTGGGGTTCAAAGTCTTTATGTGCACGGGAGATAATCCGAGGACTGCTGCGCGTGCAGCTGCGGCTCTGGATATTGCCGCGTCGCACGTAATGGCACAGCAAACGCCAGAGGCTAAAGTGCGCTTCTTACGTTCCCTGTCATGTCAAGGCAGCACTGGAGCCAGCTCAGAGACTGCTGGCGATACCAGTGGCTACAGCAGTCCCTTTATGTCGTCGCTCTTGGAGGAAGGGCAAAAGGGGGCGCCTGTCTGCTGCATGGTAGGAGATGGTTTAAACGACTCGCCAGCACTGGCAGAGGCCGCTCTAGGCGTGGCATTTGGAGTTGGAAGCTCCTTGCCCCTCGCTGCCGCTGGGGTCGCTGTGGGCGGGCGCAGTTGGACCGAGCTTGTGGACCTCTTCAAGATTGCGAGGCAAACACGAAGCATTATTCGTTGGTATGTGTAACGACCCTCGCCGCCTCCTGCAATCCTTGTTTCCTTCCGATCCATACTTCAGTAAAAGGCTCAGAAAAACGCTGCCGAGACGAGAGGCCAGCTACTGTTTAACAGCAATCCCTGCCATGGCTAGAAAAGCGTGGGCGTGGTGAAGCAACAGACTTCTCTAGGGTCGCTAGCCTTTCGGCATATCGTTGAGCTACTTCATTTGAAATTGCTTTCGAGGGGGTCCGCAAGCACACACATAAAATTAAAGCTTTTGTTGCGCTTTTTGCAGGAATTTCATGTGGGCATGCACCTTCAATTTGGTTGCTGTTCCCCTCGCTGCTGGTGTGGCGTATCCCACAGTGTCTGTACACCCGGCAGCAGCGGCGGCGGCAATGGCTGGCAGCTGCTTGCTCGTGTTGCTGAATGCACAGCGACTGTGTCGCTTTAAGGCCACAACTACACAGGACATGGTAGTGGAGCTGGATCGACAAGAGGCATCATACAGGGGAAGACAGGAAATGTCACGAGAAATAGCGGACTCGATTTGGGATGGGTCGTCACCACGTGTTGACTCCTCTCTGCGGCTTCAAAGTGACCACTGCTCAACTGAAGGTTCATTCGGTGATGATTTCTCGCTCCTAAGTTCGAGTTTGCCACCAGTTCCAAAGTCATTGATGTACTATGATACAGGCAGAGCTGAAGACAGCAGTGCGCCCCTCGAAGGACCACCATACGGCCCGAGCATCAATGAACCAAGTGTTTCTTCAGCTTCCGGGAGGAGAGATGTGATAAGTTGCTAGAAAGCACTTTGCACCAGCCTGCAGCTAAACTGCCATGCGCCACAGGAGCGGTTCTTGCTGCACTGGGATGGAGAGCCTCCCGCCCATCTCCCCCACACCTTCAAAATTTTATTTTATGCTCTTTAATGCCAACAGATATACCGTCTTGTCACGAACAATACAAGGTGTTTCACGCAGTGGCCGTGTGCGGCTAGATCATACTCGCCAGACACTCCTATGTTAGACCGGTAGGGTATGCATCCATGAAGAGGAAAATGCTAGAAGGAAACAAGGCTGCTACAGTCGTTGGAGTTTTGCCTTTGAGGCGTAAATGGGGCACGAGTCCTGCTCATGCAATCGAATTGTCACATGCAAGTAACACGCGACTAGCGTTACTTTAGATGGTTTTAACAGGTGCAGGTTTCCCCTTAATGGCATTCTGAACGGCATTGCTTGTAAAGCTGCTAAGCGTGTGCCTCAGTTCAAAGGAGCTTAAGGGTCGCCTAGTTTCACGTGAAATAGTGACGACAAACACAGAATCGCATCGCCTCGAGTGCCTGGCAGTCCACTTCCCCCCTATAACGAGTGGAGAATCCAAGAGCCCACTCTACATGCGTAGCTTTTCATAGTCTCTTATTGAATTATGAATGGCGAGAGGTTCGGGACTGCTGCCCCAGGAGGATCTAAACGTTGCGTCGGCAACGCTGCAACCGGAAGAGGCAGCTGCAAACCGCTATACAGTTGGCTTTCGGCTTGCATGATCACAGGACGCGGAGCATTATGGAGTCAAAGATGTCAGTGCATGATACCGTGTATCTTCGAGCTGAGGCGCAAGATCTAGAAGCACGCAAGGAGGGACCGTATGAATTGCGGAAGCGCTGGCAACAAAAGGATCACTGCCCTCTTTGAAGACATCGATATGCCTCATTATTGTCGCTAGAATCCCTGCATTTACGCTATCAATCACTCGTGCAGTACACCTAATGCTCCACATACAGGCACGGCGGTCCTGCATAACAGTAGTGTTTCGTGTCCGGGGCTGAATGAAGCTCAGGGAAGACTGTAGCCTTGAGGAAGACTGCAACGAGGTATGGTGAAAGTTTATGCGGAGTAATTTGAATCATTTGGCTGGAAGCGGTACTTTATGCGTTTGCGGACGCTGCGCCAAGACAGGAGGAGACGCCTCACAACTGCTCGCCGTCCACGCCGACTTCACCGTGTACGGCTGCATGCGAACCGTTAGTTTCTGAACGTCATCATTTCGTCTTATCTGTGTTCCTCGCTTCTTTCCTACACTTTCTCCCGCTCCCTAGGCGTCCTCCCGTTGATTCGGGGTTGCTGTGGAGGGCGGTTCGCCACCTCTCTCTCCGAACACCACGGCTAACTGCTCGTTTGGTTTGGGAACTTCAGGAAAAGGAGCCCACAGAAATCCGCTTCCATGGTGGCTGTGTGCTTCAGAGAGACCTGGAAAAGCAGATATATCCTCCTTTGATTCATCGAAACTCGCCACGCCTTCCTCCACGCACGTACCCATACAAAAGGCACACGCACCATGGACCACGATACAGCTGCCGCCTTTCAGCGCTTAAAGGAGGCCGATCCAAGCAACCGGCGCTGTCTTGAGTGCGGTGAGCTCCGTTCGAGGTCGTGCTGGAAACGCAGCGTAGACTGTCTCGACAGCCGACACTTGCGTGCGCTGGCGCAGTGTTGCCACATGGCCGCTCACCGACCTGCACGTACGGAGGGCCCTCTGGTATCGGCAGTCAAGGGGCAGGAAAAAGCCTTCGTCGCACATGGCGTTACTTCAGGCACTGCGTTCGCGTGTTTGGAATGCTCTGGTGCTCTGCAGACACTCCGGAGCCACAATGGTGCGCACTGTCGTACGGCGCATTCGTGTGCCTCAACTGCTCCAGCATTCACAGGCAAGTTGGAAAGTTGCCTCCTGCTTTTGGCACGTGGTTTCAAAGCCAAACACAGCCCTCATCCGCCGTCTATCTACCCCTCCTCCCTTCCAGTGATTTCGCCGAGGCACCAAGCGCCTTCCGCTGTGTGTCTGCCTTGCAGCAGCGCTCAGCTTGCTAGGCTAGGCAGACTTACCAGCGGCGCCTATTCAGTGCAGCTCTGTAGAGCCGCCTAGCAGGCGAGCGAGCACGAGGCTGCCGCTCTCTTACAGAAAGGGGGGAAGAGGGGGAGGGCGGGGGGAAGTTCAAGCTTTGGGGAATTGCGAGACGTGTTGCTGCTGCCGTAGCTTCTCCTGCAACTGCTCTGCGCATTCTGACGGTGATGCAGGAGCTTGGGGGTGCATCTCAGCTTTGTTAGGAGCAGCACGATGGATGCTTGGCAGCCACTGCAAGTGAAAATGATGGAGGTTGGCGGCAATGCCAAGTGCAAGAACTTCTTCGTCGAATACGTGAGACGCTTCACGACAACAACCATGAAGTTGCATCTTCTTTCGTTGCGCCTCGCATTCTTCTCCCTTGCCTCCCCATGGACCTTCTTGCATGCGCCGCCCCTGTGTCTATGTATGTGCGTGTATGTGCAAATGTGTGTATGTATGTATGTGCTTCTGGACATCTATATGTACATACACCTACATACATATTTACACCTATATTTACATATATACCCCTATATATACATATACACACCTATATATACATGTACACACCTATATATACATGTACACACCTATATATACATATACCTATATATATATATATATACATCTATATACACATATATACATATACACACATATATATATATATATATATATATATATATATATATATATATATATATATATATATATACACCTATACATACATATACCTATATATATACATATATACACCTATACATACATATACCTATATATATACATATATACACCTATATATATACATATACCTTTATATATACATATGTGCACCTATATATACATATATACACCTATATACATATACACACCTATATATACATATATACACCTATATATGCATATACCTATATATATACATATACACACCTTTATATACATATATACACCTATATATACATATACACACTTATATATACATATATACACCTATATATACATATACACACCTATATATACATATATACACCTATATATACATATACCTATATATATACATATACACACCTATATATACATATATACACCTATATATACATATACACACCTATATATACATACATACACCTATATTTATACATATACACACCTATATATACATACATACACCTATATATACATACATACACCTATATTTATACATATACACACCTATATATACATACATACACCTATATTTATACATATACACCTATATATACATACATACACCTATATTTATACATATACACCTATATATACATATATACACATATGTATACATATATAACCTATGCATATATATATATATACAGCTATATATACATATATACAGCTATATATACATACATACACCTGTCTATATACATGCTGTGGCGGCTTCTGCAGGGAGTGTGGGATATGCCCCCGAAGGAGCGGTATGCTACGAAGGCGGCTGCTTATTACAGAGCGTTGCTGCGATCTGCTGCTGAACCATCAATCACTGCGCCTCCTCTGCCGCTGAAGCGTGAGGAAGCAGCGGAGCCGGAGGTTACCATTTCTTCGTCTCCGTCCTACTCCTCGATTCGCTCTCTTGGATCGAACCTCCTGAACGAGCAGCAGGCACAGCGGGAGGAGGGGCAGCAGGGAGGAGACTCCGCGCAAGAAGAAGGCTTCATGGCTACTTTGCAGCAGCAGGCAGTTGCTGCCTCCGCAGCTGCAGCTGCAGCGGCAGCAACTGTCAGCAACACTGGAGGGGCAGCGATAGACTCTGCTCTTCAAAGCGTCACTTCCTTCGTCTCCGGTGCTCGAGAATACACAGCCAAAACTTTTGAGGCAGCGGGAGAGTCAAACTTCGTTGAAAAGGCAAAGGGAGGACTACAGAGCGTAGGCAGACAACTGACAATGCTGCAAACACGACGAAATTCACCAGTGTTGAGGCGGTGGTTGTCTCTCTATTCTCTCTCTAGCATCTCTCTCTGTTCTCTACTCTTTCTATTATACCTCTCTACTCTCTATTCTCTCTCTATGGTCTCTCTTTATGGTCTCTCTCTACTCTCTATCCTCTCTCCACTCTCTCTCTATTCTCTATTGTCTCTCCATTCCCCCTCTACATGTACTCTCTCTGTCTTTCTCTACGTGGCTGCATCAAACAATACGCGCCACCCCAAGGCAGAAGGAGGAGGCGGCTGCTGCTGCCTTAGGGTACAGCGGCTGCTGCTGCGTGAATTTTTGTGTATTTGCATTCGAGCTGCAGCAGCTGCCTCGACTGAAGTCTTGCCTCAGAGGGCACCTCGTCCTCGCACGCAGTGCGCAGCATCCACTGCCCGACGCCTGCTGACTCGCGCTGCTGCGCATGGGATGCTGTTTTTGGGTGTATTTACAGGGAAGCGAGTGGATCGCTCAGCAAGGCAAACGCATCTCGTCAACCTTCAGTGAGTTTTTCCTCGATTTTCGTCCGACAGAGGGCCCGCCTGTCCTCTTTTTTCTGCCGCTCAGCTCTTGCCGCGCTGGCAAGTTCTCTTCCGATTGATTGTTCGATTGATGAGCATTGCGACGCAGCCGGCTCAGACGCAAGTGCTGACGGTGGCTGTACCTCGTCGTCACCAAGGCTGTCGGAAGAGCAGCCACAGGAGGGGGAAGAGGGGCTGCAATCGCAGCAGCGCAGCGGCAGCGGAGTGCTGGATTCAATGCGCGACTTCACCCGCCGCTCACTCTCCAACGTTTCCCAGGTCGTCCGTAGCAGCAACAGCGGCGTCGGTGAGGGCGGGGGTGTCTTGGAGAAGGCAAGAGAAGGTTTAAGCTCGGTGAGCTGCACGTTCGGCTGGCATTGCTCTCCTTAATGCGCCGCTCTAGTGACGCGCGAGAGACAGCGATAGCGACGCCACGCGTAGCGACGGCGTGCCCCCGTACGCTTGCTGTTGCATCGCGCTGCATGCATGCACAGAAATGTGCAAAAGTGGAAGCAGCGCTTTCAGCGTGGCAACAGCAGGGGGGAGAGCTGCCGTCAAAAAGGGGGGAATGGCAGTAGGGGACGTAGCTAAAAGGCTTTGTGTCTGCTTTGCTGCTGCCTCAGCTGACGGCTGTGGCGACGGGTTGGCTGCAACCTGCCGAGACTCCGTCTCCAGAAAGCAGTAAGACAGACACCCGGTGATGCACACTTCGCTTTTAGCATGCATTCCCATGAATAAATGGAAAAAATTATTCATGAATATGAACATAACCCTATTTATAAGCACCTTATCGTCCATATCAAGGAACAGTACAGCACACGCGGACTTGCATCGACGCCTGCACGCTGGTGCGGCTACATATGTATACATACATGCATATCTAGTGCCTCGCGCATGCGTGCCCTTTCTGGCTTTGAATAATGTGGGAGCCTTGAAACGGAAGGAAGAGCGTGCATTCCAGGGTTGCAGCGCCATCAGCTTCCTTCTCGATCAAGAGCACAGCTTCCTACAGCGCCTGCATGCGCTCCGTTGCTGCCGTTGCGCGTGTAGGCCCTCCCAAAGGGCTAAATGGAGGGCCAGACATCCCAGAGAAGGTGCTCTAGCGTTGTTGTGTGTGAACGTATCTGCCGCTGTTTCGCTCGGCGGCTTCCAGCCTGCCGCCAATGTCGTTGCCTTTGAGAAGCCTCGCTAGATCCCCCTTTCCCCCCCGTAAAAGTTTCAAACCGCGGGGGTGGTATTCAAAGGCGGGCATGCCCCCGCCGTATGCAGGGGCTTTTTACCGAAAGAGAACAGCAGAGGTGTCGCGCTGGCGCTAAGGGTCATAGTTTTAGTTTCTCCTTGCTCGCAGCCATGCGAGTTTGCCTACGCCGTAACACTGTGAGGTACTACTGTATTCCCTTTTGAACGCTAGCTCTAAATGCGCGAAAGGGAGAAAGGATAGGTGGTGGCTAGCTATGTTTCGGTGCGTGAGAGGAGTCCGTTCAGCTGCTGGTGAGCCCCCCTGCTGAAAGAAAGAGCTTTTGGGGGAGTGCCTTTGTGCCGCGCTTGGTTACAGAGGCAGTCGCTTAGCGGTCCACTGGAGGGGTCACCCCCTTCTCCCCTTCTCCTTTCCTTGCTGGCGAAAGGTGTGGCGGGGAAGCAAGCCACCGCAACAAAACAAAACGTGGAAGGCTTCTAGCGGGGAGAACGCGCACTCACCAGCCAGTAGCTAGTCAGCTCGTTAGGGGGTTGCACACTGGTCTGTTACGTGTGGCAAAGGGGCCCTTCAGAGAGGGAGGGTGCAAAAAGCCTAAGCAGAGAGGAAGCAGCCTCGGCAACGCGGCGTAGAGGAGCGTGCAGCGCACGGCTAAACAGCTGCCTGAAATCCCCACATTTCGTTGTGCAGCAGCGCCTCCAGCCTTTGGAGGATGTCTTCGTCAGATGCGAGTTTTGCAGCGTGGCTTCGCGCGGCAGCAAGCCCATCGACAGTCTGCAGCAGCAGCAGCAAGCCTTGCTGCAGCTGTTGCAGCTCGGCTGGCGCTGCGCCGTCTCGCAAGTACAAGGGCACTTCGCCCTGAGGTGTACAGACACTCGAGCGAGCGCCCCTTGCGAGCACCTTGTTGTTAAGTGGGGTGTCTGTGAAGCGAGAAATCAGCAGCACCAGCAATGCGGCGAGCCCAGCAGCCGTCGAAATGACTAAGGCGCCTTCGCTTCTTGTTTTTGCGTCTCTCAGAGCTTCACAAACCGACGCAATGGGCGGCAAGGAGAGAGACAGAATAGTCCTCCCGCCGTCAGTATTCTCGATCGGCAGCAACTGCGCCACCTCGTGCAGCTTCCTTACCCTCAAGCAGAACAAGCCTTGCTGCTGCTGCTGCAGTTCGGCTGCTGCTGCCGCCACGCGCTGCTTGCTGCATCGGTACTGCAGGAGCAGCGCCTCGAGACAGCGATTTTGGTGCTGCAGCTGCTTTCGCAAAGATCCAGACAAGTCCAAGAGGCATGTCGCCAAGCGCGCCTCTATTTTGCACATGGCAGCAGGGAGGCTGCTTCGATTGCTGGCAATGAACTGCAGCCTCCTTCTTCTCTCCGCTTCTTCGTGCTGGGGGGTAGAGACACCACAGCCCATACTGCTGGCACTGACACTGCTGACACCGACACTGCTGGCACTGACACTGCTGACACCGACACCGCTGCTACTCTCCAGAAAGGTTTTGCTGCTAATCCTGCTGCTCGCTCGTCTCCTTCCGCGAACAGCATCCTCGAAATCAGGAGGCACGTTTGTCTGAGCCTTCCTGGAGAGCGCTGCCTCGCGTGCGTTTGTTAGAGTTTCCTCTACTGCAGTTGGTGAGGAGAGTGACACTCCGATCCTCATCGCGGAGGCGCAGTGGTCGCGCTGGCTTGCTGGGAGGAGAGGCTGCAGAGAGGCAGCAGAATCGGAGGCTGTCTTGTCAGCAATGCGGTGACTCCCGTACGTTGTTGCTGCTGCTGCTGCGAGGGCAGTTCTAAGATGCATGTCTAATTGTGCCTCCAACAGCATCCGTTGCCGTCGCAGCCGCAGCAGCTCGCGCTGCTTTTGCTGCAGCACTTCCGTCTTCTGCAGCAAGTCGGATTGCAGCACGACAGCATCCTGCGAAGAGAGATGCCTACTCGCAGCTTTCGCTGGGTTTGCCCTTGTTGTTGCAGTCTTCGCGAAAGGAGACGCACTTGAAGCGGCAGTCGAGAAAGGCTGCCTTGCGCCGCTTGTCGCTGCATTCTTTGCCGCGGCTGCTGCATGGCTGCGGCTCAGACTGCCGCTAGTTCTTAGAAAAAGAGGCCATGCGTCTTGCTGCCTCGAAGAGAGGAGCTGTGCTGCACCTTGCTCTTCCTCCTGAGGCACTTCGTGCTTCCCTGCGCATGCGCTTTTTGCAGCAGCTAGCCGGTCGGGAGCAGCAACAGCTCCCAAGGAGCTATCGGAGGCGTCAAGATCGCTTGCGTCGTCTTCACTTCTGCAGCTGCTGCTCTTGCTGCTGAAGCTGCTGCTGCTGCCGCCAGTCTCCATCTTGCGCAATGCTGTTTTTGCTGCTCCTTTTGCTGCTGCTGTTGCTGCTGCTGCTGCTGCTACGAGGTTGCCGACGTGCCCTTCGCAGCATTCTGCTCGGAGAGCCTCAGCGTGCAGTCACCCTCTGCTTGCTTAAGCGTCTGCCTTCCGTGACTGCATCCTTAGCTGTCTCCATGAGGCGCGGTGCTCTGCTCAGCTCGCAGCGAATGCAGAAGCAGAAGGCGTCTGCAGTGCCTCGAAGAGGCTGCAGGGGGAAGACACGAGGCGCTGCAGCAGCAGCTACCCCGCCTCCTCGCAGAGTGGCAGACACTGCGGCTGCTGCTGCCGAACACACAAAGACAAAGGATAGCGAGCAGCACCACCTCTGTGTTGCTGAAAGGGGTTGTTGTGGGCAGCGCTGTGGTCAGCGCGAGTGCCGCCACTGCTGCGCTTGCGCCGCTGCGGCTGCTGCTGCTGCTGCGCATCCACGACACTGAAATACGAAGCTGAAACGCAGAAACTTTAGCAGTGGGTCGCTCCGACGGTGTTGTTGCTGCTCCTGCCGCCTCGAATTGGCTGCTGGTCCGTCCCTCTGAGCTTCCCTTAGCCGACGCAGGAGGCACTGCACCGCTGGAGTGGCGGCTCAGAGACAGCGCGGCAGCCGCAGTGGAGGCGAGGGGTGGTACTCCAGTAGGCGGTGCGCTTGGCTTGGCTGCGTTCCGCGCTTGCGCGTGTTGAAAAAAGCCTAAAAGCGACCTTTTAGGCGCATTTGAAAGTCTGTCGAGCAGAGAGAAGAAGGGCAGGAGGGGCGGCAGCCGCTGCAGCTGCCGCGTTTGTTGCTGCTGCTGCTGCTGCTGCCTCTGGAGCGCTCAGTGCTGCCGCAGCAGCAGCAGCAGCAGCAGCAGCAGCTGCTGCTGCCCTCCAGTCCCACCAACCCCCCTTTGGGAGCTCTGGCAGCAGGAACAAAGCTTGAGTTGCGTGTTTTTGCGTGTGGAAACGCTTCTGGAGCGTCTTCTGATTCCAGCACGACCCTTGATGCAGACGCCGCTGCAGCAGCAGCGGCTGCTCCCAGTGCGTCGGCGCGGCAAGGATCGCAGCAGGTGCTGCTGCGTTGGCAGCAGTTTCGCAGCTTCCAGACGGCCCCTAAAGGCAGGAGAGCCCTTCGGCTGCATGAAGCAGCAGAGTCTGCGAGTCTCCAACAACGCGTAGACGCGCAAGAATAGACTCCACTCCCAAAGAACACCCTGGAGCGTCGACACAACAACCACCCCGCGAAGAAGGCGGCTCCGCATGCCTCTGCAGCGCCGCCTCTGCGAGCACTCCCCGCGAAAAGGAGGCTTCCTGTCTGCGAGAGCAGTGCGTGTGGCAGGAAGCAGCAGCAGCAGCACGCGGCAGAAGCAGCAGCAACTCCTCAAGCAACGGGGGGGAGGGAGGAGGGGAGGCATCCTCGTGGCTGCAGGCTGCAACACACACAGTGGCAGTTTCCTGTGCGATTCGCCTTCCAATACACGCCTGGCTTCTCGGGGGCAGGCGTTCAGCAGCTGCAGAGACACATCTCAAACGGAAGTTTCTCTTTCGCGCAGCAGCAACAGCAGCAACAGCAGCAACAGCAAGGATGGCACTTCGTGAAGTCTCGTCTAAGGGAAACTCCCAACGCGCCACAGCAGCGAGGGGGACGCACGACACCGCCAACAGTACTACTGGCAGCAGCAGCAGCAGCAGCAGCAGCAGCAGCAGCAGCAGCAGCAGCAGCAGCAGCAGCATTAGTAGTAGTAAAGGCGCACCGCCCACACATGCGCCAACGAAGCGCTCAGGTGTCTCGAGCAGCAGCAGCAGCAGCAAGGCGGAGGCTGCAGTGAAAGACACGAAGAACTGCAGCAGCAACAGTGGAAGCAGCAGCAGTGCAGAGGTGAGGAAGAAGAGGCGGAAACAAGCGTTTCTGACGACTAAAAAGAGGCGTAAAACGAGCAGTAGGGGTGCTGGTAGTGCTGGTGCCGGAGGAAGCAGCAGCAGCCGCAAAGCAGCAGCAGCAACGACGACGAGAGTCTCCCGAGAGTGCCGCAGCGCCAGTGCGAACAGCAGCAGCAGCGGGAGCAGCAGCGGGAGCAGCAGCAGCAGCAGCAGCAGCAGCAAAGAAGAGGAGGAGCAGCAGGAGAGCGACGAGGAGGAGCAGCTTTCGCTGCAGCCTTGGCCTCCTACGGCTGGCGATTTAAGGGAACCAAGCTGCAGCAAACTTCGTTGTCTGTGGCAGCAGCAGCAGCACCAGGATGCAGCGGATCGGAGACTCGAGGCACTCTTCGAAGCGTTTTGCAGCAGTGCTGTGGCTGCGCTCCAGCGTCTTAAGGATAGGCTTGCAGCAGCAGCGACGAGTGCTCGTTCTGCGCGATCTGTAGGAGGAGGCTCCTCTGGAACGCAGAGTGAGCAGCAGCAGCAGCAGCAGCAGCAGCAGCAGCAGCAGCAACAGCAGCAACAGCAGCAACAGCAACAACAGCAACAGCAGGAGAAGGTTCAGCCTCCCTTCTTCCAGGAGGAGCTGCCGCACAGTCTGCAGCAACTGAAGAATGAGCTGAACGTGGCGCAGCTTGCGTCTGCTGTCTTGCACGTCTTGCCTCCTACGCCAGCAGCAGCAGCAGCAGCCTCTGTGGCAGGCTTGCGAATGAAGGGTGGCTACGAGCTGCAGCAACTCTCCGTTTGCAGTTGGCTCCGGCGATTTTTCCTCTTTGTGCTGGAAGAGCCGCTTGAGCTTCTGCTGTACACGCAGGGGTTCACTGGTACCTCTTTTGGGGGCCCCTTGGGGGGCCCCCCTTGCGATTTATCTGCTGTCGCTTTGAAGTACACTGCAGCTGCCGTGAAGGAGCTGCGACCACTTGTCACGCTTCTGCTGCAGCCTTTGCAGCAGAAGCGGGAGAAGCACAAGAAGAAGAAGCAGCAGCATGTGCAGCGGCACGTGCAGCAGCAGCGGAGGAGGATCGAAGACATGCTGCAGAGGGATGGCACGCTGAAGGGAGCTCTCAAGAAGCTGCTGCTGCTGCCTGGGATGCTGCAGCATGGGCATTACGACATCGAAACGCTGCTGCTGCTGCTGCTGCAGCACCGCGAGCGGCAGCAGCAGCAGCTGAAGGACCAGCAAGAGACGACGAAGAAGAAGCAGGAAGAAGAAGAGGCGCAACAGCAACAGAAACAAGAGCAGCAGGAGCAGCAGCAGCAGCAAGCAGCATGCGCTGCAGCAAGCCTTCAGAAGGAAGAGAGGACTGACCAGAGCAGCAGCAGCAACGCCAGCGTAGACTGCAAAAAGCAGCAGCACGAGCAGCAACTGCAAGAGCAGCAGCAGCAAGAGCAGCAGCAGCAAGAGCAGCTGCAGCTCAAGGAGGAGGAAGGTGCCATTCACAGCAGCGAGGGGTTGCTGCAGAAGCAGAAGGCAGAAGACACGCAGTCAGAAGGCCAAAGAAAGGTTGTAGAGGTGGAGCAGCAACAGCAGCAACAGCAGCAACAGCAGCAACAGCAGCAACAGCAGCAGCAGCAACAGCAACAGCAACAGCAGCAGCAGCAGGAGGGAGAGGAGAAGCCACAAGAACACATCCATCAACAGCCGCAACGACATCAGCAGCTGTGGGGAGAAGACGTCTGCTTGTTCTTAAGAAGCTTCGAATACAAGCAGGAAGATATCACACGCGAAGTGCTGCAGTCTCCTCATTTCGTGGATTTAGTGAGGTGAGATCATCTAATGCATGTGCTGGGTAGAGGCTGAAGGGCAGACTTACGACAAGAACTGGAAACGCGTTCATTTTCTCTCTTTTTTTTTCTCTCTCTTATCTTTTTCTTCTTCTCTCTTTCCCCGCCTTCCGTGTGTCGTTGTGGGTATTATATCGTTAGATCTCGGCTGCACGCGAAGGCTGTGTAGCTGACAAGCATCCAGACACAAGCGTCTCGATGCATGCATGACGCATGCATGCATAGAGACGTGTACAGCCATCGTCGAAAGATAAAGCTGCCTGCAATTATTTCGTTTATCGTCCTTTGCCGTGAGCGCGGCTGTCTCTCCCCGTGTTTCCTCCTTTGCGCTTCTTCGCCTGCTCTCTCTGCAGGTGTCTCTGATATGTGCTCACAAAATAGTTCCTCTCTTAATATATATCTATCTATATAGATATTTATCTAGATATTATATGTATAGATATATATATTTTACATGTATATCTGTGTATATATATATATCTGTATGTAGATGTATACATCTCTCTGTGTATGTATATATCTCTGTATGTATGTATCTCTGTGTATATCTATATAGATATTATATATATCTATATATAGATGTATATATATATATCTGTCTATATATCACTCTGTATAGCTCTACATATCTCTCTCTGTATACCTCTCTGTGTATCTCTCTATGCCTGTCTCTCTATAAGAACATCTATCTATATATCTCTCTCTATCTATCTATTCATGTACATAGATATATGTATGTATATGTAAATTTGTGCCCCTGTTGCTGTGATGCAGGTTCTTGAATCAATTTGCCTCCGTCTTGAATGTGCCGTGGCGTTTTGACGCGCTGTTGGCGTCGTTAAGTGCAGTCTCGCCTCCCCCAGACGTCGTGCTTTGCGCCTCCCTGCTCTCGCTGGCCTCTTTCTCGTTCGATTTCATGCCTGCGTTGCAGCGTATAGACAGCGCACTTGCTGCGGAGGAGGAGCAGCAGCAGCAGCTTCTAAACGATGCCGCTGCAGCAGCAGCGCTCGCCTATGCGGCGCCTCCTGAGCAGCAGCCTGCGCACACGGCGAGGCGACAGCAGCAGCAGCAGCTGCTGCAGCAGCAGCAGCGGGCTGCAGCAGGCGCTCGTGGAGGAAGGCAGGCGAAAAAGAAAACTCAACAACAGCGTCTCCAGCAAGAAAAGCAGCTTCTCCTGCAAGACGCAGTCGCAGAGACTCCAGAAACGCAAGAACCCAGCATTCCGCAAACGCCTGTCTGCACAGGAGATCCTCAGCAGCAGCAGCAAAATGCAGAGGAGCCCATGCAGCAAGACATGCACTCCAAAGTACAACAGCAGCAACTGCAGCAGCAACTGGAGCAGCAACTGGAGCAGCAACTGCAGCAGCAGCAGCAGCCCCCCTCGGGTGCTGTTGCTGGAGGTGTCATCCGTCGCTCCCAAGCTTTTCTGCAATTTTGCGCGGAGTTTTCGCAAACAGCGGAGGCAGCGGCAAGCGCTGCAGCGACAGCTGCTATCGACTTGAAGAACTGCACAGGAAGGGCGTCCTCTTCCAGTGATATGAGCGCTGCAGCGGATGCTGCAGCGGATGCAGCAGCAGCAGCAGCAGCAGCAGCAGCAGCAGCAGCAGAGGCGTCCGAAGGCTCCTTTCCCGCTCTTGGCGGTGCCAGTGCACCTGTCTGGGAGTGGGAAGACATAGGCGGAGAGGATGATGCTACTGCGTCTACAGCTGCAGCCTCAGACATGATGCAGCGGCTATTGCAGCGGCTGTTTACGCTGCTTGGGCGGAAAGCTAGTCCACCCTTTAGACCGGCGCGATCGCTTCGCAGGCTTCTGCAGGATAGGGGAGAGGCTGATCTTCTGCTGCCGCTCAGACCTTTTTCTGAATCTTCGGAGGCTCCTACAGACTGGACGCATCTCAAGCCAGTGCAGGTAGGCAGGCAGGCTGCGGCAGCATCCTTTGCTGCACGAACTGCAGCTGGTTTTTGCCGCTTCTCGAGCAGCTGCTGCGGTGTTTTTTGGGGGGGGGGATGTCTGTGTGTGTGTGTGAGGAGGCTTCGCGTCTTCGACTTGTGAGAAGAGGGGCTTCTTTTTCTCTTTCTTTCTTTCTGTGTCTCTGTGTGTGTCTGCGCAGCGTCTGCGATTTATGCGTGCTCTCATATCGCTAGTTCTCTCGGAGAGCCCTCAGATCGCTCGGGTACGTCGGTAGGCAGTGGAGGCGCAACTCGCGCCTCGGGTAGCTGCACGCAGACACCCGCAGCTAGCTGGCTAGCTGTGGGTGTCTGCGCGTATGCGGGGGAAGGGGGAAGTAAGGGGTAGCAGCAGGTGGGTGGGAACGAGGTGAAATAGGAGGGTGCAGACTATCGGCATGGTAGCTGTTTTCGAGCGGGCGGAGAAAGGCGGAGGAGGCTGCAAAGGATGCTGACAAATCTTGCCTTGTCTCTTCAAAACGCCTTTCGCAGCACATCAGGGAGAAGGGGAGTGAGGAAGCTCCAAATTGCGAAGGTTTTGTTGGCGAAGACGCCAGAGGTAACTTGTACTGGCTTGTCACGCAACAGGGAGATCCAGCTGTCTTCAAACTCTACCGAGTAAGCTCTCGCACGTCTGCTGCACGCAGCAGACGGCAGGCAGCGTGTGCAATGCATGCCTTCTTCTGTCTCTCGCTCTCTCTTTCTCCTCCTCTCTCACTCTCTTTCTCTCTCTCTGAGGAATGGTCTTGGAGCTACTTGAGGTGCTATTGGCTTCTATGTACGACAGGCCGTCCAAAGGGATACTCTTCTTCTGTGTCTTTCTTTCTTTCTCTTGCTTTCTTTTCCTTTCTCTCTTTATTTCTCTTTCTTTCTTTCTCTTGCTTTCTCTCTTTATTTCTCTTGCTTTATTTCTCTTGCTTTCTCTCTTTATTTCTCTTTCTTTATTTCTCTTTCTTTCTCTTCCCTTCTTTCTTTCTCTCTTTATTTCTCTTTCTTTCTTTCTTTCTTTCTCTTCCCTTCTTTCTTTCTCTCTTTCTCTTACTGTCTCTCTCTTTCTTTCTCTTTTTTTCTTTCTCTCTTTAGGAATTTCGCGCTGGGTGGCTGTATCTCTTGTTGATTTTGGGTGTCTGTTGCCCTCTCTGCGCAGGAGGAAGCGGCGTATCGCCGCTTTGAAGTCTTGAGTGAAGATCTTTCCTCTCTGGAGGCTATTGCAACGAGTTTGGAAGCTGTACGTCTTGCCCATGCAGCTGCCGCATCGCTGGTAGTGTTCGTGGCTGGGCTTTGACCTTTCTTCAGAGAAGGAATCCCCCTTTTTTCTCTCTTCTTGCCTCTTCAGAAGACGCTGCTGCTTGCTCTGTTGCCGCTCTCCCGGCTGCTGTGCTGCTGCTGCAGGAGGAAGGGATGTTTGATCTTTCCCAACAGCTGCTTCAGCAGCACCAGCTGTTGCTGCAACAGCAGCGTCAGCGCAGCAGAGAAGAGCGACGGCGAAAAGCTGTCGAGAGGCAGTTGGAAACTGCTCAGTGGGGAGTTGTGACGGGTGAGTCTAGGGATATTCGGGGATTAGGAGTTGGTGTTGTTGCTGCACCTGTTGCTGCTGCATGTATGTATACATATATATATATATATTTTCATGCATATATATTTATAGATATCGCTTTTGCTGCCCCAAGGTTCAAGGGATGGGTGTGTGTGACGGTGGGAGTCTTGGCTGCTGCTGTCGCCTCGCAGGGCGTCGTGAGCGAAAGCCAGTGAATTACTTGGAGGTAGAGGGTGAGGTGGAAAGCAGTGCCAGCAGCAGCAAGCCAGTCAACACTGCAGTTACTCGGGAGGAGCGTTGGAGGGCCAGGCTTGAAAGAAAGGTGCGTGGCAGCGCGTGCAGCTAGCTGGGCGTCGAGCTGTTGCGGCTAGTGGCTAGCCGCTAGCCGGCTTGCGGACTGGGGGCAAGGCAGCACCAAATGCGAGGCGCTTCCGCTGCTAGGGGGTGGTGTGTTTTTGAAGGTTTCGGAGATGGATGCAGAGCAGCAGCAGGAGCTGCTGCTGCAGCAGCAGATGACGGGAGAGAAGGAGAAGCAAGAAAAGAGCGAACGTGATGAGCAGGGGAAGGATGCGTCAGAGGACCAGCAGCAGCAGCTGCGAGGCGCTGCAGCTGCTGGTGTCTCCAGACATGCACAGGCAGAAAAACGGACTGAGATGGGAGCTCGCGGAGGAAGCCACTCGCAGCAGCAGCAGCAGCAGCAGCAGCAGCAGCAGCAGCAGCAGCAGCAGGGCGTGCTAGGAGCCGCAGAAAACGATGCGGCAGCGGCTGCAGCAATTGCGCAAGAGGGGCAACGACTGCGACTGCATAATTATCAGCAGCAGGTGGTTCTGCTGCAGCAGCAGCTCGACAACGTATCCAGGAGGATGCTGCTTACGCAGAGGCAGTTGGCTGCGCTGCAGCAGCAGATACACCTGAGTGCTGCAGACCACAGCGCTCAGGCAGCAGCGTTGCAGCACGAGCTGCATGAGGAGCAGAAACAGAAGCAAGCGATCGAGTCTGAATATTCTGCTTTGCAGCTACGCGTGAAAGAGCTCAGCAGCTGTCTTGCAGCTGCTCCTGCAAACGCCTTCCCGCAGAGCCCACACAAGCCAGGCGCTTTGCCAGCGCAGCAGGAGCTTGCAGCCTTCGAGGCAAGCAGCAGCAGCAGCAGCAGCAGCAGTAGAAGCAGCACTTACAATAGAAGCAACGATTTTCATCTGACGCATAGGACCTTGCAGCAGCACGTACATCCCGTCTTGGATCGTGTGCAGCAGACGGAGCCGCTGCCTGCAGGTGTGGCAGTGTCAGGAAAGCTGAAGTATATGCCGTCGCAGCAGCATCTGCAAAGAGTAGAGGAGAGTGCTGCTGCTGCCAATCAAGGTGCCTTCCAGCCTCTCCCCAACAGAGGGCTGCAGGAGCAGCAGCAGCAGCCGCTGCTGCAGCGGCAACACGGCGAAGCGCAGCAGTGTCTCTCCCAGCACTCCGCCGAGTTCGCGCTGCAGCAGGAGCCACGGCAACAACATCTGCAGCAGCAGCAGGAGCCGAGCGATCGTCAGAATTCAGAGCTCCAGCCGCCGCGCGTTCTGCCAAGGTTAGAGCAGTTTCAACAGCGCGCACAGCTGCACCACGAGCATCAGGAGCAGCAGACAGTTGGAGCGAGTGAGGCTGCTATCCGCATCGCAGCCAAGGGTGGCGCTGCTTGAGAGCGTCTGCAGACGCCGCTAGATTCGCGCAGCCGCAGGCAAGGCTGCGCTGCGAGGCTGGTGCGCTGGGGAGAAAACGCGTCTGTGCCCTCACCTTAGCGGTAAACAGCGTAGGCAGCAGCTGCACTCCGTCGAGCAGCGCTGGTGGCGCAGCAGCCTTGTCAACCCCTTCGCGTATAGGCTATAGAGGGAAGGCATGTGTTTCGCTGTAGCAAGAGGCCGTAGCAGTCAATCCCCATGCCTAGAGTGCATGTGAAGACTTTCGCCACAGCCACAGGTTCCGTCGAGCGCGTCGTTCTGCAACAACCCCACCGTTTGTTAGTGCTGGTAGTTTGCAGTTGCCTGGCACCTTCGGATTCCCCATTTGGGCATTTTGTCTCAGCCTGTCGCCTCACCCTGCCAGCGTTGAGCGGCCGAATTCGTTCGTCCTTCTTTTGGTGCCTCTGCGAATCTGCACTGTTGCGTATTCGTTTCCTCACGCGCTTTTCTTTCCCTCGCACGCGTCTCCCCGTCTTCCAGGACGCTCTCTCTGCACGTGGTAGTACGGCGCTTCGTAGAGTCAGCGGCTGCTCTTTCTAGGCATGTGTCTTTGGATAGAATACGCACACTGCGTGTTTGGATAGAATAGGCACACTGTGTGTTTGGATAGAATACGCACACTGTGTGTCTGGATAGAATACGCACGCTGCGTGTTTGGATAGAATACGCACACTGTGTGTTTGGATAGAATACGCACGCTGCGTGTTTGGATAGAATACGCACGCTGCGTGTTTGGATAGAATACGCACGCTGCGTGTTTGGATATGTATGTCTACATATCTGTCTACAGTTATGTAGACACTGATATACATATATGTGTATTTACAAATAGAGATGTAGCCTGTCGGTAGCGGTGCAACCATGTGTCGGAAGGTGTAGCTAGCTAGCCTAAACAAAGCGGTGTAGTGAGCTGGCGTTGTTCCCCTGGGCTGTAGGGGTAAGGGGTGAGTGGCGTGGCTCCTCGGGTGTTCTCATTACTGGCTATGAAGCGGGGAGTGCAACTCTCTCCATGCGTCTATCGCGAAAAATACAAAGGCGGCAAACCAACGCACACAGCGGCTCCTGCAGGAAACACTCGTTTTGACGACCACGGCTAGCCACAGCAACTCAACCAGCGTAGGAGGCAACGCTAAGTGTGCCCTTCTGAGTGCGCCCTCCTTGGGCGTATTCATGATGGACTAAGAATTCCTCGCGTTCTACGCTTTTTAGAGAGCTTAGCCTGCTTGCCCATGCGGTGTGCTAACAAAGCAGGAAATGAAGGAGTGAAAAGAGCCAGGAAGAAACCATGGCTGGCAAAGCAGCATCGTTATGCCCCTGCTGCCGTCGAGAGTGCGCTTCCCAGCCTATAAAAGGCCTCATTTTAGTCTGATGGGTGGCATCGAGTTGTCTTTGCAGCCTTTAAGGCCTCTTCAAACTGACATGCTAGCGCTCAGCTGCCGCTACCCTTACGCATTTGTGCTTTCGAGAGCAGCTAGGTGTCTGTCTCGCCCTTTGTGGCGGGTGGAGAGATCATGACGCTAGTGCCGTCTGCTGATGCTCGTTTGCGTTGTGTTTCCTCCGCCGTCTCCTTTTCTGTCCTTCTGTGCGACTCCTCCACGGTCCCTTTTTCCTTAAGTGCACGCACTCATACACACAAACATACGTATGTATGCACATCTAGAGATATATATACATACATACACACATACATGCACAAAAGAACATGCAGATAAGTGTATGCACATACATTGATCTACATATAAATAAAATATTTATGTACAAAATTACATGTATATACATACACACATACATATACATAGATTCACGTGGAGCCCAGGGGATGCAAAGGGGCATGCAGCGGTGGCTCCAGAAGATTAGCTGTTGTCTGTTTTGTTCAACGGCACGGCGTCAGCAAGCAGCCATACGGGATAAGAAATTCCCAGGAAGAATGCAAGGAGGCAAAGATCTCGACGGTTCAGATGTAGGGGTACCGCAGCTTGGACTTTTTCTTTGGCGCAGAAGGCAATGCCTGTTGCAGCTGCTTGCAACATGAGAATATCGTTGCTGCCATCCCCCACTGCTGCTGCATTTGCCCCTGCTGCTGCTGCTTTCGCTGCCGCTGATGTTGCCGCTTCGAGTGCAGCTGCAAGTGCGCGGAGGCTCTGCAGGTTTGGCTCATCGTGACCACCCGCCCCTTCCTGCAGAGCCTTATCGAGTTGTGCCTGCAGCTGCTTCCCTTGGGCATCTTGCAGCTTGGTCGACAGCTCTATCAAAGTCTGCGCTTTTACTTCTGGCGTGATGAGCGGATCTCGCGGTTCTCCAACGAGTTTACCTGCACCCCCGTGCATGTAGTAGGCAGTGCGGAGGCCATAAATGACGTCTTTTCATGCGACTAAAATTCTCAGTTTCTCTCGAGACACCCCGTGCATAATCAGGATCAGGTAGCTGCCTACTGCGGCCTACCCTGCACGAGTAAGCAATCGATCTTTCCCTTCCTTTCTCCCTCCCTCCTAGGCGTGAGTGCGTTTCTCTAGCTCTGTCAGTTTATCTCGTTTCATCTCTCTTTTTGTCTCTCTGTCTGGCCCTGCGAAAGCTCTGTACTCTGTGTGCAGCTGTGCAATTATTTCTGCGTAACAATTTGTTTTTCTCCGTGGAAAGGCCTTCCCGAGGTGCTTGGCGATCGATTGCCCTCGTTTGCAATTGTGGGCTCCAGCATTTTTTGTGTTTTCGCACGCCTCCCCTGTTCTCTGTGCCGCCTTCCTGAAGCTTGTAGTGACACCTACCGTCTTCAGAGAAGACAAGCGCATTAGCGGCGACGTAGTTCAAGCCGAGCTTGCGACGCAAATCCTCTGCAAAGAATTGAAAGCCGCCACTGAGGACTGCCAGATACACGCCACGATCGAGCAGACACCGCACGAGGACCGCAGCACCACGCGTCAGCTGAAGGCGGTTGGCTACGCGCGAAAGGGAAGCTCTGAGTCACAGACTCGCAGGCTGTCAGCTTGCATGCAGAGAAGCAGCCACCAGCGTGAACGGATGTCTGCTACTGTTGCTACTGCTACTGCTGCAGCAAGCAAACGCTTGTTTGCACCTTCGCGGCAGCCAACTTTGTTGCCTCTGGGGCAGGGGACAAGAGGAGAGGAGAGGAGACGAGAGAGAGAGAGAGAGAGCTCAGGCGGGAGTTGAGGAAAGGAGACGAGAAAGAGAAAGAGCGTCAAGGAGACGGAGACGAGAGAGAGAGTGAAGGCGGGAGTTGAGGAAAGGAGACGAGAGAGAGAGAGCGTCAAGACGGGAAGAGAGTCAAGGAGACGAGAGGGAGAGTTAAGAGGGGAGTCGAGGAAAGGAGACGAGAGACAGAGAGAGACGTAGGACGGGAGTTGAGGAGAGGGTCTGTTTCTGAGCCTAAAGACGACGAATCGAACCTATCAAGTCCTTTTAGGAGGCTGAGACGCTGTCTGAGGCTTTTCGCGAAGGCAACAGAGCCTCCCATCGCTTGCCGCGTTATTGCCGCCACTTGAGCCGCCACTCCTACAGCAAAAGCGTCCCCCCACAAAGCCACCCCCGCACACCGATTTATTGTTTTCGCCGTCTGCCCTCCCTTTCTCCCCTTGCCTTTCCCGCCATTCGCGTCTGCTGCTGCGCACGAAGCTGACGGAAAGCACGCACACGAACGGCCCTTCGTACAGCCGAAGGACAGAGGCATGCACACTGCACAAATCACGCACAGATCGCCACCAGACACGCACCTCTTTCAGCGGCAAGCTCGTCGATGACTTCCTCTTCAATCAACGTCGAATCCTGTGCAGACTGCCCACCGCGCAGCAGCGAAACTTCCACCCCTCCGCGCAGTGCCTCTGCTTCTGTCCAAACGCGAAGCAGCGCAGTAGCAGCTCTACCCCCAAGCGAGCTTCGCTAGCAGCGCAGTAGCAGCTCTACCCCCAAGCGAGCTTCGCTAGCAGCGCAGTGGCAGCTCTACCCCCAAGCGAGCTTCGCTAGCAGCGCAGTAGCAGCTCTACCCCCTAGCGTCAGGCGCAGCGCTGCAGAGCATGCAGCAGCAGCAGCAGCAGCCCACATACCATGTCGAAGCACACCAAGTGGAGACACAAGGGAGCAACGCTCCTTGGGCGCAGCAGAAAATCCCCGCCGCTTCCTAAGGCGCAACAATTGCCCATAGCAACGCATGCCGGAGCCACCCAGTGGAAGAAGAAGAAACGCAGCGCGCCGAGAAGAAGATCAGCACGCACAAGAGACACCTGGGAGCCACAGGCTGCCTCACGCGCTGCTGCTTGCTGCAATGCCTTCCTCAGAGCATCCAAAGAAGTCTCTTCTTCAAGCAGCAGCACTGTGAAGCGAACTGCAAGAAGCGCCGTGGCGACAGACACGTTTTCTCCATCTGCAAAGGCAGCCACAGTACTCTTCAGAAACAGCGTCCGTTCAAATCGCTTGAAACACACACGGTAGCAAGCAAGCTCTACTGCCTGTGCATCTATACTTGGAGCATCGCTGCGCAGAGAGAACCTGCAGCTGTCTGTCTGTCTATCTGAGACTTGCAATCACCGCTGAATACGCCTCCGTTCACTTCGACCGCAGCCGCCACAGCTGCAATGAAAGGCACAGAGAGATTCGGCTGCTGCATGATCAGCAGCTCATAAGCCTTCTTGCCGTTGCAGGCACCGTCACGACGCATGTGCGTGCAACAGCCTTCTTGTTCTTCTTCTTCTTCCATGTCTTCGGAACTAGAGCTGTCAGACGAGAATCTCCATGTGGTGTCTTCATGAGCACCAGGTGCAATGGCAGTTTGCTGAGGAGGGCGATCTGGCACTGGCAGACGCTGTTTCAGCAGCGCCTTGCCATCCACCTTGCACGTTCCGTTCGGTGCTGTTGGTTGGCTGGGGAAAAACGCAAATTTTCGCACAGTACAAAAGCTAGGAGAAGTCATTTTTTCGAAGGAGCCGCAGTGCAAGAGCGCAGTAAGCCTGCCCCTCCCCTCGCTGAAGTGCTCGCAAGCAGTATATGTATGTCTAGTCGCACACCTGTCCGTTTGGCAGATTGCAACGACGAGGCGTGAGGGAAGCTTCTCAGCCGTCAAACTTCGCAGACACCCCTCTACAGACATGTCCAACAACGGCGCAGCTTACGCTTCAAGCAGGCAGCCCTAGAGGCGTGTGTATACGGGGAGAGCGACTGTCTTTCTCTCTTTCTCTCTCTCGCTCGATGCCTACTACAGTCTAAGCGCTGTGAGAGGAAGGTGTTCAACAGGGAGCGATGCCGTGCACGCTAAAGGCGACTTGTAAGTCCTCACGTTTTACGGCTTGGACAAGTAACCTACGCCAGAAAAAGCGCGCAGCATCCGCGAAGCAATTTCAGCTCAACATCAGTGGCTAATGCGCGAGACGCTGCATGCAGAACAACCCCTGAGGGTGCAAGACTTACGGACGCAGCGGATTTCTCAGGTGAGGCTGCGAGGCGTTGGCGCTGCCCCTGCCCGTGTGGTTGTTTTGCGCAGAACCGTGGGGTACAGAGAGAACTGTTTCCGCAGACGAGACGCAAAGCCTGCAGAGGCTTTCTTCCTCCTCCTCCTGCTTGCCGCCGCCAGTGTCACTACAGCTACGGGGGGTGCTAGGCGCGTCACCACGTCCTGCATGCCCCTCTTGAGAGGCATGCAGCTGGAAAGCGTCGGCGAATCGACGAACTTGCCAGGCGCAGAGGCCTGAACAAATTGTAGCACTCTAGCAGCAGCAGCGGCAGAAACCTCCGTGGCGAAAATCTACCGGATTCACGTCTACAGTATCGAGCCACTAGTCAGGCGCTGTAGCCGCCCTGCTGCCCTCCCTCTCCCTGCCTGAACTCTTGTCAGGAACGAAGGCAGCGACACCCAACAACAGACGGCAAGCCCGTCAGCAGCAGCAGCAACAACAAAGACATGGGCAACAAGCGCACACCTCCCCCCACCCTTCGCCATACCCAGAAGGGGCAGCAGAGCATCTTCCTCCATCCAGGGAGGCGCGCAGCCGTAAAAGTCGCAGGCAACACTGGGCAAACCCTGTCAGCAGCAACAGCGACAGCAAAGCGACAGCCAGCTGCTTATTCACGCCGCCTTCCCATACGCGGCTTTTCCCTTGTCGCTCTCGCCTAGCTGCAGCTAGAAATCCACAAGGCCAAATCGCGGTGGCTCTCCTCCTGGGTGTTGTGAGGGCCCCTGCCAGCGAGCAGCCGACTCAGACTATCTTTTCGGCAGCATGCGGCATGCCTCGTGGCACCGTACCGGCGATATCACAGCGACAAAAGACTGTGCCGCTTCCTGTGCTTCTTTGTGCGGCGCCTTCATGGAAGCCGTGGTGTATACAGAAAGCCGGTAACTGCCACCAACAGACAGCAGCAAAAGCAGCGAGACAGCAGCGAAACACCTCATCTCAGTTTTTTTCTTCGCACTTGCCCAGGTGTATCTACGAAGGTGCGGTGCACTTGCGGAAGAGATGTACTGCTCAAGATGGCCATGCACGGAGAGATGTGCATTTGCACGGCCAGATATAGAGGGGCCAGATAGAGAGAGGAGCCAGCTCAAAATATTTTTTCAGGAGCTTTTCCTCTCTCTCGCTGTGGTGTCTTGATACGCCCCCCCTCACTGCTGCATGCGCTTTGTGTTATAGAGCGACTGCATCAGCGGCATCCCCTGCAGCGGGTAGTAGCCTCCATAGCGCTGCTGCTGCTGCTTACCCCTGCCGTTGCAAGCAGTACAGAAGGAAGGCCAGCGACAAGGAGGAGCCCTTTGGCTGCAGTGCACCCTGAAAAGAAAAACCTCTCAGACCTTGTTGCCTGAAAGGGAGTGCAAGGAAGAAACCGCTGGCTCGAGTTGCTGGTAGCGTTCTTCCTTCTGTGCGGTCTGAAATTTCACGCAGCTCACCGCTTTATCCCCTGCAAGCCTCGCAGGCGGAGACGCAGACGGCGCTTCCTCCGTTGCCTCTGCTGCATGCGTTCCAGCCTGCAGAGCGTCTCTGCAGGCTGGAACGCCTTTTTCCCCCCTCAACTGAAGGAGCATCCAGGTTCTCAGCTTAGGCTGTTTCTCCTGCATGCAGCACGCACATGGTTCGGGTGTCGCTGAAGACGGAGCTAGCGGCCTCAACAAACAGGGGCGATCTTCGCTCCCCACGCGCAGTCAAAAGGTGCCTCCAGACAAGAGAAAACGTCCAAGCCGTCCATCAGACGCACAAAGCCGCGCCGACGAACGCTCCACAAATAATTGGCAGAGAGAAGGTTGTAAAAGTCCGTCATCAACCCCCCTCGAGGGGGCCTGCTTGCACACAATTCACCCCGCCAGAATTTCGCGTCAGATCCCGGAGCTGCATGCCCGCTTCATTCACCACCCCCCTCATACACACACGCAGAGCGGCATTTCTTCGAAAGCGCAGCTGCTGGCAGGTGAGGAAGCCGTGCACCCTCTCAGAGCTGGAGGCGCTAATAAGTTCATGCGGAGAGAAACAGCCCACATGCCGAAAGAACCAGCCAAGAAGCCTCACCCTAAAAGCCCCACTAAGGCAGCAGGTGCCTCAAATTCCACTGTCAACAGGAGACGTCTTCGCGTGCTCTGATACACGAGCGGCTCCTGGAGGGTCGTTGCCGCGCTGAACTCGAAAAAAGCAACGCCAAGGATGCTCGTCAGAGTAGTCCTCAGTCCCTTCTTCTCTTTTCATCCCTCATAAATATGAATCAGGGAACGTTCAAGGAGCCGCAGTAGCTAGCTGACAGCAGCGAACGGCGCAGCAGTCGACACCAGCCAGGCAACACACGCAGCGCCTCAACACCACTCGCACCATTACTGCCATCGCCACTACCCCTCCAAGTCAGTTACCGATGAACGCTGCAGCCGTGCTTATCGAGAACGTCGAAAACTTCATCGAGAAGATGCGTCGGCAGGAGGCGGCCAGGCATCAACACAGCCATGCAGAAGCCCTCAGATTGGTTTGATGGCAAGCAGCAACATCCGTCCTTGCTGCAATACCCTTCAAGCAGGCTGCTAGAACGGCCTCTCTGGAAGCTCTTCCTGCTGCACATGCAGTCGCGGGGGGTTGCAGTGAAAAAGAAACTCCACTCTGGTCTCTTGTTTAGTCGCGCGCTGAGCTCCGCGTCTGCGCCCTAAGGTTCCCACCCAACAAAACAAAGCAACAAGTACTCAAAGCCTGCAGGATTGCGCATGTAAGCTGCTAAAATGAAGGCTGCGCTTAGTCTGCTGTCAGAGCGCCGCGCATGCGGCTCGTGAGGCGCCCGCCACTCAGGCAGCTCCCGCAAAGATCAAATGATTTCTGACTCCATGGACTCTACAGAAAGTGCAGCAAGCCTGCGTACCGGTGGAAGAAGCAGCGCGGCTGTTAATACAGCTCTAGAGGCGAAACGGCTGATCCGAATGTCGGCGATATTTCCCGCGTCGGCAGCAACTTCTCTGTACACAGCGCCACCGATACACCCGATGAACTGACTGTTGGCGGCAGCAAATCTGAGCCGGGGAGTCGGGGAGAGCCAGAGGTAGAGGCGCAAGAGGCATGCACTTACTGAGCGAAATGAGCGACAGAAAGAGAAGCCCACGGACCCTCCGCGTGGACTGTGCATTCTGTCTGCGCCGAAGAAATGACAGGCAGGAGGGGGGTGCTCCACAACAAGGGGCGCAAGGGTAAAACAGGAGGACAGACGGAAGGTGAGGCAGCCAGTGACAGTAGGCGGGAAGACCTCTGCCTCTACTACACCCGCGAGTTTCTGCAAAAAAGGGGCTACAGCAACAGTGCGAAAGAGACATGGGACGAAACGGAAATAATCTGTTTTTAGGTGTAAGTACATTGTGAGAAACGAGAGGCGGTGGTTCACTGTTTGGAGCGAAAGACGAATAGAAGATCCAGTCAACCAGCAAGACACCGGCAGCAGAAACTTCAAGAGTACAACGGCTTCTTTGCCCATTGTGCAATGCATACCGCGTCCATCTTATTTCTTTTGTGGGTTCACTTCGAAGAAGCTGGACGTGGTGCGTGGAATTGCAGGTTCCTCTCAATATCCCAACTTGCCGAGGGGGCTCCGCAGTAGTGGTGGTATACGGCGACTTGACCGCGTGGACGCCCCCCGCTGTTTACCGGCTCTTTACTGAGAATTATCACTGAAATATGCTGGAAGGAGTGTTCCCAACCACCTGTCAGCCTACACAGCAGGAGCTGCTGAAACGGGTAGTTCTTCTCCATAAAAGCGAAATTCTACCGGGCTGCGGAAATGCGTTGTTGATGACAACACCTAAATACTGACATTGCAGAAAGAGCATCCAGGAATGACGGTTAAGCGTCGAAGACATTGAAACTATGCGCCTGGTCGGCGGCTGCAACTATGGAGGGAACGTGATTCAGCATGGCCGCCACTCGTAACAACCGCTTCCATCGGGTGTTTGCATGCGGGAGGAAGAGACACAATTTCGCGCTAACCGCATGGTAACATCACTTTTCTGAAGCTATAAGAATCGTTTAATTCTGGTGTCGCTCTACAAGGTCTGCTGGACATAGCGAGCGGCTTTCCATCCCCCCCTGGGAAGCGCAGCCCCCGTGCCCTGGCTGCCTTTTTCATGAACAAAAAGAAATTCTCGCCTCTTTGCTGGCTTTTCTTTCCGGATACTTTTCATTTATAAGTCATTCTACCTGTTGAAGGGGGACCAACTGAGCTCAGCGTTCGGCTCAAGACGCGTGCGCCGCATGAATCTTCGCTGCACACCACGCATCTGCACAGTACGTCGCACTTGCCACGATTGCGAGACATACCACCGCAAGGTACATGTGTTTGCCCTATCAATTACGTCATCAGACGCTTTTTAGGCACTTGCAACCTTTCCTCCTGTATATGACCTTGCTCTGCAGCTTATAGAAAATGGCGTATGTTGCTGACTTGAGCATTTGGGATACTCCCAACCCGATGGATGCCGTTGATGAAGAAGTACAAGACACGTCGTGTTTTGACTTAGCCCCAGGAAAGTTTGTGCTGGCGCCAGTGCAGCATGTGAGGCCTTTCACGCCCCCCTCCCCTGAAGCTCGGACGGGTAGCGAGGACGATTTTCGAAACGTGGCATCTACTTCCATCATTTTTTCGTCCCAATGCACAGCTGTGTTCTCTTGAGCGCACATCTCTGTGTGGACTGGGAAAGCGATTCTGAGACCTTTTTCCCAGTTCTGGGTAGAGCGTCTTTTTCTGGCAGAAACTACGTGCACTGCGACTGCGTTTCCCACGCGATCTGCAGCCTGCGGCTTTTGCATCGCGCCTCTTCGAATGCAACAAGCGGCTGCCCTCCCCGTTTTCCCTCCACATGAACCCTCCCTCAGCTTCTAGCGGGGGCAGTACTTCAATGGCAGTGAAGAAAGGCACGACGACCCTGGGATTTGCATACCAGGTGCGAGGGGCGTAAATTCTCTCTTTTTGCATTCTCGTGCCAGCGAAAAGCAGCGTTTGTCCTTTATTATGCAGCCCTAGACAAAGAAATGAGATGGGAAAATATCTTTCGTGCGTGGTGGGGTGAATGTGAACGCGTCCGATCTTTTCGACTGTGTGTCTGTTGGCTGTGCTGCAGGGAGGCATCGTCATTGCTGTGGACAGCAGAGCCTCAATGGGAACGTTTATAAGCAGTCAGACGGTTTGCAAGGTGTTGGAGATTTCTGACGTTATTTTGGGTGTGTGTATGTGTTGGCTCACAGGCGCGGGCGTCTGGTGTATCGACACCCCTCCTCGCGCAGCTCATGAGTGTGGCTGTGCTTCTTGCCATGCATGAACGCGGTGCATGAGGCTGTCCAGCTGTTGCACGTGTGTGCAATGCGTTTCCTACTGTGCGCGCCTTCTGTTTCTGCCTGGCACTGTTCACGAGCACGCCGCTTGAGAAACACCCTTACGCCTTGTGTCTGCTCCTGCCACACGCATGTGCGCATGTCTGCAGGAACAATGGCTGGAGGAGCGGCGGACTGCAGCTACTGGGAGAGATACCTTTCCAAGCTGTGCAGACTCTTTGAACTAAGAAATCAGGTGTGCTGGAATATAGAGAAAGACAGTTCTTTTACCTCTTGCCTCGAGCCTCCTCGGCGGTACAAGTCTCCTCTTAGCCCCCCCCCTGTATGCTGCCATTCGAAGCTTGCTCTGAGTTAGTTGGAAGATTATGATGCACAGTATTTTAAAGGAGGCCCATACGACTGCATGTCTACTACGCTAAATGCGCGCTTCAGGAGAAGATACCCGTCGCAGCGGCTTCCAACTTGCTAGCAAACATTTTCTATTCATGGAGAGGCTACGGCCTTTGCTGCGGTACTTGGTAGCACAAACGGCCTTCCCGTCCTTTCCCTCCCTCCGCGACTGAGCCTTTGGTAGTGTAGAGCTAGCGAAACAAGACAGGACTGGTTGTTCCTCGTCTCCCCCTCCCTCCCTTCTCAGAAAGAACGTGGAGGGCTTTAGCCAAACAGTGCTGCTGCGTTTGTACATGATGGCTAGCGGCTTCAAGGCGCTTTGCTGTGCTACTGCTGCTGCTGTTTTGCTGCTTTGCTTTGCTGCGCTACTGCTGCTGCTGTTTTGCTGCTTTGCTTTGCTGCGCTACTGCTGCTGCTTTTTACTGCACTCTTTCTTCGTGTTTTGACTTCCTGGGAATTTAGGCACCATGATTGCGGGGTGGAATGCAACAAAAGACGAACCCGAATTGTATTTCGTCGATGACAAGGCCACGCGGTATGCAGGAGGCCAAGGCTGCTGCTGCTGTCAAGCACCGTACAGCTTTCCGCCTTTTTCGCCAAAGGGCATGCGCGGGGTGCAATGAAGTTGCGTGAAGTGCAGCGAGATGGGGTACCCCTAGGCAACGAGGCCAGGGCAGGTGGACAAATCGAGGCGTGGCGTTGTTTTCTGTGTGCTGCTGCGTGCAGCCTTAAGGGAAATCTTTTCTCCTGTGGCAGTGGTAGCACCTTCGCGTACGGTGTGCTCGACAACACCTACAGATGGCAAGTCCCCTTTTAGTTCGAAGGCTGCCCCGCGTTTTTTTACCTAGAGCTGCAAACGCACCCGTAGCAGCAGTGTAGCAGCAGCAACAGCAACAGCAACGAGAAAGCATGCGTCCTCATTTTTGTGCAAGGTGTTACTGCGCTTTTTTCTACAGGGGCATGACGGAGGAGGAGGCCGTTGAGCTAGGACGCCGTGCAATTTACCACGCAACTCACAGAGACGGTGGCTCGGGGGGTGTATGCAGAGGTATGTGTTTTGCGAGTAGTAGATGCCTTTTGAATGCTCCTCGCTGTTGACTCTTCAGTACGGCCGGGGCCGTCCCGGGTGTCTCTTCTTCAGTCACGCAGCGTAGCGCTTGACTGAAGATGCGAATACACCCCAGAAACGTGTGTTTCTAGGGAGATTGCATCCAGCGTTTTCGTGGGAAGGCGAGGTACTCTGAGAACTCCCATTGACGGGGGTTGCTTGTGCCTCTTGTTTGCTGCTCTCCCCACAGTCTATCACTGCCATCGCGGCGGATGGAAGCGCGTGGTGGCTGCTGCGGACGTCAGCGCGTTGCACTACGCCTATGCAGCAGAAAAGGGTGCGTGTACACCCCGTGCCTCTTCCCTTCGCCTGCGAACTGTATATGCTATCTGACTGCTTTAGCCATGACGAACTCTTCAAAATTCGGTAGAAATATGTCTTGAGAGCAGGGGTTCAGTAGGCCGCAGCCACAGCCGCACGCCTTTACAGCGTAGGCAGCGCAAGCAGTGCGTACACCAGTGCGGGCGGCCTTGTGCGCTTCAGGAACGGATGGCAGTTGCCTCTGAGAGCCCAACTTGCACGTGTAAAAAGCAGGCAAAAGTCGCTCGCACTCCTCCCGTCAGAAGTACCATGCTCATCCGCTAGAGCTCTGCCGTGCGCTGAGGCGCCACGCCCAAATATGCGACGCCGTTGATCTGCACAGCAGTAGGGGCTGTTGCAGGTACAGCACGTGCCGCTGTTTTGCTGCGTACGTAGAGGCCTGTCGTGTTGCTTCTTAACCGGCGCCTGCAGCTCGCTTGAACAAACTCGATTAGGGGTTGACAAGAAAGGTATCCCATGAGGAGACGCTGGCGGTGGGAATGAGGGGCCTTAGAAGGACCTTGTTCGCATAAATTCAATGGATTTCCCCTCTGGTAGCCAATGTCTCTTGCCGGCGTAGCGACAGGTACAGGAGGAGGAAGACCACCGCCAGTCCGTACACCAGAAGGCCCTCTAATAGTCTCATCCCGTTCATCTGCGCAGCAGGCACACTCTATCCGTCTAGTTTATTCTATTCAAAGAGAACTGAAAATCATACGAAGGTCAAAGATAGCGGACGACACGCATGCGTCGCACGCGTGGTAGGACGCGGCCCCTCTGACAGCGGCTGTAGTGGCGTGGGCGTGGATCTTTTTGCGCATGCAAGTTTGAATTTTATGAAGATAAAGGGCGTACATGTATCCTAAATAGTGCGATTTAGGAGGGAGGGGCAGTGAGCAGTAGGCCGGGGGGGTGTTGATTACTAGAGGCATACAAGCATATCCACAGGCTTGCTGGTGCAGATCTCGTTGGACACGGCAGCGACCAGGGGGCGGAGGCTAGAACAGCTCTCTCTCGAAGAAGAAACTCGAGTAGCTTTACGGGCTTTTTGAGCTCCTCCTGCGCTGCTGCTCCTGAGAGGCATGAAATACGCCGTTGCACAACCCGCACAGTTGAGACGTAGACACAGGCACAGGTAGCCGCCAGGCGTAGGGGAAACGTAGGAGGGAGCACGAGAAGAGGCCTTATTTGGCAGAGCATGCCCCGGTACTTTATTTTTGCATTAAACCTACGGGCTTTTTCGGGTGCGTTACGCCACGCTACGTCAAAGTCTTTGACTGAGTCGAACCAGGAGGCGGCACAGGGTAAGGTGCATGGCAGTCCAGCCGGCCTGCCCTTCTCAGGAGGCCTCCAGCAGGCAGCGCCTTACTAGATACAGCGGGAGGGGGGGAGGGAGAGGAGGAGGAGAAAGGAAGGGCGAGGATGAGAGCCACGGTTTGAGTCTTTTTCTTGATCGGAGGGGCCTGCTCAAGGTACTGTGCAGGTAGCCTTCGTTACCCCGCACATGCATGTGCAAGCACCGCAAAAACAACTCACTTGCTGACACAACTTGCTGAGCTGCAAGGCTGAAAGGGTTGACAGACGCAGCTTCGTCCGCCGTTGCCAGGGCGCCCCCCCAAGGTAAGAATGCGTCAGGAGGCGCAGCTGCCATTGCAGCCGCAGTTTTTCCTGCAGCCACCAGATGTTTCTTCCTTCCATCTCTGCCGCAACCTTTGCGTGCTCCGCTTCCTCAGAAGAACTCTTCTGGGCAATTGCGGGTTCGGCCTGGGGGTGCAGAGGAGGCACAAAAAGAAGAACACACATACACACCCACACACACACGTTGCACGGTCTGTCTCATCCGCTCGTTCTGTGGGAGTCCGCGCTCGCTTGTCACAGATTGCGTAAATCCTTGAGCCAAGGTGTTCAGGGTATTCTTGGAGGGAGGGATGGGGGAAGGCAGAGGAGGCAGCAACCGCAGCGGGTTCGAAGCAAGGCTTGCGAGGCGGCGTGGCGGGTTAGCCCAGCGTACCGCCGTGCTGCCCCTTTCACCCATCCAGGAGAGAAAAACATCATCTTAGGCAGAAGGATACGTCTCCGTCAGCACGTAAGGCCCCTCCGAGCCGTCTGCCAAGGGCTGCAACGTCCAGGGAGAAGCGAGGCTCTGCAAAGTCTTGAGGCCATACACCGTGGTAGAGCTGCCTTCGGGGAGCGTTACGGTTGCCTCTTCGAACTGAGTTCTACTCTGCGCTCAAATGCCAAACCCCATTAAGCACACACACATACAGAGACACAGCGTACAAGCATATCTGTATTAGTGCGTATATATAGGTATAACAATATATGTCTGAAGCGGCCAAAGCTGCGATGTTTAGCCCCTCCCTTCTTCGCACCTCCTTTACAGGCCCCTAAAAGGCACTACCCAGGTGCGACACGTCCACATGTTGGGCAGCTACACTACAGCTAGGTGGAGAGACACCTGCAGAGGAGCTTGCGACTAGGAAGGGCGGGGGAAGAAGGGGGGAACGCGCCACCTTGCTCGACCGCACCCATAGAAATTCTTCGGGAACGTTCATTTTGCTGTGTGGATCTGTTGGCGGGTTGCATAGCGTAGAGGTGTCTGGCAAGAAGAGTGCTCCTTATGCCTCGGCGTCTTCTGCGAGGGCCGCAGCCGCTGCAGCAGCAGCACCAAAACAGCCCCAGCCACGTTGCAGGTGGTTGCCTTTTGGAAGTCTGTCTGCACGCTCCCCCTTTTGAACACACAGACTCCCTCCGGCAGCCTTTGACTTTCGGACCTTCTCCCCCCCGGTTGCGCTCCCTTCCCCCTGGCTGCTGCTGCTGCTGCGATCAGAGGAGGACGCATGCGCTGCGTGGAGAGCAAAGCGTCTGCTCCCATTCCTGGATTTAAGGAGCTAAAGAGCGCAGCTCTTGGGGAGCCTCACCGTCAGCTATCTGCGTGGGGGCGGTGGGAGGTCAATCAGGAGGAGTCATTTTGCGGCTGCAGCGGCTGCAGCGCTGGCTTCCTCCACATCGCTCCGCATGTTGAGCGCTGTAAGGAGGTTGCCGTCAGCTTCTGGCCTCAGACTGCTCTCCAGGAAGGAGGGAAGTGTGTGGATGCCAAGTGCGTGATCTCCAGTTTTTAGAATAAAGTGCGTCCCCCTGCAGTGCATCTCTCTGTCCCGTAGACGCGCAGTGCCAGAAAGAGGGTTCCTCCGACGAGCACGAAGGCGGCAGCAAGGTGCAAGAAAAACAAAAAGACGCATGGCTCCTCGGAGTGCGCACTGTGGCGGGAGTCTTTGTTGTACCAGGTCGCCAGAAAGACGACTGCCGCCCAGAGAAGTTAGCGCACCAGTGTGCTTTCTACGGCGTTGCAGGTGTGCAGATTTCTGAGAGTGCAGGAGGTGTTTTCCGCCATGGCCAGAGGCCTCTTTGCGGCGACCGTGAAGCAAAGAATCAGCTGATCCATGTTTGCGGGGTGAACGAGAAGGCGGGCAGCAGCTGCTGCGCAGTCTGCACCACGGCTGCATCTACTGCGCCGAACACTTTGGCCTTAGACGGCACAGCCAGAGCCGCGAGGCCTCCAGCTGGACGAAAACTTTTCACGAAGGCGCAGAAGACACATTTCTGTGAGCGCACTGAAGCCACGCGCTCGACGCGGCTTTTTATATTCTTAATGCTGAGTTTGGTCGGCCATGGCCGACCAAACTCAGCTTTTAAATTGACAGACGGGGGAGGGCAAAGCAGCGAGTGGGGTGTACTGGGGGGAGGTGGGATCGAGGGCCTTGTCGGCTGCCTGCGCTGCGCTGTATGCACCACGGGGAGGACGCCAGCAACACGCGACACCTCGTTCGCCATTCGTTGCTGGCTCAGAGATGCCCCAGAAAGCGTTTGGCTGCCCCCTCCCCCCTTTAGTGCCGCGTCGAGGCGTGCCAGCGCAAGGCAGTGACCCCTCTCCAGGCCGTCCAGGAGCTTGTGGGTGGAATGCTGCGCGAAAAGGGCAGCAGTTTGAGCAGTACGCGCAAAGAGCACGCCGGACGAAAGCAGCACGTGCCCATCGCTGGCAAGCAGGTTGGGAAGACACGGCCGCAGGCCTACCAGGAAACGGCGAAACAACGAGGCAAGTGACCACAAACACAACGGAGAGACGACAACCCATGCAACAAAGCCACACGCCGCGAGACAGGTTCAAGGCAAAGGCGTATGCCAAAATTCAGACACCTCATAAGGAGCGAAAATGTTGTCTCCCGACGCTGAAGAACTGCTCGCAGCGGACAGCGCAGGCACTGCCGTAGACAGGCCCACATACGTCCCCCGGTACTGAACAAACACAAACACAACACATATAACAAATACAACACATACACCACATGCAACCCATACCACACATAATACATACGACACAGGGCAACGTGGCAGCCTTTAAAAAACACGGAACGCATGACGCAACGAGGCTAGGAGGGAGGAAAGGAGGCAAAAAAAGCATACCTATACATATACCTGCAAATGTACAATATGTATAGTTTGTATATACATATATAGAGAGACAGATATGTATGATGGACGGACAGAGACGTCAAGTTATTCTCGTCTTCGCGGAAAGACATGCACATGGCCTTTACGGGCCGAAGTGTATACGTGCAGAGGTTTTTCCTGGGAAGATCGGGTGTGCTTACTTGTGAGGGTGCAGCCTCCACTTTGAGCATGCCAGGCACGTCGAGCATCTCGCTGCAGGCCTCTTTTCTTGCAGTTTCAAGCGTTTTAAGTGTGTCCAGAAAGGCCGAGTAGTGCGTCATCATCCCGCTGTTAATCTGAGCACCAACTGATCGACGTCGTGGGGGTGTGAATCCAAGCCCTTCGGCAGTGCTCTCTCGCCTGTCTCTCCCGCTTCAGCGCACAGCAAGTCGTATGGGATGCCTTGCAAGTTCGTGGAGACGCTCGACTCCGCCGCTGCCCCCATGCCGAGTTCGTTTTCGCCGCTTGCTGCAGAGCCGAAGTCCACGACGAGGCTGCTGCCGATTGCTGCTGTCCAGCGCAACAAATTCGTAGCGCGGATTCGCGTGGGGGGTGCAGGATGGAGGATGGTTTCCGGCAGTTTGTACGCCGGAGGCCGCTTGGTCTTTTTGCCTCTGTTTCCATGCTTGGAAGAAGACGCGATGCGAGCTTCTTCGGGGAAAGAAGAGTGCAGCGGTGCATTTACAGGGGCGCCTCGAGCCGGGGGTTATGGGAAGCTGCAGGCTGGCTCATTGACGCGGCCTTCAGAGTCTTGGCGATGAGTGAGATTCACATGGACGGGATTATTCCTTGGGGAAGCGGAGAGCTGCGCATCCCTCGAAGGCGGCTGCTTAGGGCACCAGCACACTGCCTTCTGAGGTGTTTGACGGAGGCAAAGCAGGCTGCGTGCGTCAATAGCCTTGGGGTGTTGTTGCAGCATGGTGCATCTTCTTCGCCGTTCCCCTGGGAGGAGAAGAGCACCCCTTGATCCGTGGAACGCTGAGGAGAAGGTAGTGCCGAGAGGATCCATCCAATTGCATTCGTGCGAAGATTTATTATTTCCTCCAGGGGCGGAAGGCCGCCTTCGCAGTAGGCACTGCCGCTGGTGCCGGAGGGGTCGAAATACCTTCGACGCTCCTCCGCTCACTCTTCCTAGGCGAACACGAAATCCCGTTACCAGCTTGCAGAAAAAGCATTAATATTCGTTTAGAGCCTCATTATTTCAGCTTTATGGCAGCAGGCTTTTGACGAATAAACCCTCGCTCCATTTCACGACACACCGCAGATACCGATGCCACAGGCTAGGAGGGCCTTGTACCAGTCACACTCTTGCTCTGTCAAAGACCGCCTCTAACGACGATTGCCGGCGGGCGTTCTTGAGCTCCCTCTGCTCCCCCTTGCTCGCGAATACACTTAAAACGCAGTAGGCAATTAATAATGTTGCGAGACAACGCCACAAAGGGCCTTCAGATTCCTTGGATCCTATGGAAGAGGCCCTGTACTGTGGCTGCCGTTGGATCCATGCAGGCAGCACTCGGGCGCGTGGATTGCGCGGGGCCCTCACACACGTTCTTTATTTGCCTTCCACATAATTTAAAATCCATTTTTTCGTATTTGCAAATTTGGTTCAACTGGCAGGCTGTGGGGGGAACCTTCGCGGGTAACCCCGCCGAAGCCGCAGGAAGAGGAAGCACGACCCCAAAAGGCAGCCTGCGCGCGATCAGCGCTCCTCGATAACTGCGTGTCAACTTCCACAACGTGAAAATTCTGAATGCCTTCAAGCTGGCTGCTACCTGAGCTTTCTGCTGCTTTTTCCAAAGTCGCATGACCACAAAAGAGCTGGCTATGCAATGAAGTTTGCTGCAGTCGGGCAGTCCGGACTTCCTCGAGGCAATAGCTGTATCGCTCACTGAAACTCAGGAAAAAAGTGTCTCGTGCGGCAGCGCACCCACAAGAACCCTTCTTCGGCGAAGCGTCAGCTCTATTTGGGCTCCCGAAAGCCCTTTCTGCTCATCGGCGTCAACGCCGTGGGGCCACAAAACTGCCTGATGGCTGCATCGAAGGCAGTTGATGTTGAGTCGATGACACCGAAAAGACAAAGGGCAGGCGATCTATGAAATCCGCGCCGCTGAGGAGAGGCAAGAGGCGGCAGGCACAACAAGAGCACCCTGATGATCAATGGCTCAGCTTCTGTTCGTGTACCCAGACACCTGCATGGGGTGCTCAATCGATGTTCGGTCTTGGCAGGAAAGTACATAGTTTTGCACCCAAAAGGACCTCAACGGAAAGTTACTGAGTGTTTCCTAAAGGAGTTTCTTCTTTCCCCTGCCCACCGCCCTCCAAGTTCTGATATAAGGGGGGAAAACATCGAACGAACGCTTCACCAGGCCCTCTAAAAGGTCCGCTTACTGGCAGCTGCTTGCAGGTAGCATCAAATGCATGGAGGCACACACACACGCACAAACACATACAACACTGCGACTGCTTGGTATTGAGCTAGCACTATGTAGCGAACAGTGCCCCAGTGCGGCTTAGCCCGATACGCTTCGTTGGGGCGATCCAAGAAGTTTCTGAATCGTGATTTAAGAGGCTACAGTAAAAGCAGCCGGGTTCTTTCCGCATATTCGATTGTGTGCTTAGCGAAAAGTGAACTCATGGACTAGGAGATCCATGCTTTCCCATTGTCACATCTTACTTATTGCAGCGCGCTGTTAGATGGACAAAGAAGATACAATGCTGTATGCAGGTGCGCTAGTTGCTTTGGGCAACGAGCTGTGAGTGGTTGGAGTGCTAGGAAGGTGCAGCTACGGGCAGCCTTGCTATCGGATGCCCCTTCCCAAATGTCAGCGATACTGGGGCACTGGTATGGAAAGTGGGAAACTCGCTAAGAAACCCTTTCTAGTTTTGTTCAAAGTTTTCAGTGAGCGTGCATTGAGTGCTTCGCTCCGAATATCTCGAATCGAGTGTTCAAAAGTATTGCTCCTCTGATGTTAACGGCAGAGCGACGTGGCCATAAGGCGGTTCAACTGAAGCTTTCAATTAGGAATTTTACATGAGAGGCATTTGATAAAGTTGGTTACCTTGATTTAAAGAGACATAGGAAGCTTTACACGTCTGCTTGCTGCTTGCTGCTTCCTTCTGTGTAGACTTCAGGGGACAGACCAGCGCAGAGAAAACGGGACCGCTGTGCTCTGGCTCGCAGCGAGTGGCACAGATTTGACGAACTGATTCAGCAAATATATTAATCGGGTAGATCAAAGTGCAGCTCGGGGAAGTATGCACACCGCAAGTATCTACGGGTCACATCTGAAATCCTGGTCGTTGGCTGTCCACGCAGCAGGGTCAGGGGAAAGCAAAAAAACGAAGGTAGTAGAAAAACACTCTCGAAAACGCTGAGCCAAATGTCAGATGTTGATCGGATCTCAGTAAAGGCAACAGTATATTGCCACTGTCTGTTTGAAGCGTTCGAGGGAGGGTTTTCCGGGCTGCGCCCTCTACGCACGAGTACGGGGACCTTGCAGAAAGCAGTGCAGTTGCACTTAAAACAGAATGGTATACAGGGCAGAAGATCCTGACACTGGATTTTAATTTTAATTAAGGCTTTAAAAGTGGGCCCACTTCATCTCCTTCGACGGGTAGAGCCACGCCGCTTGGTGCGACGCTTGCGAGCGGACGGTGGCAGCGTGTAGGGCAGGGCAAGACGATCCATGATCAGTGCGCAGTAAACAAAGCCAAAGAAGGCCAAAGCCCAAAACGTGTAGACTACATTATCTAATTCATTAGGGGATAAATTTAGTCAAGGTTTGGGAATGCCTTCTTCGGGATAATTCGCGCCTTCCTGCGCCGACTGGCTCGCCGTGGAAGCCACGCAGGGAGAGCAGTGTCGAGGCGCCCAGCGTTGCGCGTTCTGTTTTCTCTCTGAAGCAATGAACAGCATGTCATGAAATAGCAACAACATAATCCCCTTGGAATCGGATCAGATCATGAATTGGTTTTGTACGTAGATGTGTGAATTGCGTGACAGACAAACAGCATATTACCCCCGCTTTACCACAGGCTGAGGCGGTGGCCTGCTGCAGCCAGACTGTCTTAATTGATTGTGACCAGCAAAGAAGTTACCTGGGCAGCAGCAAAGCCGATGCGCTTCTGAGAACAAGCCGGCGTTCACAATAGTTGGGGGCCTTCGCTCTACTACACTGTTGCCCTATCCTGTATGTACATCGCGTAGTACAGCGAGCCCGCTTTAGTGGTTCCTTCTGTCTTCCCCGCCACGAGGGGAAACCCGCACTCTCAAGGCTGCGAAGACTTCTTCTTGCTTCATTTATCGTTAAAATGTCTTTTGTCATGGAGGCCGGCGACTTCCCCCCGGAGGAGGGTGAGCAGCGGAGTTGGTTGAAGCACTTAGAAGAAGAAGCGCGAGGCAGTCCCGGCTCTGGCGCAAGGCGCCGAGGAGCAGCAGAGTCGTTACAGGCAATTAGAGCCCAAAAGTTGAGCAAACAACTCTTTGTTGTTTGGGCTCTAGTGCTGGCTCTGTCCACGGGCTTTTTGGGAGTTCACCTTGGAGCACGAAACACCAAGAGGGGCAAAGACAATGCCATGTGGCTTATTACCGTCGCTCTTATGGATTATTCCTTGATGCTGGGGTCGTTGTTGCTCAGCGGGATCGGGGTCTGGCTAAGGGATGAGATCTACATGCGGCAGTCGTCCATGTTGCAGGTTATTACTGCTTCCTGGTATGTTATTGAGCTTGCCTTCAACATGGCCTTTGTCGTTATCCTTTCAAAGATAGGAGGTGAATGGCAACGGCACGGGAAATACACCACCGGGCAAATCGAAAAATTCAACACTTTCATCACCATCCTGGTGGTCCTAGGGTGTCTTCTCGCCCCCCTCACTTTCCTTGGCAGTAAGGCGGCCATTTTCCCTTGTTGCTAATATTTTGTCTCCCCAGCCCAACCGTTTAGAGCATGCAGAGAAAGGGGCAGTTGGGGAGTCTTCCCGCAGGGTGCGCAAGGTGCCGCACCCATGGCGCAAACTGGAAAATAGGGGGAGAGGCACATGCGCAGTTGCTCGCAAAAAGCGCCCTCTGAAAATTGGTTGAAGGCGGACGGCCCCGAAGGGCCATCTGCCTTTCGTGTATCGATGTGTGACTCGCACGAAGTTTGTGATTCCACAGTCTTTGCGCCCCTGTTAACTCACTCATGCCTCCTTAGTGTGATGCGTGGTACGTGCTGCATTCAACAGGTCGGCTGTCGTGGAATTTGTCAAAAGTTTACGAGGTGGACACCGTCGTGCGGAAGTTCCCCGAGAGGAATGAGATGCCATATCAATACGGAACATTCAAGGGCCCGCATGGCTCCTCTCTAAACAAGTCGCAAGAATACTCCGCTTCTCCTTGACAGGGTGGCGCTAGGAAACAATGAGCCCGTTTCCCTAGAAGCGCTGAAACGAGCTGTGAGTCTTCTACTCCCGTGAAAGAGCAACGCAATGTTAACAGTGCCACGCGAGAGGCGGTTTGCCGCGCTTGTGCTTTTTCACAGCCGTCAAGATGCCCGAAAATTCGACTCGCAAGTTGCGAGATGCACCGTCCCTCTACTTGTGTTTCAGACAGTGTTGTTGATCCCTCCACGCAGCGTCTGCGCTCCCAAGGTTCTGGCCGAAAGAGCCATGCCCGCACCGGCTTTGCACGCGTCTCGGAGTAAACTATTCTCCGCACACCGAATTGCAGGAGAGAAATATAACAGCCTATGCTCTAAGTAGGCACCACCTCTTGTAATTGGGCTTGTGCCTTTTGAAGGCATGCAGGAACGGCCTGCATACCCATTGCAACACAGCGTAAAACAGCACGCAACCGTCTCGAGCCCCAAAAAGTTGCGGCCCTAGCTGAGACAAATACATTGAGCATAGAAAAATCACGAAGGGGCCTACAGGCTTGCTCTGCTGTGCACCCGCCATACTGCATGCGAGAACCCCCCTAAAACGCGATTCTGAAACGGGATTGCAGGGGAAAGGCCTTCTGACCTGCAGATTTGGGGGAGTCAGACACAGCACGAGGCCCCCTAGAGGCTTCTGTTCCGCCCCTGCAGCAAAGTCGGCGCACATATTTAACACGCCAAAGGGAGGAGCTCACTAATGGACAGAACACACAGTCCTATGGCCCCCACTTAGCGGTGGACACCTACACACAACAACAGCTCAGCTCTGAAGGGGGCGACACCATCAGTGTGCCTCGGCTTAAGACTCCCAGAACGGGAATTCTCCAGGCTCATCCGGCAATAGAATCTTCTGGAGCTAAAGAACTTTGTGACGCTGGTTACGTCTCTCCCTATCTATCTCTATCTCGATCTCTATCTCTCCTTCTCCCGCCTTTTTCCTTCTTCGCCCTCATGAAACTGGGGCCTCCTCTGCGTTCCGGGGTCCGTGCAACGGCGGCAGCGGTGCAGCCTTACCTGAGCCACTGCTCCTTTCGCATTGAAAGAAGCGAGACACTTCGCAGTGCAACTCGACAAGGAACGGCAGATCAGGAAAGGCGCGTCGAAGGTTCCAGACGGCTTCGGCGTCAGCAGAATCTTTGACTTCAGCTGAAAGACCAAGGAGAGCCCCTCCAGCGGTAGGCGTCCCTACCCGCAAGCCACGCCGCACCAAGGGTGAAAGTTGGAGGCGCGAATGCACGAAGCACCTCGATCTCCTTTGCAGCGCAGGGAGATTTTTCACACACGGCACATGCACACAGGCGAACAGGCCGCGAGGCTGCATGCGTCCGAGCCGCGGGAAGCGCACTCGATGACACACCTGGCTGTCAGGGAGGGCACTGCACAGCCGGCTCTAGACCACCGCTCAAGTGACCCTCTCATGGCTTGTTGTGTTGGTAGAGTCAACACAGCTGCACGTGCAGGGAGGCTGGACGGACGCTACGCCCCTCGTTGCATTTGTTTGCATTAAGCGCACTGACCCTGCCTTTGGCTGGCGGCGAGCTCCTCGCACATTCGCGCGATGTGGACACAGAGTGCCTCACGAGTGTGTTCAGGGCCGGATGCCTTGAAGCCGCTGAGGCGTGCAAGGCCCTTAGCCCCCTCTGGACGGCATTCCGCGAAGACGCATGCGTCTTTAGAGTGCTGCAGAAAAGGAGTTATAGCATCCCTCCCCATATACGCGCTCACTGTCACCGCATCAGCCTGGCACGAACACACACACACAAACAAGTGGGTAGCGCTCTGCCCTCTGCTTACAGCGCAGCCTTTTGCCGGCTGCTGCTGGAAGGGGCAAGCGACAGAGAGCTGCATTCGCCTTTCTGGCATGGACAGCCACACAAGTAGCACATGGGAGCCGGCACTGGCTGCTGCACTACCGAGAATGAAGTAAAGAGAGTGAGAGCGAGAGACAGTGAGAGAGAGAGAGACAGTGAGAGAGAGGGAAAGAGAGAGAGCGAGACAGACAGTGAGAGAGAGAGAGGGAAAGAGAGACAGAGAGACAGTGAGAGAGAGAGAGACACACACAGTTAGAGAGAGAGGAAGAGACAGAAGGCGCGTGGGGTAAAGGAGGCGAGTCAGTTTCCTCTGCCAATGTCTATGGATGGGGAGGGCAAGGAAGAGAGGAGCAGTTTTTGCTTCTCCTGTGCCTTGCCTTATGGACGTCGAAGAAGGCCCGCGCGTAGGCTGCGGCGGTGTTGGAAATATCGCCGCGTTTTCCGTCGATGATGAGCGCCACGTGGGGTGGCAGTTTCTTTACAATGGAGGCGAGCAGCTGTATGCAAACATACATGCAGTCGTTGCACGCAGGTCACCTGAGCGGGATGCCCCTTGAGACTCAGGCCTTGAGACTCAGGCTTTGAGACTCAGGCTTTGAGCCCCCTACGGAAGAAAGCAGACGAGGCGCGGAAAGAAAGTGTGCGGGCAAGAGAGAGGAGAGCGGCAGCTGAAGGGAAGGGCAGCTAGTATGCACCGACAGACAAGGAAGCCCATGTGTGGCGTTGAAGTCACTCAGCGTGGCCTTTGCAGCTGAGGCTATGTTTGGCCTACTGCGAAACCTTCGGGGCCGAATTGCTCGTAGTATGGGGTATCCAGCTTGACTGCAACGCAGGCTTCGACCTTCATGGCTTCTGCTAAAGCCTTGGCAAGCGCTGCCTTGGCGGTGCAAGGACATTGCAGCGCCTTGCATTCGCTGCAGCAGGGTGCAGAATCATCTTCTTGTGCTACGCAGAGAGGAGGATTCAGAGTCAAACAGAGAACGGGGCGTGCTGATGCCAATCGATGCTGGAGCACCCCCGGCATTCTAGCCGACGGGCGGAAGTCGCCGAAAGGGCGCCTTGCGCGGAAAAGAAGAAGCAGGCGGACAGAGTCAGGCTAAAATGCCCCTTTGAAACTGAACGAGCAGCTTTTGAGCGGAGGGAGTGGGCACGCTCGGGGCCAGTAGGTACACTGGACCGCGGGCGGGGAGGAGGGGGGCAGGGGAGAGGCGGCTCTGTAGCCTGGGTTACATTATTCTGTTGATCACCGACGGGAAACACCAGCGAGGAGAAAACTCATGGGAAAGCCGTACCAAAAACACGTTCATGCGTATCTGTGCTCTGCGTTTCCTCGTGTGTCTAGGGGAAACGCCGCCTCGATATGGGTTCGGGGTCGATGCCTTCATGAAAGTCTGCAGGCCCTCATGGTGGATACTCCCAGGAAACGGAAAGCATTCTTCTCCCCAACTCACGCTGGGCATGCCTGCTACCTCTCCTGGTAGATGCATCAAACACGAACACGGTAGGAGGCGTAGAGTGTGCGCAGGCGGAACCTTTCCAGGCAGTGGATGTGAAGGGCGGCGATCTCTTTGTGAGTTCCGCTCTCTGTAGTAGCCGCCATTTCCTTTCTTCACTCGGCCATAGTACAGTTTTCCCACCTAACTGCAGGAGGGTTTGCCGTTCAGAGAAGGAGCGGCCTGGACTCGTCTAGGAGAGGGCACATTTTTTGGCTGTTTGCTTCTGGTAGGAAATACCACTTCATCTATAAGTGGCTCGGCTATTAGTTGAGCATCCATGCTGTATTGGCCTTTGTGAGCTGTCTCTCGTATCGGGCTTGTCTTTCATCATGGGAACCTTAAGGTGCGACATGCGGGTAGTGTGCTCAAGTAAGTGTGTTCCTAACATGGCTGTTTGACACTCCAGCGCCCAACAAGGTCCGCTGCGAAAGCCTCTCTAGCCATAATCTGATGGCTCCTCAAGGAAGCCGACGATAAACGGGATGCGAAATTGGGGAAAACTCCGCTACTCCTCTGTTTCGTAGTGGGAAGAGGGGGTGAGGGGTAGCGGCAGGGGTGGGGGGGACATAGCGTACGCGTGATCAATCGAGCTCAAGCTCGCATTAGTCAGGCACTGAAGCGTATTTTGAGGTCAAGAGGAAAAGCATCGGCGCAGAGAAGCCAAGCTAACCTTCTGACAACCCCTGGCCCAGCATTGCAACTTGACACACACGAAATGCGAGGGCAGTCGAAAGCCTGACGGCTGCAGCCTGCCGCCTTTGGTTGTGTAACTGCCTCAGAAAAGATTGTGGTGCTCCCGTTCTTCCCCCTTGTGTCGCGTTATGTCCCTAGTTGTCCTACCAGTTGACATCCAGGGTCCGAATGCGCTTTGTGCTGCTCGAATGAATCCGGTACTGAAAAAGACAGTTCCAAGGCGCCTCAACGCAAACATCTGCCAACATTCTCCGTTCAAGCTATCATACGTTATTGAACTGGCCACTTGCGTCTTGCATCTTTAAAATGCACAAGAACCACAAGTGTGCGAGCTGCTTGTTTTTGCCAGACACTTTCTCTCAGAGACGAGAGTATTCTGCTTGCGTCGTGTGTGATCTTTTACGGGTCTAGCGTTGCGGAATCAGGAGGAGCGCAGTACTGACTGACCCAAGTGTGCGATCAAGCAGTTTCTAGTCGCCGCTGGCCGTTGAAAGAGGATAATTGTTTTCGCCTCCTGTAGAAGGCAATGCACATATAATGCTGCTGCGTAAAGGCGTATATTGTGGAAAGAGCAAGTCGCTCCGGATTGCTGTGCCTGAATTTGAACCACTTTGAAGGCCTCTTCGCCGCCATCGCATGTCAACAAGCCCCAGCTGATAAGGAAATGCGTATGCAGAAGCTTCCAGTTCCTCCAGTAGGTACCGATGTCTCTGAGGCTACTTCCTTTTGAAGTCGTCTGTAGTGACATGCGCAATACTTGGGGCCAAGACTCGGAGGCGAAAGTCCTAGGCTTCGTGGGAGAGCTTGCCGTGCAACTGTTTTGCGGATAATGTGCATGAATTCTTGGCGCCACTAAACTGATCCTACTTTTCAAGAGCTTGTCAGCGACAGAAGAAACCCTACGACGAGGACGGGCACCCTGCAACACTGCCGCCAGTGGCTTCTAAAGTGAACTAATTTACATGAAGCCTACACCCGTACAACGCAACTGCTCAAAGCAGCTAACAAGGCTTTAGCAAAGAAAGCCAAAGTGTGGGCACTGACTGTCGTGCCAAAGTAGTCAGTTTCGTCTTAGCATTATCCAACTGGGCAGATCTGTCCACTCCGCCTATCACCTTAAAAGGCATCGATATCTGTAAACCCGAGGCACGCCCTTGTTCAATTGTTCCAGCTGCATGCCCAGCATTCGTTAAGAGATAATCAGCGTGCTCAAAGCACGTGGTGGATCATCCTTTAGCAATATTTCAAGCACACAGACGCTTCATGCCGATTGGACAGGCGCTGACACCCAAGATAGGCAAAGCTCGTGAAGATAGCGCCTAAAGTAGGGATTTCTGTGCATGAAGGTTGAAAATATGGAGCGCAATAGGGTGGATGTCTAGACAAAAGTGGTCGTGGTTGCAATTGTGGCTATGGATCCACTATACCATCAAGTGAGTGCGCACAGGCACACCCATACCCACACACCCACACACACACGCACACCCACACACATACACATACACACACACACATGACTACCCACATGAGAAAAGCCTTTTTATGACACTCTTACTCTAGTACTCGACTCCGCCTTTTTGCCCCTATGGCCGCACACGGCTACGCTGAGAGGCAGGGAATGCGCCTCCCCAGCGGAGTGTAAAGCCTGTGAACCGTCCCTTTGTTGCCTCAAGACTCCTCAAGAGCACTTATTAGTAACGCAATTGGCATTTAAGCCTGTTCTATCCGTGGATTTAGGGTACAAAGATGCAGTGTCTTTGCAGAACAGCCCTTCATGGGTGACCTCGCATTGCGGCCTGAGGGCTGGAAACGGCGGTTTTCCCCTCTCTGCCGTGTCCGACCACCATTTTGTTTCCCGCATATTTTATTTCAAGTTGGAAGCGCAAGAAACGAGCGCGCATCCTGCTTGTTCAGCTTGTCAAACCCTAGGAAGGCCCCCGTCCAGTGGTCTGCATGCCGCCCGATGCAGCTTCTGGTCATTTGGTTTGTCAGGTTCCCGTTCACCGGTTGTCAGCATCTTATCTGCCTCTAATTATTTGCCTTTTAATCACAAGGTACACACTCTGGAGGGCCTATAACACCAGAGCAATTCCCACAGCGTAGGCGTTGCAGCGTCGTCATCGTGGGTTTGGGGAAAGCTGCACTGCTCGCCACCAGGTACGGTGATCGGCCTTTTCGACTGAAGGGTTTTTTTCTGTGATCAAAAGGGCAGCGAGCGCCTCCGCTTCTGCCATCCTTGAACATTGCACACCTCCACGCCGCTCCGTGCAACTGTTGCGAAGAAGAGAGGTGCTCCGAAGGACGCTGGAAAGCCCTTTCTGCTGGGCTGTTGCACCTGGAGGTGCACGGACTCTCTGTAGAGATAGGGAGAAGGTATTCGAGAAGGCCTTTGCAGCAGCAGAAATAGGGGGGAAGGGGGGCACTGCTGTCGTGGTATCCATAGAGGCGACTGCTATCGCTGCGGTGTCTCCTCCGTTCCTGGAGTGGGACGAGCGGCACTTCCAGCGGAGGCTGCAACATCGCCTGTTTGTTCTTGACAGCGAACTCATGGAGGCTGCTCAGGAAGTGCCCCTGCTGCCGCAAGCATCCACCCCTCACCAGCGCTTGGAGTCTGCCGCAGACTGTTTCCCCTTAAGCGTGCCAGACGCCTTGCAAGCAGGCGCTCAAGGAGCTCAGCAAATACTCCCGAAGCCGCAGGACCTCGTTCTGCAGCGGAAGCAGTGGGCTGGTGAAGAGCAGCAGCAGCAGCAATCGCAGGAGGTGCAGTCGCGGCAGCACCTACCCAACCCCTCGCTCCTCCTCCAGACTGCCCAGTACGCCTCTGAGGTGTCTGTACAGCAAAGCCCCCTGCACCAGAACATGCAGCACCAGAACGTGCAGCAGCAGAACGTGCAGCAGCAGAACGTGCAGCAGCAGCTGCTGGAGCCTTATGCCGTCCAAAGTCTCGTGTTGCCGCAGCCGCATCAACCACTCTCTCCTCTTGAGCTAGACTTGCAGCTTGGGAAGCCGAATAAGCCTCAAGGGCTTGTAAGCCTCCCCCAAATTTCCAAAGAGCAGCCGCATGCCTCTTTGCAGCAACCCGTATTGACAGCCTCACTTCAGCAACACCAGCTCTTCGAACAAAGGGCCTTGCAGCACAGTTGTGCAGTGCAGAGGCAACCGCTGCAGCAATCGAGGATCCAGCCTTTCCCGCATGCAGCGAGTCAACTAGACCCTCTGAGGCTCGCGTCTGTAGCGCCAGCTGCCACGTCGATCGAGCCGCAGAGCAGCAGATCCTTGCCACTAAGACACACTGTGCCGCTTCTTCCTTCCCAGCAGCCTTACCCGCAGCGAGAGCTGGGCAGCCAGCAAGGAAAGCAGCATTTGCTGAAGACACACCCCCTGTTAGAGCAGCATCAAGCGCATCAGCTGCAGCAGCAGCAGCTGGTCCTTCCGCAGCAGCTGCAACAGCTGCAGCAGCGGCAGCAGCGGCAGATGCTGCACCAGCAGCAGCAGCAGATGCAAGAGGCAGGTTCTTTCCAGTCGCAGCACGGCGTTCCCCTGACGGCGCTTTTCGAGAAGCCGCAATGGCAGCAGTCTTTGTTGCGACTGCAGCAGCCACAACAGCAGCAGCAGCATATGCTGCAACCACAACAACCACAGCAGCAGCTGGAGCATATGCTGCAACCACAACAGCAGCCACAACAGCAGCAGCTGGAGCATATGCTGCAGCCACAACAACCACAACAGCAGCAGCAGCATATGCTGCAGCCACAACAGCAGCAGCAGCAGCAGCTGGAGCATATGCTGCAACCACAACAACCACAACCACAGCAGCAGCAATATATGCTGCAACCACAACAACCACAACCACCGCAAAAGCAGCAGCAAATGCTTCTTCCTGAGCGAACAGTAGGCCCTGTGTTACTCCTGAGACCAAGCGTGTATCCTGCAGAAGGAGCAGCAGGCAGCACGCATGCAGCCGCCACTCCGCCTTCCAGCGCGCATGCAGCGGCATGCAAAGTGACGGCTAAGAAGGGGCCAAGCGGTGTAGAGAGCGGCAGCAGCGAGGAGAGCAGTCGGAACGAGGGGGGGATCTCTCGCACATCCTCTTTGAGCTCGCAAACGGTTTCCCTACAGAGCAGCACTCCTCTAGCAGTGCAACCACAGCCGCTGCAAAGCAAAAAAAAATTCTTTCCTGCAGTTGCCGCTGGTGAGGCGGGGGCAAACAAGGTCAGACAGCAGGGTGCCACAGCGTCTTCAAAATATGGCAGTGGCAGTCCTCAGCTCCCAGCAGCAGCACAGAGCTTTAGGCTGCAAGCGAGATATCCGAAGCAGCAGCACTTGCAGCACTTGCAGCGTGTGCAGAAGGCACTCCCCCCAGTTGCGCGTGCGAAAAGCTGCGTCGAAGAAGGTCTGCCTTTGGCGTATGGCTTGCCGAAGAGGGCAAGTGTAGAACCTGCTTCGAGCGACAGCGGCAGCAGCCACAATGCCATCGGCAGCAGCACTTCTGCAGGTTGCTGCTCCAGCAGCGGAACTGTTCAGGGATGTGTGAGGAGCTCTCAGCTTCCTCGAAGTGCTCATCGGGAGATGGCAGCTCTTAGGATTTCTGCTAGGTCAGTTAAGGACGCATCTTCGCCGCTTCATGCCGCTGTCAGTTCCAGTTCTTCTCCGGCGCGCAAGGCGGCGAGTAAGGCAGCAGCGGCTGCAGCAGCAGGAGCAGGAGCAGGAGCAGCAGCAGGAGCAGGAGCAGGAGCAGCAGCAGGAGCAGGAGCCGCTGATGTTTCCAGAATTCTACGCCGAAGCGGCAGAAATGATGCTTCTTTCAAGGATGCAAGGGAAGGAGGAGGAGGTATTGGTAGTGATGATGCTGCTGCTTCCGTGGCAGCAGCAGCAGCAGCAGCAGCAGCAGCAGAAGCAGAAGCAGACGCAGCAGCAGCAGCAGGAGATGCAGCAGCGGCAGCAGAAGCAGAAGCAGCAGCATGGCGTCCTCCTGCCGTAGCACCTGTGCCTCATTTGCCTGCGTTTGCAGCAGCAGCTGCTGCGAGCGGTGCTGCAGTTGCCACGAGAAGCATTCTTGCAGCAGTTGACGACAGCTCAACTTTGCGTCAGCTGACAGCGCTGGGGGGGGATGCAGAACGGGAGTGCATTCGATGGTCGTATGACGGAGTTTCGTCTGCCCTTACGCCAGCTTGCGTTTCTTCTTCTTCCGCTACTGCTGCTACAGCCGCTACTGCTTCTTCTTCTCCCGCTGCTGCTTCTTCTTCTTCCGCTACTGCTGCCACTGCTGCTTCTTCTCCCGCTGCTGCTTCTTCTCCCGCTGCTTCTGCTACGTCTGCAGTCCCCTTCAGGGCAGACGCAGTAGCAGCAGAACCGGCAGGAGAAGAAGCAGCAGAGACAGCAGGAGAAGAAACAGGAGGAGCAGCAGGAGCAAGAGCGGCAAGACGCGAAGCGGGGAGTGGGGATGGCAGGTGTGTTGAAGTGTCTTTGGAGGAGTGTGGAAGCTTGGCATCGCCTTCTTGGAGCGTTCCTGTGGGCAGCTGTTCAGAGGAGGTTTCTGCATTTTGCAGTCATGGGGAGCAGCCGCCGCATCCGTCTATTCAGACGGCAGTGTCTCTGTCGAAGGCTGCAGCGACAGTGGCTCTCAAGGCTTCTTCTGCTTCTGTACTGCCGCCTCTGGGAACGTCTCTGCCCCCCGAGCTGCTAGCAGATGTGCAGCAGCGTGACTTGCCTCCGTTGAGTACAGGGCTTGCGGCAGCTGAAGTGACAGAGCAGCTCAAAGTGTTGCAACGGGCAGCTCTTTCCAAGACGGCGATTTTTCCTGGTTTGCGCCTAGCAGATTCGAAGGCAGGCACTTGCACGCCGCAAGAAGATGCACAGCAGCAAAAGGAGCAGCAACAGGAGCAGCATCAGCAGCTTCAACAGGAGCAGCATCAGCAGCTTCAACAGGAGCAGCATCAACAGCAAAAGGAGCAGCATCAGCAGCTTCAACAGGAGCAGCATCAGCAGCTTCAACAGGAGCAGCATCAACAGCAAAAGGAGCAGCATCAGCAGCTTCAACAGGAGCAGCATCAAAGGGGGCAGTGCTCGCCTTTAGTCCATGGTAGCTGCGCAGAGCCTGTTGCTGCGACAGCCTCGCGTGCGCAGGAAGAAGGCTTTTCTGTTGTGCATGCAGCAGCGGCGTCTTCTGGAGGAGTCTGTACGCCTCTGGCCGCTGCAGTGTCTTCTTCTTCTTCTCATAACACCAGCAAGGCAAGCCGTTGTGCTCCAGTGACATTCACGCAGCGCAGCATGATGCGAGGCTTTCAAGAAGGCAGCGAGGCATCCGAGAAGACGGCGAAGGAGAGGCGTTCCTCGGCAGACTTCGCTGGGAGCAGCAGCAGCGGGGGGGGAGGGGGAGGGGTATGGGGAATGCGTCACAGGCTGCCGTTGTTGCATCACGTGGATCAGTGCATGTCTTCGAAGGGAGGCATGAGCAAGCGGCAGCGCGTGTTTCTCTCGGAGAGTATGGGGTGTGTCGAGGAAGAGAAGAGAAAAGCGGGGGGGGCAGGAATAGCTCCCTTGACACGACTGCCCCTGTGGCAGCAAGAGACGCCGTACGCAGAAACTCCCAGGAAGCTGAATTTGACCTCCTTTGTGGGGGAGACGTGGACGAATCGCTCGAAGGGAAAATTCATCATTGTCGTGAGACGGCTGCCCTTTGACATTCGCACCACTCGAAACTGCCTCGCGAGAATCGAATGTCTGCTCCTTGGGCAGCAAGAAGGTTCATCCTGCTCCTCTTCCTCGTCATCGTCATCCTGCTCCTCTTCCTCGTCATCGTCATCCTGCTCCTCTTCCTCGTCCTCGTCATCCTCCTCCCCACTGACTGGAGAAAGTAGGGAGGAAGGAGGAGGCGGCAAGAGCAAGAGCAAGAGCAAGAGCAGCAGCAGCAGCAGCAGGAGCAGCAACAGCAGCCTGAGCAAGAGCAGCAAGAGCAACAGGAGCAACAGGAGCATTTTCCTCTCTGGGGGGAAGGGCGAGGAGGAGCGGGGGAAGAGTGGCGAGATGGTGTCGACAGGAGAGACACAGCCTTCGTCCGCTTCCTTGGATGCTCTTGGAGAGTCTGAAGTGTTTCTGCCAGAGCCGCTTCGCAGCCTTTCTTCTCTTGGTCCGCAGAAGCAGCGGCGATGCAACGGGGAAGAAGGCTTTCTAGGCAGCAGCCACTCCCTCGACGATCTCGGGAGATTCGCCTCGCAAGGATCTTCAGGAACGACTGCTAGCTGCGGATGGGGCGCAGCAGGAGACACAGAAGGCGATCCAGACAGCTGCAGGCGAGATGCCTTCCGTCTTCGCTCCTTAGCTCTTGCCAGAGAACTCCTCCGACGCGTTCGCAGCGAAATGCAACTCGTGCCTCAAAGAGGGAAAGCCATACGCAGTCTCCTTGAGGCTCCTGTCGGATGCGCCCCCCCCCCCACAGGGGGGCTTCCCGTCACGAGCCACTCCGAGACTGCCTTGCTGCATCTTTCCGCAGAACAAAAAGCATCATCTTCGAGCCTCCCCTCCCCTGACGTGCCGACAGAGCAGCACCAAGAGCAGCAACAGAAGCACAAACAAGAGCAGCAACAGAAGCACAAACAAGAGCAGCAACAGAAGCACAAACAAGAGCAAAAAGAGGCCGGTGATGACGATGAATGTGCTGCTTCAGCGGATGCGGCTGCTGCTCCCTCGCGCGTCCTCTCTGAGAACAAAAAGATGGCCATGTCAGAGAATGCCTCGGGGAGGGGGGGAGGGGGGTCGACGCATGCGTTTTCGAGCAGCAGCGAGCAGCAGCCGCTACTACTCGACGGATCAGGGAGCTCTGGAAGGGGAGGAACGGGGGGGGGCATAGGGGGTGACCCCTCCTCAGAGGATTCTAGAGGCGACTGCGACAAACAGAGCACCCCGGCTGACGGGCTTGTCGTGTTGAGCGGAGCAGATATTGCGTGGGATATTGCGACTACTTTGAAGCCTTACGTTCCATGCGTGACGATTTCAGACATAGGCCTTGTTGCGGAGGATATGGGATTGACTGGAAGCGAGCAGCATCTGATGCAGCAACGTGTGCTTGACACTGTCAAAAGACAGCATCCGAATGTCTACCCCATCACGCTGAGCAAGGATGCGCGAAGAGAATGCTACTCGGAGCAAATCCTCAATACGCTTTTCCACTGTCGGACTCCTCCAGTCGGTAAGAGGATGCCGCTGCGAAATCGCTCAGACAGACAGACAGAGGATATGCGTATGCGGGAGGGAAAGAACGGAGATGCAGGGGGGGAGCGGGGGGGGACGTGTGTTGAGGGGTGTGTCTCTCGGCAGCTTTGCGAGAGAGAGGGAGACAAGGAGAGAGAGGGAGACAGAGGGATAGAGGAAGACAAGGAGAGAGAGGGATAGAGAGGGAGACAGAGGGAGAAAGGGAGACAAGGATAGAGAGGGAGAGAGAGAGGGAGACAGAGGGATAGAGAGGGAGAGAGAGGGAGGGAGAGAGGGAGAGAGGGATAGAGAGGGAGGGAGAAAGGGAGAGAAGGATAGAGGAAGACAGGGAGAGAGGGAGACAAGGATAGAGGGGAAGAGAGAGGGAGACAAGGATAGCGGGAGAAAGGAAGAAAGGGAGAGAGAGGGAGAGAGAGGAAGAAAGGGAGACAAGGATAGAGAGGAGGAAAGGGAGGCAAGGATAGAGAGGAGGAAAGGGGGAAAGGGAGGGCAAGTGTTAATTTTGTAGTTGCTTAGTTACGGAGTGTAGCACACCAGGGGGCACCTCGGAAAGCCTTAGCAAGGACGGGGGGAGTTGAAGTAAAGAGCTGGCGAAACACAAAATAAAGAGGCAAGGCGCTTTCGGGTAGCTCTAAGAGTCTTTGACACGACCATCGCGAACACTACAGCCGCCATCTGCAGGATTTTTTGGAGGGGCTAATTGTTTGCTCGACGGCATTTTTCTGCTTCGTCTGTTAAATGCCGCTAAGATGCCGTTCGTGCAAACAATTGCATGCGCTGTCTTGTCTTCCTCGCTTTCCAGGGACGGGCTTTTCTCACCTGGACTGGCAGGGGTATGTGCGTATGAATGAAGAGTTTGCCAAGGCAGTGGAGCAGGTTTACTCTGAGGGAGACGTTATCCTCGTGTACGACTATCACTTCATGCTGCTTCCTCTCATGCTGAGGCAGGTAAAAAAGCAAGCATGCAGTACGCATGCAGGCACGCATGCAATAAGCGTGCAATAAGCATGCAGGCACGCATGCAATAAGCGTGCAATAAGCATGCAGGCACGCGTGCAGGCACGCATTACGCATGCAGGCATGCATTACGCATGCATGCAGACACGTAGGCATCCATTACGCATGCATGCAGACACGTAGGCACGTAGGCACGCGTAGACACACAGTTCACGTTGCAGAGAGCAAGACCTTTGAATCTTCGCGTCTTCACCACTCCCGTCGGTTGCAGGCAGTCCTCTCGATGTAATAGGCCTCTACTGCCGCACTCAACGGACAGATAGGAGATTTATAGCGCGAGAGGCAGACAAACAGACAGACAGACTGACAAACTGACATACATACATACATACATTCACAGAGAGAGAGTTGCTGCAGCTACAATCAGGGACGAAAAAAACACCACACAGCACTTGAGAACGTTTTGCGGCAAATATGTCTTTTCGTATTGCTTTTGCTATGTTTTCTTCGCATTGCATATTGGGGGAGGCTGGGGTTTGTATTTTGGGGTGTATGTGAGGTGAGGAGGTGTGTATGCAAGCCTTGACCTGTAAGGCGGTGCCTCTCTTTCTTTCTTTTTCTCCCTTTCTCTGTATCTCTTTCTTGATTCTTTTCTCTCCCTCTCTATCTCCCTTCCTCTCTATCTCTCTCCCTCTCTATCTCTCTCCCCCTCTATCTCTCTCCCTCTCTATCTCTCTCCCTCTCTATCTCTCTCCCTCTCCATTCTTGTTGCTCTTTCCCCTTTCTCTTCACCCTCTTCTCTTTCTCTTTTTGCGAGATTCTAGGAAGCAGAGAAGGTATGACAGCGCGGCCTATGGAATACCCAGAGCACATGCCGCTTTGTCCAGTGCGCCTCTTTGCTGTATATATGTACATGTATGTATATTTATGTATATTTATGTATATTTATATATATACATGCATGCATATATCTCTATGACTGTCTTGTAGGCGATCCCCAAAGCCACCATTGTTGTCCACTGGGCAACAGTATTTCCGAGCAGCGAAATGTTTAGGATTTTGCCGCAGCGAGAGGCTTTGTTGAGCGGCTTGCTTGGGGCAGATCTTATTACCTTTCAGGCGTATGCGTTTCATCGGCAGTTCGCCAACACCTGCAGAATGCTGAAGGGATCTGGAGGGCTTGCAGGTATGTGGAGTTGCTAGGGGAAGGGAGAACGCGCGAGTGGCAGATGTGGCATGCCCCTGTAGCAGCTTATTAGGCACGCAATCATTAGGCGCTAAATAGGCCTTCTTGTGCTGCCGCTCTTTTACTTTCTTTTGCCCCCTTCTTCCTCCTGTGCAACCTTCCGTTTCAACAATGCGCACGTTTCTAGCACATGTACAGGCTGAACTTTATGCGGGACTGCTTGTTCGCGTGTTTAATGGGGGGTGGTAAGAGTCCTCGTGAACGCCGTCGGTGGAGGCGTGCGGTTAAAAATTCTCTAGGAGTCTCGTGTTCTCGAGGGGTAACTGTGTAATTACGGCTAGCTAGCTCGCCTCGAGATAGACACAGCGCACAGGGCAGTGAATCGAATTCTTCTGGATAAATCGCCTTCAGGCCATGCCTCATGCTCCCTCTTCTCCTCAGGAATGCTCCTCTCGATTGCATGGGTTGTGCGTGTCTTCTGCATGCACACTCATGTACATCTGCTCATCCATGTACATGTACATATAGATATCTATTTACACACAAGCACATACATATATACACAGTGAGACACACAAACAGATAGAACAATAATTTACTGAGGGACACTCAAAAACATCGATCTCTTGCTGCGCATTTCCTTTTCATAAAGGCAGCGCGTTGTTGTTGTTTTAGTGGTCTCCACAGTCTCCTCTTCAGTCTCAGTGGTGTCTTTGTGTGTGTGTATGTGTGTAGATGTTTGCATATATATACGTATGTGTATATGTGTATGTGTATACATGTATGTGTGTGAATATACGTTTATGTGTACATGTAAATGTGTACATACGTCTGCGTGTGTATCTGTGCCTATATGTACACATATATATCTATATATCCACATATATACACATATATATGTATGTGCCTATATCTCTATGAACACAACATACCTATATACATATATATATGTACATAGTTATGGATTCTCTGGTGTCTCGTTTTAGGTGTACGGATAGCTATTGTTCCTCGAGGCCTCGATCCAGCCCCTTGGCTGCAGCAAATGCGGCTGCAGAAGTCTGGGGGCGCTGCGGATTGGGAAGAGTTGCGGGAGAAGTTGGGGGGTCGCACTGTATTTGTCTCAGTTGACTCAATTAGCGCCAACAGCGGCATTCCCCATAAGATGGTTGCCTTTCGGCACTTCCTTCAGGAGCATCCCGAGTACATTAACCGCGTAGTGTTTGTCCAGGCTGCAATCACGGATAGCACGGTCAGACAGAAACGCTCAAGGGGCCACGTTGCATGCAGGGAAACGCACTATTGCAGACACGCATCATGTTGCATGCAGGGAAACGCACTATTGCAGACACGCATCATGCTGCGTGCAAGGAAACGCACTATTGTAGACACGCACACCTAGGGGCAGGAGCCAGCTAGCGCCGTTGAGGGAGGCCTACAAAATAGCTTTTTGACACCCTTCGAACTGCCCCCACCGTGTCGACTCCCGAAAGCGAACGGCAGATACACAAGGAGGCGCAGTGCTCTGATGATGCTTCTGACGGCATTTGCACAGGCCCCCGACACGTTTCTTGACCAAGATCCTCGTCAGTTGCTCAGTGAAACAGAATGCCACGAGCTGCTCTCTCAGGCAAGACACAACTTCGCCATCTTCTAGAGCTTCCTCCCCTCTAAAACACCACCCCGTTTAGTGGCTCCTTTTCCACGCATGCGCACCTCGTTTGCATGCATATCTCTGCACATATGAATAATGGTATGCATGCATGCATAGATATTTGATCCTCTGATGCCTGCCATGTTGTGCTCTCTCTGTCTGTGTGACTATCTGTCTGTCTGTTTGTCTGTTTGCTGTCTGTGTGTCTATCTTTCTTTCTTTCCTTCTTTATTTCTTTCTCTCTCTCTACACATTTATCTGATGGCCTTGCCTGTATGAATCCTGTTAGTAAAAGGCCTTCGCCTGTGCTTCTTCCTGCGCGATCGCCGCGCATACACTGCAGTAACCTCGGTTGCCGACCCCTCTTTCCTCATTCTCTCCCTCCCCCACTGTCTCCCGTATATTATTCTCCTCTTTTGCAGCCTTCGCCTGCCTCCCTTGCCGCACACAGTAGAGGGAGGTTACCCTGAGGCGCTAAGGCCACATCGTGCAGTACGCAGAGAAGCATTTCGACTGCACAACTGCTGCTGCAGATTTTTTTTCGTGTTGCTCTCCTTATGGCTCTCAGGTGTATCACTTCGTGGGCTGTATCAACTCCGAGTTTGGAGCAGTGGCGAGCCAAGCCGTGCATTTTCTTACGGTACCTTGGACGGCGGAGGGCCTCTCGCCTCTCTTTGCCTGTGCAGATGTCTGCCTGGCGACGTCTGTGAGAGAATCTTTCTCTTGGGCTGCCTACGCCTTTATTCTCTGCCAAAAGTTCAGCAACAAGGGAGTCTTGGTGCTGTCTGAGTTCTCTGGATCGGCGCAGGTAACTATAGCTCGAGGACGGGAGACACACGTCAAATTTCCCTTAGTCTTCAGAGGGCTTGACGCAGGGGCAGCAGTTTCCTCGAGTGGCACCTTCACAGTGCAGTCATCTAGATGCGTCTTTTTATACGGCTACACATGCGGCTCCATTTCCTCCTCTTACTACCTTCCCCCTTCCCCCTTCCCCCTCCCTTTCGAATCATTTCCCAAAAGGCTCAGCGCTTCGCTTGTGGCTTTGGGGCAGCCACCAGAGGCAGCAGCTGCCGCTGCACCTGCATGCGCTCGTTGCTTCTCCAACTGCACCCTTGCTGCTTCCTGACGACGGCACACAGCCTCTCTCTCTACCGCTGGAATCCATGCCTCCGTCTTTCTGCTTCTTCCAGAGGGGGAGTGGCGTGCAAAGAAGAATGAACTCAGACTTCGCTAGCTCGATAATGTAGCCGTGAGTGCTGCTGCCGCTGTGGCATGCGTTGGGGCATCAGGCACTGGGAGCTGGAGCCTTGATGGTCAATCCTTGGAATGCGCGCGCTTTCGCTGCTGCTCTACACGACGCCGTAAACATGTCTGAGCAAGAACGGGCAGAGCGGCACGCGTATGCTTATCGATACTGCACCAAGCATTCGGATAAAATGGTATTCGTTAGCCCCCATCTTTCCCTCCCCCTTCTCTGGCCTCCAATAACAACACCCCCCCCTCCCCTTCCCCTTCTGCTCTTCCCCTCCCTCTACCCCCAATCACCAGGCCTCCCCATAGGAGCCGTCCTCCTCTGCCTCAGCCTGTGCAGGCTGAGGCAGACGATGAGCGGCCTTAGTAGGATATTGAGGCGATACGACTTAAAAGGCGCACAGGCATACAAGCACCCAAACGCTTGCTAGGTCTCAACTAGACACTCAAATTTCTTAGGGACGCACAGAAAGACTGCATCGAGAACGCACTGCATTCCCTCCAGAAGGCTTTTTGTTCATGGCGTTCATCGACGCTATTTCAGTTGAGGCCATGAAATGCCTCAATTTCTTGGTTTGCTGTTTTTCTGCAGTGGGCACGCCAGCTACTGACAGAGCTGGGAACTGTCTTGAGGACCCCTTCTCGCGAAGGCCAGATTTCCGGGGAAACTGCTTCTGCCTAGCCCAGTCTCAGAGACACAGATGCCCCTCTACGAGCTTGCGCTTGCATGCAGCGCGAGCAGCATCCACGTGTATGTACATATAGGCATCGGCCCTCGAAGTCGAGCAAAATGCACTAGCCTTTAGGTTAGCCCTTGTAGCAAGGCAGTGGCCGGCTCTTACGCGCCGAGCGTGTTGCAGGTTTTTCGCACTCAATTCCAAGTCTCGCCTCCTCTCTGTTCTTCGGAGATTTTGCTGCACACTGTAACTCTGAAAAACTAAGTGGCCTCCAGAAGAGAGAGAGACAGAGCAGCCAGCACCACGCGCAACAGTAGCAGACCACGGAAACAAGCATGCGAGCTGCTGCTCTCGGGTAGACAGAGAGAGGATTAAACACTCACTTTTCTGTGCACGTCTCGCTCGGCGGGTTGACACACGGAGACGTGCCATGAAACACACACCCCATCCGACGGCGGTCAAGCCTCGTGGAAGGGGTTTCCCGCTGTTTCTGATTGCATAAAGGCAACGGAATGTCTTTGGAGTGACGATGTATTTTTGGACACGTAGGAAACCTCTGCGGCCTGAGCGTTCACGGTGCCTGACAAATGTTCGTCGGCATGTGTAGGCGTAATACGTCTGTCGCTTCATGCAAGAAAGAAAATACTGGACTTGGGGTGTCTTCCCCGCAGCCCCTGCTATGCATGTTCTTCCTCTGTCTCCGTCAGTCTGTCTGTTTATATGTTTGCATGCGTCGCAGGCACATGTCTTGCCCCTTCTTGAACGTGCATTTCTTTTCTCGAGCCGTTGAGTGGTAGCTCCACTAGCCTTTCCTGCACGCACGGGTGGCTGTGCCGCTGTCTGCCGCGTGTCACGCGCTGTGCTTTGCGCCACAACTCCCGCTGTTTCTGTTGCTGAGCAAATCCGGTGCATGCCAAAACTGAGGCTTCGGCCGCTGCCTCGGGCTCCCCCCGAAGTCAGTGTGCCTGTCTGCGTCTGCTGCATCGCGCTAAGGAGCACAGTAGCAAGGGGCACATACGGAATGCCAAACTTTAGCCGAAGGGCTGGCTCAAGAGAGAGCTTTTACACTAAAGCCTTCATCATCGGGGTTAGCAATAAAGCCCCAAATTTTTGGAACTACCGCAAGTTTGCTCAATCCATAACTCCCGTAAATTTCATCGCGTACATGCAATATATCTGCTACCTGCACTTCCGAATGGCAGGAGGACCAGCGGCACCAACAACAGCAACACAGTCGGTGCAAGAAAGAGCGTTGCAGCACCGCATAGAGAAACTACAGGCCGTACTCCCACTTAATCTGTCGTATCCGGTGTACGTGTGTGTATGTGTATGTGTATGTGTGTGTGTGTGTGTTTGTGTGTGTGTTTGTGTGTGAGTAGCCCTTTTTCTGAACTCCCTGTGCAGCGCCGCTCAGAGAGCCCTGCCGAATAAGCCCTTCCGTTATTTAGGCCTACAGCTAGATCCGCCCTTTGCGTAAACGTGGCACGCACACGCACAGCTGCCTTTCTAGACGCTCATGTGTGGTTCCTTGGTGCGTGTCGACAGCTAGCCAGGGGGTGGCAGGCGCGAAGACTAGACCCAAGGCGGAGGGGGGGTAAGGGCGGAGGAGAAGCCAGCGCCAGGGCCAGCAGAAAATCCCCAAGAAAAATGCAATGGGCTGCACATGAGACACAATGGGCTAGGCGAGCGATGAGAGCTGTTTGCATCAGATCTATGTTTTCCATCTATTTTAACCTAACAAGCTACGCTCCGTAGCACCATCCACAACATGCATCCGTGTCTGCTGCTTGCTTCTTCGTGTCTTCCAAAGTCAAAAGACTTGGTTCTCAAATGCCAAGCTCTCGCGAACCGTAAGTGTCAAGGAGTGTCAGTAGATCCCGCTTCTCCGTGAAGGAGAGCCGCTGGACGGGGCAGGAGCGAACACCCTCTGCGCACTGCCGCACGTCCTATTACGGAGCCCCTAAAAAAGCTTATTTTTGGCAAAAACGCTAGCGCTAGGAACCTAGTTGGCTTTGGGAAGGCAGACCGAAGAGGGCAAGTGAGGAGACAGCGCACGAGCACACGTGCAGTGAGCGTGCCGTGTGGGCTTTCCTTCACTCCCAGCGGCGGCGAATTGCAATAAACAAATGTTTTCCAGCGAAATAAGTGTTATTTCACCGGAAGCCGCAAACAAATCGTTCACGAAGAATAGAGAGACAGTGCTGCGTCCTGCTTTCTCTTACCCTCCTGCCCTTGCAATGTCTCCCTCTCCCCCCCGTCGGCGGTTAGGGGCCTTTCCGTCTTCCTCTCCGTCTCGGCCGCAGAAGTTACCCTGTTTTTATTATTCTGCTTTCTCTCAATTGTTTTGGAATGTACTTTTGAGGTCTGAAGGAAAAACGCACCAGCTCAGTGGACGCCCGGGACTGAGGCTTCGGGAGGAACACCGCGTTCATCGCAGAGCAAACGCCTTCCATTTTTCAGCCTATCCACACACTGAACGAAATGTCGCTCCTCAAAGCCGCAGTTGCGGTTTCTCTCGTTGGGCTGTACTCCGGCCCTGCTTCTGTCATCAGGCAAGCGCGAGAAACACGCTTGAAATTCCTAGAGACTCCTGATCGTAGTCGTACATCGGTTATGCGGCATTTGATGTGCGCCCTCCTCGTACCTTCTCTCGACCCTCCGTGTGTTGTACGTGAATATAGATGCGTGTGGTTTGTGTGTGCCTTCAGCAGCCAGGAAAGTAAGGGATTTTTCCGCCTGAGTAGTACCTCCTGCCTCCTTTACCCCCGTTTGGCGGGCAGTGCCACCGCTGTGCTCGCGGTCTCGTAACGAAGTTTCCTGGTTCTCGTCTTCTAGGCTCAATAATTCTGCCCTGCTTTCGCTTTCTCCCAGTCTGCCTCCTCCCGCTCATGGCTCTGCCGTGTCACGCCTTGTTGCTTTGCAGCCACCTGCTTTGAGCAGGGCGTCGATTACCACGGCTATGATATCCTCACCCTAAGCGGCGTGGGCAGCCCTTCGCTCTGCATGGAGAGCTGCGGCCTCTCTGGAGATTGCCGCTACTGGTCGTGGAACTCGGAAACAAATACGTGCTATCTGAAGTCGGCGGGAGCCTTCGTGAATCGCACAAACGCAGAAAAAGTCATCTCAGGCCCCAGAAGTTGCCACGACGAAGATGGATGTACGCCGCCTATTTGCCTGAACTCTGAGAGGAGTCGCAGCGGCTCCGCAGGGCCTTGCTCGCCCAAGGGTGGCCTCGCTAGCCGGAGCGTGCTGCCTAGTTGTTGCAAACGCATAGCCTCCCTCCCTCCCCAACATGCAACACACACACACGCACACACACACACACGCAACATGGCGCTCGCGCAATCGCTGATGCACTCCCTCTTGCCTCTGTCTGTCAGCAGGCTTCAGCGAGGGGGTAGACTACCTGGGCTACGATTTAACGCGCATCGAGGGCCAGGAAGTGGCCTCGGCTGCCGCCTGCCAAGCCCTCTGCGTGGCTGAACCCAAATGCGCATTCTTCAGCTACAAGATTTCTAGCAAGGACTGCTACTTAAAGACGGCAGCCGCCCCCATGGGACGTGCAGTAGACGCAAACGTCATCTCAGGGCCAAGAGACTGCTCGCAAGTCAGCACAGCCGACGAGGCTCCTGGTGACGCGTACGATCTCCCGAGCGGAAACTGCGCGGAGGGCAGCACAGAGTACAGAGGCCGTGACATCGACGTTCGAAAGAACGTTCGCAGTGCCGCCTTCTGCCAGCAGCTGTGCGCCGCCAACACCGCCTGCTTCCACTGGACGTGGGACAGAAACCGACACATATGCTACCAGAAGGACGAATTCGCCACAGAATTCAGATCTACCGGCAGGCATACTCTCGGCAAGGTGTCCGGCGCGAAGGACTGCATTCCTCTGAACCCTGGTATGGAGGGAGGCCTCGCAAGTTCCCGCCGCGTATTTTTTTGGAAGCGCCAAGCTTATGCGCGATTCGCATGAAGCGTCCTCTGGCTGTTGTCGCAGTGTGGCGCGTGCTGGCCATGAAGGGGGAGTCAGAGTGGCGAGGGAGGGGGGGGGCGGGGGGGCGATAGGGGATTCGAGCGAGGCGGGGATTGGAGGGAAGGGGAAGGGGTTCTAGGTGACCTTTCCCCTCCGTTACCCTCTCTCAACAGAGGTGCCTTGCCGCTAATGGGGTGACGCGCGCCGGCAACAATAGAGATTTGACGGCAGATTCTTTGCGCGCGCTCGTGTACAGGCTGCCAGATGCTGGACACGACGTTCTTGGGCACTGCCAAGCGCCAGCTGCGAAATTCTGCAACCTACGAGGCTTGCCAGCACAACTGCCAGATGGACAGCACCTGCCACTACTGGACTTGGGATTTGTACAGCAAGCTCTGCGTGCTGCGAGATGAGGCTCCCTACGGATACGTCACCGACGCTTCAACCGTTGGCATCCTCGCAGGCCCCAAGTACTGCCCTAATGACGGTAAGGCGGCTGGGGGAAGAGAGGCAGTGCGACGCCTCTCCGAGTCGCTAGTGCTCTCTTCTCTGCGGCTAAATCAGCCTGAGGCTGCTTGTTCGCGCGTGCATGTTCGTGCCAGACGTCTGCATAGAGCAGGCGGACTATGTGGGCTACGACCTGGAGGCGATCGAAGACGGCAGCGTCTTAAGCGCTGTGGCTTGCCGCACCATATGCCGCCACACCGAAGGCTGCGAGTTCTGGACCTGGGTAAAAGCGACGAAGAACTGCTACCTCAAGACTGAAGACGCGCTCCTGGGGAAGACCAATGGGCTTTCTAGCATTGGGAGGTTCTCCGGGCCAAGAGAATGCTTCATGCAATATGGTTAGCCACATGCAGAGGGCGGGAACGCTCTGAGTCGCGTGGAAGCGGTAGCGAATAGGGGCGTAAAGGGGGGTTAGAGAGGGTAACACAGAGAACTTGGGTGTGCCTCCACAGTGAGCGGAGCTGGCGAATGGATCGAAAGCTCCATAAGTAGCCCCTGGCTCTAGCGGCCGAGGCTTCCTGTTAGCGCGAGGAGTTAGGTTTGCTGGATAAGGCTCACTCTTGGTGCTGCCCTCTTGCTTGGCTGCTTACGTGCTCACATGGTTTGGGAGGGGGGGAGGGAAGGGGGTGTTGTTGCTGCTGCTGCTGCTGCACGAAAATCCATGGCTCACGCAGTTTGCGCGTCTCCTGGGTATGTCTTTAGGGTGTCTGGAACCGAATACGGCGTACCTTAGTCCCACGAGCACGCAGGTAAAGAACGTGACTGGCTTTAAAGACTGCGAAAGTCGCTGCAAACAGAGCACCGACTGCAGCCACTGGACCTTCTTACCGACAACAATGACTTGCATCCTCCTGGCCTCGACGGATGCACAGCAGAAGGTTCCTCTGGATGGCGCGCTGTCTGGATCGGACTGCGACACCACGAAGACGACAAACGAGTATAAGTGCCTGACTCTTGGCGTTCGATACAAGAATGCAGAGATGGTACGCCCTCTGAAGCCTGCAACACACACACACACGTCTCTAAGGGGGTGATTCTCAGGTTTAATTGGAAAGTCTTTCAAGGTCGCACAAGGAAATTCCGTCGGTACACCCCTTTTGCGAGGCCTTTCGCCGCGCCAATGCGCAGAGAGGGGGCTAGTGGGGGGCGGAGAGGGGGACGGGTGTGTGTGTCTGTGTGTCTGTGTGTCTGTGAATGTATGCGTGTGGAAGTAGGGGGGTTGTGTTCAGAGAAGGGTCTAGTAGGGAGGCGGAGAGGGTGACAATGGTTTGTATGTGTGTGTGTGGAAGCGGGGGCTTAGGGTAGAGAAAGCAATGCACATGGTGAAGGGCCCTTGTTCAGCGATAAGTTTTGTCTCTGGCGAATGGCTCTGGCTTCCTTCAGGCTTTGATCAGTGGTGCTGCTAATGCGAACGATTGCCACTACGAATGCAACAACAACGTGTCTTGCGAGGCGTTTACATTCGAGGAGGGCGTGGGCTGCTACCTGTATGACAAGGATCCGAGCCAGCTGACTGCTTATCCTTTGGACTTCCCTACGGCGTCATCAGGAACTCCCAAATGTGGACCGTCTTCTGTGGGGGAAGCGGACACTTGCTACGTCGATGGCACTCTTGAAGGTGCCTCCTTCTACGCCTACAATGCAGGGGAGTGCGCTGCTGCCTGCACGGAGGTGCCCAGCTGCATGCACTGGACATACAATCCAAAGAGGCGAAGTGACAGCTGCATCTTCCACAAGGCCGGCGCTACCAAGCAAACATGTCTCGGCAGCACTTCGGGAGGGAAGACCCCGCAGCATGGGACGTACGGGTACTACCGTTACGATGCGCCAGCAGTCACCGTTGCAAACATCGCTTCTGCAGATTTGTGCCGCGCTCAGTGTGCAGACAACGATATGGCTTTCTGGACTTACTACCCTCTTACCCAGACCTGCAAGCTTCATGAAGACGGCAGCTACAATAGAGTCAGGGACCTGAGCGCGGTCTGTGGCACAGTTGTTGCTCCCGCCCAGTGAGCACTTGCCCACCCGCATCCGCGTCTTGCAGCTGCCGTTTCAACGATCGCAGGAGGGCAGCAGGATCGATGACACACGACCGCAAGGACTGCATGCCGTAGAAAGGCAAGACTAGGGCACACCCCTAGGGGTGAGGAGGCTTTGGTGCTGCCTCTGGTTCGCACACAGAGCTGCTACATGCGAGGCCAGCAAGGGGGGATTGCTGGGCCCTGTGCTTGTCAGCTAGGAGAATTCCGCCTACACGTAGCCGTGGCTGCATACACATGGAAATCTTTCCAGCTGCTTGCTGCCACCCAGTTATCTATGGGACCTTATTGGGGTCCTCGACACAAATCGTTTCAAGGTCTTTGGGGAAAACGCAGGTAGTGCAGGATCGCCGCTTCCGCGAGGAAAGGCATCTTCTCTACGCTTGTGGGTGGGTCGCTTAGCCTTAGGCAGCACGTTTTCCGACCGGAATTCGCAGCCGTCGTAGCGAGTTCCACCGCACTACAACGCACTGCTCGGAAGGAAGGTGACCCCCATTGCCCATTCTTGATGAAAAGGGAGGGCTACTGACATATGCCCTGTAGAAAGCTACGCTATCAAGTGACCACACATGTCCCCGTACAGTAGGTAGGAGCTTCTTTAGTGACGTCTCAGCTAAGCTTTCCCTCACGTCCAACTCAGATGGACTTCCCGCGTATGTGCTTTTTGAACTTTTCAATACATTCTTGAGGGCCACTCACGGAGAGCTGCTGCTACCCTAGGCACCACTCAAATTGCACCTCATTCGCTCCGACAGGTAACCAGCTTCCAGTAACAAAGCGCTAGTCCGCGGCTCGATAAAGTAAGCGCAGGGGTGCCAACGTACTCGCGCCACCGGTGTCCACGCCGGTCTGGTACAAAGAGGGTAATCTAAGCCAACTAGGAAAATGTTATCGAGTCAGCGAAACGCCTGTCCAGCAGGCAGAACTGCATGTCTTTCGTGTACATTTCATGCAAGGAAGCCGCCTATCCGTTTGCGACTGGCTTCAGAGGATTCTTCAGATGTAACTCTTGAGCCTTCTTTGGCTTAGAACTGAGTCTGAAGAGTTTCTATCAGTGCGCTTACGCATATGTGTACCAGTTCATTCGCAGCTCAACCGCGTCCTACACAGTTTTGAGCGGCTACTTGACCCAAACGTAACGAGGTAGTACGCGCACACGAGGCTTCGGAACAGAAGAATAGGTACAAGCTGGTAGAAGCTTGGTACCTGTGGAGTTCACAAATAGAAGCAACCTCAAAGTTTCAAAGATTTTGTTACCGTTGTGTTGGACATCCCCAAGAGGTTTCCTGCCTGCATGCATGCAGAATCGACGAATCGTGAATGTCTTTCGATGCCGAATGTCCCTTTGCTTCACAAATTGGCAAAATCGGAATAAATCATATGCTCTGATAGACTTCGTAGCAGCTCTCTTGCCGACAGGAACTGGAACAGCATCCCCTACTACAGAATAGCCACCGGCAGTAGCTGGCCTTCCCGCGGTGCTGTCTGCAGAGCTAGAATAAGTATTCAAGAGTATCATTTGTCATTTTGGAACAAATGGGTCAAAGATTTTCCAGCTGTGCTCAAAGAGGAGCGCGGAACCACACCATGTACCACCCTACCAAGTTGCGGGCTGTTGTTGCTGCAGTTTGTTAGCGGTGCCTCTCCAGTTGACGCGCACCCTCCTTGTGTTGTCTCCCGTAGGAACCTTCTCCTCAATGCACAGGAGCGGCTCTCCCACTACGCCGGCTATCTCTGTGTCGTTATTGCTGTGGCCAAGCCTCACCCTGTTTTATGTCCATGCATGCGCATCACGAACACAGCCCCCAAGACTGCAAAGCAACAGCTCATGCACAAAAAATTAGAGACTGCGCCATAGAAGCCACTCAATTGTCCCCGCAAGAGCCGCCCGAAACCGCAACCTCCCCGTTAGAGGCGTTCTATTTGGGGGCCCCACGCTCAAGGGAGTTTGCATGCATTGCTTCAGGAGCGTATTCTGAGTTCGTGGAGCTTAGTATTTATTGCTGCTCACAGAAGATTAGAAGGCGGACATTGGCGCAGCAGCGCTTCAACAACCCCGCGTTTGCTGTGCTGTGCAGCAGCTGCTCGCCTAGCAGATGGATCAGACTCGGCAGCAGCCTTCGCCTGCAACCTCTGCAGCTGTTGGCAGCAACACCAGCGGCTGCAATGCCAATAGCAGTAGCTGCAATGGGCGGGCAGCGCAACAGCCTCCGACAGAGTATCGGAATCTGCTGCGGAGTCTGACATTCCATCGGGTGCTTTATGTCTCTGAAGCCTTCACAAGTAAGCGGTACAACCCGGGCAGCAACATGCTGCGCAAGAACTACGAGAACTTCGTTCTTCTGAAGCACAAACAGGCTCTCGTTACCCCAGGTACGAAGGGCACTTGCCAGGCAGTGGTTCAACAGGGTTATGTTGCACTTCCAACCGTGCAAAGCTCTACACATGGACGGACAGAGGGTTCCACTGTGCATAAAGAAGAAGACTGGGTGGTGTAATGTGAAAATGGATGGGTAGACACGTGCTTTTCGCATAGTTACAACCTCGTCTACATGAGGGATGGGAGGGGTGATGGTAACTGCGCCAAACTCCATTTCATTCTGCATGCACTCATGAATAATACGCCTGTTTACGAAACGCGCCTTCAGATGCAGACATTTCCGCGATTTCGCCCTCGATTTCCACAGTTTTAATGGTTGATGTTCATCGCATGTGTCTCTTTGCCTAGCTGTAGAGATTGCCTGTGTGAACAAAGGCAAGAGTATGTCTTCCCACGTTTTCCGCATGTTTTTTGTGATTAACGTCTCATGAACGTGCTTGCAGGCCCCAAGAAAGCAAAGGATTTTCCACGGGGTCTGGTGATCGCGTATCCGTCTGGCCACATAGTCTCTGCTGCTACGCGCCAACATTTTGTAGGCTTAGCTGCACCCGACAGCTTTAGGGGGACGGCAAGCAAGGTGCAGACGAGCAGCGGCCCGAGAGATGCCGTCCAAATGTATGCAGACTGGATCCGCAGGAAGTTTCGTTCTCATGAGACAGAGCCTCCCTGCTCTATGAATGGCTGCACGCGGTTCCTGAACTTCATTACAAGGGCGGATCTTCCGCAGCCGTCGCATCTTGCAGAACCGTTGGAGATATATCTGGAAGAATTCCATGATTATATTCATCTTCACTTTCCGCATTGGACGATTGTCTACGACCCTGAGGTGTCTCCGGTCATGGCGATCTGCCGCGTTCGGCAAGATGCAAGCCCTGCGGAAGTGTTGCGCGCATCCGAAGCAGCAGCTGCTGCACTGACGGAGGTCGATCACAAGCAAGGCGAGCCGAATCTATCCGCGGAGCAGTCACAAAGAGAGGCTGTTTCTCATAGGGGAGCTGGAACTCCGCCGCGAACCCTTGAACGGGATGCCATGGAATCTCCAGCTAAGATCCAGCGCCGATCTGCGGAGGCAAACCAAGCCTGGAGTGGTGGAGTTACAGAAGACTTTGCAGCCGCGTCCAGCGGTGACGTCCACAGGGCTCACACTCGAACGGCGAGTCGGCGGTTGATGATTCCGCTGTCTCAGCAGCCGCGGCACCTCTGGCCGCCTTCCTCTAGAGTTGCATCTTATTTCCGTAAGGAGTTATCTCTTGCTGCTATAGCGGCAGCAGGCAGTGAAAGCAATGCCAACAATGGTGCAGCAGCTGCGCCAACCACAACCGCCGCAGCAGCAGCCATGGCAGAGTTGCGTGTAGTTCTCTTGATAGGGGCTGCTCACATCGTGGCTCACTGTCGCAGCCAAGCTACAGTTGCAGGAGCAGGCAACCCAGACTGTGCGGCGGAAACAAACTACAGCCAGGCGGCGACTTCGGCTGCAGTTAGCGACGTCTGGTCTATCCTAAGGTATTTCGTTGGATCTGCAAAGGAGAGATTCGCCTGACATGAGGAGAACGAGAGCCTAACGGGATGCAGGAAGGAAATGTGGCGCTATTGAGGGCTTCTTTAGATCCGTGCACATCGGAAAATCTGCTTGTGACTTTAAAAAATGCACATGCACTCCTGCACCTATAGCCCTTCTGTACGTCGAATGGGCCACAGTCGCGGGATATTTGGCGCGAATCCGCATGTATATGTATATTAATACATATGTACACATGTTGTGGATAGCCCTGGTGTATAACAGTAGGGGGTTCTATTTTCCACGCCCTGCTTCTCTTCGAGACAGAGACAGTTTGCCAGTGAGGAGTTATTTTTTTATTCGAGTTCGCTCGGCCAGTTAGCAGCAGGGGCGTGGAGCGAGAGTGTTTGCGTTGGTTGCAGAGGCAGTTAGAAATGCCCGAGTGCTTGAACAACCACCAGGAGACAGGTTCTCAAGCGAGGGCAGAAGAGCATAGCCAGAATTCGAGCCATAGCTGTTTCACAAGCAGCACACATGTCTGTGTTGTAGATGTGGGAGCAGCGTTGCTTCCCTTACCGCCTCTTAAGATGATTTGCCAGCACGCGTGGCATAGGGTTCAAAATACTTCCCTTGCTTTAGCACGCCTGTACAGGATAGGCTCGTTGCGTGTGGCTCCTGAGTGCATATGCAACGGACAAGCTAGCTAGCGACTCGAAAGCGCGTGGCCTCCCAGCAAGCCTTCTTCAGTTGATGAAAGACATTGGTGCCGCGGCGCAGGATGAGCGCTTCATCGTATGAGGCTTAGGGTCCTAGCCGGCGTGCGCTGCAAATACAAGAAGCCAGGGGCTTCCTTGTGTGCATCTGCCTAATTCAAAACCACGCTGCTGCGTCTTCTGCGCCTCACGAAGTGAGAGCACCATCCTCAATCGCGTCTGCAGTTCTCTCCCCGTTCGTGAAAGATAGCTCTCCACGGCAGCACACTAAACGTAATGAGGCATTCAAAGCCACAAATTGCACGCGGCCAATGGCGGAGTCTCGATTATTTTAAGGAGAGAGGCCCACGACGGCTCGTGCCAGCGGATCGCGCTGCAGCAATTCTTATGCGTTGGAAGGGCTTCTTCCCGCAGCAGCATAATAGCAGCAGATCAGCGTCAGCACTATCCCATCCAGGATCGATCTACGTCCCTTTTTTCATGGGAGAAAACCTCCACACAACCCGCATTGCTACCGGCTAGCCGAGACGTGGCAGCGGATAAAGACAACGGGGGTGCGTCGAGAGACCTGTGGGGCAGGAGCAGGCGGATGCTGGCCGTCGCGCCGCAAGCAATGGCAGCAAAACAGCGAAATTTGTAACAGCAGGCACAGCATCGGCGTTGCGTGTCATTGCTTGGCCACAGGCACACATCCCTGGGTCACTTTTGATGCGTGGGGCCGTATGCGAAGGGGTGCCCATAGAGGGCAGGAAGAAACTATAGGCGAATAGGCGCCAAGGCCTAGTGTGTGACTTTTGAAAGCTATGCCTCAACAGATGGAGGGAAGGGGATGACTGCAAGTCTTTGCTGACGTCCGTAGAAGCCAACAGCTGCCTCGGCGGTACCGTTCCTTCCACGTCTCACGAGATGACTATTGCATCCTCGGGAGGCTATAGGCATCTGAATTTTTTCGATCTGGACTTTGGGACACACTAGTTTGCTTTGGTTCAGAATTGGGTACTGGGGTCGAGGAATCAGACGCAGGTGGTCGCTGCTGTCTGATTCCCCTGAATAGTGACTTGGTAAAGCACGCTTCTGGACACGCACCCACACATGCCCCCATGATTTTCCGAGGTGTATCTTCGTTCCCCTGGCAGTCGTGCACAGCGCGATTTGGAGCTTTGCAGGCGCATGAAGAGAGAGTGAAAAGGTGCGTCGAAGGAGGCGGTAGGCAGCGTATGAAGCCTTTTTAAATCTTGGATGGATGAAAGAGGCGGCCCATTGCGTGCTTTTTGAAGGCGTATTTCGGGGCCAGTAGCAGTATTTTTTTCAACCACAGGCAGGAGGGGCCCCCTGGTCACGCAGATGAGGGAACCGTCCCATGGGGTGTACATGCAGCCTGCGTTCAAAAACGTACTCGCTCGTGTTGCATAAGTCTTCTTTGATACGAAATGCAGTAATAGCGCTATAGGAGGAAAGTCACCTCAAATCGATCCACGTTTCCCTCGTACGTCGCCAACAATCGGCTGCTCGGCCTCCCAGGTGCCTGCCTGCGCGGGGCCCCCCTCCTACGCAAGCAGCGCGGGAGCACGCGTTTTCCTGCATGCGCAGGTGATGCGGCAACCGAATGCGTCTGAAGACTTCTTGAGGCGCAGCTGCTTTCTCCGACGAGACCAGATCGATGGGAGAGAAGCCCCCAGGTTCCGTTTAGTATGCAGCAGCAGCAGGAGCAACAGCAGCAGGGATTTCGCGCTCAGCGCCGCCGCAGCAGTGTTGATGAGCTGCTCCCCAAGCAGTTGCTACCACTGCCAGAGTCTGCCCTTTATGAGGCGGTAGCTACGGACGCGGCTGCTGCAGCCGCTGCTGCTGCAGCTGCGGTGGCTTCCGCAGCAGCCGCGAAGGGCCTAGAGGAAGAAGACGAGGAAGAGATGATGCAAAAAGCTGCAGAGGCGTATTTGATGGCGGTCCACCGGGAGGCGAAGGCGCTCCCCCAGTGCGTAGTCGCTGCTGAACCGGATAGCTGCAGCGAGCGCGCGATTCAAGATGCTCCCGACGCAGCAGCTGGAGCAGCTGCTAGTTGCGCTGCTCCTGAACCTAACAGGAGAAGCGGCAGAAGAAGCGCGGGGTATGTTCAGCGTTTGTTGCGCCTGCAGCAGCAGGAGACGGAGCAGCAACCGCCCGAACCACAGTGGGAAACCGAGGCTTTAGACTTTTTTCATCGAATTCGCGTATGGATGCTCGAGCAACAGCAGCAGCAGCAAGGCGGTCAGCAGGAACAACAGCAGCAGCAGCTGTGCATGCGTTGCAAGGAGTGGACACATGACGAGTGGCGCCTCTACTTGCGGCGGTTTCCCCCGACTCTTCCTCTACTGGTGCATTGCGACACGCGTTGCTGCTGCCTGCTGCTGGAGCTGCTTCTACAGGATCTCGACCTCCAGCTTCGTCAGCATGCGCTGCGGAGACGCAGACCCCCTTCTGCTGCTGCTACAACAGCAGCAGCAGCAATAGCAGCACCAGCTGAGGATGCAGCCGAGTGTTGCCACGTGACCAATAGTCCTACTTCGCTACCCCAACTCTTTTGGATCTTTGCGGTCCTTACAATCCTCGATGACTTAGAGGTGCTTCGGAGCTATGGGCGCCACAACTCACAACGCTTGCATCACACACACACGGATGTGTGCCTGCTCACTGTGTGCCCCTACAAGTTTTTTTTGGCTCTTTTGTGTGCCTTCAGGCGCTACGGTGCGAAGTTTCCTATGAGCTCCAGCAGCTGCGGAGGCGTTGCCTGCGGCTTCGCCGCATTTTGTTGCAGCGTCTGGGCTGTACAGACACCCGAAACAAACAGCAGCAGCACCAAATGCGCCGACTACAGCGGCCGGCGCCGTTTCTTACGAGTGTTTGCAGCACCAGCAGCACTTCGACTGCCACCACCACCACCGACCCCTCGAAGCAACAGCAGCAGCAGGAGGGAGGGTGGCAACACGACAGGGAGGAGCTGGCGCTGCGGCAACAGCTCGCGGCTGTCGATGTGCTCTTGCTCGTTGTCAAGCAGTATTTTGGGCAGAAGTGACATTCGTTAACCTCTTTTTTCGTGCATTGAGGAAGGCATGTGGTTTAGGAGGGGTTTCAAGAAGTTTGAATCATCGTGCAAAAGTGTAGCTGCAGGTGTGCGAACGTAGGGTAATGGCAGCGCTGCGCCCCTGGGGCTACCGTAGGAATCCTTTCCCATACGTGCTGTACGCATGCAGAACGCTGAACATAGGGATGGGGAGCTGGCATGACTCTGACGACAATTGGGTAGCCTTGTAGGAGTTGTCGCCTGACCGACAATTCGCAAAAACCCTAGGGCGTAGGCGTGCGTGTGAGGATTTGTCTGCGGCGGTCAATTGGCGTGGTGAGCATTTCGAGAGCGTCCGAAGGAACAGCCTGCGCGTTGTTTCAGACAGCAAAAGCACTAGCTGCTCTGTGGTCCCTTCACCGGCTAGACTATCGGGTTCACGCTTGAGAATTACTTTGCGATACGGCTAGAAGACGATAGCGCCCCTCACAATATTCAGATATTTTCTTGAAAACACAAGAAAACCCCCCATACAAACGCCAGCTGTCTGTGCACACCCGTTTATAAGTGGCTGGGGATGCAATCATTCAAAGTCTACGCGCAAAATATATAGCTGCAATGATGTATAGTTAGGCATCTACAGAGACATATGTGTGCATGGAAAGCTTCGAACGTGGCTATTCTTTTTAATGCCGTTATAACAAACTAGGGTCAAAAAGAACCTCAGTTCCTGCCCGAATGCCCCCATGCATTGCCTTATTCGCCCTCTGCGTCTCGCTATGCAAGATGTCAATGCATGCATGTCTAACCATAGCATTCGATTACGTGGCAAAACCTGGGGTGTTTGCACTTTTGGACTTTCTGCTTCGCCATGCAGCGAGGCACTCGCCGCAATCTGTTAGGCGCCAAGCATACCTGTTCGCGTTCCTTTCTTAAGATTTCTTCGCGCCGCTCCCCCTGACCTCGATACACCTGCAGAGGCCTCACCATCCGGGCTTCTTCCGCATTCGGCGCCATCTGGTGATACTCATTCAAGTGAGCAGCCCATCCCGCCAAGCGGGCAACGGCAAACAGAAGGGGAAAACTGTTGGGGGCAAACCCCAGCTGTGTATACACCACGCCGCTGTAGAAATCAATGTTTGGATACAACCTCCGCGAAGTGAAATATACATCCTTCATGAACGCACACAAGCAGCAGCACCTCCCGCAGATGTGTATCTCCTACAGTTTCACGTGACCCCTGAGCTTCATAGGTAGCCATCATCAGCACTAAGACAATAAGCGTCGTGGGCTTTCCACGTTGCTTAGCTCTACAGTGCTCATGAGGTCCCTCTCATTCATGAGCCGCCGCCACGTTACGCCGTTCACGTAACCCAAGAATTTTCCACGACTCATGAGCTTCAAGCAAACTAAAAAGCCACACAATGTAGGGCTTGCCTTTAGAGCTGCTTTTTCCAGAGCAGTAGCTACATTCGAGAGATCCGAGGGTCCTAGTGTTGCAAAGACCACTCGCGCCACTTGTCTGACAATAAAGGCCCTGGGGTCGTAACTCTTGTAGATTCGATGGCCAAAGCCCATGAGTTTTTCCTGCAGCAAGCAGGAGAATGCGTTGCGAAGTTTAACTGCTGCAGCTCGGCTGCATAGGGGTGCCTGAAGTTTCCGCTTACGGAGCACTCCAGACAGGAGTGCGGCACCTTGCAGACAAGTGGCAATATATGGCCGAGAAGACTCTTCCTCGGTGCGGGGCTTTTCCGGGAAGGCAGTGGACTGAGTGTCTCGACATACCTCTCTGCGCTTGACGTTTTCGAGAAATTGAGGAACGTGACTTGGCGCTGCGATTCTGCGAAGCATCCGAACTGCGGCTTCATTTGCTGCCTGTAGCAGCGCACCCCAGCACGCGAAGCGGACGAAGCGGGTAGAGGCAGAAGACGAGAAAGCGGCTCTCTCTCAGGAAGACATGGGGGCTTGTTTCAGAAGCCTCTCTTTGCCTTCGGAGGCTGAAGACTCGAACCTGCTTACGCCGTGTCTTGGGCCGTAGAGAGCGGCGACTCCAGCCGCAAGAGATATGTAGAGATCAGCATGGGAAGACGCAACATGGCGAACAGCCGCAGTACTGCAATTCATCTCGTGCTCAGCATGCAGAATCATCAGGACCTCTAGTGCCTAGGCAAGCCGCAAAAGCGCAAACATGAAGCCTGCGTCTTTTTCGCGCTGATCCTACTTTACGAATTTCAAACTCTAAGCCGTAGTTTCTGACTCTGGCAATCGTGGGGCTTGGAGGGGCGTTGTCAATCATCTGCAAGAAGCTTCCGACTAGACCTAAATCCGTCTGTGGCTCTACGAAGGAAAGGCCTTCCGCATGGCTGCAAGCCGTGACGCCCACACGCATTCAGAAAAAGCCCCGCGAAGCGCATGCAGAGAGGCGTGCGCGTTGCCACCCTCACGCTTTGGATGGCAGCTACGAGGGCTGAATACTCCATTTCAAATCTGTTCCTCCCCTCTCGCTTGCTCGCTTCCCCCTAATTGGGCAGCGGCGCAGACGCACCGCAGAATGTTCGCGGCAATCGTAAAGCCTACTGCAACAGCTCTGAGGAGATGGCGATTTCTTGTGGGACGGTGCTGGAGAATCGTCGCTCCTGACACTGCAGGATTCTGCTCTGGACTGCAGGCGCTCAACGCGGCCATGCACGCCAAGAAGATGCTCATCGGATGTGCTGAGCGATCGAAGCTTCGAATGAGGGCTGCATACACCAAAGTCGTCGCAGAGAAAGTGCCTCCGATCGATAGTTGCATGCGCACTGGGACGGAGATGCACACGCTGTTCAGTAGACTCTTGAGGGCTTGCCATGAGCGAGGGGGGCCGCATCCTCCTCGAGCGCTGCTCAGTGAACGTCTGAGAGCTTTTTCAGGCTTACATTTTATTTGTTCGGGCATGGCAGAAAGCAAGGCGAGCTTTGAAACGAACTCCTCCAGTTGGTGTGGCGTGGGCATATCGCCGTAGATCAGCAGAAACACGACCTCTTCATAGCTTGACTTTTCCGCCAGGTGCTCTATTGGGTATCCTCGATATCTGGCACCACGCACATAAGAGTCTTTGTTGCTGGCCGATGCTTGAAGCTCTGTAATGCAAGTAGAAGCACACATTTGAACGGCCTCTTTCTGAAGGGCTAAGCCTCAGGCTACCTGAGAATTCCCTTTTCACCGTCGATGAAAGAAATGCGACTCCCCGCGACGCAAGTGTTCATCAGCCCTGGGTCGAGGACGTGAAGGGGGGGTCCCCCAGGAGCGCGTATTTGAAGAAATCCTTTGGCCTCAACGGTGTTGTGCCTTATTGGCACTTTGTATTCTTTGCCTGCACGCCCGCGCATGCCCAATCCCAGATGCTGCCTCCAGAAAGGACCAACGCCTTGAAAGAGGCGCGCGCCAGGAGTCTTTCTGCACACTTGCATACCTGTGCGTTCGTCGATTATGCGAAGACTTTGCCGAGATTCGTATTCTTCCGACAAAGCAATGGCAGGGCTCAGCTGCCCCTTCAAGGCACCCAACATGGTGTGCGGGATTTGCAATTCAGAAAAAGCTAAAAGGTTCAGGAGTGCGTCAGTACGGGACGCCTTGGGGTGAACACGCAAAAAGCCCCTTCGCACGGCTTTCCGAGAAACAGGCGATCTTCCAACACAAACGCAAACTTCGTAGCGCCCAAAAGCCCTATATCCAAGAGATCAGCGTCCTATTCGAGGGTGTCTGCAGCAGCACAATAATAAAAGAAGGTTTAGGGAAGGCGCTTCTGCCTTGACAGTTCAGAGTTCAGTGAGTGTGTGGCTGTTCATACGATCATCCCGAAGGATGGCAGCAAGCATCAAGTGACCTCCCGCTCGGTCGGCAGTGAAGATAAAGAATTTCGGCAGTCCTAAAGCAAGATTTTTTCATTTTCCTGGTATTATATGTACGCTTTCTTGATTTCATCTCTGCTAATGCGGAAAATTGCAGAGCGCCTCCGACACACCGCTCCGGTGGCCAACCGCTACCGCGCAGTCGCGCACTGCCATGCAGGACCGGGATGAAGGATTCACTGGTTATCGGTATTTCTTTGGAGCAAAAACCTACTTCGCGTAAGCGTATTAAACCCACGCTGAAATACATTCTTTTACTGGGCATGAGAAGACGCCCTTTGCCGGCCGGTGACTCTGCAGCCATGCGTCCAACATACGGCGCCAGTGTGGGGTCTCTCTGATGCATGGTGGATCTGCATTCCCCACCGTGAATGTCACACTCTAAGCTACTTACAGCGCAAAACTTGTAGAAATCCGTTTCAGGAGACCCCGTGCCCCCGCCGTTCAGGAAGAGACATGAATGAGACCGAGGAAACGGAAACTGTCTGAGGCATGGTGGATCCTTCACATCCCCTCGTGCGCCATCGCAGAGGCAAACCGTCACGCGCTTACCTATATCACAAGGGTGACGCTGCACTCGCCAGCGCAGCGCCTGCCTCCTGAGCTGTTCTGGTTCTCTCCCCCTAGTCGAGCGTACTCGTAGAACTGGTTCAGCCCTAGCCTATAAAGCTACTTTCCGCATGGCCATCTCTAATGAAGCCCCCCAAAGCAGTGAAGGCGGCGCCTTTGCCGGCCAGAAAGGAAGAGCCAACTCTACTCTCTTACACTGCAGCCTCAGCCCTCGTTCGCTAAACCTTGCTGCCTGTGTCGGCCGCCATCAAAATCTCGTTTTACTCATTGGCGCTGCTGCAGCGGCGCGCTGCCGCCGCGCTGCGTCTCGTGTTCCCACACTCACAACTGTGCATCCTGCTGCTGCCACGTCAGCAAGTGCAGGAGACGCAGGAGGCCTGCCCATTAGCACACTACACCAATGATGGGGTTTGTGAGCCTGACGAGGTCGATGATGCTGATTTCAATTTTTAGATCGGGAGCTCCGCCCCCCATGTAAATAGTTTTAGGGTACAGAGACAGAACAGACGTAGAGACGATTACGGGGATGTGGGTTTTGCATGCGAAGGGGCAGACACCATTCCTTTTGAAGCCTGTCAAAGACTCGAAAGACCTCGAAAAATTAAAATTCAATTTCTTGTTGCCAAGACGGCGACCGATCTGCAAACACATCCCAAACCCTAGGCCCTATCGTTCAACCCTGCGGTCCCCTTACACGCTATGAAAAGACACCCCAAACTCATCTTAACCGTTGAGTGGCTCCAAAACAAAACCCTACACACCCCAACTGTAGCCATGCTCCTTCAGTTTCATACCTTTGCGTTTTCTGCCTTGATAAGATCTTTCACTCTTTCCCCGTTCAGCTTTTCCTTCGTTTGCAGCACCACCAAGTAGAAGCGACTGTTCAACCGGTCCTCAGTGCCTGATCCAATGCGCACAAACATTCCAGCCGATACAAGACTTCAGGCCTCACTTGCACGCTCAAATAACCGTACATATACAAATCAACTCGGCTTCTAGGAGAAAGAGGCGTTCTTCTACTGAAACGCGACCATGCCCGGGGTTATGCATGAACGCTACTCAAGGAGAATGCATGATTCGGAGCACTACTCAAAAACAGTGCTGAAGCAATCACGTACCAATCTATGCACCCGAATACATCATATACATATATATATGCACATTTGTATGTTTGTGTATATATATGCCAATATGCGGACGCATGCAGACGTAGACATACGTATAAATGCAGATGAACATATGTAATCATGTGCAGGTACATGGATACGCATTTAGATGAATATATATGTATGTATGTAACGGTGGTTTATATAGGACCATGTAACTGTAGGTGCACCCCTATGCACACTGGTACATATTCATGCGTTTCTACATACACCGCACAGTATAGGCTTACACTGGCGATGAGCATATAAAGGCTCGTTCATGCATGCGCACAATGCAAGGACCAAAGAAAAAGCTGGGTGACAACGGAGAGCAAGAATCTAGCTGCACGAATGGGGGGAGCTGCCGGTCAGAGAGAAGATTAGAAAGTGAACATCCGCATGTTTCGTCTCAGGATGTTGGAACGGCAATGTTTCATCAGAAGGCAGCACCCAAACCCCGGATTTATTCACTAGAGTGTATGCGTTTGTGTAAATATGCGCCTCTCAACTCCGCAAAATGGAAGTGCCAGCAGCCGGTGAGCCACAGCCTACCATGCCAAAGGTTCTATTGTACACCAGTAGACAGGGGCATGCATTCAAAGCGGACTACGTAGGATCGTGCGGGCTACTTTACACAAACACCTGTACCCCTGTACCTAAAAACATCCACAAATGAGTGGTCGTGTGTGCATACAAAGGAGGCACAAACATTGAGCACTTTCCAAGTGCATATATGCCCCTGTACGTTCATCAACTGCTACTCATAAATGTTTTTGCATCCTTCGCCTTTAGTCGCAGAAATGAGATTTTATTAGGACAGAAAGCAAATCACCAGAGTGCTTGGTGTTTTCCATGACAATTGTTTTGCACAACTGATCGACAGACGCGGCGCCAAGCATCGGCAGTCTTTCCTCCAGGGTTTGAACGCTGTAATACGGCTTGGGGTTAATCCTGTAAACGCGAAAAGCGCATTTATAAGGCACTTTCCCTGCCAGTACGTCTTCTGGGAGGGTGATCTCTTGTCCAGTTGCTGCCGAAATGACGCATGCTGCTTGTGCAGCCGCGGCAGCAGCAGGCGCCTCGGCATCGGCTGCAAAGTAGGCCCGCATACGCTCCTCTTGAAGAAGAGAATGCTCCATATCGTATTCGCCGTTCTCTTCACCTTCTGGCTCGGAGGGCACTACATCCTTTGGGGGACCCCCAAGGGATTCCACATTCGCATCCACACCCTCAGACGCGAGCGTCATGACGCTTACGATGATGGGGAAAGGCTCCAACTAACCGCACACCGCCTAGGCTTCAGCAAAATGAATTGCGCGGCGAGATCGCACACGGGAAAAATGCCACGCGCGCTGGTTAACAACCGGGAAGAGCGAGGTGACGCCGGGAAGGCACGTGTTGATCGAAATCACTGATGCAAGAGCAAAAACCCCCTTCCCGCTTCTGCGGGTTCGATTGAGGCACAAGGTGCATGAAGACTGTCTGTTGAGATGTGTCCATAAGGGGCATATCTGCAAAGCTGACATACCAAGCTCGTACTGTACGGCGTGCAGCCCTCAAGCTGCGGGAGGACGAAGGGAAGCACGAAACCAGGCGCTCAGAACTGTTAGCCACCGGGAAATAGTCTTTGACACCCTTTTAAACAGCAAAACAAGGGAAGCCAACGCCAACTTGGCTGACAGTGGCAGCAAAGACGAGCAACCTGCAGCCCGCCTCCACTCAATGTCGGATACATGCATGCAGCGCTCTACCCGAGAGTCCCCTGACGGGACTTGCTTCAGTTCCTCCAAAAACTTTTAAAATATGACAAATCTGAATCTTGGGGCAGCACATGTGGAGTGAGTTGCTCCCTTTCTTTTAGGTGTATCAGCAGTTTCGAGCGCCGCCGCGGCCAGTGCCGGAAACACCCAGCTATCCGCGTATCTCGAAATTCTGCTAATAGGCGAGCGTTCGTGTCCTACGCGCTATCCAACAGGCTTGTCACTTCTGGATCGTCCATGCGCCTCGCCAGAAGGTGTACAACATCGGTGTTACGTCTCGCGGAGCATTCCCTCGAGCTGCGCCGCGGCTAACCCCATTTTCCTGGACTATGGTGCAACGCGTCGTATCTGGATGTGCAGAGTCCTTCATCATCTCCTGCTCAGAGGTCTAGAATGTTGACAGGTGTGACTCCTGGGTTTGGGGTGTGTCGTGTCGTACAGTCCCGTCTGCCGAACTGAACCTGAAGATTCCTGGCAATAGAGTGCCGTGCGGCTCAAACTCGCTTACCTTTTTCGTGGCTTCTTGTGGAATTTGGTTTTCTTTCTAGGGCTGTTGCTGGTTGGTGCGATCTGGGGCATCACCACCCCGCTGATGCGGATTGAAAGCGTAGACGAGGCAGCGCAACGGCAGAAAGAACAAACCTCTAAGGCAGCATGGCCGCTGCTGGTCCATCTGCTCCTCAGATGGCGAGTAAGCACCCGCCTCTAAGCTCGAAACTCAGATACAGTTTGCTTCCTGCTCAAAATAGCAGAACTTGCTCTTCATGAAGGTTTGAGGGGGGGGGGGTGCTGCTTTTCGTTCTCGTGGCTGCAGTTCACACTTCTATACATCATCAATCAGCTAGGATCACTGGCTTACTACGCCCTCCTTGGCACATACGGTGAGCTGCTCACCTAGGGAGCTAGCCAGGTCAACCCTTAGCGCCCCCGATGAAGACGAGCTTTCCAGACTTTCCAACACCCAGGCGGCGTACTACCGCCCAGTGAGCATTCAAGTAGAGCTAGCTGGCTAGCCAGCTCTACTTGAGAGCGCGTGGCGCGCCGGCACGGCACATATCCTGGGGTGCACGTGTCTTTGGGTCTTGGGAGGAGAGCGTTTTGAGTGTCGGACGATTTGGGGATATTTGTATGCGAATCGGTGGGTGGTGCTGTGCAGATTTGATGATTGCATCGCCTTTGGCGAACGCTTTGGCATTCGTCTTTACATTCGCTACCGAGGCTGTCCTGGAGAAGCGAGCACCTCATCTAAGTCAGTGCGCCTGTTAGAAACTTGCACTCTTGTCGCCTCTGCGCGATGTTGCACACGTAAATTCTCCTGGCTATTGTGAGCTGCCCTTGATCTCCTGCACCGCGCGTATATTTTGGCCGGTTTCATAGGCTGTTTCTTTGCTGCGTGTGCCCGTGGCGTCCATCTTTGTGTGCTACTTATGCTTTTAGTCATAGTGGTGTTTGGTGAGTGCAGCTGAGGTGTTGGGGTCGCTGCTGGTGATTTTGGGCTTTGCAATTTGTCTCCGTAGCCGAGGCGAGTAGCCATACTCACCGGAAAGCAGCAGCAGATTTCCTAGCGCAGAGAGGTGGCAGCACGCATGGACCTCTCCTGTGCACGATAGGCGCTCCTAGCAGCCGCCGTTAAAAAGAGTAGCTCGCTAGGGGCTTGAGGTTCATACAAACAGCGCCCTCGACGCTGAAACTTCCAACCAAGGGTGGTCTCCGCGGTACTGTGTGTGTGGGCGCCCGTCAAAAGACAATCGAGCGTCTACCTCACCAAGCGGGCGCTGCGCTTCCAAGCTGCATTCGTCGAGTCGTTGCAAGCCAGTGTCTTATTTAAAAAGTCGCACTTTACATAAGCGGCCTCCTTCTAGAGCCATGTACAAGACCCCCAGCGCACACAGGCGCCTCCTCCTCCCCCACTCTTCGAGCCGCACGCGTGCCGGCTTCGCAGACTGCCCCTTACGCGTCGAGGTATTAAGTGAACTTGGCCTCCCCCTCCTCCTGATCGCGCAAAAAGCCCCCAAAGCCTTCGTTCTCAATGTGAGCGGCGAGCTCCATGCCGCCACTCTCCACGATCTGCCCTCCGTGCATCACGTGCACCTTGTGAGGCCGAACTGCCTCGAGTAGTTTCCTGTAGTGCGTTGTAATGAGGAAAGAGGCGTCACTCGTTTCAGCTGCCCCACGCACAAAAACACTCACAACGCAAGTCACTGGGTATTCATTTTGCAGCCCGAAGGGCTCCCGTGCTGGCGGAAAGCCGTTCGCGGCGCAGGCTACCTAAAGCAGGCGCTGCCAAAGGCCTCTTCTAGAAGCTAGTTTTTCGGAAGCCTGTTGGGAGGCTACGGCCTAGATATGACTTTTTGTGCATAAAAACCCTAATTCCACTCAGTGTCGGAGCTCATCGTCATGAAGCATGGGCTAAACTATCATGAAAAAAGCATGCTGATGAGGGTCCGGGGTGTCAAGGGAGTGAGTGGCTGGCTCCAGATGCAACTTGCCGTAAGTCTTGATCGCCGCGACTGCAGTCGCAAAGGCATCCACGTCGAGCCCCGAGTCTGCCTCATCCAAAAGCGCCAAGGAAGGTCGCAGCACGAGAAGCTGCAACAACTCGTGCCGCTTCTTCTCGCCGCCGCTGAAGCCGTAGTTCAAGGGGCGGTGCAAGAACGAATACGGCAAGTCCACAAGCTGCAACAACACTCAAATTCGTGCAGCCTTTGCGTGGCGGCAGCCGAAGGAACGGAGATAAACGCAGCCACCCTTCGACGGCATGGGCTGCTCTACGCATCTGCGGTGTATGCACGAGCTTCAGACAAGCCCCCCCCCTTTTTTCTGCGGTGTATGCACGAGCTTCAGACAAGCCCCCCCCCCTTTTTCTGCGGTGTATGCACGAGCTTCAGACAAGCCCCCCCCTTTTTTCTCCCCCCCGAGCGGACGTCAGACGCTCGCAAATACAAAAAAACTTCGCTATGTAAGGAATTTAGAATAGGAAGCCTGCTGTGTCACTCTCTCTCGCCGTCAGGAAGCACTTTCCCTTCCCGCAATACCTTCATGAGTGGCTTCACGCTTTCTTCGAAGTCTTCCTTGCTGACTTCTTCCTCGTTCCTCCATTTCCTCCGTTCGTTGACGGCCGTCCGTAAGACTTCGAAGCCGGTGACCATGGGGATCTCCAGGGGATATTGGAAAGCCAGGAAGAGGCCGCAAATAGCGCGATGATCGACAGGAAGCGACAAGAGATCTAAGCCCTTGAAGAGGACGCTTCCCGCGGTGACTCTGTATGCCGGAGAGCCGGCGAGCACTTTTGAGAGGGTGGATTTGCCTGCATCCACGTGCGCAGCATCCACAGTGTTCCCTGCCCACTCTGCAGCTAGCCATGCAGCAATACATGCCCCGGGAGCTAGCTGCGGGGATCCGCGCTGGGAGCACAAGAGAAGCCGAGCAGCTAGGAGCGAGGCATGCCACGGAGAAGAAAGAGAGGCTGCAAAAAGAGAGGCTGCAGAAAGAGAGGCTGCAAAAAGAGAGGCTGCAACAGAGAGGCTGGGCGGCGTGGCGAGGGGCAGCGGGAGTCTTTTTCGACAGAGCAGCGCTTTTGAAAAGAGGGGCGATTTCTTCGTGGCGTGTTTCTATGGGAAAAAGATACCCGATCCGTTTCTTCCCATAAGCGCATGCACTTCGCCGCATCGTATGTCCAGATCGATGCCCTTTAGGATTGGCACTTCGTCTTCGATTGCGACGGCCTGGAGACTGCGAACGGAGAGAAGCGGATCCCTTTCCGGATTCCAGTCTTCGTGCTGCAGTTTGGGTGTGGTGTCTGTACACATCTGCTGCAGGAGGGCTAAGCGGCTCTGGTTGCCCCCGCTACTGGGGGGGGGGGAGGGGTGGCCGTCTCTGCCGTTGAGGGCGGAAGCGCCTTCAGCGTGGAGGGCAGGCATCCCTCTTCCCAGGCGCTCGCGGTGGCGATCCCCCCAAGGGACCGTTGCGAAAGCTGAGAAGGCCGCTGGAAGCGGCGGCAAGCTGGTGCGCTCATGAACAAACGTGAATCCAAGCACCCCCGCGGGGGCCGAATAGGAGTCTCCCGAAGGCGTTCGAGAGTTGCACACGAAGTGGCAAAGCGCGAAGGCGCTGAGGAGGCGATAACATGCACGGCCCCAGAGGGAGTTACGCAGGAAGCCAGGGGATCCCATGCTGAGGAGAAGCTCCTGATGGGGGGGACATGCAGGCGGAGAGCCTGATGCCGTAGCGCCGACGTCGATGGGCGCGTCCAGGAGGAGAAGCAGAAATCTAGAGAAGCGGCAGAGCGCGGAAGAATCGCCGATTCCTTGGTGTGTCGCTGGGTTGCTGCGACAACCGGGCAGTTCCCCCGCGTTGCGCGCGACGCTCGTCAGGCGTAGGAGGGAGCGCCGATGACAAGGAAGAAGGCTTGCAGAGGGTGTAACTCGAAAAGATGCACGAAACACGAGAGAAGAATGACGGGAAAGGCGGGGCTTCGGCTGAGGGCCCCGTGGGGCAGCGAACTTGAATGGGATCGTTCGGGTGTCTGCGTTCAACATTCCTCATGAAAGGCACTTCATCAGAGAACTTGTCTCATGGATGGCGTGGCTTGTTTCTGGGGCGTTTCTTCCATAGACTTGTCTGGACGGTGGCGCGCTGCAGCATGCAGGGGTACCAGTAGGGGTCTTTTGGAGGTCTTCCTAGGGGGTGCCTGAAGCGACCAACTTCGGGATTCACGCACGACACCGACTTTGAGAAGACAATTCGACATTTTCTTTGGCCTCTTGCGTCCCGGGGAGACGGAGAAAGGGGCCGCTTTCCGCCCCCGCAGCACCGTGGATGGCTGCGGACGCCACTGGGCACTCCTACGGGGGGACCCTCGGTGGCCGTCTTTCTCTGCTCGCGACGTGAATTTCTGGCTTTCGCATCTCTCACCTGCTCGCCGCGAGGCAGAGTTTGCTCTGACAGCGAGGCAAAGCTGCGTGTTCAGAGGTCTGCAGCTGTTGCACTGTCGGAAGCGGGCTGTGGCGGTGTCTCGGTCTTGTGCACGCGCAGACGGGCGCCAGTCGGCAGGACGCGTCAACGCCACCTTCAGCGTAGCTTGAGCGGAGCCTCCGCGTTACGGGCGGAGGCGAAGTTGGAAAGCTGGCCGCGCTCACCCAGAGGGCCAGTTCCGCTGCAGACAGCGCCTCATCATCCGACGCGAGGAGCAGCAAAGAATGCCACGGGGCGGTCAAAATGCTCTTCCTTCTATGGCTGCTGGCAGCAGCCAAGGGAGTCTCGGCATGCAGCTACCCCCAGGGTTGCCTCCTGAGCTGCTTTCCCAGATGTTTGGCGGTGCAGGAAGCCCTTCGCCGCTGTCAGGCCTCTTGATTTCCGGAGAGAAGGAAGCGCCAGAAGAGGATGACGGCGTTGACAGGAGTCGGTGGCTCATACTGTACCCAGCCTATCTGAACAAGAAATACACCACGGCCCAAGGCAGACGCGTCGGGAAGGCGTTGGCCGTCGAGGATCCCACAATCGACGAAATGAAGATGATCTGCGATCATCTGCACATCCCAGTCCACGTTGAACGCGTATGCTCATGATTCTTCTGGCGCTCCTCGAAAAAAAACTCCCCTTGTTCGGGTGCAGAATCTGCAGCAATTAGACGGAAGGACTTCGCGTGCTCATGTGTCTGTGACCGTAGAGGGATGTGTGTCTTTTTATGTACATAGATTGTGTATACATGTATATATATATATATATGTATATATGTATCTCTGTATTTATATATAAATATGGTCATGGGTGCTAATCTGTATGTGTCTGTATGCGCGGATCTGTACAAGAGTGTGCACGTGTGGGTGGGTGGGTCGGTGTGCCCTTGCTCGATTCTCGTTCGTGAAATCGTGAAGTCTGCCGTAATTGCAAATTGCATGAGCATTATTGCGCATGCAGGCAAGACGCTATCCACGCGACTGGCTGTTGAGCGTCGGTCGGCTGAGAGTGCAGCTCAAGACGGAGGCGGGGAAGCTGCACAATGAAAGCATCACCAGTAGTGCGTTTTTGTGGGAGGGGGGAGGGGTGGCGTAGGGCTTTGTGGAAGGTGGCGAAGGGCGCAAGAGCTGAATAGCATGAGCCGTTATCCCCTTGGAATGAGGGGCGGGAAGAACTTATTGGTTTTCCGGGCTGAGGTGTCTTTCGACGACGTTTAGAGGTTTTTCTAAGTTAGAGAATCCACTTTTGGTTTTTCATTGGTGGTGCCCTTTTTTGCAGAGAAGAAGCTGATGGAGGAGATGTGCAGCCTGATTCCCAAGCTGAAGACGCGATCTCAGCAGCAGTCGACCCCGTCAAGTAACCCGACATCGAAGAAGAAAAAGAGGAAATAGGCGCTGGGGGGCAGAGGGAAAGGGGAGGGAGAAGCCGGGGGCCTTTTGGTCATGAAGTGTGCGTCCGTGCTCTGCCGGGCAGCGAGGCGAACTGCTCTGTACGCTGCTTGCTGAAGGGCCGATGCAAGCGAACCCTGCAGAAGAACGGGGTGACACTTTTCATGAATGCCGGTTCCCGTTTTCCCTGGGCTCCCTAAGAGCATCTATTGTGTCGCCTTAGAGGTGCTCCATTGACGTGTGGCGCACTGAACCTACCGACGACCAGAAAAATGCGTTCTTTAACCCGCCTATCGAAAATCTAGATCTTTGCTGCACGGGGAGTGGCGGGGACAAGGTGGGGCCTACGCCTGCTGCCTCCGCTTCCCCTTTCACCGAATGCACGTTGCAGCCAGGCTCACGGCGTGCTACGACGTGTGCAAAAGAGGCTTCTTCTTGGAGGGGCAGAGAGCTGTAGGCGCCGCCACTTCCCCCAGTTCCCTCGTGCACAGCACTGAAGATCTGTTTCCCAACTGGGTCAAGCGTCTCCTCCGCACTAGGGAGAACTGCAGGGGAGAGAGGACTGCACGAGGTTGACTCGAGCATCCCACAGTAGACACTAAATCAAAGGAGGCGAGGTCACTTACTCCGCCCTAGAGCCCGTGGCTTTGGCTGCAGTGCAGGGCGCTCGCGAAGCCATTATATGCAAGCGCGCACCCCAAGGGGCCTGTGGTGGGCGTGCGTGTTGCGTGGGTTCGAGACACATAAGAAATTAGGAAGTACATTTTTGCACCTTCCTCCAAAGCCTTTACTGGGAAAACACCAACTGAGCTGCTCGAACACACGTCTCCACCGGGAAAGCCGCCGGCATGCATACACGGGTGCGGCGTCAACACGCGGGAGGGGTCGGTGGTCAAAATGTCCTTTCACTGAAACTGCATTAACGAATCGCGTCGGCAGCAGGCGAACTGTGCAATGGCGCCCTAGCTGGAAGATAGCAAGCGGCAGGGAGAGAGGGGGGCCGTCACATGTCGTCCTACCTACGCAACGTCTAGTAGAGCCGGAAAAATACAACAAGAAGCTTCCAAACGTATCGTAAATCCTCTCCTGTAACCCAGCCATTACGCGCCGAGCGGCCTTACAGGCTTCCCTGCACCTCACAGCGGTCCCCGGTAGGCACACCTGTGGAGCACCCCGAGAAAAACTTCGCACTAAGCGCCTTCGGGGGTGTGGGATGGGTTCAGCGGGGAGAGGGGGGCAAGTAGGTGCATCGCTGGAGGTGTGCACCTTTCTTCCGTATGACCTTCCTGCTAGTAGCATGCAGGGGGATCAAGCTGAACGGCGATGAGTCCCTTCCCTGCTGCGCCTCTAGGATTCCTCCGTCGAGGGGAGTGGTAAACCTGCTGGTTGAAGCTCGGAGTCGGGCTTAGTTTCTTGTTTTTCTTTGTCTCCTGAGCTCTTCCGCTTACAGATACGCCTTCTCCCGCTTCTTTTTGACAAAGAAAAGCACGAGGGCCAGGCCGAGGCAGAAGACGGTGACGCCAAGCATAAGTGCGCAGGTGTATCGGTAGTTGGCGTTGAAGTATCGCAGCGTCAGTTCATCGTTCAGCGGAACGCGGAGAAACCCCACTAGGCCTCCGCACACGCTGATGATGCCAACGATCCGCCCGAAATCCGAGCTTCTGAAGGTGTCGCCGACGTAGGCGTACATTTGGCCGCTGAAGTTCGAGAGGTAAAGGCAGGAGAAAACGGGGGAAATGTAGTGCGCCGCCTTGAAAGGCATGAGTGCAAACGCGTACATGCCCACACCGCTGCAGATGATAAAAAGTATTAGCGCCATAACGCCCCACTTCTCCGCCAGGAAGGCCAGCAGGATGGACGGCACAATAGACACCGGTCCGAGGATCCCGATCAGATTGTTCACCTCCTTGCCAAACAGGTTTTCTGCAGAAGTCAAATAAAAATTGTAAAAGAGGGCATTCAAGGGCCAGTAGATAAGCATGATGATAAAATGCGGCGTCATGAGCTGCGCGCGGAAGGTTGTGACAGCCTCCCCAGTTTCTGCACTTCGCCCACGTCCCCTGCCATTTGATCCAGACTCAGTTTCATCGTCGCGGGTGCTGCTCTGCCCGGCGGTGGTGGTTTCCGCTTGCTTCAAAAAAGCTCGCGTTAGCTCCTCTTGCGCGAGATACTGCCTTCTAGGCATCAAAAGCAGCGCCAGGAGGCAGCTGAGCCCCGACCCCACCCCTGCATACAGCAGGCATATCTTTCGAAAGTTCATCGTGGACGGACTGGATCGCACAATGAGATCCAAGAAGGCAGACACGCTGAAGCTCGCGCTCATCGCCGCACACACCAGAACGATCACCAGCTGCTCGTACCCAGGAAACAGATTTGCAATATTCATCGAAGGCAAATACCCCGCATCCGCGCCCATCGCCATGCAGACGATGGCGGGAATGTACAGCTGGCGCTCTTCGTTCGCAAATGCCAGGAGCACCCAGCCAAGGGTCGACAGAAGCTGCCCAATACAAGCCGTCAGCTTCGGACCTCCCCAGTCCAGCAGCATCCCCGAAATCAAAGAACAGGAAAAGGAAACGCCAACCCCGATCGTGAACAGCGTTTGCACTGCCGAATCTTGGCGCAAGCATTTATAGCGCCTCCCGTCCACCAACGGCTCCCCCTTGCACCGCCAGCTGTACGCACCATCTTCCAGCAACATATTCGACAGATGGGGCCACCCGAAGAGCACTCTTGCGCTTATAGCAACGTATATAATATACACTGCCAGCAGCACATAGCGGTGGACCCCAAAGGGTGTCTTCTGGGCATCTGCACGTGGGGGAGTTGCGGAAGGCGGCGTACCCCCCATTTCCTGCAACTCGTTAAAGCTGCATGGCGCGTCACTTCCCAGCACTGGCAGTATGAGGCTTTCCCCGTCTTCCTTCCTGCCGTATGCGGGCATATCGCCCTCCGCTTCGGCAAGCTGCGGAACCGAAGGGGAGATCTCTGGAGCTACAGGAGGAGAGGACCACTTAAGATCAGGGTCCACGGCTCGCGGAGCATCGTCACGCGATGTCTCTTCCATCGTAGAAACTAAACTAGCATGAAGAAGAAGCGAAGGAACGGGAAAAGAGGGTGGGGTGGCGGCGTGCCACAGGGGCGAAGGATGGGCGCACAAGAAACGAAAGGCAGTGTAAATAATTAGGAAGACACCCTAGAACCAAGGCTCTCCCATGTAGGCAGTCCTTGGTTTCTGCAGTAATAAGAGATAGGACAGACTGAGTGCGCATCCTTCTGCGGGAGAGTGCTCGCCGCTGACTACGAAGGAAAGCGACCAGGAAAAACTTGCTGCGAGCCCAGACAACGGCCTGGCAGATAAGCAATCCAAATGCAGCTCTTGAACTCTGTAAATGCTCATGCTGGGTCGTGTTTACTGACAGATGCCACTCTCTGCGAGGCGGGTGTGGCTGGCATTCAGGTCGGCCTACTCGGCGCGCTGTGGGGTGCAGCCGTCCAATAGATGCAGAGTATGTCGCGCGCTTAATTATAATTCGACGTAAATATCATGAACGTCATGCGATCCTTGCAAATTCGCGCTGCTGAAGAGGGAGACCCCCGCCTTTGTGTCTGAGTCTACGCAGTTCCCGAACCCGCCGAGCCACTCATTGCATTGCATGTTGGCTCAAACTTTCGTGTTGTCACGTGCGTTGGCGGGTGATCCGAGCTGCGGGAAACCAGAGCTATTTCTGGGGGATACGGCTTTGTCTTTTTGCTGGATGCACTCTAATTGACCCTGCAGAGCGCACGGATGCTCAGGAGCTGCAAGAATGCTGACCGCGCATTTCGCGGCTAGTGGGATCTGCGGCGCACATTTCTCCACCGCGCGCAGGCGGTAGTCTAATAATGTTACCCATAGCAGGGTCGCCGTCCAGTTTGGCATGTATCAGCGCACTGCTTACATTGACAACTACGAATTGGTGCAGAATTGGTCATACGGGTTTGTTCGTATTGCACGCCGTCTGTTCCTCAGTGCAGCGTTTTTTTGCGCGATGCGATAGGATGCACTCTTGCACGCCTGCGTGCTAGAAGATAGAAGCACCTAGCTACTAACACTTGTATCACTTGTACGGTGAACCCCATGCACCTTGGCTGCATGTGGGTGCTCGCCTCCCCCCGGTTCATGCGGGAGCCTTAAGGGGCGCGGGCAGGGAAAGGAATGAATCGTATGCCTTGAAAGAGCACTCAATAGTTTTCAGTTGAGTCTGTATCGAGTCAAATCCAAGTGTCTTCCTATAGTGACTTCTAAAGGAGCGCTGCACTGGCTTTACACTCCATGCCCTTCACGCCCATTAGCTTTGGCGGCGGCACCCAGCATTGCGCAAGGCCATCGTGGGGAAGAGAAATGCTCTTTTGGCACGGCGACATAGAAACAGACACTCTCACGTTTCTAAAGAGTTGCTCCTGTCAGGGTGCCCTGGCGAGTGAGCTGGCGGAAATCCCAGAGGCCGATCAAAATTCCCATGCACGCACTGTACAGACGCTCGAGAGGAAAGAGGGAGCTAGGATCTGAGCGAAAGCGTGGCGTTCCGACCTCGAATATTCCCTTCGACAGGCATGGCTTGCCCAACCAATCGCCTTACGTGAATTGCAGCTCCTTGAGAAAGGCATTCAGTTGACTGTACGAGGAGGAACGCTGCGGCTGCTCCAAGTGCTGCTCCGGCCGCCCCACTACGTCGCAACAGCACTCCTCTTTTAAGGTTTCTGACTCTCTCCTGGTGGCCTTTAAGACTTCCCCCTCGGAGCGCCCCTCCGATTCGGGCATCTCCGTGCAGACAAGCACCTCGAGCCTCTTGTTTCCACAGGAGGCCAGTTGAACGGGGGTAGGACGGGGGTCGAATCGACGAGCTGACGAAGAAAGCACCCCTTCATCGAGATCCACAGCGTACTTGGAGCCGTCTGCTGCAGCCGCCAGTGTGTGCGATCCGCAGGAGGTCTCCGAGCCGGCAAGGGATGCTCTGTGCGCAGAAACAAGTGGCTGAGTAGCCGCTCCAGGAGCAGCGACTGTTTCTCCTTGATCGCCCGACAAGGAGTGCCTCGAGAGCCGCTCGCGGTTCGAGAGGAAGAGATATTCATTCGCAATCGAATACAGTGCCACCGGGGGGGGAGGCTGCCCCACCAGCGTAGAGGTCGTGCCCCTCAGCTTTACACCGCCAAAGAATGGATCTTTGCCGCGTTCAGGTTCTGCGTAACGGTCCTGCGTACTCTGTGTAGCGAGAGGAAGAGGAAGCGACGCTTCTGCTTCATGGGAAAGGCGCGATTCTGCGCATTGCGAGTTCCCTGCGGCTGGCAAGGAGGAGGCACAGGGAGGCGGAGGCGCTGGGGGTGGACTCAGAGGCTGCATGCGGCACTTCTTGAACAAAGCCACTACCGACAGTGGGCTGTTCAGCCCTGCAGCCTCAGCCGTACCAAGACTGATTCCGCGTTTCCTTCGGACGCTGTTTGCGCCTAGTCCGACGTGTGGGCACTGGCGAAACTCCGAGAAGCTCCTCCTGTCTTCTTCTTCGCATGCGCCGCCACTGCATTGCGGCTGCAGAGGCCGTGGAGAGGCGCGGCCAGGGCGTGCAGGCTCTAAGGAGGAAGGGGCAGAGGAGGGGCAGCAGCTGCCGGTACACCATAAGGGGGTGACAGCGCCATCAGAGTCGCATTCCATAACCCTTGCACCCATGCTGATCCGCCCCTCCCTGCACATAAGTGGGGAACGCGACCCACTAGAGGCAGAAGCTGATGGCGCAGCACCAGTAGAGGAGGCAACGGCCCCTCCGGAGGCTTCAAAAGACCGTGAGCAACAGCAAAACGGGAGGGGCACAACTTGCAAGTCGGCCTTCTTGCGCGCCGCGCCGCAAGAGCAAAGAGCAGAGGCAACAAAATACGGAGAGGAAGTGCGAATTCGAGTGCCGCTAGCACGTTGATTCGACGGGACAGGTCACTCTAGCGCCATGTCCAACGAAAAGCTGGGGTAGCATCATAAACTGACACTCCCGCTCCCTGCAGCGTCTTTCATGAATAAAAGGCTTCTTTATCACTTGAAGAAATTGAGAACAACTATTATGGAGCTGCGATATGCGGTATTCTCATACATATACGCTGAGGAAAGCATCTGCTCTAAGAGTTCCCAGCCCTAGGGCTTCATCCATTGCACTGCTCGCCGCGCACCGATGGCTCTAATGTGTGCAATCAGAGGATGGCCTCCAATGCCTGACTTCTTGTTTAGGCAAAGCACATTAAAAGTAGCGCTGAAAGGAAAAGAAGCGACAATGTAGCTTGCCAGCATCAGCATCGCCCCAGGGGGGCCGAACTGAGTCCGCACCAAGGGCCCTTGGGAAGGGCCTAACGGCCAATCGGTTTCATTGCAAATACGAGCTCCCCTTCTTCTGAAATGCTACACACTATTTTTTTCGTAACACGGCGAAACGAACTGTTGAACGCTGAGTGGTGGACACGAATCTAGGGGCACATCGTCACCTTTTAGAGTGTCGAACCTACAGCGACTCTAGGGAACGCAAAATGCGCCACCGCACGTACATACGCCCAATTTACAGCGGAAATTAGCTCTAAGGTGTGTCATCAAGCTGAAAGCTATCTACTGAATAACCAGTCTCTCTAAAGCAAGTCGTCCACAGCCAGCAGATCGGCGACTGCTCTTGGCAAACCCCCTACAATGGAGCTTGTCTTTTGACCGCGAATGTGGAGGCTACCGAGGGTCTACGACGGCCTTGATGCGCCTGTGAAGGCCGTTTCGACTTTCGGCCCTCCTTTTTGAACCCACTTCCCGCCCTCTCCGGCAATGGTCCCTCTAAGTAAACACGGAATCTTTCGTCATTGCTGCAAGAGAGGAGCAACATTGTCGATTGCAGCAGCGAGCAACTGCAGCTCTTTTTCCAAATCTGCCTTCTTCTCAAGAGCGGCGTCCCTCACGGCATCCGGCGCTTTGTCAAAGTTCGGGTCATTCACTTTCTTTATGTAGCTCTCAATCTAAACCATGCCCAAGCCACACCACACCACAAACGCAAAGCCTTAGTAAAGTAGACAGTCAAGAATCTGGCTCAGAAGCCGTATCAATCGCGATAGCCAGCACGCATCAAGCCTTCCTAAGGAACGTGGGCAGCAAAAATTCGGGAATGCGCGGACATCTACAACAAAACACTACAATCCTCACGACTGTCACTGCAATATTTCTGGGACTGCCTCGCCATGAATCATTCTGCACAGCATTCCCTCGAAAATCTGATCCATTTTTTAAACCTTCTACAAGGCGACTTGTGATGCCCGTTCAGCAGACACATACAGCGGTACATCTGGTGCCGGTGCGCTTTCAATAGATACGGTGTTACCTTAGAAACGAGGTTGGCGCGTTTCTTTTCGAGCTTGTCGAGAGTCTGCGCGAGATTGACGCCATCGCCAATTTTGAGGTAAATCGTAATTTGCGGTGTAACAACATCTGACACACAGCCCGTGGGCGGCGCATCGGTGATTACCGCAACCTGCAAGCACGACACACGACACCCACCAGGGTTATGTAGGTCGCTCCATTGGCATCCACAAAACCTTGCAAGTGCTGTCAACGCTCTTTTCAGGCATTGATAAGAAGGCCAAATACTTCTCTGCGTCATGAAAAAAATGCTTGCTAACGGCGAGCTCTTTTCAGAGCACGGTACGCCAGAGCCACCCGCTGTCAAGAGGCACCCATTGCTTTGTTTGATGCGACTCAAGATCACCCGCAGCGGGTGCAACAGGCCTCCTTTTTCACGTCTCACTTCTTTCAGTTTTGACAGAATGGCCATGATCGACGAAGTGCTCCTCAGAAACGGAACTTGAGGCGCCGTGCCGTTTACCAGTACAAAACCCTCTGGTTTCACCTTTGGTGGAATTTCCAGAGCCGCAAGAAGGGACCGGAACCTTCCGACGATTTGCTGCACCTGCTGCATGTTGGTCTGCATCCATACGCAGCGCAGCGCCAGACGGACAGATCCCTTTGACACGGAAGTGTTTTAAAAGAGTAATTCGCCCGTTGAGCGCATAAACCCCTATTTCTTTAGCCTCGGGGCCTGCCAGACTTAACCCTTCCGTCCCGGCACTCTGCTATATCGCTAGAGAACGTTGCTGCGCCCTTTTGGGGGTTCTAAAGTCTGTGCATATGTGCATGCCATACGTCGAGTGCGGCATCGGTCCACGCCAAAACATGCTGCGGATAGTTGCTAATGCATATAGACTCGGCCTTAGCTTCCGAGGGGGGCAGTCTCTGGTAGAGTTCTTCCGTTACGAAAGGGCAGATGGGGTGCAGAAGCTTGAGGCCCCTGTCGATACACGTGTACAACACCTCTTGCGCGCAGCGAGCGTCCCGCACGCGCGCCAATACAGCCTCTACATCTTCCCCTGCAACTGCAGTGAAAGGCTGAATCCGTGGCTTAATCGCCTCGAGATAAACGTCGCAGAGCTCGTAAAGCCAAAAGTTGTAGATTGCGTTCGCCACGTCCCCAAACTCGTATTCCTCGAAAGAACGATTCGCCTGTACGTCATGCAGCGTCTAACATATACATATATACCTGTATATCCACATACATCGATATATATATATACATATGGCGATTAAGGACAGCGAAGGATGCTGAAGACACAGGGCCGAATGAAAAACTCACAGCGCACACACGCGGTGACACTTTGCAGGGGCCAGGCCTCTCGCCACCCCCCTATTTTTCCCCCTTACCCCCCCTCCCTCCCTTGTCTTTCTCCCCCCTCTGTTCCAAAACCACCCTCACTCCCACGCGCACGCAACGGCGAGAATACCCTCCGCATGCAAGAAAGACTTTGTTTAGACCGATTATCAGGGAAAAGCATGCATCACAACCAACCGGAAGGCAGAAGCGGAAGTGCAAGAAACGCAGCGAAAAGACTCTTGTTGCCCTCCCTCTAAAAGGTCTCCCACAAGTGCCAGGGCGCTACGGCGAGAAGACAACCCATCATTTTGCCTGTGTTTCGCACGCACCTGTTCGCAAGCTGTGGACAGTCTGTGAAGAATCCAGCGGTCCGACCACGTTAGATCCGCGTAGTTGATCATTGTTACATGCGAGTTCTTCGTGTGCGCGTTGCTGTGCGCTAGCATTTGAATGCCTCTAGCGACAAAAGGCGTGCCCTTGCCATCGACATCCAATGACCACTTGTCGAGCGCGAATTTGGTGCAGTTCCATATTTTATTGGCAAACTGCCTATACCCCACGACGCGGTTTAGATCCAGATTTATGTTTCGGCCCTGCCGCATGTACGCCACGAGGCCCAGGCGCAGCGCATCGCAGCCACACGCGGGGATGCCCTCCTTGAACTCTTTCTTCAGCAGCGTTTCCGATCGCTTGATTTCCTTCTGTTGCAAGTTCCCGGTGTGCAGCTTCGCGATCAGCCCCTCCAGAGAAATCCCGTTGATGACCTCTAACGGATCGATCACATTTCCCTTGGACTTGGACATCTTCTGCCCCTGAGAATCGCGAACCATGGGGTGTAGATACACCGTAGAGAAAGGCAGCTTGCCAGTCAGTTCCAGAGAGAGCATCACCATCCTTGCCACCCAAAAAAACAGGATGTCATGACCTGCGAATACCACCAACCAGCAAACCAAAGCCCGCCACCCGTGTGCTCTGGTCTCGCTGATCACGCGCGCCTCGCAAGAGCAACGGCAGAAGGAAGCGCACGCGATGATCGGGAAAGCTAATAGGCTAATAACCCACCCGCCCATTCACAACGCTGAGACAAACGCAACCCACTTTACCCCAACGATATTTAACCGCACAACCATCCCTCAGATACCTGTCTCTAACAGCGTTGTCGGAAAGAAGGCCTTAAGCTCCTCAGTTTCCTCTGGCCACCCAAACACACTGAGGGGGAACAGGCCAGACGAGAACCAAGTGTCCAATACATCCTCATCCTGCTGCAGGACAATGTCCTCTTCACGAATTCGAAACCTCTCGCTCGCAACCCTCTTCGCCTCCTCCTCACTCCTCGCCGCCACCCACGCCTCCCCCGACATATTGCAATCGGCAGCTGGAAGTACCGGAGAAACCACCTTGTAAGCAGGTATCCGATGACCCCACCACAACTGCCGAGAAATACACCTGCGCGCATGCATAAAATACGCCCACGCACTGCTGCAGTAACACAAAAAGCCGCCACACCCTTACGCGCACCTCGTGAGAGAGCACACATACACAAGTATGTGTCTATATTTATATATGTATATAGACACATACACACACATTCATCCACATATACACATACATACATACGTACATACACCCCTTACACATGTTTATCCACATATTCATGCACATATTCATTGTTACACATATACATAGTTACACATATACATAGTTATACATGTACATCTTCTCCGTTGGCGGCGGAAAAATGCTCAGCAGCCCCCAGCAGAGGCGCGCACGGTGTGTCACGCGGGGCCACAACGCGTTTGCAGACGCGTGCAGCAGGCGAGAGGCATCAGCACGATCGAAGTCATTCCTTTCCACCCTCGGCGTTACCTCTTCCTCTAGAGAAAGCGCTGCATCCTGCCTCCCGGCAGCTCTGCCTGCTACAATGCTTGCTCTCACCAGTCCTGCACATTCGTAAGCCAGTACTCCCACGTGGCCACGTGGTGCTCCGGCTTGATGATCAGTTCTTTGCTGCGGACTGCCATGACACTGCGTCGCCCCGCTTCCTTGCAGTCCATCCACCTACAGATAAAGAGGCCCGCAGCAATAATCCGAACGCCCCCATGCACAAGCAGACAGCGCAACGATAGCGCTTCACTGGCCGCATACATATACATATATATATACATCTACATACATACATATATATATGCATACACATGCACACATTACACATACGCACACGTACATTTACACACACGCACAAATACATTTACACATACATACACACACACAAATACACATACACACAAACAATCCTTCTCTCTTTTAGTGCTTTGCTGCTCTGCTGGCCTGGCGGCCCCCCAAAGAATGCTCTGCACAGCCCCACGCCGCGCTTTTTACTCCTTGAGAAAGGCACTGCGAAGGAGGAGGGATGGCAGTGCAGGCGTGGGTAGGCGGAGGATGGGGAGTGCGCGCAGTCCAAGAAGTATGCAGCAAATTCCAGAGTTTCTTACACTCACCACTGCGGCACGAGCATGTACTCAATGATGTCGCCGCTGCGGCTGCAGCGTGGCAGCTGCATTGGCTTGCTGTTAGGCACCTTGTCCCGCAAAAGCCCCTGCACAGCAGCAGACGCAAATGCATGCGCACGGCGGCTTAACTCGCCCATCTGCGGCGTTGTGCAGCTCTCCAAAAAAACACTAGAGGAGGCCGTCCTCTCACTGCCCCGTGAGATCGCACACACATACAGGCTGGCGAGTACAGACAGTGTGAGCACGACATAGACACATAGAGAGAGCGACATCAGTTGCAGCATGCAACGCAAAATACCCCTTATCCATGAGGCACATAACATCTGCCACCCGCATAGGTGCCTCCGCCTTGCAGCACCCCCCAATAGGCGGAGGGAAGCCGCTAGCGAGCAAGCTTTAGCGACCCCTCCCTTAGCAAAACGCGTCCTTCCGAGAGACGTATCGTATCGTGTTGCAGGAAGCACGCGCAACAGCAGGAAACGGACGGGGGAACAGATGGAGACAGACAGACAGACAGACAGATAGACAGACAGGGCTAATAAAGGCGAATGAGGAGGGCGAAGTAGAAGGAGGGAGGTGGACTGCTGGGCAGCCTTTAATACACACGAATATATATATTTATCTATACAGAGGGAGAGAGAGAGAGATCAATATATATACAGGTATAGATGTAGATATATAGATAGATATTTACGTACCAGTTCCTTCAGTCTGATCTGGATGTTATATCTGCAGGTGAAGCGGTGCTGGCCAGCGAACTCGCCGCCCCTCTCGTTGATGTGGCCATCCGGAGAAAAGATGGTGATAAAGTCAAGCTCTGCGCAAGAACAGAGAGCAAGGCAGGCGAGCACCACGCAGTGCTTATGCAGCCAGCTGGTGGCAGACACGACTTTATCCTCTGCGGTAGCAGCAGTTCTTCCTCTTCACCCTTCACTCCCCCCTCACCGCTCAGTTCTCTACCTTGCACCCCTTTACGTCTTTCTGGATTTGCAAAACAGCTCGCCGATATATTTTGGCGGACGGCACAAACAAGGAAAAGCCGCAATGCCGAAAGGCCCCACACTTGCTCTTTAGAAGCCGCACTGCTCTTTACCACAGCACATGCCGCTCTAATTCAGCAAGAAGGAGACGCACTGTGCCGCTTTCCAATTTCATAATCGTTCTTGTCGTGCGCTGGCGTAATCTTGACGGCCCCCGTGCCGAACTCGGGGTCGACGTGGGCATCCGCAATGACGCGCATCTCGCGTTCCGGAAAGAACGGGTGGAGAAGGCGCTTACCAATCAGGGGCTGCATGCACACGCAGTACGCGGGTGAAGAGAGCCAGATGCTCTTCTGTACGTATGTAACTACGCACGTGCAGAAGAGCAGTCGAAACAGCGACCCCTCCATCGCGCATTGCGACATAGTGCTGCCAAGCACACATCTTATACATATATATGTATATATATACATACGTACACACATATAGACACATCCACATACATACAAACACACGCATACACACATATAGGCACATCCACATACACACGAACACGCATACATACACATACACACATGTACACACATCCATAATCACAAAAACATACATAAAAACGTAAAACCATGCGCGCAGCCGGCCATCATCTGGCTTTTCCTTGCGGACGCAAGGCGGCTTGTGGCGCCCTGCAGTGTCTGTACAGTCCGGCAGATTCCAGGGTGTTGTTGGCTACACCCTCCTCCCTCGCGCACCTTGTAACGGGTATCGTTGGGGTTTACAGCAACCGCCGTGTCGCCTAGCATGGTTTCTATGCGAGTGGTTGCAACTTCAAGTGCTCCCCCACCTTCCACCGGGTACACAAAGTGCCACAAGTAGCCAACCTCGACAGGAAAGTCGAATCCTGCGCCGCAAAAGCAACCTTCTTCCCGCCCCTCAATGGCACACGCCCCGCCCCCTGATGGCGCCGTCCGTTCGCTACGAATCCACGCGGAAGAAATGCGCGCTGACAGCAGCAGGCGCTTTTGCACCGGAGTGCCGGTAGCAAATCATCCTCGACAGCCGCCACACGGGGCAGCAGAGGCGGAGGCAGCGTCTATCCGAAGAAGGCCCATGCACGCCGAATAGAAACGCACCCGGAATGCGAATGCTCTGTGGCTGCTCTATCGTCTCGGTGTCTACTTCGATGTCGCTCAGAGCAGTTTTCAAAGAGGAAGACCAGGAAACCAGTCTGCACATGTCTCAAACGCAAACTGCACGGAGGCGGCATGCACACACTGGCACGCCCTCCTGCCCGCTGGTACACCTGAACGCATCCCCTCTACACGCTATGCAACTCCTGCACCACCCCAAAAAAGGCGTTGCTATGCAGGGCCACGCGAGGCACAAACACCCTGCCGTAAGCCGCTCTTAGTAACACTGCTTTCCTCCACTCCCACCCCCTACCACTCTCCCTTGCTTTCCCTCCCTTTCCATGCCATCCATTCACTACTGCAATCCTTGCACGACGGCGCTGCTGCTGACGCGCCGTCTGCTGACCTACAAGCGCGGCCGTCCTCACAGAGAGAAAACGAGGGCGAAAACACCGAACTCGGATCCCTCCTAAACCTTTTGAACACGCATGATGGACTGCCTACCGCTGCTCTCTGTAGATTAGTCCGCGGTTAAACAATCTCACAAACGCTTCCACAACGGCCTTCGATCGCGTGGGATCAAGCGTGAAGGAGAAGTGCGGCCATGAAACGCTGCTGCCGACCCTCCTGACGCGCAAACGTTCAGGCGCACAAACAGCCAGCCACGGAAATACATCAAGGCCAAACACGCCGCGTGCAAGAGATGGAAGGGAGATGAAGCAGTTACAGAGGTGTCTGTCAGCAGCAACGGCACTCGCCAATAGCCCCAAGAGCGAGAAGACACACAAACACGCAGAGCGCGAGTGCAACTGGCACGTCTCTATGCGCATGAGGCCTTTTCGCGAACGCCGCCGCAAAATAGCTCATGACTGTGGACTGCACGTGCGTAATCACGAGGCCTTTCATGCTGTGTTAGCCTAAGCAGATTCTAAGAAAGAAACACCCTGCATGTCCACCAACGCGCTCCCGCCAAACAAGCAGCAAAAACCTTCCTACCCCTCTCTCCCCCTTCCCTCCAAGAAAGCCCCGCAGAAAACAGGGCGATACCTTATTTGGTCCGATATCGCATTTCCGTATTTTTCTTTCCACTGCCAAACCTTTTCGACGAAGGCCTCCCTGCCGAGATCGTAGCGAGACTTGCCTTCCTCCTTCATCAGCATGCGCTCAACGACAGACTGCGTTGCAATGCCTGCATACGACATGTATGTATACCAAGAGAAAACACACTAAAAGAGGTATGCATGCCTGCTCAGGAGTCGCCGTGCAACTGCGTCCATACAGGGCGTGTCTTTGCAACGCAGCCTCTGCAGAAGCAAACGGCCAGCGCTCGATTTTACACACACTGACGCCACACGTGGGAAGACGCCACACGTGGGAAGACGCCACACGTGGGAAGACACCCCAGAAAAACAAGAGCCGCATCGAGCCTGTGATTCGTCCTCTTTCCACAGCCCCGCTCAATGCTGTACGGCACTTCTACACACAAATATATCTATGTAGACGTATATATATTTCCATTTATATATCAGAGAGAAGGAGAGAACGAAGACGCCTCCCTTTCTCTCTTCCCGATGAGGCTTTGCCTCTTTGTAGGACCTTAAGAAAGGCCACTGGGGCGGCGTTATGAGAGGTCTTCGTGAGTAGAGCGGCAGCGTGTGCAAAACAGAAGTTGGACAGGATATTTAACTAAGCGACTCGCAGCTTGAAACTCCCCTCACGCCCCCGCCAGAAACGTCTGATTCTTCCCAGCAACGCACCTGCGTGATCGACGCCAGGCACCCAAAGAACGAGTTTGCCGCGCATGCGATTCCTACACATGAACAGCACATTTAGCTGCTCAAGTTCTCTCGAGAGCAGCAGCACGTTCGTTTGCAGCAGTGGCAACGCTTGGAGGCAGCCGCCGATGAGCGCAAACGTCAAGCTGCGCGCCACTGGCAGGAAGGAGAACAGTAAACCCCCACAGAAAAAATGCCACAGTAAAAATGCCATAGGACCCCTTCGAGTGTGCAGTCCTTCCGCCACGATGAACAGCAACCCAGGGGCTGTCGGATTAAGCGACAAAAAGCGCTAAAAAAGGCTGCTGCTGACGCCTCGAGCTCCGACAAAACAAAGATACGCATCCTGGCATTTCAGAAGGCAGACAGCGACAAAAGCAGCAAATGTTCGCCTTACCAGCGCGCCAAAGCGTCTTCAATGGCAATCGTCAACGCGTGGCCAATATGCAAGGACCCCGTCACGTTGGGAGGAGGAATAACCATGATGAACTTGTTCGCGTCTTTCGTCGCCTCTGCCAAAGCTGCTGCCGCCTTCTCCCCAGCAGTGCTCGCGTTTTCATGCGTGCTGTTTGCTGCCAGGCAGCTTGACTGCCGATTCGTGCGATCCGAGGGCGTGAAATATCCTTGACCTACCCACCATTCCATCCACTGCCTCTCCACGTACTCGGGATCGTAGCACTGGGGTATCGGCATGACCAACTCTGCGCAACAGAGCACACGGCATCTACACGCAGTACATATAAATAAATATATATATGGGCATGTATGTACAGATATATGCATATGCATCTCGATGTATTTAGGTGTATGTACATGTACAAATACGTATCTTTGTAACTATTTATATACATGTATTTATACACATGTATTTATATACGTGTATATACCTAGATATATGCATATACACACAGAAGCACACACAAGAACATACGATGAGACAGGCCGCCAACACGTGATGCTCGAGGCAGGCAGAGCTGCCTTCCCTCCACCCGCAGGCGTAGCGGCGCGGATAGACACGTAGCACAGCGCACTCTCCGCCTTAGCAGCATAAGCATAGAGGAATTTTTCAAACCCTCCGTCCTCGCCGTACCCTTCTTCCGAGGAGGCGTCGAGGATAAAGGCGCCTGCGTCATCTTGCTATACAGTGAAGACCTCGAAATGCGCTGGGAAACGGTCCTGTAACGGCCGGAATAGCTACTGCAGACACCGGGAGGCGTGCAGAAACCACAAGTAGCGCTCTGTGTTCTTCCAATGCAATGGCTGCCGGCGCAGCACGAGATTCTACGAATCACGGCTTGTAACCCTGCTAGAGGGATTGTTGCTGTGGGATTCCACAGGGCAGAGTTCTTAGGCCCCGGACCGGAGAAACTTGACGCGCCTGGAAAAGACTGGCAAAGTCTACAGAACTGCCTCCAAGCAATGAGGGTAAAGGCGCTCTGCTGAGGATAACACCACGGCATGTGCCGTCTTCCAACTGCTCCCCCGGTGGCTTCGAGTGTACTACCGGTGCGCTGGCCAAAGAAGAGCTGCCGGAGGACACCAAGAGTGAGCTGCTAAGCAGGCTGCAAGCAATCGCTTGGCTTTATGCGCACTTTAGGCAGCAAATGTTACCTCTCCTCCAGCCCTCAAGCTCTGAGGCATGGAGGCGGTGGGCAGCGAGGACGAAGTGTTGGTATGCCTCCGTTGCTGAAACAGCCAGAGGGTCGCGGAAAACGGGAAGGGAACGAAGAATCGAAGAGATACGGATGCTGAACTGAGAACTGTCTGATGCGCAGCGGGGGCGAGGGGGCCCACCTGCGTGGAGCAGCACGGGGGTTCCTCAGACAGAGAGGGCAAGACAAAGGGTACTACCCCCAGTGCTAAGTATCCAACGATCTGAACGATCGATATTGTTCTGAAAAAGTTTAAACACTAACTGTTCATTAATTTCCAGTCGAACGCACGAAAATGGAGCCTAACAGATCGCCTCAAGATGGCGGCCCAACTCTCTAGAAGCCACGCCACTGCAAGACGGACGCTCATGGTCGCAGTATTAAGTGCACCTGCAGGAGGTTCTGCTACTTGCATTCTAGCCCTTCGACTTTAAATTGCTCTCCTTTGCCTGGTTTCCGTTCGGTTCTTAGCCGCGTAGCCCTTGCAACCTTGTCTTTTTTCGCGGCAGCCTCTCCAGCCTCTGTCTTCTGCCTTGCAAGCGCATCGATTCTCTCCCACCAGAGGGGACGCGGAAGCACGCAGCGCCACTTCAGAGAGTACAGACGCCCCAGCCCGCTGGACCCTTTCCATTTTCCTTCCAAACTTTCGCGGATTCCCACTCTTCGGCGCTGCTTGAATGCGCCAGCAGCGGTGGCACTGCCGTTGACTGTGTGCCACCTCCTTGTTCTCTCTCTCCTAACGGCGGCTTCCTGTACACCTATTCGCGAGAACGCGCACATTCAGCCTTCCACGCCGCCCGACAGCGTCGCATCCACCGGCCCGCCATGTGGAAAGCAGTCGGCAGTACTTTTAGACCCGCGCTGAGGATCGGCACCCGGCTCGAGACTGCTGCAGTCGCCTCGAGGAGTCGCATGCATTTCGGCCTGCGCCCTTCACGAGCCTTTCCCCTGCAATTTGCGCGAATCGCCGCGGATGCGCTCTCTCGCCCCTTCTCTAGTGCACCAGCGGGTAGCTCCGAGCCATGCGCCCCCCCCCCGTCTGGCAGTCGCGATGCTTCCCTTGCCGTCGCCTCAGACGCCACCGCACAGCCGCCTGCCTTTCCCAGCGGCGAGGTGCAGGAGATAGCCATTCCCGACCGCATGCGCATGGTCTCATGGTTTGCTCGACACAACGCCATAGACCTCTCCTTCTTCGCCGCTCGGGCAAAGCGGTTCGAACCCCTGCAGCCAACCGATCCTAGGCCCGTCGATTACTCCTGGGGAGAGCTCACGCTGCGGCTCTCCGACAAAAACGCTGAACGCCTGCGAGACGCTTTCCGCCAGGCTTCACGTCCAAACGCACTCCGCAGTGGCCGCTTGCTCGAGGTACTTGACTGCTTCGCTGGAGACATCGCCTTCGCCTACTGCTGGCCTACCATTACGCTGAACAAAGACAAAACGGACCTCTTCGTGACCGTCGCTATCGATTCAATTCGCCTTTTCGATCATGAAGACAAGGCTAGTGCTTGCGACGCGTTTCCAAGCATATCCGTTCATAAGGACCTCACCCTGAGGGGCTTTGTGACCTACGCCGGCACCTCCTCGCTGGAAATCACCGCAGAGCTTCTCCAAGTCCGTTCGCGATTCGCCCGCATTTTCCCTTCTGATGATGCCGACGCGTTTTGCCGCGAGCCGATGTGCATGTCCATGTGTTTGCATGCATGTATGCATGCACATGAATGTTTGTGTGTATCTATGTATGTATGCACACGAATGTTTGTGTGTATCTATGTATGTATGCACATGAATGTTTGTGTGTATCTATGTATGTATGCACATGAATGTTTGTGTGTATCTATGTATGTATGCACATGAATGTGTGTGTGTATCTATGTATGTATGCACATGAATGTTTGTGTGTGTGTGCGTGTACATGTTGCTGGATGTTCGCCACTGTGTACATGGAGACATGCATCTGTTGTGCACCTGCACCTACACACACACACGCTGACGGATGCTTGCATGCCGCTTCAAGAGCTCAGATCCGCAGCCGTAGACATGGCTCTGTGGAGTGCCTGTTCAAAACGTTCTTTCGCTGCAGGATAGCCGGCGCATTGGCTCCGCCTTTCTGGTGTTCGTGCACGTGGGAAAAGACGGTAGGCCAAAGAAAATCCTGCCACCCCTGCGCTCGGACTGCGACGATCCAAGGATTCAGCAGCAGCTCAAGGAAGCCGAGGCGCGGCAAACGTTGCGCAGGGAGAGAGCTGCAAAGGGCGATGGTTTTAGAGGGCCTGACCAAGCAGAGGCGGAGTTTCTGCACAACACTTGGCTCACAGCCACGTGCAAGGCGAAGCAACGAGACGTCAAGTGGATCCAAGACACCCGACTGGACAGCAACATCCTCATGCAACCCGAAAGCATCAGCATGTACGGAAGAGCTTTCGGAGGATACATCATGCGTTCCGCCCTTGAGCTCTCGTTTCTAACTGCGCAGCGCTTCTTCAACAAAGCCTGTCCAGTTATTACAGGTAGCGCAGCCGCAGCTAAAAGCACCGCAACTTTTTTCCGGGCGCATGCGCGTAGGGCACCGCTCAGCTTGCAGACGGAAGGCGTGACGGCCTCTGAGTCGGGATAGTGCTGCGCAGTACTGCTGTGAAGTGCTACTCTTTTCCAGGTATGGAAGATATCCGCTTTTTTGATGCGGTAAGACAGGGGGATATCCTGCGACTCACGGCAAACGTTATTTGGAGCGACCAGGAGGAAGTGCAGATCCAGGCAAGACCACGGGCTCTAGAGCCAATCAACAGAGCACGTGTGCGGGCAGAGTTTCTGTGTAGGAAAGACAGCACAGTTGCCTACAACGTGCACTGCTGCTTGCTCTATGCATACGTACCACACACACACAGCAGTAACGAAGGATTCTATTTGCATGAGGGCACACTGATGGCCTCATGAAGCAAAGCTTATTCGCCATACATCGCCGCGCTGCTTTTTTGGCACCTGTGGTTCAGGTGGAAGCCTCGAGTAGCGCCGTCGGATGTCCGCTTAAAAGAACCAACCGCCTTATATTCTACTACAAGCAGGTATATATGGCGTTCTTGGTTTTCGTTTGTGTTCTTAACATGGGCTTTGTTTTTGCGTAAACGGCGAGGGATGGGTGCTGTCTGTAGCGCCGCGCTACTCCGCTAAATATCGCTCGTGCTCGTGAACTGCGTGTGTGGTCGAACGCTTTAGTGCGAAGTGCTCAAAAACCGGGACCCAGTGGACATTCAGGTGTACCCCCTAAACTATGGCGAGTACATGTGGTTCCTGGAGGCACGGCGGAGATCCATGAACAGGAGGAGGTGCTGCTCGTTTGTTGATACACTTGGGAAAGGAAGTAACAAGTCTCTCGACGTCCGGTAGCCCGAATGCGGAGCGCATGAGCATACCCGTCTGCGGCTGGTGACCGATCTAATAAAGATAATATGAAGATAATTTCAGGCACAGCCGTTGAAAAGAGTCCTTGCTTATTGCAAGCCGCGCCGTGCTAGTCTTTGTTGCGATCCATGTGCCGCGGATACCAGCGGCTAACAGTGCCGGGAAATTTCGCTGCACCATGATGACAGCTCCGCTGAACTTGTTGTCATGAAATTTCGGCGCAATTTATTGGTTGCATGACAGCCCTCGAACACCATAGGGCCAATTCGGGTGTATGTACACCAGACGCAGGTTTCCGCACGCCGCAGTTCAGGTTTGCTGCTTTCATGTCTTTCCGATTTTTATTATCCTGAACAGCTTTTTATTTGCCGGAAATTCCAGCTCTCCTCTGCAATAGACCCAGACATGAGTCTCCCGGCTCCTGTGATTCAAGAAGCGAAGGATTCGAAACCACTTGTACCGTGTTCGTCGTTAGACCCTGGAACAGTACACCTTGGTGGGATAAAGCTTTATTTTGCTTGCTAAATATATTTTATAACCGAAGTGTCTTCAGGAGATTCCTGCTTGTCAGTGAGTACCGACCGAGTCTATGTGAAAGTTATGCTAAGGAGACTAGCCGCACTTATCTCTGGCAGGAATGCGACGGCACCTGCGGAACAGAAGCGGCTCATGGAGGGCTCCGATTAATTGCTGATTTCGAGGTTAGAGGGATGTATCAGAGTTGATAGATCTAGCGGTTTACTCGAGTTGCACGTGCACGACCACGCCGGGGGTGCCCACAGGAAGAGCCACGCTCCAGGGGTAATGTAGCTTTCGTTCAACAGTGCTGCGTTAGCACCTAGGAAACTTCATTCCAACGCTTCGCTTGACGACAACAGGTTGTACTGGTGGAAAAGGGCGCGTCACGTGCTCAGCAGGGTCTACAGGTGTCGGAGGTAGAGCTTTTCTTTTCGCGCTCCCTTTTCCGCGGTTGGGAAAGCGTACAACTACAGGCTATCCCCTTTGTGAGGAATTGGACGCCTTTTCTTGTGGGATCGGGTGTTCCTGCTGGAGCTCTTGCAGGGAGCAGCAATGCAGCCCGTTGGCATTTCCTCCGGGTAGGATTCCATTTCCCAATACTACCGTTATGCATACTGCTCGAAATGCATCGAAACCTTCGAATATTGGGGCGCGCATCCATCTCAGGATCTGTTGTACAAGAGAATGTAAGTATGACACTCGAAGGGGGCATACACTCACCCTGTTGCAATTTTTGCTGACAGGCGAATCTGTACGTCGGCATGCTAACCCCAATCCATAATCGCGTTCACGGCAACAATTATCCTCTTTAAAAATGCAAATCCAGGATCACAACAAATGGGTGCCCCATAGGTGAGCCGCGCTCCGCCCTTGTGGCGCCTGTCCTGCCTGGATGCAAAACTTGAACGGATAATTGAACCGTGCGTTGTTGCTGTCTTCCTCAGAGTTTCAGCGCCACTTGTGCGTAGTCGTAGAGCGAGGTGGGTATTAACAGTGTGTAACCCCGTAGAATACAATTTGTATTTCCTTCCATCTTGAAAAACATGAATGCTTTCGGGCACATGCAGGGGGGCACGGATGGACGCTGCCGGTACTTTTGCTGATCGGCGTCCTCATCGGCGTCGCCGCGTTCTATTACAGAAAAAGACGGAAGTCATAAGCAGCCTGGAGATCTTCTGCGATGGCTACATGGGTGTGCCTCTCCGGCGATGTGCATATATTTCTGTACACCATGCATGCAATTTCGCGCTCGCACGCCGCTCTCCCCCCTAGCTTAAACCCCCGCCTTGCACCTCCCCACCTTTGACACCCGAATCGATTCGGCCCTCTTGTACCATTAAGCGCCGCTAATTGAGGCACACACATAGAACCACACACCGTGAGGGCTACTCCGCGCTGCTGAGCAGCAGAGGCATGTTAGTGAGTGTGCCTCCAGTTCAACTGTCCAGACAACATGAGCGATACAGCAATTCGAAAGTTTCGTGTTTGCAAGCAGCAAACTCCGTGGGGTGCCGCGCCGGGCACCCACGAGTCGCCTAGAGGCGGGGCGCTTGTGGTCTATGCACTCTAATACTTCCAGACGCGCTCTCCGCAAGACCCTCCTGCCTGCACGCTGCACTGCGTATCCACATAGTCTGAGCGCGAAGCGTTCGTTCAGCTCTCTATATGGCACGCAAGATACACGGTATCCTAGGCTTTGTCAAGTAGATACGGCTTCGGCTGTGAGCGGAGCTCTTATCTGCATGCACAACGGGAGTGCTTGTATGATACCTTTATTGTTCAAAATGTAAACGAAATATCCCTCTGTAGCTCCTATGAGGGCCCGGCCGCGTGCCCCCCCTGCTTGTAGCATCGACGGCGAAGCAGGGCGCGATCACGCGAGCAAAAGGGGTGCCTCAGCCCAAGCCAAACACCTATCAACAACAGTGCCAAACGACCCTAAGTCGGACTCTCTTAGTGATGAGGCGCCAGTCACACACCAACATCCGGCGCACAGCACACACACTGGCCGGCTTGTACTAAGGCAGGAGAGCAGGCGCTGCCCGAGCGAGCAGAGGGCAGCGCAATTGCTGACACGAAGCAAAAAGCGGCACGATTCTCCCTACATCTCCAGCACCTGGACAGAGCGGTGGTGAATACACAACCCAGCGCCTAGGGTGCCAAAAAAATCAGCCGCGCAACGGAACTGACCGGCGGAAGGCGTGGTGTATCTGTCTGCCGACAAACCATTTCAATAGCCATACCAAATATATACACGCATATATGCTGCTCTGAATATGCACGCCTGTGTGTGAAGGTCCATGCATATATATATATATACATGAATGGCCGAACACATATTTACAATGCGCGTACATGCATGGCCTCGTTTCCCCACAAGGCACCAACCGCACCGCCGCGCCCCTGTACTCTGATGGGCAAAAGGACTTTTGACAAGGAAGTCATCCGCCCGCAAAGAGAGGCAGAGAGACTTCGAAACCACGAAGGAAGAACGGAAGCATCCCTTGTGTCGGAGTATAATTTGACACCCGCCTTCCCGCTGCCGCCAGCTGTCAGCTGCCAGAACCAATCTAATTTGTGGAGTACAAGATGTAGACCAGGGCAGCGCGGATTGACGCAAGATACAACAAACCGCGTCGGCGCACGTCGTGCAAACCCCACGCCCTTTCCCGTTCCCGTCAAGACAAAGCAACTTCCACGGCGCAAACTGGAGGTTTAGAGAGCACGCTTGCCTGACACTATCGCTGGTATTCAGCGTTCGCAGCCGCCGCCATCATGCATTTCTCCCTGGTGCTTGGCGACATGCTCTCGAGTTCAATCGGCAAAAACGAAAACAACTCAGGCAGAGCTCCTCCGCCAGGCAATCTGAACAACAATATGCGCACAGCAAGAGAGAGACAGAGACAGAGACACACACATACAGCTCTGAACAGCGAAAACTTCCCCATGTGCAGCGATGCACACACGCAAACGCTAGGGGTGCTACTGCTACTGCTGCTACTGCTGCTGCAGGGGCGGGGGTGTCGGCAAGCCAAGACAACACTTCCTCACGGGGCCGAGGCGGTCGCATGCGGACGCCATTTTCAAGCAGGCCCCCCTTCCCCCACCCCTCCCGAAAAAGCGCATGCAGCAGCACCCGGTAAGAGCGACAAAGGCGCTTACCGCGTCTTAGGGTTGCGGAGTTCATCGAAAAACTCATGAGCCAAAGCCTCTAGGGGCAACAGCCTCTGATCCGGCTCGTATCGCAGCAGCTTGCTCATCAAGTCGACTGCCTGCTCAAAAGATTTATCTCCGTCGTTGGCGCACTGGTGGGAAGCGAAGACCTGCGAAGTTTGCAGAAAAGCGCATATTTTGTCAAAATGCATGCGCATGCGCAAAGGCAGTGGTGCTTTGCCAGAAAGGGACAGAGAGCTTTAGCGCGCAACATCTAATCCGGCTAGTCATCATCGCAGCGGCCAGCTCATGAGATCATTCCTGCCAGCTCGAGCATGTCTACATCGAAAAGGGTATAGCCACATTCACGAAGACACTGCACCGAAAAGGGTACAGCCATATTCATGAAAACACCGGCGAAAGAGCGCCATATATGCCGCTGCAAGAGCTGCCAGCGCATGCCCCAGTCATCTGCTGACAAATAGCAGCCGCCCTCCCTCGCACGCCGCTTCCAGTCTCGACACTCCCTGAGGTAAAGCCTCTTCTTTCTCCCCCGCCGCCTCTGTCCGTCCCTCACCGAGCGCCAGTCTCTTGGCTTCACGTCTGGAAATCTGAATTCGATGTAATTGGGGTTCATTGCGGACATCTGGCAGCGCGTCGGGGTTCCCAAGACTTGAATGATCTTGACGAGCTGATCGACACTTGTTTCACCGGCGAAGAGCGGCCGTCCGAGCAGCAGCTCCCCCAGAACGCACCCTGCAGCAGCGCGCGACGCAGCGACACCCACACAGCCGGCGAAGCGCTAAAAATGCGTCATCTGCAGCCGCAAGGGCCTCTGGGCCGAATTTGAGGAACGCAGAGACGCGCGTTCTTTCGCGATTTGACGTAGGCGTGTGTCTATCTAAATACGACACAGCGCCGCCAACAGCAGCGGAGCAAGCAAGAAGCGGCCCTACCGATAGACCAGATGTCGATTGCCGTGGTATACTCGTTCGCCCCTAACATGAGCTCGGGAGCTCTGTAGAAGCGCGAGCATATGTAGGCAACACTCTGCTCCCCTGGGGAAAACACACTCAGCAACAAGGTGAGTTTTCGTTCAAAGGCATCCCTCCACGCATGCGCGATTCTACGCGTTCTCTCTCGCGACTCGCTCGCAACTCCCTCAGTGCCGCTGCAGCTACAAGAACTCCTTCCCACAACTCCCCGGGAGCTACACGGGAAGCACGTAACTGGCAGCTAGCAGTTCCACGACGGGCCAGAAAAAATAGAAAAAGAGACAAAAAACAGAGAGAGAGAGAGAGAGAGAGAGAGAGAGAGAGAGAGAGAGAGAGAGAGAGAGAGAGAGAGAGAGAAATAGACACAGAAGCAGACCCATCGGTTCATGGCTTACCAGGCACCAATCGCTTGGCAGAGCCGAAATCGCACAGCTTGAGAACATGTGTTCGATAATCTACAAGGAGGTTCTGAGGCTTGACGTCCCTATGACAGATGCCAAGGGCATGGAGGTAACCAAGCGACCGACACATCTGATACGTGTACAGCTTGACAAGGATGAACGGAAGGGTGTGTGTATTTCTGACAAAGGTTTTCATGACGCGGTAAACTGTTTCGGGAATGAACTCCATCACAACATTCAAAAAGCGGCTCGTGCCACCGCCCCCTCTGTCCTCGACTTCGGTGTAGAAATAATCAAGCAGCTTCACAATGTTTGGATGGTTCAACTCCTTCAGGATGTCCAACTCTCGGTTCTTGTACCGTGGATCCTATTGCAAAACACACATCGCCACACATCTGCATATGCTCAGACACGCGAATAACGGCTACCTCAGCCAAAATCGCGGGCAGCAGCAGCAGCACTCTCCTCCTCCACGCACAGGCATGCGCGGAACAAGATTTCTCAGAAAAACGAAAAAAACACATGAACAGCTCTACGCCGCAAAACACGCACAAGTACATACACATACATACATGCAACACATACAGACACAAACATACAACACATACAGACACATACATGCAACACATACAGACACATACATGCAACACATACAGACACACACATGCAACACATACAGACACATACATGCAACACATACAGACACATACATACACACGATTTAGACACACAGAAAAAGTGCATCTGTGCGCCTCGTGCATCTCGTGGGGGGAAAAGCCCCAAAGTGCGCCTCCTGCCAGGCCCTTCCCATGCAGAAAAACAAACACCCCAGACGCCGAAGTGTCATCAAAACTGCCACGAAAAGAAAACGCGTGAAAGATGGAGAGGCGCAAAAGGTCACGAACATGCGCCTCTTGTTCTAGTTCGATGGAGCCACGCAATTTGGGCGAAAATCATCGCCATGCAACAACATACAGGAAGGCACCACTCCCCTTCTGCCGCTCATCATCATCACCCATGAAACGTGCTCGCATGTCATCATAAATCTTTTAAGCCACATGCATTGGGAGACATTAGAAGAGGAACAAGGGCCGATAGGGCCTGTCTAGCACGCCATTTTGTCACCCACTTGCTACTACTTGCTACTTGGTACTACTTGCTACTACTTGGTACTACTTTCTACTTGGTGCTCCATGCGCGCCTTTCACTATGCGTTTCCACACAGCCGAGAAAAATGGACATCCAAGTACCCCCAGCTGCATCCCCCACTCCCAGTCGAGCAGTCTTTGCTTCATCAACGCCACTATTTCACCTGCAAAACTTTCTTTATGGCGACAAGATCGCCTGTTTCTAGACACCGAGCCTCGGTAACAACGCCAAAGGAACCATTTCCCAAGACTTGCCCCATGTCATAAGACTTTTGCGGCTGCTGCGCCCCTCCAGCGGACCGCTTGTTTTCTTTCGCGCTCGCATTTGCAGCAGCTGCCGCGTTGCTGCTGCTGCTCGCTGCTACCGCCTGCTGCTGCTGCTGCTGCTGCTGCTGACCAGAAGAGGTGGCTCTTGGGTTAGAGGCCCTTGGGGGGGCATCAGCATCGCCTTGAGGGTCAGGCATGCTGCCGAGTCTGAAACAAACCGAGAGACGTCTTCTTCAAAAATTCCAATAGCCAAGGATGCGTGAGACGGGCGCAGCGACGCGATTCGACGCCGAGACGCAGCAGCAGCGGGAGCGGCTTGCAGAAACGTGAAAAAACTGAACCACACCGCCTTGACGCGCTGCGCGAGTCGACCCACCTTCCGCCGCGAGACCCCTCCAGTGCACGCTTGAAAAGAGACACCCCCGAAGACGATAGAGCTGTGGGAAACGGAGCAGAGGGCGCGCTTTTCTGCCACTTCTTCCCTATTCTACAGGCTTTTGAATATCACCATCACAGCGACACGGGCCGCTCTGCTGGCGTCCTCATACCCTCTCTGCCAACTTCCTGGCGTCACGTCGCCACGAGTGCGTAGCGATAACTTGCGAGGCAGCCCTGCTGCGCATACACGCGAATCGGCTTCAGCTGTACAGGCACACGTTGCTTGAGGCGCGGCCTTTTCTGCGAGCCACTTCCCTGCCGGGGAGATCCGTTTGGCTGCCCATAAAAGGGAGAGAATGTTTGCGACGGCGGTGCAGGAGGGAAAGGCGAGCGCTTGACCCCAAGACAGATTCAGCGGCACGGCTTGCCGAAGAAATTGCACTGCCTCCGTTTCGGCAGTCAAGCGTCCCCCGACACCAACTTTTCGGCCTGAGACGCAGCCCTCAGAGGCTACTCGAAGTTTCTGTTGGTGCGGCAGTGCTGGCCGCGCTCGTCCACGGCAGAAGAAAGCAGCGCTGCCGCCGGGGAAATGAGGATGAGCGCAGCAAGGGGCTGCCGTCTGTCGTTGGCTGGCTAAGTTTGCGCTGTTCTGACCTCGTCGAGAGAGTCACACGCAAACGAATGGAGTAAAAATTCCCTAAATGCCCTTCCCGATGGCTGGGTAAGTCCGGTTAGCACTAGACCGGCAGTCGCACGACTCTCCACAGCGGCAGAAGCAGAGACGGGTTTAGCGCAGAGAGAAGCAGAAGAGGCGGAGGACACAAGTAGAAAAGACACTCCCACAAAGGAGATAAGAAAGAGCGGCTCAGGGCAAAGAAGCCTTAAGGAACGCAGCAACGAGCCGTGTAACGAACGGACAAAGTGCCACAAGTCAACAGCACTGCGCCACTGCATGTAGGTAGTATCTTCATATGCTGAAGCTTTCACCTCCGGACCAGAGCCTCTCCTTTTATGACTGGGCAAGAAAAACAGGTTCAGTACAAATAAGGGATAGAAACCAGACCCTTAAAAAGTTCAAAGGAGGGCCCTAAACACCTCTGGAGAGGTACAAGAGCCAGCACATGACTGCGACCACCTGCAGCAGCTGTAGTGACACCCCAGCCTCCCTGGCCACCAACTATCACTCCTCTCATTTTATTCCAACAGATCATTTATTTTAGAGCATTGCGTGCATAGTGAAACAGAAACTCCTCAGGTATATCAAAATAGAGCTGCGCTGCACCCTCTACAGTCAACGCCACCCATAGAGAGCCTCCCGTTGCTGACGTAAAACAGTGCCTTTTCCAAAAATTATACGGCGGTTTTGCGTCGATTTGAATGTGACACAAATATGGATTCACTCAGTTCGTTCAGCAGACTCAGGAAGACGCCTCTCGCTCCCGTCCCTTTGTACTCAGCACAAACCACAAGCAGTGGCCTCTTGTCTTGCTGAATTACGCAATACGCTGATATCGTCCCTGAAGGGATTCGGAGCACCACACTCAGGCTGTTCGTATGCGAGAGGGGGCAGGCGGGTGTGTGGTGCGAATTTTAGTAGACAGCGCAAATAAATACTTCAATTTAGGGTAGTGCAGGATGCTGGTGCTGCTAATATGTCACTTAGCAGCCCTAGCTCAACAGCCACCGCTTCTTTTGCTGCAATAATGTACAGGGAGGACAAGCCTACAAAACTTCCCAATTCCAGCCGTACAGAAGCTGCAACTTACCCTATGACAGTTGCATTAGGAAGCGAGTGTAGCGGGCCAGGCTGTATGTTGAGCGCTTTCTACTACTTTGGTATCCAAGCACAAGTGGACAGTATACAAATTGGCTTGTCAGCTCGTATCTCGCACTACCTGCAGCGTACTGCTAGCTCGAAAACATAAAGATGCAACGTTGCGTCCGTCCCTGTGCTCTAGAGGCTCTCTGCCTGTTGTTTTTCTGAATCATCGGAAAGCGTAAAATGCAAAACTACGCCCAAATACACGAGCTGTAATTTTCTTTTCTCGTCGGGAATATGAGGGGCACGGGCAGAAGAAGGAGGGTCTTGTTTTAGAAACACTACAACATTCTCCAAAGTTTGCGTGCAATCAGGGGCAAAGTGCCTTTTTACGGAGCGCTCTAACCGAGGGAACGGCGGACATACCAAGCTTTTCTTGGGCGTCCCTTCGTAGGCTCAATTGTAGATACAGTACAGGCCGTACAGGTGATTCGAACAACTGTGCCTTTCACACTGTGCCTTTCCGCTAGGTGCCAGATACATAATGGGCGCTTTCCTTTACGACGGTTGCTTCTCCCGTACCCCTCCGTCGAGAGTCTCGACACAGAGGCACCGAGCGCCTGACTCAGAGCAAACTTTGGAGAATGTTATAGAGTGTTTTCATAACGCTCCATCGCACTCCTGCCCGTGCCCCTCATGATTCCCGACACGAGAAAAGGAGAACAGCCAGTATTCATGGGCGCAGTTGCGCCTTTTACGCATTCCAATTATTCACAGCCACATGCAGAGAGTCTCTGGACCACAGAGATGGACGCAACGTTGCGTCTTTGCGTATTCGAGCCAGCAGTACACTGCAGGAAGTACGATATACGAACGGGCGAGCCAATTCGTTCACCATTCACTTGTACTTGGCTACTGAGGCAATCGGAAGCGCTCAACGCATAGGGTAACCTGCTACACACGATGTTTCGAGAATACTGGAAATGTTTCTCAGGCCCAACGCGTCGATGGCATTCGGAGTCTCCGTAGTTTGTCTAAGGTCCTTCATTGTTCACTTGTATGCCTGAGTGGGTTTTTTCTTTTCGAAGACAGTTTTTTGACCAGTGGCAATACAGCTACTGAAACTTCAAATGCCACACTGAAGACGGAAGTGCACGCGGTACGCCCCCTGAAAGCACCAGCCCACTATATGAGTCCTCTGTATGATAGGGTCCCCTTATTTAAAAGACACCAAATTTGACTCGGCAAGCAAACCTGAGCTGCAGCAAGTGCATGTTTCAAAAGCTGAAGTTTCCTTTTAGTGTGCGAGGGAAGGAAGGCCTTGACGGTTCCCGCTGTTGCTTGCTGCCTCCTGTGCAGCCTTTAGCAGTGCTCGTGATCTAGTGGCTGACAGTCCTCCGAATACGCAAATTTTACATGGAATACTGTTTTTATAGTAGACTGAACAAAAATCGGAGCCTGTCAATCCGACTTTCATGAGCTCTAGGTAAAAGACCAGACTTCTCTAGGCGGCCCACAGAGTTTCGTTCTTGAACTACCTCCTCTTCGCATGAAATGTGCTCACCCCCGAGCGCAGATCCGAGCCGCTGCAAAAGCACAGCAGGCTGATCGGTGCGTTTTCTTCCGAGCGAGCCAAGGCCCCCTCTGTTTCAATCCCTTGTGTTTCACTTGCCCCGCCGGAGCACTACTTTGCGCCACGCGGTGTAACGACACCCTCGCCCGCTCAGATCCCGTAGGCTCCCCGCTCTTGGAAGCAATGCGGCCTAGAGGGGGCGTCTTCTTGGCAGGCGTGCTCGCAGCTCTATCGCAGGTCTTCCTGCTGGCGGATTGTCGCGTTCTCCTCCCGATATCTCTGGCGGGGAGGGCGACGAGTCTCGTCGAGCTGCGCACCGCAGCAGCGAGTGCACAGCGTGATCAAGGCAGCAACGCTGCCGCGGCGCCAGGGGGCGCCTCGGCCAAGGACGAGGACGAAGATACCTCTGATTCTGCAGCTGAAGAGTCTCACGCGGAAGGTCAGAGCGCATCGGCTCAGTCGGAGACGCAAGAAAACGACACCGAAGACACAAGCGCAGCCTCCGCCTCCGCCCCCGCGGCGCAAACAAGCTCCGAGGGAAGCAGTGCAGAAGCTGCACCGGATAGCAGCTCAGAAGGAGGCAACCGACAAGGACCAGCACCAGCAGCAGCAGCATCCCCAGACGCGCAAGAAAAAAAGGCCTCCCGTGCGGAAGAGCACTCTGCGAGTAAGGACCAGCAAAGTGAATCAGAGGCGGCGAGTGAGAAGTACAGCCAAAGCAGCGAAGCGGCTGAGTCTCGAACCTCGCAGAGCGCCTCCCAGAGCGCTGCCGACGCAAGCGGATCGCAAGCTTCTCAGAATTCGGCAACGCCCTCCGCGATGGCGAAGGACGAGGAAGACAGAAAGGCAGAAAAGAAGGTGGATAGTGGTGAAGCCGCTGATGCGGTCCACGGCACCGAACATTCGCAAGCAGCGCCTGCCGAGGAGGCTGCTCAGGCTGCGGCTGCACCGTCTTTGGAGCGTTTTGCGCATCCAGAGCAATCCTCCACACGGGAGCAAAGCGTTGCGCTGCATGAACACGCAGAGTCTGCTGCCCCCCAAGAGGCTGCTGCCGAGCACCCCAGCGCTCTAAGGGTTGAGGAAATCACGGCTCGTGAGTGTGTGTGTGTGTGTGTGCCACTGGAGTGAAACCGTTTATGCTTCTGCTGCAAACACGTGCAACGTCACACCCATGACAACTAAGATGGTGACTGGCACACACACAGGACTGCTTTGTCTGGCTCCCCATCTCTGCTTCAGACTGCGTGCTTATGCACAACAAAATCAGGACGGCGCGTCTAGATCAGTGGCCTGACTCTTTAATTGCGGATGACACGCTTTCCGAGGCGGCGCGCTCAAGAGCAAAGGCGTTCATTGCCAACAACTGCAAGAACCCGGATGGCACAGAGCTCGACAGCGTACGACTGCCAGACGTTTCCTGAGTGTATCGGCCTCTCCTGCGGCAGCCCTTCCGGCTATTAGCCCTGGTGCTGCTGCTAGGAGCAGTCTGACGCATGCACGAAGCGCACTGCTGCACGTGCCTGACCATCGCGCGACTCATGATACACAGTCCTCATGTACATATACCCCCCTATTTGCACGTGCGGACGCTCACCCGCCAACAGGGCTTCCTCTCTAATTTCCTTTTGCTGAGCGCTTTACGCAGCTGCAAGAACTAATGATGCCCAAAACAGGAACTGCATGCGACGCACTCAACTACGTCTTTCTCGATGGCCTCTCCGACCTCGAGTACCCGCAACAAGCTCCTCCCTCCCCTTCGCGAAATCCGCTACCCCCCTCATTGTGCCAGTGCAAAGCCTTTGTCTGCTTGGAGGTGCTAGAAGGCTGCCTCAGCTGGCAGGCCACCCCATAGCCCGAAGAAGCTGTGCATGCTGCGCGTGTGTGTGACACTCTCTCCAGGAGGGTCGTGAAAGAGGATTCCCCCGGTACATACACCCCAGGAGACAGCGCCAGCCCCTGGCATTCTGAGAATGCGCAAAAATTCGCTCTCATGCTGTCGGAAACAGGAAAAGCCGTGGGATGCGCCGCAACCGTTGGCTGTACGGCTGACGTGGTCTTTTGCATGTATTCGCCTGCCTTGTCTGTTGGGGGCACGCCTGTATCGTGAGTGTCATCTGGCACGTCTGGAAGTGCAGCGCGTGACTTCCCCCCTCCCCTAGAACTAGCAGAAAAGTAGGTAGCATGCGTGAGGGAGCCGTAGGGCGCTGCTCAGGAGTGGCATTCTCGCATGAGTTTGCAAGTGCTCAGGTCGCACTACTTCAAGGCTCTTAAAAAGCGGTCCAAGGTAGAAGCCCACGGAGAGGAATTCCTGCCAGGAGGGGTCGCCGAGCATGAGGTTAAAAGTGTAGCAGGGGCTAGGATTGCACCCAGTGAGTCAAGTGCAACGGTCTCTTATTACACCGCGGCAGTGCCGGCCGTCGTCTCGTTTCTCGTGCTTGCACTTTCTAGCACAGTGCTTGTCATGTGAAAGCCGCGGAATAGGAAGCAGGAAAAATGAGCACAAACTCTAGGAGCCACATTTCAATTTCAGTTACACGGCTCATTGGCCAGTCAGCTCCTCCGTGCCCCTCAGCAGCACACTCACACCCCCAAGCTGTACTATTGTTTTGCATCCAGCGTGAGCGGACGCCCGCTTCTCTCCTTTTGCTGAGGGCCTAGCGCTGCTTCCGACGGCGCTGGTGCGCGCTCTCAGCTGGCGTCTGCTGGGTCACTGCAGGCTGGCTAGCCGTGAGAAGCGGACAGCAGTTGAAATGTCAACCCTTGTGCGCTAGAACCTATCAGGCTGCCCATGCTTAGGGCGTAAGTGCTAATCCTCTCTTTGCAGTCACGCTTACGCTTACTTGCCGCACCGGCCAGGCACCTTTCCAAGAAACCTATTTTGGTTCTGCACTATGGCTGTCTGATATCCAGTAGCATATGCCGTCACGGCACTCAGCCTCCTGCGAAGAAGCGCGCAACATCGTGCGACATGCCCACAAAAGCAGCCGCAAGGTCTTATTTCCACATTCTGGCTACTTGAGTGAAAAATGGAACGTGAAGTACAGCACCTGTGTATCTGATGCCCTGGTTTACAGCCTGGAACGAGAGTAAAATGTACAAGGAATAATTGGGAGGAAAGGCAGCTTCTTCAAATAAAAGAACTGGAGTACCAGTCCTGGTGTTAAGCGCGACTCTGCACTTCACTCAAAGCTAGATGCTCATTGATAGCTGAAAGACTGGAACGCCGCTGCAGGAGCTTTGGGGGGAAGCATATTTATCGATCCTAGACCTGGGGTGTGCAACTGCACATGCTACCGTGTACTAAAACCAAACTCTAGAGCGACAGTTTCATATGAATATCAGTCCATAACGCCGATGTATACTCGTATTAGCCTACCTTTGGCCCTCTTTCGACCACAGTCTTCAAAATTTTCATCAAATAAGGGATCCGCAGCATCAGCAGAACGAGAGCGAGCAGAGCAGCGACGCCCACCGCAACAGGCGGGGAGAGCACACCTGCTGCGTTTGGAAGCGTCCGCAGCTCTTCTCGGGACTCCAGAATAAACGGACTCTGCTCAATACTTGCTGTTACTTCCCCCAGAGGGGCAGCACGCTCCCTCGCCTCCTCTGTGTGCTGATCGGTCTTGCTCTTTGAATCTGGCGTCACTTCAGAGTGGTAAACGAAGTTCGCGTCAGCGATATCCACGACGAGCAACAGGAGAGAAAGTGCCAAGGGGACAAACACACAGCCCAGCCGCCAAGTGGTGGATTTTGTCTGCCGTTGTGACCCGCCACCCATCATCGGTTTCTCAGATATAGGCTAGCTGATACATTCTGCTTGGTTTAGCCGCTGGAAGCTAAACCATTTGAATGACCAAGGAATGCTTTTAAATACGAAATAAAACCCATTATTAAAGCACAGGAGCTGGCTACAACAAGAGGATTTTTATGCTAATGATCAGCAGGCATGGGGGGCTGCTGCGCGTTCGTTCGCAGTGGCACATTTAGGCAATCATTGTTTCAACGTGGCTTCCTAGTTAAGTCTCTATGCAAGAGGTTGATTTTGCTGAATTATGGCTAGCCATTTCGTTTTGTATGATTGCCAATGCAGCTTGTGGAAGCATAAGGGTTTAGTCAAGACTGGAAATCACAGGAGAGATCGCCGATGCTGAGGCATCTACTACTACACTAAGGAAAATGACTCCATTTGCCCTGAGTTTAAAGGGTAACACTATCTGTCAGAACTTAGGTCTTCATGTGTCATGTGCGAATTTCCAGGCATTGCTTGTGTTTCCTTAGTGTTGGAAGATGCAACCACGCAAGTGGACGAAATCAATCCATATTCTCTGCATTTTTATTCTCTCCACGATGCGAATGCTGGGTGGAGGAAGCGTGCTTCTGGCCAACCCTAATTTCAGATTCCAGTCATAGAGGCTGCGGCGTTGAGAGTACACATCACTGGGCGTCTCCAGCACCGAAACCGGGTGCGTAGCAATATGGCGCATTCCATTTTATTGGCTTTCACACGAGCTCGTTTTCATTGCACAGTGATGAATCCATGCGCATTTTTTCCTATTGAGTCTGAACAGTGGTGTGGTGAAGCGACAGGCAAGCACAACGATTGCACGCCCATGTTCATTAGTTATTGAAATAAATGTCTAGGTATTTAGGCAGCCCCACGCAAGCTTAACCAGAGAACCATGGTAAAAGCACATTCCTTTTCTTCCCCTTTCATATTTCTAATCCATGTTGGTTCCGCCTTCAGGGGGATTCTCCTGAAAGCATCTCTCAATCGCTAGTAATTTTTGAGCATTCCGATATCGCTACGTTCCATCTGAGCTCTCAGTAGGGCGACACTCAACTCCCGGGTTCATTAGACCTTTATACGAAGTTATCGAGTATTTCTGAGAACAACTCTCTCGTTAGTATGCTCGCACCTCGCGGATTTTTCTATCTTAGGGGAGCAATACCCCACAGCTAGAATGTGTTAGCCTAGCTGCATCCTCCAGGCATCTGAGCATTCATAGCGTAAATGTACGTACCACCTAGCAAACACAAACATAACAGTGCGTCTTTGTAAATTTATATACGGCAAGGCAAACCAATCAACCTATCGCTTCATATTTGTTGTTTATGCATAACGAATGCTGTAGAAAACGCGACAGCCATAGGTTGGACCCCCACATCTCTTCGGCGGTTCAGGAACCACACACACACTCATGTTTCCGCGTCTGTCCCTCTGAACAAACTTCATGCAGTACAGACAAAGACGTTTCGCCATATCTCCACTCTTCCGGAAGGCTGAGGCGAAAAACAGAGCAAGTGAGAAGGACAAATGTGTGGATCAACCGCTACATGGATATTGAACAAAAGATACCCACACTAGGTATTAGCAAACCAGGGACCAAACCAACATGCCTGCGGTGTTGCAATGGCTCCTAAAGATACGCACTAGCTTGCCAGTGCGTGCATGCCTCATAAAGCGGCCTCTCCATGACAAATATAGTCGACGCATGCAGAGTTCTCGAATTTATGGCTCCAACAGAAAGCTTACGGAAGGATGTAGAGGGAACATATCTGAGAAAGCCTGCTCATAAATCGTAGTTTAAAGAATACCATATGATTAATGCACTAAGCATAGAGGACACTGTAACAAACGGTGGCTTTGAAAGCAATGTGCAAACATAAAATTTGCTATCTCCGGCAGAGCATAAGCCGAGTACGAACAAAAACTAAGGAACTCGACGAAGCCCTTCAATGTTGACTAGCGGTTAAACGATTCAAAGCCGTAAATTCTAGTTCAGTCAACGAAGTCAGCAATCGACTTATTGTCGACTACTTAGTTTGGCGATCCCCAGACCCTATTTACTGGAACCAATTGCTAGTGTTATCTTCGTGCTCAGTAGTCCTAGTCTGGCAGTTCTACGGTTCCCAGTGGATCGTCTACCTCCAGAAAGATTACTCGCCTGCGCAACAAAGTCCGTGAAAACTTGGGAAGTCTGGAAATAGTTTTAAATGCCAAAATTGATGGTTCTGGGTTGCCTCCAGCTTTAGGGGGATCAAAAGAAGAAGACTATTGAGGTGAGACTGGGCAACTCTTTTTCAGCCACCTGGTCACAAGTCTTTTATGTCATTAGCTTCTTATCCTGGTAAGTCAGCAGGCTTCCTGAGTTGCACCAGATCTCCAGGCTCGAAAGGCACAACTCACTGCCGCTTATAATTCCGCGCTTCTTTGTCGTAACCCTTTTACATGCCGTGGCATATAATGGCCACCTGTAATTGCAATGCTTCCACCACTAGGAGTAGGTGCTAACCCCCGACCACCGGGTCTAGGCCCGTAGTGAGAAGGGGCTCCGCAGTGTGGATTCGGGATGTGAGAGCAGCAGCGGTAGCAGATTATACTGCTGCATTGAGAATCCACACAGCAGCTGGAAGAAGCTGAAGTCAAGAACTTGCCTATTCCTAGAATAGCGTCCCACATACTGCAAAAGAGTGCGGTATGAGTGTGCTGAATGTTCACATGCTTGGGAGTGATTCGCAGTGGTTAAAGTGTAGGCGGTTCATGAAGGCACGGCAGCATGCACGAACTAGCTTCAAATTCCTATTCCTAGTGATTCTCCTGAATAAAGTCTGAAGGTTTTGGACATTGAACAAAGATAACTGGGTGGCTTCCCGAACCACGACAGCGGCCAAGAAAGGGTTGAAATGTGCATGTTGGCTGAGTCTGTCTACATCGACATAGATGCTATATAACCCCTTCCTATGTGACAGTTTGACAATACATTCCACAGTCATATTATTCCAAGTCCTTTCAGGAAACATGAAGATTTGCAAAAGGCCGGTTAAAGAGAATTGCGGGGCCAGCCACTCGCAACCTGGGCATGACATTGCACCTGGCTCTTCAGCACAGCGCATCCCAGGTCACCAGAATATTCAAAGCTAATCCAGTGTAGCCCGATTCCCGCTATGGCCTGAAAGAACATGATGGTATGCTTAGCGCGAAACGGCACTGCACAGGGAAGTGGGGATACAAAAGCGACGGAAACCCGCTTTGTTCCGGACCACAGTAGGTCATCTTTATGTCGAGTAGGCTGTTGACTCGTGTAAACGGTTAGCTAATTCGCCAAGATAAGGTATCAGGCTTCGATGCTTCGCAGCAGTCTGTTCAGGGAACTGGCGTCAACGCACATGCCCCATCTCCCGTCTTTTTCCAGCACACACCTCAAGCTGTGCTCAAAGGCCCTTTTAATTTTTCGTTTTGAGCATATCACCCGCCTGCTAGTCTATCTCCTTCTCATTCTGTGGGAGCTTTTGTCACGCGGTTAATACGAATTTCGGCTGACCCACGGACTAGCTTGATACTGTGCTGTGGATGACTAGCAGGTTGCTTGGCTGCTGGCAGGTGGTCACTATTTAGTACATCCAGAAACTCCTTGTAAGTTGCTTGCCTACATCTGCTGCTTCTTTCCTGAATGTTCAATCAACCTCTTTATTCGAGAACCAGTTACAGATTCGCTAAGACGGGATGCATGCTCAGTACCGTCATCTCTTACTGCTCTGCCCAGCTACCCACGTGAAGCCTCAACCTCGCCTCGTTACAATATTGACTCTTCCCCGCTCACTGCAGATGACCTTCGCGTCTTTACGGTTGTCAGAATTTGCTTCTTTCCGGCGCTTCCAGGAAGCCTAGCCTCCGCACCGCGCACCTGTGGCCGTATGCATGCCTCGCGTTGGGCCACTCATGGAATATGTCGGATTACACCACGATGCACGGGTCCAACAAATTTCACTGACAACGCCAATAGAGCCTTACCCTGAGCTGGAGTAAAAGTAACCTGCCGTATCCTTGCCAATGGCTGCGCTGTGCCGCCCGTCAGCAAACCTGAGTCTTGGGGATTCGGCTAACGAGTGCATAGAAACATTGCATTTTGGTGCCCTGTCCTCAAATAGTATATAAACTTCGCTATTTGTGTCCAGTAACGCTGACAGCTCTTGGCCATCAAAATGAAGTCCTCCCCCCAAAATTGCCCTGCTTTGGGTTCTCAACTGTGACTGATTCCCCTGTAGGACCCTTCATTGTGTCACAACCTGCGCGTAGGGCGTGCCATCTTCTTTACATGCCTTCCCTGCTTGCCAAGATGCCTGCTTCTTGTTAGCCTAGTTTGGTTGTTCAAGCTCTTTGCCTTTTGCGTGCGCTTGTACTTTTGGATTCTAGCTTAATATCCCACAATAGAAACTGGTGCGTTGTTGAGAAGCTATTTGAAGCTGCTTAGGTGCGCAGAGTCCCCTGGCGATTTTTCGTTTACCTTAGACTGGGGGATGGGACTGATTTGGCACAGCCCGACATCCATAGTTTCTACATGCCGAGTTGGTTCTTCCTATCCGGCCAAAGGCGCGTGGGGTGCTCGAATTCGCCTGTGGAAGCTCGAGCAGTCAAACGTTTGTGAAACCTCCGCAGTTCGTTCATTGAATGGATGAGTGGCTTCCCACCGTGCGATCACCTGCTCTGACACTTCAGGAGGACCCGAGGTATGCCATATATTCAGCGGCTCTCCATCTACAATGTGGCGTTTACGAGACAAAGCTGCAAATATTTTTAAAATATCGATGTATCGATAGCTTCTTCGGCTCCATCTTCCTCGATCCTCCCAGAACTTGCTGTAATAATGATCTCGGCATAATTCGAATGGCCAGGGCTTGTACCAAGGCTTGTTCTGCAATAATCTCTGCAGGAAGACAACTTCCACCAGATTACTATAGCCACCCGTAAAGTGTTTCTCCTCAAAAATAACAGACTACGAAGAGCACTCGTTCTTTTTCATCTGCGGGGTACAAAGCGAGGTGTACTTATAACCGGCTGTGAAATCTTTTGACAATTCGTGTCCTTTTGCCAGCTGTGGGGCTAGTGCGTTTGTAAAGGCATGCAGCCGGCCTCTGCCATCTTAATAAACGTTGTGACACTGTCAGCTTCCACCGCAGAGGGTGCGTTTCATACTGCTACCAAAGAAAATAAGATAATTGATCGACCGAACACCCAGGTCGGAGCCAGGGAACTGTTGTTGTGGGGAAACGTTATATTGCAGCGCTTCCAGAGCTAGTGGTAGAGAGAGGAACAGCTGCATCGAACCATCCTGTGCTAAAAGTCGTGACGCGGCATTTAAAGTCTCAGCAGGGCTACTTGAGACAACTACAGCCGGACTTGATGCAAACTCTTTAGAACTTTATAGAGTATATCTGAAAACAATGCACCGCCTTAAGCTCTTGGCGTGAGGAGGAGTAGCCACTTAGAGTGAGAAGGGCTGCTTCCTTTGAGCTTGCCCACTCACAGCTAGCTGCACATAGCAGCTACCGCACCCGCACACGACAGTGCGCCATTTTGCATAGAGCTACCTATACACTGCAATATACAATATACGAAAAGACAGACCAAGAAGTCAGTTCTTTTATTTCTTAAATAGATATAAATAGTGTGGTAGAAAGTAGTCGAGTGTCACGTAGTCGCTACGGTCACTTTTTCCACCAGTACATACATGGGCATAATCGCCGATATGTGGGAGCAGCAGCATGTCTCAGCTATTCAAACATCAGTGAGCACAACAGAGCAAAAGAGTCATGAGCTAGGGATTACTATAACTGCAAGGCCCAATCCTTTCCATCCCTCTCCGTGCCAGTGTTAGCCCTACGTTAAAAACGAGAGGCTACAAATGAATGGCGTTGCACGTAGAAGAGCGGTAAAGGGAAAGCTGGTGGCGATGTATATAGTTAGTTAAATACAGATACAGAATAGATGTTTTGGGTTTAATGGGAGGCACGCACTGGTATAACTACTGAAATGCAGTACGCCGGCGGGTGCAGGTTCGATAGCTTCCAGGGCTCCCGCATTTTTGGCTGCCTGGTGTATGCTTCATTGCTTTCCCTTACTTATTCTTCTTCGTTTCACCTTTAAACACTGTATTTCTCTTGTAGGCAACAGATATGCAACTTTGTAGGCCTTGGAACCAAAAGAACGGCGCAATACGGGCACTACAAGGATTCGACCAGATGCACACCAGATGCCACCGTGCCTAGTTGCTCCAGGCTAAACTACTCCTAGATAATTCCACAGAACAAGCTGATTGGGGCGCATTAAAGCTACTCATTTAATTCAGGCTATGATTTCTAGTCCAGCAGATCATCAAGTGTAGATACGCCATCCCGAGCGGCCACCAGAGCAGCGCTTATTTCATCTGCAAGCTGAGCGCTTTCGGGGGAGCCGCACGGGCCTTTAGGGGCTTAATACTCGCCATTCGTGCGTGAGCTGATCGGAATAATCAAAACTAAAAAGCATCCGTGTGCTTGGGGCGGCAGAGGTGTGAGTTACTGCATAGACACTGGTTTCACATTTCTCACTGGCCACCACCTACCAGACAACTGAAGACACTCCTAGCCCTGGGGCTTTCTCTCCCCCTGGAATTTGCAACCATCCCCTCGTTGTCTGTTTTGGTCCCCCCTAGATCCGCTTCAAAAAAGGCATTGTATCTTTCTAGGTGCCTTAATGAATGCATTTCTGCTCCCAATGCAGCAAATCAGTGAGCTGCACTGTCTTCACGGCCACTGGACCAAGACAGCAGCCGACTTACCGATGGGCTGCTACTTTTAATAGTCTCAATGTGTGCAAAGATTCACCATGTCGTCGAAAACGATTCCTGTATTTGTTTAAAATGAATTTTAGGCCCTATACCCCTTTGCGGCATACACACATATCCTTCCCCAGCGCACCGATCCCGCAGTGTCTGCTGGTAGTCGGCGGCAGGAAAGCCCCCTCCCCAGCAGCCTCTCTGCTCCGTCTTTCTCTTTGTCGTCTGTTGAGCGGAGACTTGTTTTGGTATGCCGAAGCATCCAGCCCTCCTGTTGCCGATTTCATAGGTGACAATCGGCCGTCCAGCGCACGGGGGACTGCAAGACACCACAGGATCGGCTCTCTATTTAGACACGGGAGCCTCGAGGTGCTCTCAGAAGCCGCCTAAAAATGATAGAACGCTGTTCAGTCTCCTCCGGCGAGCATGCCACAGGGCCTTCCATTAGACAGAGCCTGCCACACCATGCCCATCCGGCTGTACGTACAGCCGACGCCAAAGTCCATCAAGCCCAAGGGGAATACAGAAACTGTCCCGTTCCCGAGCTATGCTTGTTTGATGACGGGAGTCGCTGGCGTGGCACTGCATCAGACGAGGGTTTGCCTTCAAGAGACACAGAAGAGGCTCCCCAGAAACAGGCCGCAGAGCAGCACCGGCACCAGCACCATCGACCGCAGCAGTACCCGCAAGAGCAGGGGGGAGCAGCCGCTATCTATGCGAATTTGCATGCATGCGTAGAGGCACTCGACACTCCAGGTAAGGGCTCTGACTGCTCAGAAGCCTCCAAGGGCCTTCCCCCCTTGCCGCCTCCTCATGCCTCCCCTGAGGAGCGGAGTGCTCAGACAGTGACACCAGAGAAAGAGGATCCCTTCGCGTTGGGCGAACAGCCTAGCACTTGCCTGGAGGGGCCCCCAGGACCGGAGACGTGGAGAGCAAAGCCCCACCGTGAAGGGGCCTCGGAAGGCTTGTGGGCCCCCCCGGAACCTTTGCTGACCGGAGGGCACGAACCTCGTGGAGGCCCCCAGGGGGCCCCTAAGAAGAAACTTCAGGAGAGCCACTCTGCTCGAAGTCTTGCTTCATCGGTGAGAATGCCACTGTCTGACGTGCAGGAGGCGGCATCCTCGGGTGAGCAGGCGACTTCAAACAGCAGTGCCTCGATGAGAAGCGGCCGGAGCGGATTGCATCCCAAGAAAGCTTCCACCTCCAGCAGTGGAACGGTACAGGCCGGCGAGGCCCCCTGCGCATTGGAGGACCTCTTCTTGCCTCGTTCACAGGTTCTTGAGGAAAAGGGGGGGAGGAGGAAGCGCTCCTCGCGAGCCGCTCCCGCGCGCAGAGACATATCCGGTGGAAGGCCTGCTAGTGCTTTCGAAGACTCCCAGGGGGCCCCCTCTGGCGAGCGCCCTCTGCAGCAAATCCTTAGCGACTTGATCCGTGCGGCAATGGACCGGTTTGAATCCCTGGCGCTTGAGCGCGTGGAGGCCCTAATACGGCAGACCTGGGGCCCCCGAGTGAAGAGACTCAGGTCTGAGACAGACGTGTCTATGCAGGTTAATGATCAACTCCTCCAGTCTTTAAACCTCGAAGGCCTCACTACGGGAGAGTTACAGGCAGTGCTCAATCTCTCGGAGGAGCTGCGAGCCTATGAGGCGCTTGCTGCGCCATCGGGGAGGCCTTGGGAGGAGAGTTCCCCCGCTAAGGTACACTTCGAGTCTGCGAATTCGAGCCGACTCTCCCCAAGGGGGGGCCCCGTCGTGTCTTGCGGTGGGCGGCCACCTCTCGGAGGCCCTCAGGGGCCCCTGCCCGACTTTGTAGTCACTCCGTGCGGCTCTGTGAGGAAGGTCGCAAGCGCGCTGCAGCAGCGGAGGGAATTTCTAGACGCGATAGATGAGACAGATGGCTTTGAAGACTTTCTTCGAGAGCTAAAGGTGCTGCCTTCTTCCAAGCATGGCCCCGCGGAGTCTCCCGTCCCAGAGAGTCGGCTCTGCGTCTGCGCAAGGAGGCAAGGGAGTCGCTGCGAGCCTTTGATAGATCCAACAGCTGCTTGCTCTCCTCCAGAAGCTGCAAACTCACTTGCAGCAGCAGCAACAGCAGCCGCGGGGTTCATGGACGCAAGCACCGGGAAGGCAAGCCCCTCCCCCGCCAGTCTAAAAAGTTCCCGGAGACGATCGCGACCCAGCTTACAGAGGAAGGGCGGAGGGCCTCCCAAGGGGCATCAGAGGCCCCTACCTGCCAAGGAACCCTACCAGTGGCAGGGGGAGAAGGCGCCTGCTAAGGCGTACTGCAGGGTTGCACGGGCCCTTAACCTCTTTGCCGATACAGCCGTACCGTTTGAAGCGCCTCAAACTGGAGGCATGGCGCTTAGCAGGGAAGATGCCGCTGCAGCAGCTCGCTACGCAAGCCCCCCGTCAGAGCAGCAGCAGTTTTCTCTAGAGGAAGGCAGGGAAAAGACTCCCAGGCTTGATGCAGGCGCGTCTACTTTTCATTTGTTGAGCGCACCCTCCGAGGCTGCGACCTCGTTTTGCAGTGGGGGGCCCCGCGGGTCACGCCGTCCCGCGGGACTTGGCAGTGGCAGCAGTAACAGCAGCAGCAGCAGCAGCAGCAGTAACAGCAGCAGCAGCAGCAGCAGCAGCAGCAGCAGCAGCGCGGCGGACCACGATAGCGGTCACCCCTCCGGTCCCACCCATCTTGGTAGGGCTTTTGCATCCCTGAAATCTTCCTGCGGGCACTCCGGCGACGCTTCAGTCAGCAGTCTGCGCTCTCCCGTCAAGGGGGTGTATTATGATAGCTTCAAGAAGCTGTGGAGGGTCCAGTGGCACACAGCAGGCGATCCAAGGGGCCCTGCTGAAGGCAGACGTATGTCTCGTTCCTTCAGCTGTAGTCGACTGGGATTCGACGCCGCAAGGGCAAGAGCCGTGGCGTGGATGCTCTCTGGGGGCCTCGTGGGAGACGGTGGTGTGGAGCTGCCCACAAGGAGTGCCCACGGGACGCTTCCACTCGGCCTCTCTAAGCTCTGCTCGATGTTGGCTGCTACAGCGGGCTGGGAAATGATTGAGGATCGGCAGATTAAAGAATTTGTCGCGTTTTACGATCCTAAGAAGTTCCTGCTGCGAGTGGAGGGGTACTACGTAGCGCAGAAGCTGTGCGGAGGGTCTCTAACCCCGTCACCCTGTTCGGCGCTCCCTTTGAGCGCCAGCAACGCCCTTCCCTCGAGCATCAACTGCAGGGAGACTGGCGTAGGGGTGCCCAGTGTACCTCTTCCTCCTGAAACAGCCCCTACATGTCCTGACATGCGGGGGGCGTTGGCGGGGAAAAGGGGCCCTCGAGGTGCTCTCTTGAGCAGCAGGCAGCAGCGCGCGCTATCACCCCTTGGCCTAGATGATATGCTTAGAATAGTGTGGGGGAGTCCTGAGGATGCCGCAGCGTATATTATTACCGGCTTAAATGGCGGGGAACCCCCCGAAGGGCCCCCATGTGAAAGCCGGGGCCTCCCGGACCCAGAGGGAGACGTCAAATGTGAACCAGCAGCGAGCCCAGCAAATGCTGAAGGCGTGTCGGCGAAAGCAGAGGATATTTTGTACACCTCTTGATTTTAGTGCAGGGGAGACGCCAACGCATGTTTGTGCCGTCTGCCGCCATACTTTGTTCCGTGCCACACTGCCACTGCGTTGCCCCTATTGTTTGCACAAAGCGGCGGGATGCAGCTAGTTGGTGCGCTCGCTTGCTGGAACACTTGGCAACCTTTGACTAGAAACAACGCAGTCAGCCGTTCCGAGGCAGTTTTATCAACTGAACAAGTATTGCAAAGGGGGACTTTGTGTTTCTGAGGGTTTTTCTCGCTGGTATAGTCGCGTAGCGCACGTGGAGTTGATAGTCGCAGGGGTGTTTTTACCTGAGTGTAGGGCTCTGCTGCGAGCAAGCACAAAAGAGTAGGCAGTAAATATTGAAGTCTGCTCTTGCTCTACAAACAGGGGGTCAATTTAGGTATGGACAGCAACTGGGTAAGTCTGCCTCCTATAGCATACACGAACTTATGGACAACACCTGCAAAGGCGTGCGGAAGCCGCGCTAATCAAAAAAAAGCGGCATCCCTTCTTAGAAAATCAGCGGGTATACAAAGTTAGAATGCGAGCGGCGGGGAAGCACCGCCAAAAAGCGTAACGCACGCAAGAATCAAATGATAGATGCCATGTCAAAAAGATCCCACTCAAAGGCGAAGCCGCTGTCACTCTGTCCCACCGGCGTGTCCTCCTCCTCTCCTGTCATCCCAAATAAGTCGAAAGCAGAAAAGGGGTCTTCATCCTCGTCATCGTCATCTAGCTCCTCTTCGTCCAGTTCCTCGTCTTCATCTGAATCTTTTGAACCAAAGCTGTAGCCTTGAGCGAAAAGGTTCATCATGTCCAGGACGGTGGTGGCTGCTGCTGCCGTCCGTCCCAAGATTCCGGTATTGTGCCCCCTTCTTACAAACCGCCCTCCGTCTCCCGACCCTCTTCTGTCAAAAAGCTTTCTGTGTGTTTCGTTCCTCAGCATTTCATATGCTGCATTTATAATGACAAACGGTTCTTCATGCGCTTCCTTCTCGCCTTCATGAACACCCGTCTCCTTAGCGCAAAAAGCACGCAGCTTGTCTGGATGGCAGACCCTTGCCTTTACTCTGTATGCCCGCTGAATTGACTTGAGGGGAGCATTGGGAGCCACCCCGAGGGCCTCGTAAGGATCATAAGTCGGTTTTCCTTGCCAAGTTCCCAAAGGAGTTAGGCGGCAGAGTCGCTCTGCTTTTCCTCTGAAACATTTCTCGTGGGAGAAAGAAGATGATGCACTTTGTGGCACACACGAAAGAAGGACCACAAGCAACAAGACAGAGAGATGCAACACCGGCGAACCCGTAGAGGAAGAGCCAGCCAAAGGCAGCAATCCCCGCATTTCTGTGGCGCTCGATCGGGTAAAGAGGGAAAGACTAGCAATTAAAGAGACTCAGTTACGCTCAAATCATCACGTGAATTGCCGGTTACTCTAGTTTTGAGCAACAACAGGGCTCAATGCAATGAGGCGCCTTTCAGAATAATCCCATCCTACCGCTGCTAGATAAAATGGAGATGACGCGCAGGCGTTTTGCAAACTTTCATTTCTTCTGCCTAGCCAAGTGACACAATGAGTAAGTGGCTGTGTGATCCCTTTTTGCTTTGAATACTTGTACAATTATGGCGTGCGCAAGAGAACAAATACCCTGGAGCACCAACCGAGAGCAAGGGCAATCATGGGCAAATAAGGCGAAAACTCAGAGACAATAAGAAAATAAACAAATTTAAATGTAAATGAAACCTTACGGTCTTTGACGACCGTCGACTTCTAACGGCCTCCTTAAGGGAACGAATGAAAAAATGTTATGTGTCTCCCACAGACGGAGCGAACCCGAAAAAATCCGATGCAATGTCCGTGTATCTGGTTGGAGGAAATGACACCAAAATAGATCAAAGGATATTAGTTTTCACTAATCCTCATCATTTTCCCCGTTCTTCACCGAGCACTTTGCTGGGGAAGCCACTTCGGCGAAATCTGCTCTAGCCCAAGCGGCTCAGCTTTCATAGTTCCTAGAATCAATGCAATTGGCCAGATAAGATGGTTCCAGCGGAATGTTTGTTTTTAATGAGCATCATTATGTATATACACATACATTTTTTGTTTTAAGCGAAAAATAAGCAACAGAGCCGTTCCAAAGAATTGTTCGTGCCCTGTCTTGATGTCCAGCACTCAGAGAGAGCATCCCCTCCTATGCCAAAGTACTTGCCACATCCGAGTTAAATGCTTTGATCGCTGTTGCGGCTCAATTATGTATCTTGCTGCAACCGAGAAGAAGAGTGGCGGTGGCATTCGGGCCGTCCAAAATACAGCAAAATTAAAAATGACGACCGATGCCACTCGACATGAGTGACACACATTGGGTGTACGTCCACCCGATCAGTCCGACATGCGATAACCGCATTCCGGTTCAATTTAGGGCTATTAACAGCACTTGCCAGTTACTTCTTTGGACCCTCTGTGGTTTTCGGTCATACATTCTCTTCCGGCTACCCGAGCATTTACCCCGGCTCGAGCGGTGTATACACATGAATAATCCTTTCCCAGAGAACCTACTTGCTGTCTAGACATTTGCTCCTTGTGGGTTGCCACAAGAGCGTCTGCCGCCTCTGCGTGGTCTTCCAAAGGAATGCGGTAGGCTTGAGCCACTTCTAATAATACCTTGTCGACCTGTAGACACAAGAAAAGGTTTCAGGCATAACATATTATGGCATAAGCATGGCATATAGAAGTCACCATTTGTGGCCCACAAAAAAAAGCAAGCAGTAAATCGGTATCGGGAAGTAACAATTCAGTTCTAAAAGAGTAGTCTGACCGAAATAACAAGAGCGAGCCGCCTGTGTTTCCAAAAGAAGAAATATACGACATATCTGCTATGCGTGTTCTACACACACAAGTTTTCACTTCACCTGCTGCGTGGGCATTGCGCTGGAAGTAGAAGCATCCAACAAACTCGACACTGAATCGCTCCTGACGTCCTAAAGAAGCAGACACGGAATACGGCTAGCAACCATCGAATATCGGGTGTATCACACAGATATATGGGCTGCAACTGTGGTAACAGCAATATTTTGAGCTCCGGGCTTCCGGCTCAGGATTAAAGGGTTCAGTACGGTGGACACTACGCTACGGCGCCTGTGATTCAGGGTCTTTGCCCCACGAGGTCATCAAACAACTTAGAGAACAATTCAATTTCCCTGAGAGACGCGGAGCTATCAAGTTTCCGCAAGGCTCCCGAGAGGCCAGAGGCGACCGAATGAATTTTTGTAGTAAGCTGAAAAATCGCACAAAGAGGAGCCCTTAGTGGTGCCGCATCATCCTCCTCGGGCAGCTGAGGCTTCGGCCTTCAAAAGTCTTACATTCAGCAGACAAAGCTTAATATGAGTTTGCCCTATTTGGGGGAAAGTTTGTATACAGACGAGGTCGTGTACAGAAGAAATAGCAAGCAGCGAATAAAGCATCCATAAAAGTGGGTTTCATATGCGCAGGCATCTTATTTCGCACCAGTGCAGGTAAGGCAAAAAGGTGAATGAACAGGCTGAGATATGCAAAAATGGGGCTAAACAGCTGGGCGAAATGCTAGGTATGTGATACAGATCTCTTTGCGCCAGCCTTCTAGACGTACCCTAGTTTCTAGTGTATTTTATTGGGAAAACGTGGTACTGGACCGTGCATAATTGCTGAATACCGTTATTAAGTGGGGGAATGGGGTTGAAGGCAGAGCCCACCTGGTGCGACCGGTGAGCGCCATCGAGACGGGATGCCACTGCCTCGAGTTTCGACGACATGTGGAGACAATTTAGTCCTTCGTGTTGTTTGCGTACATAATTCTGCGCAAAGACTCTATGTTAGGAGGGCAAACAAGCAAAGAAGACAAGCTCTGCACAACGATGCCGCTAGAGCAGGCTGCTAACGTGCGTTAACAAGTAATAGGGAGGCAACAGAGGGGTAGCCTGAGAGTGTGTCCATGCTATAGGCTACTCAGTTCTGTTGTTTCATAGAGAAATAAAGGATGTTTGAATCACCTTGCGCCCTCCTGGTTATGGCGTAGGAGTGCGCGCCGTATCTTTTCTCTCTCTTGCAGACTTTCCCTGTAGCACCTGTCGCTCTGCCTCTTCTGTCAAGCATCCATAGCACAAATTCAGTGGCCAGACATCAGAACCAATAGTCGTATTTTCACAGGAACGAAGCCAGCAGATACTTATAGGAAAGTGATTTTCTTTGCCTTACAAGCTCCCGCGCCTTTATCCTCAAGTCCAGAATGACCGGCAGAACTGAATGTTGAGTCCCCATTGCTCCTCTGCAATAAAGTGCGCCGTTACGTCTTGGCTGTGGTGCTATGAAGAACGGCAAGCGCGATCTCAGAAGGTCTTGGCCGTTTGTTTGTCTTCCTGGGCGAAGGACGGACGGCCACGGGCTGTAGTTAAACGCCGGAGAGATGCTTGGCTATTCGGGTAAGCAGACGCTAATAACCCCTTTGTGCCTGGCTCCTTGATTGGGAAAGCGCAAAAAGAAGAAATGGTGAAGAATCGGCTGCGGGAGATTGACAAGTGGTGAACCGGCACTCAGAAGCAAGCGCTCTTTCGAAGTTTTGTGGCGTCAAATGCACGATTCCGGAGGCTTTGACAAAATCTACAATACTAAGCTAAAGTTTCATTGAAAGGGAGGCTACAGTTGGAAGAAATGCGAACAAAAGCAGTAGACCCACCAAACCGGATGGCTGGATGCAATCACGACCCCCGGGTCGTATGGAGAGAGCGAGCCTTCTGCATGCACTCATGTGTGTTATTCCCTTCAAACGTGGATTATCTAGCTTTAATGCCATTGTTGACTGCTTTATTTGGGGGAAGACGGCATGCTGTGTTCTCTGCCACACCCCACGATCTCACTTGGACGCTCTGGGTGATACACCGCAGTCCTGCTGCACCCGTGATCCGGGAGGGTATTGGGAGCGCAGAGACCAGCTCCCAAGCCCCTCCACCCTTGAAATTCGCCTTGCGTTCTGATTCGAGCTTGCCACACACAGCCCCCCCAGAAGCTGGAGGATACCGCATTACTCCCTAGGACGGTGCCCCCTCGCGGCTGCGGCGTTCCCTGGGATCAATCCCTGGAATGGCCGCTAGTTCCTCCGCTTCGCTGGAATTCCGCAGCCTCCTGGCTGTCTTCTTGTGGTGGCTGACGGCGCTGACGGCTCTGGAATCGCCCCCCTGCGTCCTCTCCTGCAGACTTGAACCACCCCCCATCTTGCTGCGCTGCGAAGGGAAAGAGGGGCCCGTGTCTTTGTCGCGGGGAATAAGGCAGTCGAGGCACTTGAGCGCATGGCTGCGGGGGTACAAAGCCCGAGACACGGCCACGCAGCGCCGCTTTACACCGGGCTTTCAGACCCTCGATTTGATAAAGGTACTTGCGCCCACCCCCTTACCCCTCTCCCCCACGCTCCAGTGCAATGCAGTTCAGTGCGACGCAGCGTATTGCAGTGCGCGCCGCCTCCCGTGGCTTGAAGGCCGTCGCGCATAGTCCCGCCGAATTGTGTGCCTCCATCCTTCGAGGGCGAGGTGTCCAACGACACCCGCCGTGCGCTGTGCGTTGTTGCGCCTTGTTGCCCAAAGATCTTTGGCCGTCTTTCCGGAGCCTCCCCCGTAGGAAGCGCTCTCTGCAGTCCGCGCGAGTCTACGGCGACAGCTGCTCAGGAAAGCCTCGACGCGGAGGCGCCTAAGGCGCGTGACGGCAGCTCCAAAGCGTATAGCGTGGGGGCGTGGCTGGAGACACACCAGCCCTTGCTGAGGGGCCGTCGTTCTAGAAAGCTCGAAAACGCGCGCAAGGGGGAAAAGCGGACCGAAAAGCAGCCATGGGAGCAGCTGTTCCTCATAGAAGAGGAGAAATCCGAGGCGGGGCAGCCCCCTCCTGCCGGCAGCCTGCAGCAGCAGCAGCGAAGACTTACCTTTACGCAGTTTTGCGCGGCAACGCAAGCACTCCCCTTCTTATGGCCTACCACTGCGAATACAGGACAGGCGCCCTTAGGCATACGCGTCGTACCTGGTGCGGCTTCGCCAAAGGGCCTCTTTTTAAATTGCGCACAGGCGCGCGCTAAGAAGTCCAGTTGCACGGGCGTATTTGTTGAGGCTCCGGACGAAAGGCACCCAACTCCCGCCGCTCTTCTCTGCTTCCCCCCTGCTCCCCCCTCCCGCATAACGTTCACTTGCCCTGCAACGCCCTCCAAATTCGACTCCCTCCTCCCCTCCTGTAGCTGATTGCAGCCTGCGGTGCTCTGTGCTCTGAGTCTGCGTGCAGTCGCCAATGAAGAATTCCTACAGATATGCAGGCGCATGCGCATGCGCATGCGCAGCGTGGCCGACGCCCCGCCCAAAAAGGGCCCCCAGAAGTTCTCGTGGGCACACATCAACGACTTTGTCGGACAAGAGCCAATAGCGTCGGATGCACTTGGTTCGTTTAAAGAGCAACGCTGCTTGCGCTGAGGTTTAAACACAAAAGCCGCGCGATACACTAAACCCTCAAACACACACGCGAAGGAACCTTGTGCGCCTCCGCGTGGCGATTGCGCTCTGCACAGAGTGCGTCTTTCGCTCTTTTCTCGGAGGTGCCGGCTCATCTGCGGACTGGATGGACCGAGAAGACCTTTCGCGGTGTATTTGGAAGTGGTCTCCTGTTGACGGTAGGAGTCAAGAAGAAGGGGCCTACCCCTCCTTCGTGGATGCGCAAACAGACTCGCCGCGCGCGTCACATGAAGGAAAGGTCCTCCTGGCACACAGCCTTTCGAGACTTTCTTTTTTTCTGGCCTATTCGTGTGTCTCTCGGCGCAAAAACGTGCAGCCTAGCATGCAGAGCGCTAGCCGGGATATGTGTGCAATCTTTTGAAGGGCTCGTGGATGATCCTTGCGGGGATGCCCTCCTCCACGCCCTGTCTGTCAGCTTGGACAGTCAAGCAGCAAAGTATCTGCGTAACTCTACACCAAGTGTGTGAGGCTTGGCTGTGCTACGTTGGATTGATAGACACCTCCGCACAACAGGGCCTGAACGTGTATGCAACTGCGGCTGTGCAGGCGTCATGGATTGGGAGCAGTTTCTCTTCTTCCTGAACGCGTCCCCTCAGAACGGCTTGCTGGGCGCAGTAGACTGACGCGAGCGCATTCTTGTTCACAAGATGAGGAAGGAACCTCCTAGCAAGGAGACAACAGCACAGAAGCTGCTCTCCTTTGTGCAGCAGCTACAACATACACAGCTCCTACAGCTTCTCTGCTTAGCAGAAATCCATCTGCAAAGGCGTTTCACGGAAGTACATAAAATATGACTGGGCGCCGATAATTTTTAGTGTCAATGCTGTGAATCCCGCAAAGATATCAATTTTAAATGGTGCCAGCACTTTGTAAGACCTGATATGCACCCTAATTTACACAGAACAAAAGAGCCCGCGCCGAAGGTAGAACGAAAAGTCCGACAAGAGAGCGTTAGCGCTACCAACGGCGCAGACGGGGCCATCTTTTAGTTCCGCAAAATGTGTCATTTAGTCTAGTTTTACACATACAGCCCAAGGAGGACGCTCATCATGTGAATCGATTTCTTCATGCTTACCACAGTTACAGCGGCCGATGCAACATGCGAGACGCAGTGCCGGTCTTTTTCTTCTACTTCGCTTGTCCCCACACAATGGGTGAGCTGCGAAGAAAAAAGGATTTACGACGCAAACCTAGGGCAGTGCCTTACAGGCTGGATCACGACTGCACCGCGTTTATTGCATGGATGATCCTCTGCAGACCCTTAATACTTTGCTCCCTCCGGCCATCTCGGAGAGCGAAGAGCAAATCACAGGGAAAGTCGCTGTCTAGCACGGCAGTTATGCCACCTGGTGTAGTCCTACCCGCAAGAATTCCTTCTCCTGAATCGCGCAAAACCCAGAGTCAAGCTTTCTGAGACAAAGTGCAGCGCACCTTCAACTCATGCTCAAAGACGTATTTCCTTTTGAGGCCTCCCACCTCCTGCTGCCCTCCGTGGTTGCCCTAGGTGTTAAATATCTGTATCCCCTTCTAGCATATCAAAGAGACCACTCACTAGCAGGGAAAATCATGTTCAGCCCTTTACCAGTCTTCTCCCCTACGCGCGCAGTGCTGCGCTGTGCACCACCTACAACCATCTCGCCGCTTCCCACCCCCCAACACTATCCACCTGCCTACGGAGAGCCTCACACAATCACCATATGCAGCCTGCAGCATCTGCAAACATACCCTGATGATGATGAGAGCTCCCACGCAGCTGCCACTGCGCACTGTACGTTTTTACTAGCTCCGGAGGCAGACAAATCGAGCGCCGGCCAACAACGGAGGTGCCGAGGAAGGCGTCCAGCCCCGCAGATGTTTCAATGATCAACCTGTGCAGATCGTAGTCCATGTACGCAGCATTTTGAGCTAGCTAAGGCATCAAGCACTGCCTGCGTTCTGCACTTACTGCCCTTCCGACACAGCTGCCCTCTGCTCTACAAGAACCCCCTCCCACCACCTCCCACCTCTACCCCAAATCAGCCAAAGATACAACACGCGCGCAACTCGCAGCGCGGAAAAATCGCCCCGAACGCACTCTGTATCAGCCTTACCAACGACTCCAAAGCCGCAAAATTCTGCCTCGAAGAGCGTCTTGAGTTGTAGACTACGCTGCGCACAGTCCAGACGAGTGTGTGGAGCTGTAGTGTCCTGCATGATGCCACACATCACTCCCGGCATATGTGAGCTGCAGCAGCCCGCCAACTTGAACTACCTGCAGACCCGCAGCGCACACGAATAAAGAGGCATGAGACATAAAGAGGCATGAGAAAGCCGGACATATATATAGGTATATATATACCTGTATACATATATGCATGTATACATATATATACCTATACATACATATATATGGAACGGCGCATCCACTGAGTGTACCCCGTGGCAACAGGAACCCTCCGCGATCCTTTGAAGATCACGCTGCATATATGCATGCATGATGTAAAAAGAGGCACCTATTCTCCCTCCTTCTCTAGAAGCGAACCCATCCGCTCACCCGGCGACAGCGTGCACACCTGATGCTTGCATCGGACTTCTCGTACGGCAGCTCGATTAATACAAAAGTGCCTTTTGCCCTCAGTTGCCGCAAACAATTCAGCAGCTGCGACCCTCCAGGTTCTAGGAAGAAGTCGGTGCAGTTAGGCCCCGAGCCCTCCGTGGAGGCCCTGCTGTCGCCCGATGAAAGCATGGAGAACGGCTCCATTCCAAGGATTATCCGCCCGGTCAGCCGCTTAGTATGGTCTTTGAGTGTTCTACCAAGAATCCAAAGGGCCCCTCTTTCTCGATCGGCAAGAGGGACGCGCATTCCGCCACTGCGAAGAGCCGGTGGATGCCCTTCGAGCGTCGGACGTCCGACGGAGCGCGCCCGCCTGCCTGAAAGCAACCCCCTCGATTCTCTACGCGTGGACGGAGAAGTCTTCCGTCTGATACCCTGAGGGGCACACTTAGGCCGGGTCCACATGCGCCTCTGTCATGGCACACGAGCACGTAACGGGGGTATTAGCTTGCCGGGAGGGGGGAACTGCCGCTTCGGCTTTTTGAAATCCTTCGCTGCCTGAGACTCTGTCCCGTTGCGTGCCTTTGGCGGCCCCGTTATCGCCGCTTCTCCAGCTGCTAACGCGCCTCTGGATCGTGCAGGTGCACATTCCTGAGAAGAGCTTCGAGTTGAAAACGGGGTCTGCCGGCTGCGGCCCGCAGCAGTGGTCAGAAAGCAGCCCCGAGGAGGCCAGCACGGGTCTACCCCTATCGGGGGGACCCCACTCGTGCTTGCTGTCCGCGTGGCCGAGAAGCTTAAAGGCCCCCCTGCCTTCCGAAAGCGCCCTCCCCTCTGCCTGCTGGCCCCCCCCACTCCTCTCCCCACCGCCCCCTTGCCCGCTTCCGCGGCAGCGGCGGGGTGTCCTCTCGCATCAGCAGCATGAGCAGCAGAAATGCCGTGGTCCTGACCTGCGTCCTGCGCTGGCGTTAGACCGGAAACCCACACCATAGTGGACATGCAGTCCGAAAGGCCGCATACTAGGGCCTCCTGCACTGCGGCGTCACGACGGAGGAGAGTAGCGTCCCTCCAGAGGCACGCGCAGTGATGCGGTGATGCACACTGCGTGACGGTGGCCCCTACAAGCGAGGCGCAACGCTCGCAAGTCGTGTAGATTTTTGACTCGCACGAGGGCCGCAGGGGCCCTTAGGAGTCCTGTTTTTCCTCGGCCGCGAAGCCGCCACATTCTTCGCCCCTGCCGCCGCCTCCCCCCCTCCTCCGAAGGAGCAGCGACTTCTGCTGTACCCCCCCACGACCCCACGTCCTTCTTCCTTCCGGCACCGCGAGGCGCTCCCCCGCTGCTCGGCTGCCAGTTCAAAGGCCTTGATGAGAGCTCTCCTGTCAGCGGGGTGACCCAAACACTCGCACCAAGGGCCGACGCCCTCCTCGCCCTCGCCCGCCTTAGGCACCCATAGCTCTGCGGAAGCGATGGGGCGTGCCCACGAGAACCGGGGTTGCGGATCGCAAGTTGTTACGCTCATCTCCTTTAAAGTCGCAACCAATCAAAGATACGGAGCCATCTGGTGGGGCGGCTCGCAAGGAGGTCCCTGTTCCCCCACGGGAAGTAGCCAGTTAAACGCCTCTCCCAAAAACCCAGCGCAGCGCTCGCCCCCAAAGGCTTGTGCAAATGGCCAGCCCAGTAGAGCCATAAGCACACGCGAATAAACCAAAAGAGCGCAGGCACCGGGGCCTCAGGCAAAAGACTTCACCGGCGCGCCGCCAACCGTACAGCCACATATACATAGACATACAGGGAACCCCAACACAGGCACCTACACTCACAGATACCGATACTGATATCCATACAGATACAGACATACATAGATACTGATATGCGCAATTACAGATGTGCATACAGATACACACATACAAATACATATGCACACACTTATACACGCATACTCACATATACACACATATATACATACACGTATATTAGCAGCCATTCTAGCTAACCCAAAAGCCCTAGTCCGAACGGTTTGGGCTCCGACGTAAAAGTGTGTGCCATCTGTGTGTAAGCGTGCAGGCACGCATGGCTTTTGAGTGAGCGCATGCATGTACATATGCGCATTTACGCTCCCCGCTCTCACGCGCATTTTAAAGAGATAGGAATTGAACCTATGTAGAATGAAATCAAAATCCGTCGCCATACCACCTGACTAATCTTTATACTATCTTATTATAAGTTGGGATATTGAAAAAGCATTGACTAATAAAATTTTTATGTATTCAGGCTCGTTTAAAAAAATTTAATTTAGGAAAACAAATTACGGCAAAATTTTCAAAAAACTGAAACATATTAATGTAGGATCTATCGGGCATGTAGATCATTAAAAAAACTACAAAAACTGCAGCAATTATATCTTGTCTATCTAAAATAAATAATGCAAAAGCAAAAAGTTATTCAGAGTTGATTCTGCTCCCGAAGAGACAGCTAGAGCAATTACAGTTGATAATTCTCATGTAGAATATGAGACTTCTTTACGTCATCTCGCTCATATTGATTGTCCAAGTCATGCAGATTATATTAAAAATATGAGTACAGGTGCTGCACAGATGGATGGTGCTATTTTAGTTTTGTCTGCTACAAGTGGCCCTTTGCCTCAATCACGTAAACATTTATTATTTGCTAAAAAGGTAGTAACTAGTATAATTGCACTTCTAAATAAAGTAGATATCGTGGAAGATAATGAATTATCAGAATTAGTAGAAATAAAAGTAAGAGAATTATTAGATACTTGTGAGTTTAATGGAAATTCGGCTCAAATTATACAGGGATCTGCTAAAAAGCTTTAGAAGCTATGAATAATAATTTTTTTAATGATAATGGGTAAATAATTGGAAAGAATTGATAAATGCTGTATATGCATCAGTTATCGAGCCTAAACGAGAATGAAATAAACCATTTTTACTACCTATAGAAGATATTTTTCAATTACAGACGCATCCCGCAGCACAAAACGTCGGACCCACCCTCAACCACAAGACGCCCAGCCGTTCGGAGCGTATGGAATGTACAACACATGCAGATTTTCACTCACCCTCATGATGGCC